GCACGATGTGGATCTGGTCGGCAGCGAGTCTGGTGCCCTTTCAAACCTGAGCGAAAGCACAGACTAATTTTTTTTGGTTACCCTATGCTTTCCTTATATATCAGAAATGCTTGTGTACCTCTTTTCGTCACAAAAGGGATCACCTCGCACTCTATATGATATAGTCTCTGTGACAGAAGAGAGAAAAAAAAATGAAGTGAGAATATTCTTTCTTCCGTTGTTGAATAGAAAGACCATCGTCGCCTCCTCCCCTCTCCCTTTATGACCAAAAAAAAGCAGTCTGTATGATGTATGTATGCGCATACGCGCGTTCCTGTTCATGTCGGGCAGTGGATTTTTAATGCCCGGTATTTGGATTTCATTGGCCAACGTGCTGCTGCAACTATACTCGAACCGCTTTGAGAGTTATACTACGCAGAGGACTTATTGGAGTCAAGTTTACTGACAAAGGTCAATATTTATGGTAAGCGGGAACATTATCATCTTCCACATGCTAGGATATATACGGGATCAAGAACATCTTGAAATATAGCGATTCCCGGAAAGTGTTCCTCATATTTTCTGGGCAAATTCTAACTACAGTACTTTGTCTGTTTAAACTCTATATGTAACAAACTCATGAGCAGTTGTTCAGTAAATGAACCCAGTGTCTTAAGCTTGATGCTTACCAAACGAACAACAATACGATAGCAAGCTCAAAACGCCAGAGAAAAGGCAAGCCTGATACAAGACGCTGGAGTGCTACTGTGTGCTGTCAACCAAGATATAAACATCACCCTAGTAAGCTTCCTGGATCCCAACTCCGCTCAATGGATTGGATAGCATTGTAATACCCTGCAGATGCGGTAACGAATAAACAACAGCATTCAGGATGTCTAGATTATATAACTAAAGTCATCCTGGCAATAGCAACATAGAGAGCAAAAGCTAGTTCAGTCTTCCTTACTCTCAAAGAAAGAAAAAAAGAGATGCAAACGAATTATTGAAAAGTAATATGCAAAAGGCAACCATGACTGAATCAACCCACACTTGTGACAAGCATTTACAGTACCAATCGAAAAAGTAATACGGGCATGGCATTCAAATGGTGGAGGAGGAGCTCAAGTTTTGTTGGGGAAGAGATACGGGTAAAAACAAAAGCAGTTATTATCGGCATCATACAGTATTTATAATATCTCGTCATTGCCGTCAAAGAAGACCATACGCATATCTTCAGACTGATAAATCTTATGTAGTCCTTGTCCGAACTTATAAGGTCTGGTCAAAAGCCGCTGAAGCTTTAAATCTGAAGGTCGTACAAGGCCAATTGTCATACTGAAGGCAAAGGTCAGTTTGATTAAGACCTTTAAACGCGAAAAAATGGTTCTTACATATTTGAACTTTGTCCGCTCTTCACAGAAGATCTCAGGAGGAACTCATCCCTTCATGAATGAACTGGATCGTCGTTTGGGCATTGATAGTGAACTCATGGAAATGGAAGAAGAAGAAGAACTCGTCGAAGATTACCGAGACGATGACGACCTTGTCGAAAAGATTGGATATGGATAATATCCAAGCGCTTATCCAGGCGCGTTACTTTAGCTTAAGAACCGATCCAAAGCCAAAAGCATGCGACTAGCGGCAAATCATCCTCACAACAAATGACGATAAAGAGTTCCTTCGCGAGTTTAGAATGAGCAGAAGCACATCTAATGGTGTTCTTGCTCTTATCGAGAACGATACATCGATATTTACCCCGGAGCAAAAACTTGTTGCTTTATAACTCGGTGTGGCTCTTTACCGGTTTGGACATGCTTGCCTTGATCTAATGGTTGGCGCTACTAGATATGGAATTTCCAAAAGTGCAACTGTCAATTGCACGCACCTTGTACATTAAGACGCTGCACAAGCATGTATATTCGTACGTGTACTCGCCTAATCAACAAGAAGATACAACTGAAACAAGATCTCAAGGAGCGTTCAATGAATGTGTCGGAATCGTCAATGGAACCGACATCGTGTTCGAGTGTAGACCTGTATATCAACGCAACGAATTTCACGATAGTCAGGAACGACATGCATTAAGTTTGCGATATCAGCAACAATATTCGTTTCTTTATCCTTGGTGAATCTGGCAAAGCTCACGATTCTCTCGCGTATAAGAAAACATTCATGAGTTCGAATATGGGTCAGTTTCTTGAAGGCGGTGAGCATATCCTAGGTGACGCAGCATGCACATTGTCAAAACACCTTATCACTCCTTACAAAGGAGAAGCAAGAAGACGCGGTGACAATGCAGCATTCAATGAAAATTATCTTCAGTTCGAGGTACGTATTACATACAAACCTTTCCCGAAGCAAGCAAATTATCATTGTGATGGGCTATGGTTAGTGGAAGTCGAGAGAACGATTGGCTTTCTGAAAAACAGATGGCAAAGTTGAAGCATCTCCCAATGTTGATCAGAAGTGATAAAGACCTTGTCAAATGTACAATGTAGATCTCTGTCCTTTGTACGCTTCACAACATTATTAAACAATGGGAAAACGATGGTACATCGTACATTGAGATCATCAATAAGCTCAACAAATTCCGGACGCAGAAGGAGATTTTCAGAACGTGCGTAGAATCAGAACCAGCCAAGACATCGACACATTTGGTGATGATGATGATAACACACAACAACAACAGAACATACAACAAACTTCGCGCAGTCGTACTCGTGATATGATAGCAACAATGGAGAAAACATACGTACCTATTTTAAAATGGCTTATGGAACCATACCTCAATAATATTTGATACTGCGTTATCGCTCATAGCTGATTTTATTCTTTGTTATTTTCTTCTACATACATCTTCTTCTGTCCATGACATCTCACGTTTGAGCTTCAGTATTTCTAATCCGAAGTTCAAGCGCTTTGCACGAGCTTTCTCCATTTTGCGTTCATGTTTGCGCGCGCGTTTAGCCTTTGCGGCACGTTCCAGATATGCTTATGAAATCATCTTGCGTGTTTTTTCAGCTCGTAGAGTCCTTCACCCTTTCTTGCTTGGCAAGATCTGCCTGGGTTCGGCCCCTAATCAGCGATTGCACTTTTGAAAGTCTAACGTCGAAATGATATATTAAGCTATTACATTTTGTACAGATAACTGAACTGAACCTCAAAACGGACTGTATAACTCTTTGTTTACTAACGTTTCAACATCGACATATGCCTGTCTTCTTGTAGCTCTGTGTTCGCCGACAAATCCCCTGCGGTAGGAGCAATGGTGGAGACATCCACCGGTTTCCATTTAAGCTCAACCCAGTAGTGCTGTCATAGGCGACATTCTAATCTGCTGAAACACGACCTTGCCAGATGGCATCACCGAAAGCAAGACGAGGACAAGTGTGTGCCCTATACTTTATTTCCCAGATCATGTTCATTTGTTAGTGTCACTTAAGTGTTATACTTATGATTCAAATAGTACACTTTTTGTACCAGGCCAAGTCATCCCTTCAACCAAGCTTCCTTGACCACCCGATTGGTCAGTAGTGAAGCTTTCGCTTTCCCACTTCCTCTTGAGATCGTGCATTTGGTCGAGACTCTCGAGGTGAAGTTAATGTTGCTGATGCCAAATAGAGCTTCAGACATATTGCGACAGACACTTTGCTTGTTGTTGCTGTATGCATCGCAGTGAGAAGTGCAGTACTTCAGCATCCACAGCATGCGTTCATCAATCCAATGGATGTTGTGCGTTGGATCTGTCGGAAGTGGAGGGATTGTCTCATGTAATTCATCCATACTTTGCAAGGCCAAGGCACGAGCATTCACGCGATGGTTGAGGTTCTGGCCATCAGTTTCTGAAGGTCCGGGAACAGAGGAAGAAAGAAAGGCTGCAAGGGGGAACGGAAGTCTCCTGTAGAGGAGAGAAAGTATACTGAATCGATTCTTGCTACAGTAATCAAGTAGTTACTTAATAGAGGAAGTAATTTACCAGTTATGTAAAAAGAACTCAGGGTGGTCTGTAACATACTTTCTTTTACACCATTACTATCTTTAACGCCATTATTATAAACACTTTTTTTGACACAACAATTACTCCAAGCAAACGCTTTTCTCAACATGGCAAAGAATTGGTAAAAGACATTTTGAAATTGTAATAGGAATATTACGAATGATAATAATAAAGCATTTCCAACTGATATTTGATGGTATTTTTTATACAGGGATCCAGTCAAATTTCTTGAAAACAATTACAATGATGAAGAACCTATGTTGGATTTTTTTTATGCTGGAAATTATGCAGCTAACCAAAGAAATCAAGCTTCCTTAGCGATATACTTTTTGTTGATATACTCTGTGTGTTTCATTAATCGTTCAAAAACAGCTTTCAAGTGCCATTTCTTAAAGTATTGTCTGACAGCTAATTTACTAGGATTAATTAGAGCTTTCGGCTAGTGCAGGTGTTTAATGGAGTCCAACACATCAAACGCCATCCCCTTTCTGGACATGGGCAGGACACCGTCAAGTGGCTACCTGAGAGCAACGCGAGCTGGATCTATCACGTTTATGTCTTTGGACATACATTTGACGAGTGGTCTCTGCAGTAACATTACTATAGTGTCAGCTTGAGTGTAAGTTTTATTTACCTTCATTTATCTTACTGCATGTATGTAGCGGATGGCTGACCAGAAAAAATGGTTGGAATGTTAGAATATACATTATCAGGGTTGTGTTTCATACTGTACCAAGCTGGATCCAATCGATTGTTTCCATAGCCTTCATAATCATATATTATCTTACTTTTTGTTTGTAATGTATCTCTGCAGCACCTTCCCATTCCATATAGTTTTGGAAAGATACAATTCTGTCGTCGTCTACGCTGATGGTACTATTGTTATTGGTGGTGGCGTCATCCACTGCCAAAAATAATCCCCCAACGCCAAAATGGGAAAAAGAACCCCCCCCCAATCATTAGGCAGATCACAGACAAATGTCAAAATCCAGCTCGTAGTCATCGGTTGCCATAGTGTGATCGTACCGCCTTTCCTTTCTTTTGTAACTCTTAAAGCACGCGTGTGCGCTAGAGCTCAAGGACCCTATTCACTACTGCCAAGTCGGTCGCATACAGCGAAACGTTGTACGACGGTGCCGACCTTCAACAGGAAGTGTTGTGTACCCCGTCTGACGAAACAGACGGAACCCATGTAACCGACGACCGCCAAAAAAAAGAGCGCTAACTTTTCCCCGGATATAGAAAAGCCTTTTCAGTTTTTTTAATTGTGTGTTTCTTTTTTTTCGAAAAAAAAGGGAACAAGGAAATCATGAAAGGAAGATGAATCAACATGATCCAGCAACGTACCCGCCCAATCAAGACACGATTGAACCTACGTTGTTTGATTCCGAGCCGCCGCAGTCCCCCATTCCAACCAAACGACAACGAAATCCAACAACTGATGACGGGCTTACAGAATCACAGGTGGATTTGGCTGTCACCATGTTGGGATCGTTGTTGGATTCATCACGTAAGAAAAAGTTACACCAAGAGAACTAAAATCTTAGAGGTTATATGTGTTTGACTTTAATTTCTTTGTTTGTTTGTGTATGTACCATTGCAGAAACAAACATGCATGGCAGCCTGATGACAGCGTATCTCGTTTTTATTGATGTACTACTGCATGATCTGATGGGGTACCGAGTGATGAAAGTGTATATGGCCCTCTTCCATCACGACGATATTATCGACGACGTTGACGAGCAACAGGCCAATCAATTGCGCTCACGTTTCCATGCAGCCGGTATCGTATTTCGGTCGCTACAATGGGTCGATTCAATATTTGCGCGCGTATACACCAAATTTCTCGAGATCAATGCACAAAAACAACGAAAAGACCACGGTCAGTTCTATACGCCTCAAAGAATCGTTCAATTCATGTGGAGTTGTTGCCTGCAACAACGCCAGTGCAACGATCCAGCACTGTCGCTTGTTCGTGTGCCCCGAGTTTTTGATCCATGCATGGGCATGGGTGCTTTTCTATGCGAATTCTTGACGCGACTGATCGACGCGTGCACTGCAACCCCGTCTGTATGGAATAATGCCGAATATCTGAAATACATGTTATGCCACGCAATTCCAGAGAATCTGTGGGGTGTCGAGATTGATCCTTTTGCATTCAAGCTCGGGAAACTCAATGTGCTGGTCCACTTGTTTCCGCTTTACAAACGGATCACCGAACTACATGAGCTTGGCACGCCACACTCAACAACGACGACGATGATGATCAACCGACTCCACTTGTTCTGTAATGACACGCTCAAACTGTCACTTGATAACATTGCGTCCCCATGGGAACGTAACGAACTGACGCGACTACGTGATGCAACGCACCTCAAGTTTGACTACATTGTAACAAACCCGCCTTACATGATCCGAAAAACGGGGCTGGTAACGGAACCCGATCCTGCATTGTACGATAGTCAGGTGTTGGGCGGTCGGGGCGCACAGGCATACCTCTACTTTATGTGGATCTGTATGCAGCGATGCAATCCCACTACTGGTCAGATATGTCTGATCACGCCGAGCCAATGGCTGGTACTTGAGTTTGCACGACATTTGCGCGCATGGATGTGGCAGCACTGTCAGCTTTTGAGCATGTATCAGTTTGAACCATACAAGGTGTGGCCCAAGGTGCAGACCGACTCGCTAATTTTTCGACTACGCATGCGACGTTTACAAAATCATGATTTGCTTTCACCACCACCACCACCAGCAAACGATAAGATTTTGTTTTTGCGACATATGTCTAGAAAGGCAAAACTAGACGACATACTCGATGCATATACCCATTTTGACGGCAGTCGCATCAGTGATGATCTCCTTCAAAAAGATACACTAAGCTACAACAACAACAACAACAACAACAACAACAGTGACAATAACAATAACAACGACCCTCTTCTCAAGTACAAATGGACGAGTGCTGACAATGTGGACCGAATACGGCAATCACCCAATGCCTCATTTGCATTCTTGTCACCCACATCCAGATTATCAGACCAACTTAACGATATCACTAGCAGCTTGCCACGCATATGCGATAGCGACGATGCACCATTGGAATTTCATCGCGGTCCCAACACCAATCCGGTGTATGCGCTAGTAGTCAGAACACAATGGGCACGTCAAACGTTTGGACAAAAGTGCTGCGATCGATGGCTACGTCCAGCATTTTACTGGAGTGGCAAGAGCCAAGGCACAGACAAGGAAAGCACATTCTGGTTAAACCGCGATCCACTACGTCTTACACGCAAAGAAACATCACCGGCAGAAGCGTATGTGCCCTTGTATCGAACAGACGAAAATAACGAACCTTTTTATTCAATGATTTTGGTCGACAAGGATGATGCTGAGAAACTCGAGAAAGAAGCTCCCCAGCAGTATGCAGCACTTTATCAGTATTTGAGCGAAGCACGTGCAGCATTGCAGAGCAACAGGGATGATCGCAAGATTGCTTGGTGCCACTATAACAAGTGTGGCGTGGATGTGCCCGTCAAAATCGTCCATCCAATCAATTATGGCTATTTCACCAAATCGCAGCCACGCCAGCGGTTTTTCATGGACAGAAACCAGCTTTGCTTGACGAATCAGTGCATGTATTTCACGACAAAAAGCAGCAACACCGTGTCACCACCAGCAGAGTATTTTTGCGGCCTATTGAACTCGAGCGTGATCCAGTTCTTTATCAAGGAACATTGTTCGTATGATCAGCAAGGCCGGACACGGTTTTTCGGAAAACACTTGGCGAATATCCCGTGTCCATTGTCGCCAACACAACAGGAGGATCACATTATGGCGCATTTGGTACATCTAGTATCGACGGCCCGGATACGGATCTATACTGTGGTAGAGGTGACAAAACTGCAAACGCTGATGGAAAAGTTGCGTGGAGGGAGCTGGGATCTTTCCGTGACCGATATCGACTGTCTGCGACAGTTTGATCACCACGTGCAGCAGCATTGGCGGCAAGCGCTTGAATGGGATGATCAGGACCGTTATCCAACTCTGCTCGATGCAGTTATTCGAACATTACAGCGTGCGTCTTTATGCCAGTATGCCATTGATCACCTAGCATACGCACTTTATCAAATCCCACAAGAACTACAAGGGTCTTTGGAATCCGAGTTGAATTTGACCACACTGACTGCAAATTGGCATAAACATTTGGAACAGTTCAATCTGGCTCAAGTCGCTGACGACCGAGCGTCCTGGGGACGTTGTATGATAGAGATGATTAACAGTATTTAGTATTTAGTAATTATTGAACAATGTATTCTTTCTTTAGCTAAAAAGAAACACCAATGTACTTAATTATACATCTAAAAGAACAAGAGATAAAGAGGAAGAAACATGAAATGTGTATGTAATGCATGAAGAAAGAACGTAGGTGGACGGGAAAAAGGACAAGTTTTTAAAAGAGGACGAGGAAATAATGAGGGTGAAAGAATCGCACTAAAAAAGATGCTCAGGTATATCGTGGTGGTGGTGGCGAGGAGGCTGGATCGAATGATGCATGGGGTTGTTGCGAATAGTCGAGATGTCGTGTGTCGGTGGTGTTGTCGTCGTCGTCGGATGCGCCAAACAGCATTATGGTATTACGTACGTCGCCATAGGCTGGAGGGGGTGGAAGGGAGCCTTGTTTCGGAGCCAATGCCGCTTCCCGTAAGTTGGCTTTAATGTCCCCAAATGTTAGATTCTCATAAATGTCCCATCATCGCCATCACATGGTTCCCTTCTCTTTACCTGGCGCAAACAAGTAATCCTGCTGTCCAAAATTCACAGAAACTTGACATGGGCCTATGGCGCCTACAACAGGATATACAGGGAATTTGAAGCCAATAGAGGCTTTACCGAGATTCTAAAAACGTAGGGATGATCCTCATTTCAATATCCCTTCTATCCTCGCTTAAAAGACAGCCCCACAACCCATTCCTTCCTTCCTTCCTTACTTTGCCATTTCGCGTAAAAAATACAGTGTTTGTGTTGCGGAGGTAGCCTACGCCTATCACGTCGCCTTCTTTATAGGGTGGTCCATAAGGTCGTCCTACCAGCGGATCGCTTGCATGAACTGCACCCGTATGTGAATGATAAGCAACTGAATGTCGGTGCCAGCCTATAGACATGATTTTTGCATTATTATCGAGAGTGCGTTCAATACAGAAACATTTCCCTCTTTAAATAAACAACCGTACCTGGTAATCGCCAGCATGGATAAGGTTTGGTCCCTAAACCGATCGCCACGCGATCACACTCTTCAAGTTGCAAAATCTTGACTTCCCAATACACAAATTCTTGGTGCATTGGAATAGGCAAGTTTGTCATTACACAGCCTTGGCCCTGACAAAATACAATCGTCGTTTTATCCATGACTGCTGCGTTGGAATCGTCGTCTGTGTCTGTCATTGGTTCGTTTTCGATAAATGTCCAGGCATCTACGCCTCGTTCGCGTACAACCGGCGCTGTAGTAACGTCGAACCAGTCGGTGGACCTTGGTGGGTGCCGTGTTTGCCATGCTAGAAAATCCATAAATTCAGTCAAGTAATTCCAAGAGGTAATTTCACTTGGCGCAACAGGGAGAGCTAATTGTTGTCAAGTTGCCATGGTAACCCTTGATTTGCGTTTTAAAAAAAAAGATAGGTGCTGAATGCTGCCGAAATATCATTTACCAATGACTTGTTCCAATTCTTGTCGAAACTCGGGTGTTGCCGCGGTTGTTTCTCGAAGCGTTTGCCATTCTTCGTTGGCGTTGGATGACGGTTCATCTCGTGCATTTTTCCGTGCTTGACGACGAAACATACGCACTCCTACACAGCATACCAGTGCTGCAACTACGACGAGAATTATAACGAGTACTGCAGTGAACCCTTCATAATTAATACTCATGATTTGGGTATGAACGGGTGTGAGGGAGGAGGAGAGAGCGGTGAAAGACGCGGAGGGTTTTGAAGGGTAAAGAAAAAAAAAGAGAGAGAGAGAAAATAGAGAAAGCGAAAAATGGGCCTGGCTTTTTATTTTGTGTTTCTTTCTTGAATAAGTGTGTTTGTGTGCGTGTGTGTAAAGTGGAGTGTTAGCTTTGCTGTTGAAAACAAAAGTAGAGGAGTGTGAATCGTAAAGGTACGCTCTTGGCGCAAAACAAAAAAAATAGTCGAAATAGGTTATTTTCTTTTATTGATTAAAAGTTTCGAAATAGTAAAAATAAAATTTGTACATAAGAAGAAAGGAAATTCGTTAATCGCCGTTATGGATTGAGAAGTGGTATTCTGCGTGATGCGTGTACTCGTCGCCGGCACGGAGCAAACCAGTGTACTCCTCGCCCCCTATTGTGGTGATTGTGATTAGACATAAAACAACGAAAACGTGAAGATGTCCCTGGATGTTTCTAAACAGAAACGCGCTCATTTTTTGATCATGGTGTTGTTACACCACCACTTACATTCAGGGTTGTTGATGCCATCAATGTAGTTTTCGGTCTCGAGCACAAGACAGCCGTACTTTTGGACGTATTCTTGCTCGTGCTCACAGCGGCTCTCGAGATGGTGGCGATGATGATGCTTCTTCTTCTTGATAGGCAAGGTGCCATCCAGACCACCGCACGAGTAGAACTGCAGGGCTGCTTGGTCCGTCTTGACGGCCATTTGGATGCCTGTGCTGGGAGCATGCACCGTCACTTGGTATTCATCAGGGTTCGGGTCAGAGAATATCCAGCAGTTGTCATAACCTACACAGTCGAACCTAGAGAGGTGTACCGCGTGTTATTATCTTTTCCTTCCTTGCCAATGCCTCTTTCTCTTTCTCTCCGGCACGATGGTTTACCCGCATTCAGTTGCCTCTTGCAAGTCCTGGCCGATCGGCTTGGCGGAGCGGAAGTCGAGAGCCGTGCCCTCCACATTGCCAAATTCGCCGGTGGGGATCAAGCTGCCGTCGGTCTTTATGTACTGGTCCGACGCGATCTGCATCACATGGTCCTCAACGGTGTCGCTCGTTCTGAACGCATCCAAGTTCCAATAGGTGTGTTGGGACAGCATCATGATCGTGTCCTTGTCAGAGGTGCCCTCATAGTCGACGTGCCATTCTTGGTTATCATTGACAGAGTCTAATCAACAAGAGGGATCCGCGTAAATACGTATGTGTGGATGTGTGTATACGTATATACAGTCTCGGCGGGTATATCAATTTACATTTTACCGTGATCTGCGCGGTGCCTGGGAAACCTTCGTCGCCATCCTCAGAAACCAGACCAAAGCTGATATCACTTTTGCCCTTGTCCAAAAGAGTCCAGTTCAAGCGGTTGAAACCCATGTCGCCGCCATGCAGAGTAGTTATGTCGTTCTCGTTGAGTGGGGTATGGTACTCGGTGTCGTCGATCGAGAAGGTTCCATTGCGAATGCGGTTAGCGTAGCGGCCAACAACAGCTGTAGTATAGATGATGTTCAGGGTCGTCAGCAAAATTGCCCGCATTGGGAACAAACAAACTTTCCATTTTACCTCCTAAGAATCCAGGGATGCCGGGTTGCAGGTTGAATTGGGTGGTCTGTTTTCAGGGCCGATATTCGGGTATAGATCAGCATCAACAACATTATTGCAAGGTATGACACACAACAACAAAAGGAAGATAGACATACATCGTCCCAACCAAGCACGATATCGGTGGGCTTACCGTGCTTGTCATCGACCCACAGATTCTGTGAACAGGATAAAAGTGAGTGTGAGTTTCTTGTGGCCGGTCTCTTCTCGACAAAAAGCCAAATTTACCGTGATCGTCGCGCCATACTCAATGAACGAGGCTTCGATACCCTTTGCGCGAATGGTATGTCTGTGGAAAGGATCGTCCCTAGCAGGTTTAGCATGCACACTGCTCAAAGCAGCAGTAGCAGCGAGCACAGTGGTAGCAAAAGTTATGAGAGTGACCATTGGGGTTGTTGAGAAAGCTGTTCTGCGATACTGTCCACCCATCAGCAGAGAGCAGCCTTATTATATATAGAGGCGACGCAGAAGGTAAAAAAAAGAAATTATTCTCCTTTTGTTCAAAAGCACCGAACAGACACAACACACACAGAAATTGTACGGTTCAAATTTCCCATGGGGGAGCATACTAAGGTTAGACACGGCGAATTTATTTTTTCTTGGTGTTCCCAAAGAGAGAGAGAGAGAGAGAGAGAGTATGCGTGGGGTGGAGCGGGGAAAGAAGAAAATATACGAGTGGATGGATTATGTAACAACAAGAAAAAAAAACTAGGAAAGAGTGAGAGAGACTGTACAGACACGAAGAGTGAGAGAAAGAAAGAGAGGGGGACTTTACAAATAAAACCTACAACAGCTTTGGTCAATACGAGTTGTGGTCAAAGAAGGTGAAGGGCTGCTCAGCACGGCGTGGTGATGGGTGGTGGTGCATCATAGTCGACGACGTCGTAGTCGTCGTCATCATCACCGGGTATTCTTGCTGGCTTCTCCACTGTTCGAGTTGGTGATGACGGAAAAACAGATCACCGTTCATCGGTGGGGCCAGCGGCTTGTTCAGCAGGAGATCGCTACCTTTGGGCATGATGTCGAGGTCAAGGCCCGTCGAGAACGGAGAGTACCAGCTCTGGATCCGCGGCTTCTCCATCACCGGGGTCTCGGTAATGCTTTGGACCTCATCTTCGGTAGCGCTGCTGGTAGTAACAGTGTCATCGTCATCATCCCTAACAATAACTTCTTCTTCTTCTTCTTCCTCGGCCATTGACTCGGTTCCACGGACTGTGCCCATGTTGGTAGTCATCAATGTAGCAGAAGCAGAGGTAGCTGCATGGGCATTCATAGTGGCAGCAGATGCTACAGCAATGGCCTCAACTTTGATGCTGGAGGAACGTTTAGTCTTTTTGCCACCAACATTGATCCACTTGCTCTCGTCATCGTCAGACGACGACTCGATCGACAACTGATCGTCGTCGTGCGATTCCAAAGTCGGCGGTGAGGATGGTGCTATAGGAGCTGGTGGTGCTGTCGGCTGTCGTAGCACAGGGTTGATTAACGTAGCATCTTCAGTGCAACCCATATGATCAGTCGCTAGTGGTGCTGCTGTGGTTGTTTGTTGTGTTTGTTGATTGTGCTGTGCTGCGGGCTGTGCTGCGGATGCAGAAATGAGTTTAGACTGACGCATAGCAGCAGTGGCAGCAGCAGTGGCACGTTTCGTCTTCTTTCGTCGCTTATTGCTATTGCCATGTTGTGCTGCTGACGAAGGCTTCGGTGACAAGTGGGTTTGATCGACAGCACGGTCGCTGTCGTTGCCGGCAGGCGAAGTAATGCATGAAGCGATCGACTTGAGAGGCTGGTGTAAAGGGACCTAGTAACGGCAGAAATATTTTCCTCATTAATTTTTCCGGTTCTTTCTCTTTCTTTTTTTTTTTTACATTCCCTTTCATCCGCTCTCAAGTGGAGATAAACAAACCTTCTGCAGCGTAATGAAGGCAAAAACTGTCAGTACCCCTATCCATGTCGACGACGACAAGAGCCTCTTTAAACGTGGCAGAATGCGTCTGGTCGTCGCTACCGTCGCTTTGGGCGTGTCGAAGCGGTTGCTATCGAGGCTATTGCTGGCTGAGGACGATAGCTGGTGGGTCGTCGGATGGTTGTATGAAAAGACGAACGCAGTCGAAGCCAGCCTCGATAGGGAACGAGCATTTAAAAATGGGTGATGATGCTGTGAGGAGGAGGGTTCGGAAAAGAATGGCTGGTGTTGTGGCAGGGTCGAGACGGCGGCAAAATACCAAGCTTTCACCTGAGACTGCACAGCAATGGCAAGAATGACGACCAGCGAAATAAGAATGAGGATCACCGGTGAGACAACTATCAGAGAGGTGATGCGCAAGCCTCGCGAAGTACGCATTGCGTATTGTTTGTTTGAAATGGAAAAAAAAAGAAAGGGGTAATATACGAAAGGATTGGGACGCTTTCTGAAGAAGGAAAGTAAAAGGGTAAAAGAGTGGTAAAGATGTGAAAAAATAAATAAATTGGAACCCAATAGTTTTCTTTCCTTTTTCATTCTTCTTTAAAATGCTGCCTGCAACACCGTCCCCTCTGATTTTTTTTCTTTTTCGTTCTATTTTACCCTCAAACTGAGATGAAAAAATTATTTTTTTATTGTCATTATTATTATTATTATTCTCATGGACCATGAATCATGAATAATAGCTCATTCAGTCGAACTCGAGCAAGTCTAAGCAGGATTGTGTGGGTTTTGCAGAAGGCAATTGGTAAATAAGATAACACTACAGTGTACATTAAAATGAAAAAAAGGGTTCTGTTGCTGGGTTTGCTTTTTTCTTTTTACCTGACATTTCTTGGTCTAGTGCCATCGTGGTTTGCAACCAAAAATCGATTGGTTCCCCGACGCCTACAACACTCGAGATTTGCTCGTTGCCGTTGCACAACATGAGATCATTCAAAAGTCCGGCAGCATGATTTGACACATCCCACATCCCTTCTTCTTTTTCTTCCCCTGGGTCCCTCACGCACGCTGGCATCAGTGGACTGCTCGACGGGTCACAGAGACTGCCTGGCTCTTCGTCCGTTGTCATCATTGCTTCCTCATGGTATCCGCCGAAAAGTATATCCAGTGCCACCGCAGGCTCCGCTAGTGGTTCTGGCGGCGACAGCGGTGGTGGTGGCTCCTGCGCTGCTGCTATTTCAGGTGCAAATATTGCTGCTTGTGGTGATGATGGCAAGAAGGACGATGCCGCCACTACAGCCGGCGTAGCTTCCTGTAGAGCTGTTGATGTAGTAGCTGCTGCTTGACAAGACAAAGATAGTGGACGAGGACGGTGATATTTGAGTTTTCCACCCGTCATTGCCGCTGTCGCCGCCTTTGTCGTCGTCGTCTTCATGCTCTTTCTAATTTTCCTGCTTTTGCGCTTCTTGCTCCGGTCTGAACTCTCCGTCGTCAGGTACTCATACATTTGCATGTCCTGAGGTGTTTTCGACTGGCTCAGTTTAACCATCATACGACGCTTTGCTAGTGTCAAATTGGCACTTAGATTCCGTCGAATCGTTACAAGATCCTCTGATGAATAGTTGCACTTTACGGCCGATGCAGCAGCTGTATAAGCATCAAGCTTATCCGACGAGCACTGCTTTGTCGATGGTTTCAGTTGTTGACCCTCATCCTGCTGCTGCTGCTGCTGCGGCCGCGGAAACCGGTTGACATCCACCGTCGCCAACCCCTCTCGCTTCAGGCCATTTTTGAATGAGCCTTTTGTCTTGATTCTGAAAGTGATTGTGAGGAGATCGAGTAAGTCTGCCACCTCCATTGGGGGGTCATTCCCGACAAGTACTTACTTGATTCGACGTGGAGTGTCAACATTCATCTTCAAGCAAGAAAAGCAATAGTTGGAGGGCTTGGTTAAAGGTGGAAGCTTTTTGGCTTTATTTTGAGGAGAAAAAAAGGTAAGTATGGCAACCACTACAAAGAGAGAGAGAGAGAGAAAGAGAAAGAAAAAGAAAGGGAGAAATGGACTCATTCCTTTTTTAATTAAGCCGAGTGAGTGGATACAAGAGGGTACGTTACCTAAACCTTTTTTGTTCTTGTGCCGGTATTTCTAATCATGGTTCCGCGAGGGCTTTTGCTTTGCTGCTTCCAAACTATGATACTGTCTTGAGATTGCATCCACAGTGTCTAGGATGATCCTGTCGCCGCCATGGATACCCACACTGCGCTTGGATACCCATTGTTGTCCGTAGCAACCGAAAGCGTGCTCGTTGCCATGGCGCATGTAATCTGCAACCGAACTTTCATTGTTCAGAGATTCGTTGCCATAGCAACTGGCTTCGTCTCGGTGGTACAGGTGGCACGAACGACATGATTTCCTCAATTGTTTTGCCCTCTTGCCCATCTTGCTCGGGCTCTCTCTCTTGTGTCTGTTAAACACACGCACATCTGTCCTTGAATGATAGTTGGGGAAAGGGGATTCATTAAAGATTATACTTAGAGATATATACATCGTATTGAGGATGAATGCCATCGCTACTATGTACAATGAGAAAGATTTAACGAATACGCAAACGCAGTGTAACAACCCAAAATCAGCATGTTGAACGTGAATGATTACTGTACTTGATTTTATGCAAATATCCTGATTTGAGAACAATGGAGACTGAGGCTAACTTTTCGGTTTGGCCAGGTGAGGTTGACTGGTCGAGGGAAAACATCAAGGAATGAAGGTCAATGAACGTAAGTTACTACATAACCCCTGTCATCTTAAGCTGTGCATCGATTTTATAACCTCACCACAGAGTTCCCTACATAGGAAAAGCTGCTTCTTCTGTTACTGTATACTCATGTAGATGGTCTCTTGCATATTATCGTCTCTTGGAAGTAGTCATTTCTCACATTTTCAAAGTAAGATCATAGTGGGCAATAAGTGAAAGGTGGATGATGGCTAAACGCACGTTTTTGATGCAGCATCATATGTGGACTGCCAGTTGTACGACTTTTTCTTGTACATGCCCCTTTTATCTTTATTTTATGCAAAAAAATAATCAATTTCAAAGCGATCACACGCAGCGAGGCAAGAGCGAGCATTAAATGAAGATCAACGATATAAATAAAGAATAGGATACATGCAATGGACGGTACGCAGTATGTTGATATAGGAATTTAATCGTTGGACACCAAGTCGATAAGCTTAATTATTGGAGACAAAGCCAATAGTCGGACTATGACTACCTTCTTTATATCGTTCAATAATGGTAAAGCACGAGCTATTACTACTGACAAAGGTCGAGGGCAACCTGCTAATATGTTGAATATACAAAGATATGTATGTTAGTCAAATAATATACTCATTGATGTAACTGCAAGCACAACAACCTGCCTTTTTGCCAAAGCATATACAACAATTACGCTTTCGTATTTATATAGGCTCTCTATGCAACAATATTATACAAAAAATCGGAGCGGTTCCGACCAAGTGATCGCACTCACCCTGTTTATGAAGCTACTGCATCTCTCTCCTCTGTACATACAATGTGCTGCATTTTATGCCGAAAAAGGAAATGGAGACCAGCCAGATTTTCAAGACAGATATTTCACCGCCAAATCATTGATCCTGCTCCTCCGCAACTTATGAAACAAGAGCTTTGAATAAGCAAACCCAAACACATGGGCTTTACATGATCTTATGTATTAAGGCATAACGGGTTCTTCAAGTTAACTTGTGTACATGGCACTAGCCGTGGTAGTAGCAGATACTTTGTAACGATAGCAAAAATGGAGTTTTGATTGATGATGATGACTGGTCATGGTGTCTTATTATGTGAATTTACGCGTTATTGTACAGAATAGCTGTATCCTTTTGTGGTGGATCAGATTGAGTAAATAAGAATAATGTAAAAGCGTTAGGTGATTATGGGCACCCAGCCCTTGTTTTTCATCTTGGACCGACCCATTAACATGAGACCACTTTAGCAGATGCGGCGATCTATTGAGTAGGCAGGGTTAAAAATTTATTATCCACTAAAATCCAGTTATTTTGTAAACGTTTCAGCAAGACAGCAAGATTAAAGTATCATTGGATAATATTAAACGCGACCTATGATCACTTGGACAATCAACGACGATGGTGGGGCGAAAGCGAAGGTTCCGTGTTTGCTCGCTGGATTACACATTGCACACAGCGTCTATCGGTAACGGGTCCATTCGTATTACGTCCCTGCTTCTTTTTTAAAATACACATGTTGGTCTGATTATTCCTTTTTTATATTATGTCACTTTATATATTGTTGTATGTAGGATCAAGGCCACGTACATGTAGCGATGGTTGACCCTTCCTTTTATAAATTTAATGAGCACATTGACTGACTCTCGTTGTATTGCTCTAAATCAAGGAATAGCATCTGTTTAATACAAAATATTAAGGATAAACCAATTGAGAGTATTATCACTGCTGTCATATATTAAAAAGGATATCAAAAAGGGGTGGATGTGTCAAAATATACTACACTGCAGGGATGACGGCGAATCTATCCGAAAACAAGGACAAAAGAGAGATGTAGTGTAACGCTAGATCTGGGACAACGAGGGGAGCTAGCCAAGCTCCATCGCCATCATCTCTTAAGATGAATACATATCTGTCATCATAACAGTGACAACAAAAAAAAAACTGCGAAAAGTCTCGGCGTGGTGAACGGCAGTCGTCATTTGGGGGGTAACATGCTAATATAATTACAAACAGGAAGAAGAGCATGAGGCGTCATCTCCAAACGCTATTGGTGATGTATGATCTACATATAACCTGACTTTAAAATTAGCAGAATAGAAAGATACGAGGTAGATACAGTCTCGATGACAAAGAGGTAAGCAACACTTACAAGCTTTTCCTTGTCGCTATAATGCTTGCAATAAGAGCAGGGCATTTTGGGGGGGGGAATTTGCTGGCAAGAAGAAGGTGCCCTTATTTTTGAGGTATTCCCCCAGGTTTTCAGCCAATGGAAAAAGTGAAAGCCATGGCACGCCCGTCACCATTGGGCAACAGTTTTGGGAGCATGGCGAACCGAGCTGTGTGTGACTTGAAATGGAGCATAAAGCATTCCTTGTGCTACTCACCACAGCCGATCATTGCAGGAAACGATGCCCACGTTTTTAGGCTGTGGCAGTTGATTTGACTGGATGCATAGAGAGGGGTCCAATCACCTTGACCCCTTTAATCCTGATGAGCTGGTACTTCTTAAACACTCTTTCCTTCGCCCACCTCCTCACTAGCCTCTCTTTTCACGACGAAATTTCCACTTGCTGATGGTGTGATACTCAATACATACGCCTATTTTCTTTCTATTCATCATCACCATCATCAAAAAGATTATATGTAAAAAAAACCCCCCAGCAGAACGCAAATATATATATATATATCAACGCTACTATCTATATATTCCGTATACACGTACACCACTCTACCAAACGTCAGCACACACGCATCAGCAAACAACAATGGATCTGTCAGGCTTTGATACCATCACCGACATGCTACGTTCATTCTCGAACGAACAGCCCAACATCGATATGCTCTTGCAGCAATCAGAGGACATGGGTTCGTTCATGGCCACGTTAAATAGCAACCCTCCGCCACCAGCATCCGTCGCAAACGATCATCATCGTAAATCACCAACCGACGAAAGTTCGCCCCACTATCACGCTCATTCTAACAATAACAATAGCAGCTACTATGATGATGTAAGATTGCATATCTTGATGTCTTTTCTTTCTGTTGTTCTGGTTGTTATGGTTATACATTATGAGCAATCTGAGCAACAGCAACAACGACAGCATCATTTCATCAATATCTGACATCCGGATCACATAATAATTAGGACATATTCACTCCTCTCATCTCGCCGGCAATGACACCGTCGTTCACTTATCATCCTCATAGTCAGCAGCCACAGCCACATCAACAGGCACCTAGTGTGTCTATATCACAACAAGAGATGGATTTCTCGCCGTTGACTTCGCCAGCGATCATGCCGCAACACTCACGCGAATCATCCAGCTCCAACAAGTCCGTTACAGCTTCCAACAACGACGAAATGACACCGACACAGATATATGAACAATACGAGCAGCTCGAACGAGCCAAGATCATGATCACGCGTCGTCTTTCCGAGTTGCATAAGAATCAAAAACGACCAAGAGAAGAAGAAGCTCTGCAACAACAGAAGCAGATACAGCAACAGCAACAGCAGCTTCAGCGGCGTATATCAGGTACTTGCAAGAAAAAAAAAGAGCCATAACCAATGTAACGACCCTCATTGGGCCATAAACAACAACAACAAAACTTACTTTTTGTGTATATACAGATCAACAACAGCCATTGTCACCCGCCGGTTCTCCGTGCATCGAGCCTGTGACACCTGCCTCTTTGATGAAGATCAGAAGCCCCGCGACCAAACCTGTTGCTGCTCCAAAAGCGTCTCCTCCCGCCAAAAAAACACGACGCGTCGCAGCAGCAGCAACAGCCAATACGCCGGAACACTCTTCGCCTCGTGCACTTAAACCATTACTGATCAGTCCAACCATACGACCTGGTCCGACGCCATCACCTCTGGTCCACGATGCCGAGCATATCCTTGCCACTCGATCCAATTATCAGAATTTGATGGAGGGCAAAGCAGCAGCGTTGGGTATTGCCTTTACATCCAACATTAAAAGCGGTCTCGAGATCCGTCGAACAGCCCATAAGGCTGCAGAACAGAAACGCCGCGATTCGCTGAAAGAATGGTTCGATCGATTACGTCGTGAAGTAGAAGAAGGATACGTCAAAAAGAAGGAGAAGGCTGAGCAAGAGCTGCAGCAAGCAGAACAACAGCCTCAATTCCAGCAACAACAAGAACAGCAGCAGGAAGAGCCAGGCAAAGACGAAGAGAAGCCACTTTCCAAGGTGTTGCTGCTGAAGTATGCTTACGAGTATATCTCAACACTCAAAGATACGATCGAGCAGCAGGATCAGCGAATCCGCCAGCTTGAAGGAAGGCAGTAAATTACTAACTTTCTTGCTCTTGTTCTATTTATCATTTCTACTTGTCATTCCATTCCTTTCGTTTTCTTTCTACCAACATACTCTTTTAACCTTGTTCATCACTAACTAATATGTGCCTGCCAGCTCTGGCTCAATTTTCCTTTGCTCTATTACTTTATTTGTATGCCATCATGATGAGTGTTTCTCCTTATCAATCTTCCCCGCTCACTTTTTTGTTTATACCTTTTTCTTAACTTTTATGCTTTTTTCTCCGTTCTCCCTTTTTCTCTTCTTTTTGTTCTCTCGTAGATATTTTCTTTCTTTTTCTCGTGCGCTATATGCTTCTTCTTTATCTCTCTTCAATTTTTCTCCATTGGTAAATACGATTATGCATATTTGTTTATATAAGAGGTACGCGAAAAGAAATCTTGTACATTTTCTTATTTTCTACCAACGTGGTCAGTGCGTAGTATTTACAAATTCAGGGTTGGCAGCGATTGCATGAATTATATACGAGTCATACTGATGGTAATAACATTATTGATGTCACTCTGTCAATTACTTCCTTTTTTCCCCATATCTCTATTGTTATCTTGTAGATTTACAGCCCACACACTCTACTAGGTATCCGATGATGCTGCCAAGTCCTGTAAAAGTGACTTGATGATCCGACGACCAGCATGTAAATTGCGCAAACGTATCCGCTCATTATGCAAATGTGCTTGGTCAGATGCCTGATATTTAAAAGTTTTTGTGGTGTGTTATTAGCATTGTAGAGGTCATTTAGACGAAACAGCAACGGAAATAAGTACCTGACCCATTGGTAAGTGGACCGCAGGTGCATTACAAAATTTCTCCAGGAAGCGAACTGCTGGAATCGATCCACCTTCTCGAATGTACAGCGGCTTCATGTTCCATTCCTTGTGGATTGCTTTTTCTACAGCCTTAAAGTATCTGCTTTCGGGATTACCTAGCCAGTACTCTGCTGAGCTTTGGATCTCAACCTTTTTGTTTTATAAACAACGATAGCATGCAGAGTATATACACATTAGTATACGTATGTTTCTTCGTTTGATCAAGATTACAATTAGCGCTCCAACAAACAGAAAACAATATCAAAAAGGCTTACGGAAATTTCATTTTCGGAATTCATGTCTGCAAACACTTGGCGAACATAATCCTCAAACTTGGCAGCAATGTCTTCAATGGACTGATCTGGAACAATACGCATACTGACACAAGCCGTTGCGCATCTCGGGATAATCGTTCGATTGCTTATTGAAACGTCAATTTTGTGTACCGAGAGTGTCGGGAAACGCCATCGTGCCATGAGTTCCTGCTTTAGTCTATCAGTGTCGAGTGGATATTGTGTTGGCCTGATATTGGGTCGTTTATCGCTGCAAGGCGAGTCGCTATCGGTTTTTGATTTGTCCGAAAGTGTTGGAGATGTGATGGCCGAATGTTGTGTCCGCGATTGCGACAGCGCAGTCTCAGATCTAAATACAGTATTTCTGAAGTCGGTAAGATTACATTATTTCTGAGATTTTAAATGAGTCTTACAATACTTACGTTTGTAGCCAGGTAACGATAGGATCGTATAACCTCTTTTCAGCATCAGTTACTTGACTGACATCATCATAAAACCCTTATAACTGGTGTGTTTAGTTGAACCCCCCTCTGATTGATTGATCGATTGGCTAGTTGGTAGAAGCAATGTTTGGATTATGAAAAAAAGAATACCTGGTACTAGTACATGCTTGTTATTGTCTACTAATCTACCGGTAACATGGATCAAATCGATGAGAGGCTCGGATACCGCACCGCCTTCCACACCCGAATGAAGATCTGATAATGTGTTAGATATCTACCACGACTGATTAGTGGCTTAACTCTACTTTAAAATTTCTTGAAAAGTACGTCGCTTACTTTAATGGATGCATGAATAACGCCACGCAGGCCGTATGTGATGCATGGAACATCTTCGCCTAGCCAATATGAATTGCTACTACACTGTTAGAACCAAACAAAACATCCATCTATTTCTTTTTCATTTTACCTTAACAAGATCAGATCCACATCCGCAAAAAGATCCTAATTGCACCAATAAAGAATGATTTAGCATGAATTTAAAAGACATGGTATAGACTCTGAAAATGAAATACCTTGTATTTGTTCACTGCATCTTGGAATCCTAAACTTCCGTTCTCTTCTTCTCCTTCTACCAAAAAGATCACATTCACATCCAATTGACCTTCCTTGAGAAGCTCATAAACAGCAAAGATAGATGCCAGCACTGGGCCCTATGTTGGACAACAATCAAAAACGGATTGAGCTTAACTTGTGAAATCAAATAATACAAATTCAAGAGTTTCCAAAAAGTAGAAAAGAATTTTACCTTATTGTCACTAGTTCCTCTTCCGTAAAGATACCCGTTTTTACCAGTAAGTTTAAACGGATCCGTGTTCCATTGTTGCTTATCGTTTTGTGCTGCAATCACGTCATAGTGGCCATAAACAAGCACTGTGGGCACCTTTGATTCCGCAGTTATTCCGGCATTGCTTGTGCGTCTTGCCGAGAACCGACCGTACACCAATGGATTGCGACCAGTAATACCAGGTATCTTTTAAAAGACAAACGAACAAACAAGTTAGTATTAAATTTCTACTATTTGATTGGCTTTCAATGCAAAGTTTCTTCGTTACCATGCGACTGACAGCCCCAAGCTGTTGTAGAACATTTTTCAAAAACCGGGCTCCCCGACGGCATTCTTCCATACATTTGGGGGAGCCGCTTACAGTACGCATTGAAATCCACTTATCGAGTACATACAGAAGAGTGTCTACATGGCTTACAATGTTAATAATGATTTCAACTAAATAAAAGGATCAGTTTGAATTACCACTTGAAGGAGCATCTTGTACGATACTATTACGTCGAAAATGTTCGACAGGCTTCACAGGTGATGGCATATCCCAAAACTATTTGGCATGTATAAGTTTACGCTTCTCCCAACATAGAAAAAGTAAACAAAATATTGAGAGCTTACTTTGATGGAGTGGTCGCTACTGCCAGTTATCAAATAATCCTGAGAGCAGATCATGGACAAGACAATACCATCATGGTCATCCATACATTCACGAAACTCAAACTCCTCGTTCCACACCTTTACATAAAAACTTGTGTGAGTAAACATAAGAGGGCGTTTTTCCACAGCTCTCTTTATCCCCCCCTAAATATTATACCTTGATGGTTCCATCCGCTGAAGCACTCACGAATCCGGGCCCTCTGATTGCTACGGCTAGAACGTCATCCTATTTAATATTGAACGATTAATCACATGGGATATAGCTAAGATACGAAATTATGCTTACAGAATGTGCCATCATTGAGCGGATGAGTTGATTCTAAAGAGAGTGCTAGAGTTAGTTTCAACAGTATCATGCAAGTTTGTATAAGCAACCACGTACTGTTTCCAAATCCCAGATCTATTTTAAAAATGTGTTAGCACTATGATACATTGATACATACACCAAAGCTAATCAATTTTCATCCATCTCTATTAGTTACCTGGACGTCGCCACCCTGCACACCACAGAACAAATAGCCGTCCTCAGAGATAGCCATCGATAAGACCCCTTTGTCCGTATCACCACGTAGAGTATTGAGTAGTTTTAATGTGGAGTTGGAGATACTCCAGATCTAACAAGCAAATTACATTAGCGCGTTTGCCTCCAAGACCAAAGTTCAAATTTATACCTTAACATCTCCATCACCCGAACCTTTGAAACAGTATACAGTGTAGCAGTTAATTTTGGCTGAACTCATGATATTACCAAATATGAAACACAACTTACCACTCAAAACCACTTCACCGTCGACATTTGGTATATCAACAGCGTGTAACAAGCAGTATACATAACCATCATGCGCATTGGAACGGACATTCTTCTCACGAATCACACATTTGACCAGATATTCCTCTGTTGGAAACCTATCTACTTCCTCAACAATATCTTCATAGGATGGCGCTCCGAAAAACTTTGATTTTTGAGACGCAGAGCTACGGGGATTAATTGGGATCACCGGTACGTTGCCCGCGGATCCGTTTGTTTGAGGATCTGTTAAGTCAAACCACTACAAAATGTATGAGTTTTTTTTTATTTGGCACTGTTTCTGAAGTAAACCATGGTCCTTCCACTCTACGTACCTGAATACTCGTGTTTTGATTTCCGAAGATCAGCATATTAGCTGTTGCCGAATATACCATCGAGAAAATGTCACCCACGTCATGACAGGATTGGATTAGATAGACACATCGTAACGTCGCTGTATCCCAAACCTAATTGACAACATTCACTTGTTAAACTACGACCGACTGTTTTTCCATGTTATACTGATGTGCTTATATGTATATAGCGTTTACCCGAATCGTGCCGTCCCCTAATATGTGACAATTCAGTAAAAAGTATCCAACATCCATTCAAAACCTCTAAGGTTAAGTAGTTTTGCGCCTAACCTGAACAACTGAATAGCAAGCGCTGATCGGGAGAAAGTGTCAGAGCTAATACACTTCCTCGGTGCCCAACGAGACTCGTCACCAAGGAGAAATTTTGTAAATCCCACACCTACAGTTTTACTGTCATGGTGAACATGGCGGATTCGTTTTTTATTTCTTTCGTCAGCGTACTAACGTGAATTCGAGAACTTTGACTGCCACTAAACAAGTAAGTATCGCTGGCAGCAAGTGACAACACTGAATTGTCATCTTGAGAAATGGTATGGACGCATCGTGTTGGATACATTGGTTTCGGGCTAGAGCCTTTAGAAATGTTCCCTAAATTAAGAAAAGACGCCACAAACAAAGGGAGAGAGTAAAAAAGAGATTAGTGAACGTCAAAAATAAAAGAAATAAAGATAAATCTTTGGTTTCTGAAATGTGGTACCTAAAGGGGTCGGGCTTTCAGTTCTTGAAGCGAGCGTGTCGATCGTATTGATGTCCATTGCTTTTGATCTTATGACATTGAGCGCGTTCTTGTGGTTATGTCACAAGAGTACAACGGATTAAAAATGCATAGTCCCTGCCTGTCATACATCAGCGGAATTTAAATGCCGACAATCGGGTCGACGGAGATGTTGCACACATGTAGAGTTCTCAAACACTGTTAAAGAAATCAATCTTAACAAAGAAAAGGAAAGTTGTATGCTCTATTTATCAGCAAGGATCGTTTTGACGTCTTGTTGTATAAGCGAATTACGGGCTTTCCTGATGGTTTTAAATGTGTTGTTTTATACTCCGTTTCTCTATGTACTGTATCTCTACTGAGTTGCTTAAAGGATTCAAAACATCTGTAAATTTAGCGATTATGGCGGCGAATATGGCTACCCTGGAAATTTAGCGACTCGGTTGTACAAGCTGCTGTGGATGATCTAACATGTGCAAATATTACATAGCTACATAGACCCATTACTGATTATGTATTCTACCTGGCACACTATTATGATCTCAAATCGACTATGATAACACGCTTATTGACGAAATCGACAAAAGGGCAGTGCTCGTCTCCGCACTTTCACATAAAGTGAGGTTATTCTTACGGTCCCGATATTTGGTTTACTGGCATATATAACTCTAATATTACAAATGTGCATAAGATGGTTTCTTGAAAGATAACCATACACGCAAGATGTTACCTACTCCTGAAGACAATATACCGACCATTATGGAACGTGTACGAAAAGAATATATTCAACGCACGTACGATATCAAGGAATGGAACGATGCTACCGATTTCTTGGAAAAATTGGCTCGCAAGACTGGTAAACTGCAAAAGAAGGGAGAGCCCGATTTCCACAATACGGCCATGATGGTGTTGAACGATTGGCTCCGTGGTCGATTGCCCTACTATGTTCCTGCTCCTTCTTTCACCAAAAATGGAGATGACTCATATATACCAAATCAAGCGAAACAAGGTCTCATAAAGCCATCGACTAAGAATACATCGTTTGCGCTTCGATTGCTCTGTCCTCCGGCATCTTTTACCCCTGTTCATCTTCAGACATATATAAAAAGATCGAGCGTTCGCTGATTTATGAAGGGAGATGCGTATATAATGTTGTTGCGCAGTAGTGGCGCAGCAGCGAGGGTGTTCCTGAACATCCAGTATTTGAATTCAAACACAGAAGCGATGCAGTTGCGTTGACATTTGCTGCGGCAAGCACGAAAATGATACTTAAAAACAGCGATACTTTTCTGTTGTGTCTAGTCCATCTACAGACTAAAATTCCTCTTGTATATACGCTGTAAAACATGCTGTTGCCGTCTTTATCGCAGGTTGTGATCGGAGCCTTGTGTACCTTGATCCCTGCTACAGCAGCCTCCGGAAGAAGCGCGACTGGAAGCCCCATTGGTCTTTACGAGGAACTCGGCCCTCCAGCGTTCAGAACGCCCAAGAATATTTTATTTGGTGTTACTTTAGGTGGTTCCTCTCACGCATCGTGGGTCACGCGCATTCTTAACGAATTGTCTTTGCGTGGACACAATGTGACATATGCCGGAACTGTAAGTTGCAGTAGCAATTAGCAGTATAACATAGCTTATAGTAGCGTTCGAACTTTTCCCTTCAAGCGAACTGAAGCGGAAAATTATCATTGTTGTCGTTAACGTGTGTATATTTCTAGGATATCTATTTGAAGCATGTCAAAGGATTTCCCCAAATCAATCTTGTTGATCTAGGCGAGTCTGTTGAATCTAAAATGGACATCACCAACATGCAAAATCCAAGAACCTGGGACGATCGTCGCAACGAGATCAAGGTAGATCTTGAGAACTATGAGCGTAGTAAGTGCAGGCCGCTTTTTATTCAAGTGCAACAGAGGAAAAGAGAGGGGTGCCAAAATTTTAGAGCGCAAATTATTCATAGCAAACATTTATAGTCTTCCAGCCTCTGCAAGAAGCTATTGCTACTCAAAATATCGACCTTGTTATGGCGGATTCTTTTACCACTGCAGCCTTCGACGCCGCTCAGGAGGCTAACATCCCATCGGTTGTCACTATGTTAATTAACTTGGCACCAGGTAAAGAAGAAAAGAGAGAACCGGGGTGGTTACAAAGACGATGAAATATTGAAAAAGAAATACTTATACTCATGTTGATTTTTACTATGTAGATGCGCTCACTCCTTACATCAACAAGGAAATCGATCTGGGTGGCGAACCTACTTCAGAACATATGTCCTTGCGATTCCGGTTTTACAAGAAATTCATCTATCCACTCGAAGTATACTGGAATTTGCGAACGTTACGAGAACAATACACTCAACTACGAGCTTCATTCATTGGTGCTCTCCCAAAAGATAAATGGCTCGACTCGCTCAAGATTGTAAACAGCTTTTACGGCATCGAGGAAGCACGTCCCATGGGTCCTCTCGTGGAAATGGTCGGTCCCATCTTTAACGGCCACTACGATCCCTTGACGGCTGATATCCAACAATTTCTCGACGCACGCAGCCGCGTTCTTTATGTCGCATTCGGACAATTCGCAGCAGGCGAAACAAACGAAACGGAACGTATTTTGGTCGAGCTTTTGCAGATTTTGGAAGACGGTCTGATCGATGGACTTTTGTGGGGTGTTAGCAGCTCCACTACACGCTTACCAGAAACTGTGACCACATCTTCTGGACAATCCTATGTGGTTGCTGATTTGTTATCAGGAAAGCACGCAGACGTACGAATGCCCGCGTGGGCTCCACAGTTCCCTATCCTACAACACCCTTCCGTTATTACTTTCCTTTCTCATGGCGGCGGCATGTCTGTGTTCGAAGCTCTCTTCGCTGGCACACGTACTGTGATCAGACCGTTCTTTGGTGATCAGCCTGCACATGCCCTCCACTATGAACGCGAGGAGTTGGGTGGCTACTTGGACATGGATAAGGACGACGCCTTCAATGCGCTACGCCGTGTTATTCAAGACAAGGATGGCGTTTATCAGAAAAATACCAACCGCTACCAGGCTATCGCTCAACTCCGTGCACAACACGCAGTTTCGCGAGGCGCTGATTTGGTCGAAGAAGTTTTGTTCTCTAGCAAGGACGGCGTTTTGCCACATCGTCAGGACGTTGCCGGAAAGATAAATTTCTTAAAGGCAAATGACTATGATTTATACATGTACATTGCTACAGTGCTAGGTGGATTTGGTTTAGTTGTTCGGTTTTTGTTTAGTAAGCGAGATAGTTATAACAAAACAATTGCACAGCGAAATAAATTGAAGCAGATGTAACAGTCTGTCTAATAATCATGTATCTATTTGAATAAAATACAACTCTTTATTCAATTTGAAGTGGTTTGTGACTTTATAGTTGTACCCTCTGCTACTGCATACACTACTGCTACTGAGTAAATATATCATTCTAAAAGTGAGCTGTGCTTCCAGAAACTCCTTCACGTGCTCTTCTGAAGTTACTCGGCACCGATGGATAAAACCAATTGAAAAAAATTGCTATTGCTATGTAGCACAACGCTTTAGTTCAACCGACGAAATCTAGATAGTCTAGAGGACCAGTTTATTCAGCATCACAATTTAAGGTAAATATGATCAAAAGCATTATGTGTGCTGTTGCTCACTTCTTAAGATATGGAAACATGAGTTCATGATCAACCCCCGTGGTCCCTGACACTCCATGAAAACGTTCAACGTGTCATATAATAGCCGTCGCTAGTAAGGATGTGGTTGCTATGATAAACTCTCTATTTGTATCAGTGCTGCTAAAAGTAACAATGCAATTTCAGGTACATTGCTGTGGAAGCAAATATTCTCGATATTGTTGTTATGGTTATTAACCTTTTTCTTGCAACCGTACCTTATTTGTATCGTTACTTGGCAACGACATACATTGACAAAAATGCACATAGTAAATATGCCTGTAGCTATAATATTTATAAAAACGGGCAACTATATCTGTGTTACAGAAAGAATTACAATATGAGACAGTCTTCGGAGGTGATGTTCCGGTTTCCGCTTCGATGAGCTTGATGCTTGTGTTACAGGAAGCTAGATACGTAATTGAAGTGATGTGCAGGGCTAAACTCCTTATCACTTTTCGATTATAGAACGTTAATTACATATACACTTTTCCTATCAGCAAATTTAAAGTTATTCATACCACTACAATGGGCAATAGGAGAAACCAACAGTATCAGAGCGGTACATATGTACTCTAGAGAGGCCTTACATCATATAAAGTTAAAGTATTCAAGACCTGTATGATACTAAGTGTATCTTCATTATCATAGGATGTCCTGATAAGATGCCAACATTAAACAACAACCAGCCAGTGACGGCTGGTAACTACCTTAATTGTTTATAATTCTCGATTTATGTCTTACCTTGGCTAAGTGACATTTTTCGTCTCGTACATATTGATGAGACATACTATTTAGTATATCTGCATTCTTTGACGTATGTGTATCAGAAAATGAATGAAGTCATGCTGCCGTATTCGGTTAAGTTTGCACTATTTGCTCGGAAGTTAAATTCTGCCAGTTATGGGAGACACGTCTTTTTTTTTTACCTCTTCTTTCTTTTGCTTCCTCCGCCCTCACGCATATATACCAGTACAGATATGGCCGCGAAAAGGAAGTCAGCTGCGAAACGTCGACAAGACGCCTCGTCGTCTTCCAACACACACGAAAACCCTTCGTCCTCAGCCATGAGCAGACACAGCAGTGCTACCCGAGAACAGCAACAAACCGGGAATGAAAACAACGATGATCAAGGCCCTGTACTCCTGGCAGCTGAAAAGGTTGGCAAGAAATGGCGAAATATGGCCATTCGAACGTTCACAACGCTCCTTATGATTGGTGCTTTCCTGTTTGTGCTGGCATCGGGTTACATTTGGTCCATTGCTGCCGTCCTGGTTATTACGACGGCTGTGTATCGCGAAGTGATTCAGATCGCTCAAGTTCCTGCCAAAGAAAAGAGTGTCCGCTGGTTCAAGACAATGAGTTGGTACGGTCTCTTTCCAATTTTTTTTCTACTTCGTGTAAATGAGTTAATGTATAAGCGAATGCTTACAGAAGTGTGTGATAATAAACAGGTACTTTTTGATCACAACCGAATACTTTCTATATGGCGAATCCATCATCTATTACTTTACAGAGATTGTGATGGTGGATAAGTTTCTGTTACCATTTGCCACCCATCATCGTTTTATCAGCTTCATGCTTTATGTATTGGGTAAACATACAAACAACTTTAAAGCCGGCCTGGGGCGGATGACAGAGACAGGAAAGAATGGATATGACTGACATATGCACACAAAATCACGCGTGACAGGCTTCGTCTTCTTCGTCGCCAATCTTAAAAAAGGACAATACCGGTTCCAAATGGCCCAATTCTGCTACACACACATGGCACTATTACTGATCGTTGTTCAAAGTCATTTCATTGTGGAAAATATTTTGGAAGGTTTGATTTGGTAAGTGGTGATTATAGGAAGCAAGAGTTAGAGAAAGACGGAGCCTTTTTCAGCTGACAATGAGATTTAATTTACGCAGGTTTGTCATGCCAGCGGCACTTGTCGTGTGTAATGATACCTTTGCGTACATTTGTGGTTTCTTTTGGGGCCGTACACCTTTGATCCAGCTGAGCCCAAAGAAAACGGTGGAGGGATTTGTTGGTGGTTTTATTTGGACTCTTTTGCTCGGTTTCGGGGTAATGTGTCTATCATTTTCTTTTGCCATTGGCAATATTATATATTAAATGAATATTGACTTTTTCGCTTGTGACGCTTTAGCTAACTACGATTCTTATGCGCTTCGACTATTTGGTTTGCCCGGTTCAAGTAAGTGCTCGACTCAACCATACATTAATCACAAGACGTGGCAAAAACAACTCATGACCATGTCCTCGAAATCTTTTTAAACACAATCAGGACCTTGGTGCATCGGCATGGTCGAACGTCTCGTGTGATCCCAAGAACCCTGTGTTCACCGCTGTTCCTTGGCAACTCCCTTCAAATATTGTCTATATCATCAAGTATCTTGTAAGTTGCATAATAACCCAATGTGAAGATCAATTTGACATGTGATTGCTTCCTAAAAGATCGTTTGACAGTTCCGCCAAGATGTTAGTCAAGTATGGATCGCACCCGTTCAACTTCATGCAATTGTGATGGCATGCTTTGCATCGCTTATTGCTCCATTTGGTGGTTTCTTTGCTAGTGCAGTAAAGCGTGCATTCAAGATCAAGGACTTTGGCCACAGCATTCCTGGCCACGGTGGTCTTACAGATCGTATGGATTGCCAATTTTTGATGGGGTTCTTTTCACACATGTATCACCAGAGTTTCATCAAAGTATGCACATCATTATTTTCGTTCATTTAAACTAAAAGGATTCCAGAGGTAATGAAAGGCTCACCGATTGTTGTTCTCTGCAATTTGTTAGACCTACAGTGTCTCAGTCGGCTCTATACTCGCATTGACAATCAATAATCTGACTCCACGCGAACAAATCGAGTTATTGGAACGGTTACAGACTTATCTGTCAAACCAGGACATCATCAATTCCGCCTTGTTGGCGTCAAGTAACATGAATAACGTCATCCAAGATGCGCGGGAAGGCCTTCTCAATTCCTATTAAATGCATGCCAAATCACGCCTACCTTCCTTCTCTTTCTCTAACACCTATTCCATTTCGATCTTTGCTGTATAGAAAAAACCTGACATGATCATTTGACATTAACCGCTTGCGAGATGCTATTACTAGCGTCTCGTAAGGATGTTGTATAGCATTTATTCTTCTTTTTTTTCACAAACCTCTAATGTCATACTTTACTTGTTTTATCGATAATGCATAACTTTTCAAAGTGGGTGATGATTGCTGTATGTATATTGTTATTGCTTGATTGTGGAAGAAGGGGGGCTATATGGAATCCCTTTTCAGCCAATAACCAAGCAGTCTACTGTATATGAACTTGAAGAGGGTTTTGCGATGATGTGAGAATATGTAATGGAGTTTGTGTTGAGCAAAGAAAAAGAAAAATACAAAGAGAGAAAAAATGACGTTCAAATGAATTAATAGAGGAAAGTATGATTACATGGATGTCAAAGGAGGAAAGAAAGAAAAATTAATGCTATTGTGGATAAACCGTTGCGTGCTTCTATACTTAACATAGCCACCATCTTCAACGCAATGGATAAAGAAATTCACCAAGACCAATGAGTTTACATTAAGCCTTCTTCAAGGGCGAGTTTTCTCTTTGGTCCGCAACCGCTTCTGTCGCTCCAACTCACGTTTCTCCTCCTCAATATCTTCACGTCTTCCAATTCTCTCACTATGGAAGCAACAGTACATGCCTCTATCAGTCAAATCTGATGGACACGATTATATTAAACAGCAAATATATATACACGTACCTTCGTTTCTCTTCTCGTAGCACTTCCCGTGCATCTGCTTCCATATCGTCATCCGAGTACATTTCATCGCGGAATCTAACATATACAAAGAAAGAGAGACAAACGTGGGTCAGTTCAAGTCGACCAAGAACTACAATGAAGACTACGCTCGCATACCTCTTTTTGTTGTATCGAAAAATCCGACCAATTTCAGCTGAATAATCATTCGACTCTTCCTCTTCTTCGTCGTCAACAACAAAATCATCCATTTCTTCATCAGCCTCCTCGTCAAACTGCTGCGGCAAATGTCGTCTTCTTCCTGGGGGTGGACGCATGAACGGCATTCGTCGCATAGACGCATCGCTGCCGCGGTCGATTGATGCAGCAGCCGGGCGCTTCCCGGCAGGAAAATGCCTTGCAGGCGGTGCAGGCGGTGCTCTTGACGAGCTATATCGATGTTCAGATACTGAACGCTGTTTGTTCTGGAGTAACCGAGGATCATTTCTAACATCGCCTTCATCGTCCGAGTATATGCCTTTTCTATGACGGATGTCGCGCTGAATCTCGCTGACACTTCGAAGATCGCGTTTCTGGGTATTGAGTTTTTGAGGAGGTTGTCGCATCATCTGTCGAACTTTGTCTCGTGCAGACATGTTGGAGGGTGTTGCTGACACTGGATTGGAGGTTCGTGATACAGTCGGTCGTCGCCTTTGATAGATGTTTGAATTATGTATATGATTATTGTCGCTGCTGTTGATGGAGTTGCTACGCGGGGTATGGCTAGGTGTAGTTGTAGTCGAGGATGCCGGTGGTCGTTTGCCTGAAACGACTGATCGTTCTTCCTTTTTGGTGGCTGCAAGTGGTTCTTTCTTTGTTGTAACGTCAGATCGTTTCGTTGGTAGCTTGTTGGCATGCTTCATTAATTCTTCAAAAGACATATCCTGTGAAAGAAAGTTGTGGAACATTCTGTCAACAATATTATACCAACGTACATGGTGTGTATCTCATCATTCAGGTATATCTGCGAAGGAAATATATAACCATCCCCCGGAGCACACATCAACAAAATACAAAAACGCTACCTTCTTTGTTTGCGGCTTTAACCGTGCGAGAGCAGCAGAGACAGCGTTCGATTTACTATTCTTTTTCGTTGTTGTCGTTGAAAGCTTGCCTTTCTTAATATCTCCAAGAGCTGTGGTTTCCTTGCCGCGCTTTTTCTTCTCTTTAAGCGATCGCTCATTCTTTTGTCGTTCTTGTCGCAATTGTTCTAAACGTTCTCGTTCTCGTTCGGCTTTGGCTTCTTGCATTCGACGTTGCTCTTCTTCTCGTCGACGTCGTCGTGCTTTCTCGGCGAGTGCTGCGTCTTGCTGTTTGGCCACTGCCGTGGCCTGCGCCATCAGCTTCTGAAAATCCATCTTTGCGAGAAAGTTCTATCAATAGAAATCAAATGATGGATAATCGGTACGATCGTTGAGGCAATGAAAGAATTAGGGGTAGAAAGGGAAAAAAGGTGTACGCAGCAGCCAAGTAGGTGGAGGTTTTGGGGATAATCAATTGGTGGAAATGACGTAGCCTGTGATTTGATTGGTGCATTGTTCGGTGTTTCCCTTATGTAGGTTGATGGTACATGCCCTGCTGTACCTATCCATCTGTTATGCATTAAAAACATATTGATAGCTACACCTCATTAATTCAGTGAGCTGATGTTGTCATATTGGGATATGCTGCTCGCATTTCTTATTCCCGTTGAACCGAAGAGTTACAATCAAGTGAAGTAAATGTAGTTGGAGTAAGTTTTTTCTCATAGTTAACTATTGCTCAAGTCCATGCTCTTATCATAACCGTTGCATTAGTACAAGATTCATGCACTTGATATCATTACTTTGAGTAGTGTTTCACTGCGGATGGGATTGTGGTTGTTTCCTTGCGGTACAGAATGAGGTGAAAAATATACCATAGGCAATATATGTAATGTAGTTTGTTGGGATGCAATAAATGAAGAAACCCTCTGTGAAGTGTAAAAGTTATGCTGGTGAAGGAAAAGCTTTATGTGTGCTAGGCGCCTGGAAAATACTAAGAGAACAATACCTCAATGCAACAGTATATATCCATGTGCGTGGCTCAAAAAACAAAGACAAAGAGGTCATACATTCCTTCTTTCTGGTAACATATAAGATTAACTGCTCATGCTTTTACTCTTATGCACATGAACAATACCCACCATCAAAAAGCTGCGATTTTCTAAAAGAACATGTAGTGCTAAGGATGCCTACATGATTTATTGCTTGTTATAAGATTGAAAGATGGATAATTTCAAAAGCACTGAATATGTAATCATATTAAAGGTGTCTGGTATCACTTGATCTTTGTCAGTTTGATTGAAGTGTCCATAGCGTATACCGCAGCTTTGTATGAGTGATAGACTCCTTGTGTTTGCAAGGTTAAATTCACGCTCCAGAAACAATTGCAGTGTTTACTTTATTTTCTATTAAATAATATCACCATATCAATGACAGAAACTATACAACCGTAAAGAGTCGTACTTTGCCCTTATAATAAGTGTGGTGATACGCGCTATATTAATCTTGGATCTCATAAAAAGGTTAAATATTGTTATAATATCGCGCCGCCTTGATGAGCTTATTATACAAAAAGGTTGATATCATCAACGGTTAAAGTACGCTGCATTGAAAAGGCGATCTGAACGACCTTGAGATGGGAGATAGATCTCGCGTTCAATCCGTGTGGGTATGGGATGGTCTTGAAGGCTTAGATTTTTCCATTAGAAAGTAACAAGAGGTACATATTGCCATTAAAGGGGCTAACACAAAAGCCCGCGATTACATGGGCAATTTTTCTGATGTGTCACATAAAAGACCTATCGACGTCGAGGGTGCTGAATGGGAAAGCCGATGACAAACGGCTACTATGCAGTGCGACTATCATTAGGTAAGGCTGAGCCACAGTTGTCTTATGCATAATTACAGACCTATGACTAAATAAAGAATGGGCCAATAATTTGAAGGGCATTGATTTGTTACCCGTTACAGCCGCAGGATAAAAACGCCGGTTGCTACATTTAAAACTTTTTTCTTTCCCTTCTTTTTCACACAATGACCATTAGCGAGCCAGAAGTAGCAGCATCAGAGAATTTGTCTCATAAAAACAAATCCCCTGCGAAGGTAGCAACAAGAGCCAGCACTGCCAAGCGCACGGTTCTTCTAGCATTGGTTCAGTTAACGACCGTCACCTCACTTTTGGGATCCATTGCCCTGAAACGCTATTTGAGCCAAGGTCCATATACTCCATGGACATGTTCTGTTTTTGGCTATGAATGCGACCGAGCTTATGACGTTCCATTTGGCGGATATGCTCACGAAGATTATGCTGCAGCCGAGCAAGCTTTCAAGCGAAACTTTTACGCAGGCGAGGAAGTAGGTGCTGCGGCTGCTGCCTATGTTAATGGCGAGCTAGTTTTGGACGTGCAAGGCGGGTGGCAAAACCTCGAGGAAAAAGTGCCATATACCGACAAAACTTTACAAATGGTTTGGTCAAGCACGAAAGCTCTGGTACAGTATGGAAGTTTTCCGTTTCTTATATTGTCAGCCTGTTACACGAAATGGTGGAATCGGTTAATCCATCGGCGCTTTTGAGGGACGGTGCACTAAATTTTTATTTTAGACTTCGGTCGTAGTTGCCCAATTCGTTGAAAAGGGCGTGCTGTCATACGATGAAAAGATCGCTACATATTGGCCAGAGTTTGCACAAGGCAATAAGGAGAATGTGACACTGGGTGATTTGGTAAGAAGAAAAGATGTTTTTGTTTCTACGTATAGTACAGTATTAGCATGTCTTCATGTCTCCACCACCGTCTCTAATAGAAAGTATCCTAAAGATGCAACATGCTGCTGGTGTTGGATACTTAGAGAATGGCGTTACTGCGGCTGAAGCCGAAGATCCCGAACGCTTCTCGCGCATCTTGGCTGCACAACCGCATACGTTTGCAGGTGTGCGCACACGGAGTTACCATGCAACCAGTCGCGGATGGTATGTCAACGAAATCTTGAAGCGTGTGGCTAATTGCACGGTGAATGATGTGGCTGCTGAGCTCAACAACAAATATGGTATCGAATGGAACCTCAAGGTAAGAAAAAGAAAGTACTTTATCATTATAAATATACTGGTTACTGAGCTCATTCGTATACCATTCGAACTTTTCATTGCCCAGCCATACCAGCAAGAGTACGATGAACGCATTAGTTTATTTTATACTGGCCCTAAGCTGTTCCAGATCCATCGATTGATTCAAGATATGGGTGGATTTACGAAGTTCGTTCAAGCCATTATGAACCCGGACAACAATTTTGTCAAAACATCTCTTAGTCTCCCTGATAAGGCGAAGGCACCGGAATCTTTCCCCTCTCTTCGACTTCGCCGTATTGAAGGACCGTCTTACTCGGGTCATACGAACGCCCGGTCTGTAAGTTAATGAATAAGAGTCAAGCAGATGTTTTCATTTGTCTTAGTACCGGGAAAAAGGTCATATCATATGCCGATTTTGATATTGTATTGCCACTTTACATAGATTGCGAAGCTAGCTGCTATGATGGCCAATGGAGGCAAGGCGATTGTGGAAGGCGAACCGGACTTGTTAAACTCCACGACATATGCTTTGGCTACAGAACCCGTTTCTTTGGACTATGATCTACTATTCAGACGAACAATGGAAGCTGTCAAGGGTGGTTGGGGATGTCACGACGACTTTGAAGTTGAAGGTGTCCAATTTATTGGCTGGCCTGGTTTAGGCGGCTCAACGTTTTTCTGGAACGAGGAGCACAAGATTGGTTTTGGCTACCACATGAATTTATTGGTATCCATGAAGTCACCCGATGATAGAAGCATGTCCATATTGGGGGAAATTGTAAAGCAGGTCCTGAAAAGCAAGAAATGATGACGGCGGATAGTAGAATGTAATAGTGGATTGTATTTGGAGCATATAACACAGTGTAATATAAACTCTCAAGAATTAATAATGCCCATATTCCATGTTTTGGCAAACTAGGCTAGTGTTACCTTGTACGTCAATAGAGCAATGCTTTGAGTACTATCAGTGCCATTATATTACAACTGTACTCGTTGGAGGTTTTATCTGTGAAAATGAAAGGCAGGACTATACAATGAAAAGGTTATGTTGTATCGCTTTAACAGTTGGTATCTCACAAGGGATTTTTCCAACCCCGGGCTATGGGACAGCAACCGGAGAGGCCAAACAACACAGCCTTTATTCTTCGATAAAAACAACTCCCGTCAAGGACCACATTTGAAATTTACAAGGCATGTTGTAAAACATTTAGAGCAACAAAGGCAACATCATTGGGGAAAAGAAGTTCAACGCGTCAAAATTACATGTACAAGGTACAGTTTGTTACCGCGAATACTAACCTGTTTTACGTACAATTTCTACAGAAATGAACTCTTTACTTCGCGTTACGCCTCGTTTAATCGCCAGACCTGTTCAGCGTGCAGCATACACAACCGAGGCAGCTACCCCTACAAAGAAGGCCGGTGCTGTTCGTGGCGGGTACGAATATATAACAGAAAAAATGAAACGCTTGAAACTTGAGATCCATCTCTACAGAATGATTGTTTTTAACTTGGTTTACTTTTCTGGTATCCACAATTCTCCCACACATGCAATTGTACATAGTTTTGTTGGCTTCCTCTTGGGTGTCACCGTTGCTGGAAGCGTTGGCTACTACTACCTCTTGGAAGAATATAACAATGCTTCGGGCTCTTTGTTGAGCTCAGTACAGGAACTCCAGTCGTCCACCGAGAAGGTAATAGGACAATCACTAATTTATACGTGCGAAACAAGAAAGGATATTCATAGTTGCCAATTTTGTGAATCAACAGGTTCGCGAATATGCTCGTAAAATTGAGTCAGTCGACAAGGATGTCTCCAAGTTGAAGGAATTGGCTGCCACTACCAAAGAATTGAATGAATTGAAGGCTGAATTTCGAAAGCTCTACGTATGTTGTTGAAGGAAAAGGATGGTTGAAACCTGTAGTTGAGTGCTTAAATATGAAGGATGGTTTTGACTGAATGATACAAATTCATACATAGGATACGCTTAACATGGAGCATCTCGAACTCAAGACCCACGTGTGGGGATTAGGTGAATAAGACTTCTACTAAACGGTCAAGTTTGTAAAGACATGGATGTGTTTTTGCTAATGCGTTCCTTGTTTTTGACAATAGAACAAGATTTGAACAAGGCTGTGCCATCTTCAAAGCAATAAATAAAAGCATTCCAGTTCTGTTAGACTATCAATTTTGTTTCCACTAAAAACACAACTACACATCTATCCGATATATCGTATCTCCTTACAGAACTCAAATGGATAAATGGGTCGTGCTTAAGAACTACAGATCATAGAACGTTGAATTTGGGCAGTATCACTCATCTTACATACACGATATAACCACTTTAAAGCTGCATCTGTGTAATCTTAAGAACATAAAGATCGGCTATTTACTGTCAAGTGCTTGAAAAAGTAAGCGATTTTCCTGGCTTTCAAACAAAACCCTCCAAAATATTCTATTATGTTTCGCCAACTTCGACTGCATTCCCTCAAATGGACACGCAGCTACACAACACAAATCCAGGCACGGCTCGATTATACCAGAATCGCCGAGAACCCGCAAGCGATCAACGAAAACATGCTGAACCGTAATCATCGTTCAGTCGATGCATCCCATGTCAAATCCCTGTACGATCGTCGTCTAGATAACTACAACGCCTTGTCGAATTTACGCGCACAACGAAACTTATTGTCCAAGCGAGCCAAGAACGACCCAGAGATCATTCAGCAAGCCAAACATATCAAAGAACAAATCAAACAGCTTGAAACAAGTCTCGCAGCGACAGAAACTGAGCTTCTTCAGTGTGCGATACAAATTCCTAACGATACGCATCCAGACGTGCCTCTAGGCCCCGAATCAAACGCCCGCGTATTGAAAACAGTAGGAAATGTTGACGCGTTAATGGGTGAAAAAAATGCTTGTCAAGATCATGTAGCACTCGCGACAAAGCTCGGTATGCTTGATTTGGAGCAGGCGGCTATCGTCAGTGGATCGAGCTTTTATTACCTACAAGGATATGGTGCGTTCCTGGAGACCGCATTGATACAATATGCCATGGATAAGGCTGCATCAAAAGGATTTTTGGGTGTGATTACACCCGATATTGTACGGACACCGATTGCCTACGGATGTGGATTCCAGCCACGCGCAGGGGAAAGCTCTCAAATCTACCATGTTCATGCCCACGACGACGATGCGCTTTGTTTGGCAGGTACAGCCGAGATCCCACTGGCAGGCAAATTTGCCACGCGAGTCCTAGAAGAGGCAGAGCTGCCCCACCGACTGGTCGGATACGGTAGAGCATATCGTGCAGAAGCAGGTGGCCGAGGAACAGAAACTAAGGGGCTCTACCGTGTACATCAATTTTCCAAGGTGGAGCTGTTTGCTGTCTCCACATCAGAACAAAGTGACGCCGTATTAGAAGAATTCAGAGAGATCCAAGAGGAAATGTTTGCGGAATTAGGCCTGTGCTTCCGGTAAGCAGCTTTTAACCTGGGGTTTGCTATATCAGAGAATATGATAATTGCTAACTGTTCTCGATACAGGGTATTGGATATGCCAACAGAGGAGTTAGGTGCAAGTGCATACAGAAAGTACGATATTGAAGCATGGATGCCCGGACGAAAAGCATGGGGAGAGGTAAGCTATATCTTTCAAAAGGGGGGTTTTTGGCCGGTAAAAAGAATACTAAATTTTTTGTTGCCATGTTATATCTACAGATATCATCCACTTCCAACTGCACAGATTACCAGGCACGACGACTATCAATCAGATACCGACCAACACATAAAACTGACAAAAATACACTGTTCTGTCATACCATCAATGGCACCGCCATAGCCGTCCCACGTGTGATCATTGCAATACTCGAGACATTCCAGCAACTCGATGGATCTGTCAAAGTTCCTCAAGTACTGCAAAAATGGTTACCAGGCCAACCGAGCATATTGAGCCCTCCGAAACATGACAATAGCAGTCTGTAAATAAAATAGTGTACATTGCAATTTTGCGAAAAACAAAAAAAGTCAACCAGCTTTTATTACTGGTAAAAATCTTCATCCTTAACAGCACTATCATCCTCTTTGTAAATCTTGATAGTCTTGTCTGCTTCACCCGTAATCAAGCGCAAGCCTGTTCGATCAAATGTACTGGCGAAAATACCAGCTTCTGCATCGAGCGAACCTGGCTGTACAGTCGTGTCCATGGATTGGAACTGATATCCAGATCGCCAATCATGGAAGCCCATGGAACCATTGTCGCCTACACACAAAACGTCCCCATACGTGAATTAGCCTCTAATATATGTATTAAAACCAGTCATTTAAAAATACACGTACCACCAGAGAAAATTACACCATCCTGATTAATAGACAATGTGTTGATGATGGACTTGCGGCCCTCGTAGTTCTGAATAAATGTACCCTCCGGACACTTCCAGCCCTTAATATTATCTGCACTGCCACTGGCAAAACCGAACTCTGTTGGATGAACAGCAAGTGCTCGCACACTCTTCTTGTGATGTGTCAAAACGCCCATCGTTTTTCCTGCTGCCAAATCCCATAATCGGATCGTGCTGTCCATTGAACCTGTAATCACTTGTGGATCTGCTTCTTGACATTTGACATCAGAAACCGTGCTTGTGTGACCAGTCAATACGTGTACATTTTGCTTTGTTCGCATATCCCATACCTAGAGAATGAACACAAATTATCAATATCGTTCTCCTCTGTAACATATGTCTCCGCTTTTCATAACACCACCGGTTGTCTTTCTTTTTCTAGTCTTGATAAAATATACGTACTCTTGCTGTAGCATCACGACCACTTGTCACCAAAACATCAAGTGTGGGATGCAAACTCAAGGAATACACGCCTGAAAGATGTCCGTGGTATTGACGAATAACCTTGTTCTGTTCCAAATCCCAACACTTGACCATTTTATCTTCACCGCATGAAAACAAGTACGGATGTCGTGGAGATACTGCTAATCCCCGGACTGTGCTGATATGACCCGTTAACGACAGTTTCAGTGTACCGGATGCCAAATCCCAAATTTTGATGGTACGGTCACCAGCACCTGTAGCAAACCATTTGTTTCCTGGTTCTACAGTGACAGCTCGGACCCAGCCCAAGTGACCGCTAATAACACGCATAAGTTTCCAGGGAGCGTGCCATACAGGTTTAATCGTTTTGGCGCGTGCACGACGTACAAGCGAACCGCCACCACCAGGCATGTCACCAAAGATTTCGGACACCCGATCTTTGGATCGTAACGCGACGATACCTTGTTTTGCTTTTTCGTCGACTCTAAAAGTTGCATGCACGCAATGACACATGAGAATTACGTTTTGATTTTTTTTCCTTTTGCTTTTAGAATCAGTTATTAACCAAAAGAAAAACATACTCGACTTCTTTTTTGGGAATCGTTTCAATGAGCTGTTGAACGGCACTATCGTCAGGTGCATCTTCTACGGTCGTCTTTTTGGCATTTTTGGCTTTCTGTGCTTCTTTTTGCTGTTTAACGAGTGCTTCGGGTAAGGTACGTACATCGCCGTATTCGTCGTGTATTTTACTCGTTAGTTTAATACGTTGGCTAAACACAGAGAAGAGATTTGGTTTTCTTTGTTCAATTGACGAGAAACTTGATGGATCGACAATAAGAAGTCAATTGATCACGCTTTTTTTCTTTTTCTTTACCTGCTCATCTCATCCAAGGCAGGTTGGCCATAAGTATTTGCAAATAAAAGTCGAGTCCGTTTTGCTGATTCTGTCAGGATCGTCTCCATAGACTGGTCTGCCTCAAATGGCAGATTCTGTTCTTCAGCAGGCCGTTTTTCTCCAACTGCTGCAGCCATGACGAAGTGGTAGGTTTTTTTTAATAGTAAGAAAGAAGACGTAGAACCGAAAAATCGATTTTTAAGTTGTTGCAAGCAGCGGAATACGAAAACTGCGATATATGTAGCAGATCAGTACAGGTATGGTAGTGTGTAGCGGTACGTAGTTAGAATTAGTATTAAAATAGTTCTTTTTCTTAGAAAGCAAAAAAGAAGGAGGAAGAAGAGGAATATGGAATTGGATAGGTAAGACGCGAGTGTAGCAGATGAAATATAATTACTAGAGATTGATCAAAGGGTAAGATAAGAAAGAAGAAAGACATAGAGAACGATTGGCGGCATTTCTACTGGTACACACGCACGCACACACGTACATATGCATCAATATAGAAAACATGCTTTTAAAGAATAACGCAACAAGAGTCCTTGTCAGGGCTGCTCGAATTTTGTTGTCTAAGTTTTCTATCACGGATCTGGCGCATCAAGATAGTATAAACCTGCTCGACGTTCTGTCGTGTCTTGGCGGATGTTTCGATGTAGGGGCAACGCCATTCGTTCGCCAAGGCCGATGCTTCGCTGTTTTCGACCTTTCTTAAATGTGCCAAATCGACTTTGTTGCCAACAAGAATGAATGGTACCTGATTAAAATGTGTATGTATAAGTGTTGAGTATAAAGAAGGCGTATATACATCTTTCCTCTCTTATACCCGCAACTTACCGTCTCATCATCGAGCACACGAAGAATCTGGTCACGGAATTCCTGTGTATGTTCCAAAGACTCATGTTCACACACCGAAAATACACACAAGAAGCCTTCGCCCGATCGATAATAGTTATCACGAATCTAACAGACCCCAAATTTGAATGGTTCATATAAGCTACAGTAGCTATAACTACAATCCCATTTCATCTCGTAGCAGCAGCAGCAGCGGCAGCAGCAGTTGCCGTGGTAAGAGTAAGGGACAACCAAACCCACCCCTCCCATCAACAGGTAAACTCCTTCCTTTCGCCCTGGAATCCCCCTTTTAGCGTGTAGTTTGCTAAAAATAAACTTACAGCAGCGTATTCTTCTTGGCCAGCAGTGTCGAGAATATCAATCTGGCACTCTTGGTTATCGAGCACAACTTTCTTTCGATATGCTACAGTGATTCATGAACGTTAATGACCTTTCCATGTTCAAGCCAGAGAAATATAGAAAAACACATTCGTTTGCTCCGGTCGAGTGTTTAAAAGGTAACTTACAATCGGCTTTGGTTGGATCGTATTCTTCTACGAAATCGCCATACATGTACTGCAAGGTCAAAGCTGATTTACCAACACCGCCAGAACCGACCATGATGACTTTATGTAATGGTAATGTCTGTTTCGTTTTACTTTTGGCCATGGCTGTAGTTGTTGTCTTGCGTTTGTACGATTTGGCTATGTGGTAAAATGAGTATAATTAATATGTAAGGTGTGTGTGTGTGTGTGTTTCAAAAAGAGGAAAGAGGTAAAGAGAAATGTGTAGTACAACAGAAAGGGCAGCAATTATAAACTCTCCTCAATAACCGACGAGAAACAAAGAACGAAAAAGACTTGTGTCACCCGCAACACCTTATTTTTATTTTCAAAACTTAACAAATTACACATTGTTCATCTGGTACACTGCTACTGTTCTTGCGAAAAGCTCTTCCATTTCCTGTTCGCCGTTTGCTCTCCACGTTGTCTTCCGGCGATCGCTGCATATTAGCAATGGTGTGCGACAACAGCGCTGGGTTTTCACTTAATGCCTTGATTTCATGTGCAGTCAGCCCTAATGCTTGTGCATACTTTTGGATATTGGCCGCCTGTGGATGATCAGAATTGATCCCGCAGCTTATTGTGCGTGCAAATTCCGGTTCGATCTGTGGCATCGTTCGTGATTCTACTGATCGCTCCCCTTGGTGGTTATAGACCTTTGCCGAGAAAACCCACTAGCACGGATTCATAATAGCTATATGTTAGCAAAAGAACTCGTTATTGCTACCTTTTATACTCTGGTGGGAAAACTTACGTCATAGGATGGTTGTTGATTGTTCACTTTGGGTGGACAAGAGAATGCTTTAGATTTACAATGCTCGTGACACATGAGTGAACAGACCTCACAGAAAGTGACTTGATCATCGATGGTTCCACCGCATACTTTGCATCCGGCAGCTAAATTTGTATAATGCACATGTAAGCTTCTTTCCTGCACGTAACTCTATTCTTTATAAAAAAAAGAAGGAGACTACATGCCGCTATTGGGCAGACATCAGCTACTTACTTTTACCAAAGGATGTGACAATAAATCGATGCTGCCCTGGGCAATGTGAATCAGATTCGTCGCAACGGCCGCCGTCCTCTAATGTGATTCGTCGGCTGTGATTATGGCTTTCTGAACCAGCTTCGTATGGATGATGTTCGTCAGGCATGATATTGTAATATATGCGTGGATATTGCAAGTTCCTTTCATTCTCAATTATTAATGGCTCTTCTATTGGATATAGAAAAAAAGAGCAATGAAATGCGATAATAACGGTGTGAATATTATACCGTGCGATAGCCTGGAGAACTTTCTATAAACATTTGTACCAGTAGATACTGCTGCTGCTGATGATTTCCTAATTAAAGGAGAAGAGCAATGTGCTGAAGATGAAGAGGAGGATGTTGATGGCTGCGACGATGGCGACGATGTGGATGATGCAGAAGAAGGAAAAGATACAAAAGATGACGAAGGCGCCACTGCGGAGGATTTATCGGATACTAATGAAGGACATTGCTGCTTATGTTTAAGAATCCATGGATGCTGCTTGAGTTTTGTTGCACTAGGCCGATGGTCTGGATCTTTTTGAAAGCAGCTCAACAAAAAGTCTCGCATTTCGGCCGAGATGCTCTCCGGTAAAGGTGGATAATCGTCTTCAACAATGCGGAACATGGCTGACATAGCAATCATATTTGCATATGGGGGTTTGCCCGTCGCCAGCTCAATTAATGTGCATCCAAGTGACCTACAAAGCAATAATTTGCTTAGAAACCAATTTTTCGGCAGAACAGAAAATCATAGAGTTGCGAAAGTCACGAAGCAAATTTTAAAAAAAAAAGATAGAGGGAGAGACGTGTGCTTTCTTACCAGATGTCCGATTTGGGCGTCGTTCCTTTCAGCTCAATGACCTCAGGTGCCACTGTGGAAATAGAAAAAGAAATATCTTAGAACCCTCACAAACATGCGAAAATTACAGCAGCAGCGGCAACGACTGCTTGAATAGCAAGCTACTATGTAACACGGAAATGCAAGCTTACTCCAGTTGGGGGTCCCGGAAATGGCACCATCATCAATGTTTTCCTTGATTTTTAAGTTCAACGAAACACCAAAATCAGATAGTTTGACATCGCCAGTTTTCGTGGTAAGGATGTTGGCAGCTTTGAGATCACAATGGACAACCTAGGAAGGAACATAACTCATGATATGAGGAGTTTATCCATGAAAAGGAACATAGTCCTTGCTTTCTTTCGGCGAGTGCACATACCGAGTTTGCATGAAGATATTCGAGTCCATTTAGTAACTTAACACAAAATGAAGCTACGAGTTTCTCGGGAAATGCGCCGAAGGCCTTTAATGTCGACATGAGAGATCCATTTTCTGCGTATCTATAAGTGTCAAGCATTGTTGTATTTCCCATTAGTACGTGTGACATTCCAGGTAATATAAAAGAGGGACTTACTCGAGTACTATGTTGATATGGTTTTTACTTCGAATGAAGCCGAGGTAACTGATGACGTTTGTATGTGACAGCGTACGCAACAATGCGACTTCTTTCTACATTTACCATTAAATACATGATATTCTGAATAGTAAGGGTCTTGATCTCGACCAATAAAAGGAACTGCTATATCATGATAGGGAAGGTGGAATAACAGATTATGCGAACCACCACTACTTACCATGATCTCTTGATCGAGCATACCGTCTTCACCAACTTTAAGTCGCTTCACCGCCACAATTTCTCCGGTAGCCAAGTCAAGTGCTCTGATATGTGATATATATATATGTATATATTAATGGAAAGGTCAATCCGACGTGGTCTTAATTTATACATAATGCACGAACGGAATATGTATCTCGTTTTTGTATATAAGCTTACTTGTATACCGAACCGAACTGGCCTTTGCCGATACAATTACCCAATTGCTAATTAATGGTGCAGCATGATGTACTGTTGTTAGCACTGACGCAAATATACGCATGAAAGGGACAAACAGATATTGACTTGCACGTAGTCCTCCTTTTTCCCTTGCAGCAAGAAAACAATGACAACGACGTAGTAGTGCTCATTCAAAGCCAAAAGAGAAAAGACATTGACTTACAAACTGGGAACTGGGCGCACCATCTCTGCTTTTGAGTGAAAGCGTTTCACGTTCAATTTCCTTCTTATGACCTTCCTCCTCCTCCTTGAGGGAATCGAGTATAATCTGATGGTCCAATTTAGTCGCCTGATGTTGGTGCTGGTGCTGGTGGTATTCGTTACTGCTATTTGTTGTTGATGAAGATTCAATTGAAGGAGAGCGTGACATGCTCACTGTGCATTGTTGCTGGATAATCGACGCTGCTTCATCCTCTTCGTCTTCTCGCTGACGCAAGCTGATGGTGGGTGCAGAGGGACGTCGTCGGTCATAATTGTAGTTTACGGGAGCTCCATCAGCCGCAATAGACGGTGGCTCCAGCCTGATATAGTGGCTTTGTCGATTGCTCATGGAGGACATCTTTGTTCTCCGTCCTCCTGTTGTCGCTGCTCCTCCGCGGTGCCTCGTCCGTAACGGTGATTTGGGTGGCCGATGTGTTTGATGTCCGGATGATAACGATGGTTGTATATCTATCACTGGAAATTGATATTCTGGTTGATGGGAGTGTGCACGCTCATGTCTTGCAGAATAAGAAAAGGCTGAAGCTGGACCAAAGATATCACGGACGTCCCGATAGTCCGAACAAGTAGGAGAGACTCCCAGGAGGTCGTCATTCTTATCATGCTCGTGTACCCCTTGCTGGTGATGCTGCCGAGCTATATGCTGCTGCTCTTCATTACTATCATGTTGCTGCCCCTTGTTTTTGACTGCCTCCTTGACGCAAAAGTGCTCCTTGTCCACTGTGGACGACGACGATGATGTTGATGAATATAGGCGTGCAAGCGTCAATATTGTGTGTAATACCTATTTTTTGTGATTATGGTTGTTATTTTCGGTCAAAGGAGAAAGCAACAATTTTAAAACTTGTTTTGAATACTTTTTTGCAGTAATGGCGATCCTTTGTTCATCCATCCTCCACCTTTTCATTTCTCCCAGTTATTCTTCTATAGCGTCCTCATCATTTGCCTTATATTACTGGAACAGAAGGAAAATGACATTATGATCAACTTACTGATGTGATATTTTTGCCTTCAAATAAATCGACGGCTTCAAATAACTGTGATTCGTCCAAACCCAGCTACAGGAAAAGAGAAAAGAGAAAATTACATCATACACTCAAACGAGCAAGCTAATAGTGTTCGTGCCCTCTCCCTTTTTCCATCATTTCAAACCTGTCGAGCACCTTGTAGAAACCGTGCAATATTATCAATCTATCATTCCAGAAAAGTACATGGATATTAACTTGACTGAAATCAAAGGACTGATGATACTGGATGAAGTATCTTTTAGCTGATTGCTCTGGGTTATTACTGAGGTGATTTACTTTGACAAAAGATAGGTCCTTTTGGCCAATGTTTTTTATGGTTCCTGGTCGGATGATGTTGACGAGTCTGTAAGATTCCGATTACAACGAGAATAATAATCAGTCATTATTTTCATGCGATCTCTACATGTAAATTGTTTTTTTTGATATCTCAGCCTATCGTAGAGCAATTTTGATTTTGTTATTTACTTGCAAAGAATAATGCCATCTTTGAGGGCGTGTTGTAGCTCGTCGATAGATGCGATTTGTACGTCTCCAACATTCCGATTCAGAAATTCGATGATATACAGCTGCTCGTCCTGCGGAAGCTCTTCCAATACTCTTTTGACTAGTACATTTGGGTTTTTGGTGGTATTGGCATTCGGAAATGCTTGTGATGCTGCTGTTGATATCATCATCTTTGCGCTAAAAATATAACTATATTGACGATCACAACCTGCAAATAAGTAAAAGGTTATATAGCACGAGAGCTACAAAAGAGCAAGAGTAAAGAAAACAAAGAAAGAATGAAAAAGAAGAGGGTGGAGAAAAAAGGATGAGAAAAGGGTTGTCAATGGATCATATTATATAATACAATCTAGTTTCTTTTTTTCATCTCCTTTTTCAACCGCTTGATATTAACAGTGGTTTACTTATCGTAGAGAAAGTGACAAGTAAGAGGAGGGAGATAAGGAGTAGTAGTAGCACTATTGGTAACGGTAGCTACTTATTATTATGTACGAAATATTTTTATGATATTACATTGCAAAAAAGCAACAAAAGTCATCATTCGCGAAGTGATAGTTGTAATAGAAAAACTCGCTTGAATCCTAGTACTTAACCTTAGTACATAGCAGCAATCATACTATATTATACTAGATAAACTTGGCTTCAAGGGGAGAACCATCATTTTGACTGAATCTTTAGTAGCCTCTTTAGGTGAGGTGCAAGACAATAAATGCTTATCCAACAATAATGGAGCTATAAGTAAATAAGGAGTGTGTGGGGGAAACTGGTGGTGGTGCTTCAAATTTTATACTTGTAACCCTTGGCTATATAAGTAAAGTCGTTATGTAGTGTGCTCAATTGCAATGTAAGGGTGAATTAAGGTAGTCGAAAGAGGAGAGAAACAACTCTATGATATAATTCACAACTAATATAACCGCGCCACTGACAACATTTCCCCGTGATTTCCAAAAGAACAAAATCAATACTGCCATGAAAAATTGACATGATTTTCCGTTCGTGATGCTATTCTTTGCCTTGTGAATAACCGTAAATAATGGGATTATGTACATTTTATACTCCTTTTTTTTACGCAAAACGCTATGGCACTACTGACAGAAGAGTATGAGCCAAATGCACAATGTGTCCAATATGCGATGACGATGTAGGTGACGCATTGTATTGGTATCTCTTTTTACTTTGGTCATCTTGGAGGTTTGCTGTTATTTTCTATTACGGAATTGATATCAAGTAATAGCAATACAGTCAACCCCGACTTTTTGCAGCCATAGGATTTTGGCTAATTAGGCTGCGAAATACGAAAGTGATAACTAGAGGAAAAGGTATAGCCGTGAGCTCTCATTGATTATACGCCAATGAAGGACAAACAGTCTCTATACCTCAGTGTAAGTATTTTATATATACTTAATCTTTTGATATCTAAAATACAGTATAGTAAAGGAGACCATTTGCAGCTGCCTCTAAAACCAATATTCTGCAAGGCATAATGGCAAGACGCAACACAACAAGTGATGAAATGGTCAATGCTTTCAAGGAGGCTATAAAGCAGATTACAACAGATATAGAGGAGATATACGGCTTTGATATTCTCAATAATACGATGTTTACTGCTGAAGTGCTGATCTTCCAGAGGGGTGATGGCTGCTGTGCATCCAAAATTGACCGACGATGAAGAAACTGTTCAAGTTGTAATGAATGATGAAAAGCTACAACAGACTGTAATTGCTGAGGTTAATATGAAACACATGTGAATCGAACGCCAAAAAACCACCCCTTCCTTCATATACAGTAGTGCACGTGAAAACGCTGATCTGATGCAAAACAGTCATTGGCTTTTTGACTGAGGTTAATACATAGATGAGCTACGTAAAATCAACGACACTTATTGCATTTAGAGCTACTTAAGACAACCACAGCTGACAACTTTTTACAATAATTACTATATTATGACGATGTATCAAGAAGTTTGTAAAGGTCTCAGCTTACGGAATAATAAACTGTTTCTCGTTCATGCATCATTTAACCGTATAGAAACTTGCATACAGTAATCCGATTTCAGAACAGTCGCAGTCCTCTAAGTATGTATTCACACGTTTCTAATAAGCTCCTTTGAGATCACTTAATGTCTTAGGAACATGACGCGATGACAGCAGGTGAAGAAATCGCTGCGAGGGTCGTTTATTAGCCAATGCTTTTGTTATAACATCACCTACCTATGGTGTAAATTTTGTATGGTGGATTTCAAATAGTCAATTAACATAAGCATAATGTTATAATATAAATCAATTGTATTTCAAGGACTTATGGTTGAGTTAATAGCTAAAATGTAATCTATGATGTACGTATCTATGGCAACTTCGTCTCAAGCAGCTTTTACTTGCCTAATTAGGAAAACCGGAGTTGGGGAAGGTACCACCTATACTCTTAATCGCCTTCTTGAAAGTGATCCAATCCTCTACAAAGCCCAATATGGCTCCATTCTACGCGGTAAAACCGGATAACGCTCTCAAGCGAGCTGAAGGTAATGGATGGGATAGATGGATGAACGAACCTAAAGGATTGATAGATGGATGGATCGTTAAAATTCGCGTATGTGTGTATATGTAGAGTTGTGCGCTTCAGGCCAAGATGCCGTAGCATTGCAGACCCTTCATGAAGTTGTCCTGTCGAAGCGTTCCCGCAGCTATGCGCTCAACATTATGGAGCCCATCATGCTCAAATACATTGAGCTTTGCGTCACGTTGCGCAAGGGCAAGATGGTGAAGGAAGGTCTTCATCAGTACCGTAACATTGCCCAAAACACCAGCGTCAGCAGCATCGAGGTTCGCATCTGTTTTATCAATTTTTCTTATAAATTCAGATGGTGCCCGCCCATCTACGGCGTTTACGAATCGAAACCGCTACGACAAACCAGAACGAAATACTAAAACGCGCGCGATGATACTTTTTTACGTTGTAAAACTTATTATATAGGCTATCATCAACAAGCTTCTCGAATTATCTGAACAAAAGGTCGCCGAGGCCCGTGCCAAGGCCGATCAGATTGCTGTTGAATATATTGACGATCTCGAAGCATCCGAAACGCCCGAATCGATCATGCTCAGCACCGTCAGCGGTGAACAGACCAAAGATAGAACCGATCGCGCTGTGGTCACGCCTTGGTTGAAGTTCTTGTGGGAAGCATACCGCACGGTTTTAGATATGCTTCGCAACAACGCACGTTTGGAAACGCTGTATCACTCTGTCACCGGCAAGGCGTTTGCATTCTGTTTGACGTACGCTCGCAAGACGGAATTCCGCCGTCTTTGCGAAATTCTGCGCAACCATTTCCAAAACATGTCGAAATACTCGCACCAGCCCCATTCGATCAACCTGAACGACCCGGAGACGTTGCAGCAGTACCTCGATGCTCGTTTCATCCAATTGAACGCTGCTGCTGAACTCGAGTTGTGGCAGGAGGCATTCAAGTCGGTTGAGGATATTCACACCTTGTTGACCACGTCCAAACGTCCTCCTAAGCCCGTTATGATGGCGAACTATTACGAAAAGCTGACCAAGATCTTCATGGTCGGCGAGGATTATTTATTCCACTCGGCTGCATGGAACCGCTATTCAAGCATCGAACGTATGATCAACAAGAACTTGACCGACGAAGAACAGTCGCGCATGGCTTCGGTTGTCTTGCTCTCGGCTCTTGCCATCCCTATCATCACTACCACAAAGACCCGTCCTGGCTACGTTGAAGCCAACGAGCATCGCATCCAGAAATTGAACCGTTTGTCGATGCTCATGGGTCTGTATCAGCACCCTACCCGTACTGGTCTGCTCAAGGAAGCTCTCAACAAGAACATCTTGTCGCGCGTCCGTCCTGAAATCCGTGATCTGTACAACATTCTCGAAGTCCAGTTCCACCCCTTGTCGATCTGCCGCAAGATCAATCCCATCATGACCAAGCTGTCCGAAGATCCCGACATGGCCAAATACGTCCGCCCTCTTCACCAAGTCATTCTCACCCGTCTTTTGCAACAGCTGTCGCAGGTCTACACCACCGTCAAGCTCGACTTTGTCTTAAAGTTGGCATCGTTCCCTGAACCCTACAACTATGACGCCGCTACGATTGAAAAGTTCATCATGAACGGCTGCAAGCGTGGCGAATTGAACATCCGTATCGACCATTCCTCCCAGAGTTTGATGTTTGAGACCGACTTGTTCGCACCACCCAAAGACACTGTCACTGAAGGCATTCAACTCCAGTCGTCGCCTGCCGATCTCATGCGCACTCAGCTGTCGCGTCTTGGTAACAGCTTGCATGCCGTTGCTCAAATGATTGATCCCTCGGTCAAGGCCAGCGCTGCCGATGCCAAGAAGGAGGCTCTCGAACGCGCCGTCAAGGGCATCGAAAAGGAACACAAGGCTACTTTGCAGCGCAAGGCTACCATCGAACACCGCAAAGAGATTATCGAGACGGAATTGTCTCGCAAAGAGAAATTGGCTGCCCAAGAAAAGGCTGTTGCTGCTGCAAGGAAGGCCGAAGCCGAAAAGAAACGCATGGAAGAAGAACAACGACGTCGCGAGGAAGAGCGCGTGAAGCGTGTCCAGGACGAGATCCAGCGCGATCAGGCCAAGCGTATTGCCGAAGAGATCACGGCCAAGACGGGTCTCCAGCTCAAGCCCGAAGAAATCGAAAACTCGGATGTCAAGACGCTGCTGGATTTGAAGGTATCTCGCTTGCAGACGGAGCAAAAGGAATTGAGCGATCGTTTGAAGCAGATTGGCAAGCGTTTGGATCACACCGAACGTGCCTATCGCAAGGAGGAAATCCCATTGCTCGAAAAGGATTACGAGCACCAACAAAAGGCAGATAAGGCCTTCTACGAGGCTGCTCGCAAGGCTGAGTTGGAGTCATCCAAGGCTAAGCACAAGGAGAACATGAAGATCAAGAGCCGCCTTTCACGTATTTTGGACGATTACAACACTTACAAGAATAAGCAACAAGAGAAGGTGAAAAGCGTCGTCGAGGCTAAATATCGCGCTGCTGAAGAAACCATTGAAAAAGCCAAGCAAGAACGCATTAGCCAATGGCGTGCTCAACGTGAAGAGCTTATTAAGCAACGCGAAGCCGAGGAAGCCGAGCACCAGCAACGCGAAGAAGAAGAACGACGCATCAGAGAAGCTGAAGAGCGCGAAGCTGCTGAAAAGCAAGCTCGACTTGCCAAAGAAAAGGCAGAGCGTGAAGAACACAACAGGTAAAAGAACAACAATTGAACTGCGCACAATGCTAGTACCACAAAAGACCTATTAACCAAAGAAACACGGTTGACGTTTATAGAAAACAAGAAGAGCAGTTGCGCAAGCAGCAACAGCGCGAGCGCGAGATTGAAGAGAAGCTTGCCCAAAAACGCGCCGCTCCTGCAACACCTCCCGCTCCTGCTCCTGCTCCTGCTCCTGCTCACAGTGGCAGCAGCGGTGGTAGTGCCTACGTGCCACCCGCCTTGCGTAAGCAACAGGCTGCTGCTCCATCGGCACCTGCTGAAGATAACTGGCGTGGTGGTGGTCGGGCCCTTGGTTCATCGTTTGGTCGTGACCGTGGCGACCGTGACCGTAGTGACCGTAGTGACCGCGAACGTCGTCCTGGTGGCGGTGATCGCGAAGGTAGTTGGTCGCGACGTGGTCCTCCTCCCCCTCGTGAAGAGAGCAGCGGCGGTGATCGCGAAGGTAGCTGGTCGCGACGTGGTCCTCCTCCCCCTCGTGAAGAGAGCAGCGGCGGTGATCGCGAAGGTAGCTGGTCGCGACGTGGTCCTCCCCCGCCTCGTGAAGAGAGCAGCGGCGGCGGCTCACAACCATGGCGCCCACGCAACCGTGCTCCAGGCGGCGGCTCAACCGATGAAAATGGCTGGAGAAAGGTTGGCAAATAAGTAGCTCCCCGTTTTTATAAATCTCTGTTTCCGTTATCACTACCCTCCGAAATTTACGCCGACCATCATCACTATTATCACACCCTCCCTGTCTCCCCACAACACCACAATAGTCTACTCGAAACGCAACATTACTCTTAAGGAAAAGTTACTCTCCCACTCATTTACTCCGTTATCCTACGCTTTTGGTTGGAAATCATCTTCTTTTTGTCCGATTATTTTGAAGTAAAACAGATGAGAGAGAACGAAGAAAGCATCTCCCTCGTATATATATTCTTTTATGGGAGGAGAAAAATTATGATGACGGTGTGTTTGTAAAAGTGTTGTAATATATGTTGCATTGGTAGAGAAATAAACGAAACAGAGAGACATGATTGAAGAAGAAGAGGAAGAATGCCAGCGACTAGCAGCCGCCAATTTGCTCCACCATCACGTCGATCGTATCGCCATCGTCCATGTCCAGCTATCCGTAGTCAAAATATACAAAGTGTTGTTAGTCGTCACTCTATCAAATCTTTGCCCTCCGCCTTGTAGTTCCGTTCTCGCCATCACCATTTCCACACTATCCACACCTGGTACGTTTCCAACAAATGTTGCTAGTGCACTAACTCCCAGCAATAACCAATACTTACACCTTGTGGCGTGTCAGTGGCCAACACACGATGACCATCATATAAGAATCGAACAGATCCTGGAGATTTGCCTTGACGTTCACAGTAAGCATCCATCAGTTTTCGCAAAGGGGTCGATTGCTTAATCTTGAAAAAAACTTCATTGTTGTCCTATCAAAATAGATATTTACACAATGAACAATTCAATATCACGCTTTTTTTTCTCTCTCTGTCGTTCTCTGAGATTGTATATAAAGGCTGCATTCACAAATTGATGTTGAACACTAATCTTTACGACGAGAATTTCTTTGGAAACTTACACCACCAACGACTTTAATGTTGATATGCTCGCTTCCACTGGTGGGCTCTTTCTTGTCGACTTTCTTTTCGGCATCCATGTTTCAAAATAACGAATTAAATTTGAGAGAGGTTGAAAAAGAAAAACTGAATCTTTGTAGCGTGTGTCGTTCTTACTCTGCAAAACTTTGAAATATACACTCCGACAGTGAAGGAAGCGCTGCGCATTTTCGAGCACTATCACTCTTACCATAACTAAAACATTTCGCATACCAAAATAATGGACGATGACGAATTGGCAAAACGCGTGGCTCAATTAAAGGGCGAAAATAAAGTACAAGAAACGTATGACTATCATTCCTTACAATTATACTAGTTTAGTGCTACAGCGGGCCTAACTTGATTAGTGATGAAGAACTTGCACAGCGGTTTGAAAAGGTGTTTCCATTGCAACCTACTACTGGCATTAGCATTGACAAAGGTAACAGCAGCAACAAGTATACTGTTCCAACAGATGCAGATATGGACGAGGTATTACAAAGTTTTTGAGTAATGGTATTTTGACCTGATAAAAGTTAAGTAACCATTTGTTTCTAAGGTTGAGAAGCTTTTGCAGGAAGTCGACCTATTAAACAGCGACGATGAGGACGATGGCAATTACGGTGTTGACTGTGATGATCGAATAAAGTCTGTACAAAAGGCTTTTCTCAGAGGAGAAGATGAAGTAGCAATGTATGATGAAAGTAACGAGCTACTCAAACAAGTTCAGGATCAAGTAACGGTGGAGAAGAAATATGCACATTTGGATAAACAACGTGATCTCGACTTGGAGCAGCGATATCTTGCCTTTAAACAAGACCGACCATTGTTTAGTACGGCAACACCCTCCTCATCACCTGCTTCCTCTTCAACGTCACCACTAACTGCCACGACAACCGGTGCAAAACTGCCTGGCCCACCACCGAAGCCTATCCAAGACGATGAATTTCATGATGAAATGGACGACTGGTGCGTTATCTGCAACGAAGACGCCACCATTGAATGCAAAGGGTGCGAGAATGACAGATTTTGCGATCGCTGTTTCTACGACGGACACAAGAGTGAATTGGCTGATTATGAAGCCATGAAACACAAGTGGCGACGAATAACAACATAGTTACTAACTAGTGGTAATACGTATTATAGCATTATTTTACAAAATAAAATAAGAAATATCCTTTTTTTTTATTCTGATGATGCCTTGTAGCTATAATCCCATCCTTGGTTTGATGGTGTTTCAGTGGGAATCTTGGATTGTTTAGGATAGGTGATATGCCGGCTCTTTACAATGGCGCCCTTGAACAACCGATCGCTGGTCTTTTCGAGTTCGCTCATGGCTGCATGCACGGATCGGAATTGTCGTTCCAAGGTCTGTTGTCGCTGTTCACGTTGACGCATTTTGTGTAGTTTCCATGCACGTTCGATCGTTTCGTGTTGTTCCAGGGCTTCGCCTTCAAGTTTAATGGTAGGTTCGCGGTTTGGTGATTCAAAAAGGACTCGTCGAATAAGTTCCATACGGGAATCGCCACTGGCGGCATTCGTGTCTGGGCGGCCACCGGTACTGGCATGGCGTACCTGTCGTCGGGCTAAACTAGCGCATTGTTGACGTGCAATGGAAAGCATCTGTGTACGTGAATAAGCTGTGTGTATAGGTGAAGGGGCGAGAGGACGGTATTATGTATATACAAATGAAGTGTGTTTGGCGGGACGAAGAAAGTATACCCTGAACCTTGCACACCTTTCAAAATTGGAACAGCGGGGCAAAATCGCTCACACAAGCCACATTAATCGACAGGGCCGTCAATGCTATCATCGATTCTTTTACGGTGCACGAACTGGGATACGTTTCAATACAATGAAACCTGAAGTTAGTAGAGAATACTTGGAACCTTCCTTCCGTATCATCTTTAAATTAATGAAATATGCTCTGTTCAATGTAAGTATCCGTGTAGCACGGTGGGAAGACGGTGCCAGTCTATTATGTGTGTATTATTCGCTTCTTGCTAATACAATCTTTAAAATCGATGGATCAAAACATATTTAGACTGTTTGGAAGTGAAATAATAAATCCAAGATGTTATATAATCTATAGAGAAGCATAATATAAATCTTTAATAGCATTTGTGTTCAATGCCGTAAAAAATGAAGATAATTATATTTTACATGGTACTCATAGTAATACATTAGCAGAAGAAAAGGAGAAGAAATGATAATAATACACAGAGAAGATTTACTATACAGGTTATCAATTATTAAAAGTTGTAGCAGGCGTAGTAGAAGCAACATTAGCGACGTTGTTGTTGTTGTTGGAGGTAGTAATAGTAGTAGCAGGGACAGTATTGGTAGGAGAAGAAGAGGATGGGCGTGACGGATCATCGCTGTCGTCAGCATCATTATTAGGACGATAAGCTGGAGGTGCCGTTTCGTGATAATCGGGAGGAGGAACAGAAGCAATCATGGCGCCAGCAGCACTAGCACTATTATTAGCACTGCCACGAGCTATAGCACCGCTGCCACCAGCATCTGCCAAGTCCATCTCTCGTAGCTGTATTACTGTATCCTGTATGGGCGTGCCAATATCCAATACGATATCTCTTGTTGCATCGCCATAACTTGGCAGCGCTTCACCCATTTCTCTGTTTAGATCCATTTCCGGGTCAATCTGGATCGCCTCTACAACCAAGCTAACCGTCCAACTTGACAAAGGTCGGCTCAAGTTGAGCAGTTGTGCCGTATCCCCTTCTCGTAATCGTCGATAATCCCATTTCACATGATGCGTGAGATCTTGTGCAGTCATGTCTTTGAGACATAAATGCAGTACATCCTGGAACTATATTTTTTCGTCAATAAATGATCAGTGAGATGATCATTCGTTATCACTGTCTGTATATATAGTTGTCACAGAAGTCATACACACATCCCCCGTAGAGGGAGAGTGTAAAATGATTGATGAGAGGGGGAAGATAAAGATTCGGTATCATTACTTACAGCCAAAAATCTACGTTGATGCTGACTACGGCGGCGTGTCGTGCCATAAGCAAGGACAGCGGGTGCGATCAAAATCAAGAGAGGAAACCAAATAACTATATCAAGGGTGCGTCCGAGGATAGCAAGAGCGGCAGTAGCAACTACCAAAACCACGGCTGCCATAAACATGTATGTTTCGGGATAAATATGGGGGTATCTCTCCTTGACAATCGCTCGAATTGTCGCCATGCGTTGGTCAAAGATCTCCTTTGGAAGCTACATTTTGCAATTGTTTTAGAGAAAAGCGAGCGAAAGACTATGTGTGTTCCTTTCCCTTATCTCTTGACGGTCGTTACTTCTTTATTTTTAAAAAAAAGTAGTTTACATATTCTGCCAAGTTTCCATATGCTTCATAGCCGCCCACTTGGAAGACGGATCGTTTATATCGATGGATAACGACTGGAAAAGACGCCAAAGCCATAACGACGGGGTGAGAGAGAAAAGCTCTTGCGTGCACTAGACGCGCACACACACATACACACACTTTAGACGAGCCACGCACAACCGAGAAGACGGTTTGGTTTGTTATCGTCTTGAAAGGACTTGGTGAGGAAGGGTGTATGGACCCTACTTTTCTAGTGTCGTCGTGTCGTAAAACTAGATAAAAAAAGAAAACCGAGAAGGAAAAGCTTTCGGAACTTTTTTTCTGTGGGAGAGAGTAGAGTGCAGAGCAATAGAGAGAGTGTGTGTGTGTGCACAGTAGGCAGGGCGTACAACAATGCGTGATGTATGTAATCTACATATTGTGCCTGTTGAGAGAGACTGAGAGAAGAGCCAAGAGAAAGAGTGTTTGGTTCAAGTCTCAATCAAACAATACCCACTGACTACTAGCACTTCCACGGCTACTCAAAACTAGTAAAGCTATCACCACTTCAAGCTTGCCCTTTTCTCTCTCTTCCTTTCTTCTCTTTTCCATTCCTTTCATAGCCAGTTAAGAGTTCAAGACAGAATAACCAGTATGCATCAGCACCGATTCTCGTATCTCTCGTGCGAAACCGACGACAGCGAAAGCCTAGCAACACCACTGGACGCATCCCCTTATCTACCGCTTGCCACACACGTTATTACCGTGGTGCCCAACGAGTCGCTGACTGATCGACCCCACATTCCCACCATTGCAACTAATCGTCGACGACACCCTTCTTATTCTTCTACTACTGAGACTGAACAACGACGACGGCGACAACAACAGCGGCGTCACTTGGAGCAATCAAGTACCGTTGCTATGTTACAACAACCACTACAACGTCGTCGCTCGTGGTCACTATCATCGTCGTTACCCTCGTCACCAAGTAACCTGTGGCCACGATTGAAACAAATGGTTTCCCGTTTCCATATGCATAGCAGCAGTAGTACCGATAGTGATAATAAACCAGTCAAGAAACAGCAGCATGATAAAGACGCCGACAATCATATCGAGCAGCAAGACGACTTGTCAAGTCAGCTATCGGCGCTCAAAATATCACCCAAAGCGGAGGATAACAAAAGGAGGCTGTGGTTGTTTGACAAGAAGCAGAAAAAGACTCGCATTCAGCCTTCGTGAAACACACTACCAATTATATACGAATAATCGCAACATTTTATTTTAATTTGCATAAAGTAAATCTGTGTTTGCCATCAATTGTATTTTCGGTGCTCGTTTAGTATGTTACCTGCTGCTATGTGTTCTCTGTTATGCTTACCAAAGTTTGACCAAACCAAAGAGCAAAAGCAAAAAGGCATACAGTAGTTGTAATTGAAAACAATGAATTACAAACATATTATATAATATTAGTCTAGAAACTAGAAGCACAGCATCCTCGATTGCCACAACCATCGTTTTACGACGTGCGCTCTTTGCACATGCTTCTCTGACAATGCTGTCAGTATAAATGATTTGGTTTTTGCTGCATACCATACTCTCAATGTCCACCACACAACAGTAATAATATATTAAAGTTAAAGTTGTTGTCATTTTCTTGTTAATTGTAGAATGAATACAAGATGTTTATGGATCTTGCAGACGGGAACGCGTAAGAAACGATTGGGAATACGGTAACTCACGAACTTAATGTCCGCTTAAATGCATTTCCGATGCAATGTTCACACTAAAGAAGACGGCGGTTTCGGGTGTTGGCGGACGTTCTCAATAGCGGCTTACCATTTCGCGACTTGTGGGTAAATATGTCCTAGCGACGACAAACCATTACAAACCCTAATGCTTGGCAACAAGACAAATAAAGAACAAACTTAGAGAGATATTGCGATTCTATTTTGAAGTTTTATATATTTCAAAGAGGGCATTAAAGAAAAATAGGAGGAAGGAAATGAATTAGATGCACGAACAGCACGCAAACTGTTGTATAGAAAATAATTTTATACTAGTGATAATTGTGATAGTGATGAGAGGATAAAGGGGAAGGTTATGTTAGAGAAAGAGGGAAGCAGCAATAACTCGCTTAATAAAAATATAGGAGCTACTCTTCAATACGAAAAGAGTCCAGGAAAGGCTCCTTATTGCTAAAAATTTTTACTTTTCGGACATACGAATCATTCGACCACCAAATCCAAGCCAGTCCACCTAGTCAGCTAGTAACCCACTTACTATGTCCAGTCTTAGCCCAGCTTAGCCCAGCTGACGGTTGTATACGAGCTATCACCATCATCTCAGATAGATGATCCCCTCCCCCCGTCAAGCTATCACTAACTTGTTCTGATTTTTTATAGTAGGTTCACGTTGTCTGCAATATTATTTTGACATTACCCGGCGTGATATCCCCTTGATCTCCCACTTGTTTCTCTCTAGAAAAAATGCATGACAATCTTACATTTTTGAATTCTTTTACTCTCTTTTTCTCTTTTACACTTTCTGTCCCCGTGTGCGAGTAAAAAAAAAAGTAAGGGTTCAACAGCCCATCTTTCTCTTTTTTTCTTCTTCCTCTTCTTTCTTTTTTGCTAATATTACTTATCATTACCGCTATTACTGCTATTCCCTACCATAGTATTTTCCCTCTTTTCCTCTCTTTTTTCCATTCTCTTTAATTTATTCGTTATTCGAGTGCTCCAATGATATTATTAGCGCTTTTGCTGCTGACGACGGCGCTCATACCATGTGTATTTGCAGGTAAGTTATAAACTTGCATCATTAAAACATCCGCAACAATTATGTGCTGATAAAGGCCGAAATAAGGTCCCAGTGCTGCAGAAGAAGCATCGGGCACACCGCCTTATATTATTGCAGTTGCCATTATCATACCGTTGCTGTTCGTACCTATTGCCCTCTTCTTTATTATTCGAGTCCGTCGTCGACGTAATGTTTCGAGAAAGCGCACAAGCAAACCAGCTACAACCAACACAACCGGCACAACAGACCCATACACTTCTGCAACAACCGAGGAGAAAAAGATTGACACCAACATTCATAACCATCACCACGAGTCCATTGATATCGACCGCTGCTGCTCTGAAGAATCGTGCGATCCACCTCCACCGTTATCACCTCCAACAAAGTACGAGGACTTCAAAATCATGTTACCCATTCCACCAGCATCAACGTCGCTGTTTTCCGACAAGTTAGAGCTAAGCTCAGACGAGGCTACGGAGCTCTACAGAAAGTACATGAATGGGGACGGCAAGTTCGTCTCAATCGATCAACAAACGACAACTGGCACACAACGAAACCGGTTCTCAACCATGATGCAGCAAAAGACGGCCACCATTCGTAGCACACTGCGTCAGTCAATACGACGTCAACGGTCAACGAAACAAATGTCGTCGTCTACCACACCTTTGCGAGACTTATTTGACCGACCGCCAAGCCGTCGGTCATCTGTGTCGTCCTCGAAAATTCCATTAGCAACATCGCCGAGAACTCCAGATACGCCCTTGACGCCCTTGACACCACTACCTCCACTTGCTTCACCTTCATTTGCTGAAAAAGTTGCCGTAGATGACAACTATCAGCCGGTCGACCTTCCAAAAAGTCCTCGTGGAGGAGGTGATTTTAACACTGTTGCTGCCGTCTATATACCCCCCGCTCCACCTACTCCTACACCCACGGTAGCAGCTCCTGATAACACTGCTTATTCCAATTATACTCCACCTGCTACCACTGCTGCTACGGCTGCCTCTTTTACTAATACTCCAGATACCACCACGTCCATAAAACAGCAACAGCAGGAGCCTCCAAAGCAGCAACAACAACAACAAAAACAAAAAATACATGAAGAAGAGGATGAAAAGGCGTCACGGGCAGCTGAGACAGAAGCTCGCCAAGTGATTCAATTTGCTTCGATTCGCTCCAGACGACGGTCCTTTTTGGCAGATTTGCAACGAGAAGAGGAGTCATCCCAATCCAATAACAACTTAACACCATCCTCGTCGAATTCGGACTTTTCACGTAGTAGCCCAAGCGTACAGGATATCATTAGCTGGTGGCAGAAAGGATCTTCAGTCAAGAGCAGTCAAAGTAACAATTCGATAACCCCGTCGGTAGCAGTTGCTGCGACTACGACAAGTACTTCTCAGCAGCAAGAACAACAACAATCACGACAACAACAGCCGACAGAACCATCATCGTTGTCGCCTCAGCTATCGTCACCACAGCAGCAACAACAACAACCAGCAGCAACAGTAGCAGCCCCATATTCTTCCTCTCCTTATGAATCGCAGCCTCAAGATGAAACACCAAAGCCAACACCACCAGCATCCGTTCGTGGGGTAAGCAAAGAATTTCACGTTTATTAATAAAGCTAATGTAAAAAAGGGGCTCACGGTGAGAAAGAGAATATGACACATACGATGAAAAAGATACTCATTACATATACACACACCATCAATAGCAGTCAATGGTATCACGTCAATCATCCATAATGCGACCCGCCAGTAGTCTCTTTTCAGGCACTAATGGATCACCACGAGCAAGCTTAGGCAGCCTATCACGTCTATCAACGGCTGAGCGTATGATGATTATGGGCAATAGCAGTATCAGCAGTAACACGAGCAACGTTGACTCCATTCGACGCTCACTACAGGCGACATGGAGCTCGGATCATAGTAGCAACAATAGCAGTGCAAATAGTAGTATTGCCAGCCGTCATCAGCAACAACAGCCAACAACTCACAACAACTTGCTGTCCATGCGCGGTCAACAGCATTGGCAGCAACGACCTGCCATGCCAGATGGATTCATGGCGGATGAAGGACCCATGCCCACCGCGTCATTTTCGTCTTCAACAGTACAGACCATGATTCCTGAAGGTGAATACCACGAAGAAGCGGAAAAGAAACAGCAAAAACAACAAAAGACAACACACCAAGGATCATTCAGTCGAAATAATCCTATCAATCAACGCCAATCCCTTACCGTGGCTGCTACCACTGCGGCTGCTGTCAAAAAGTCAAACGCCAAATCCAATACCACTATTGCTAATGGGACTGTTGGTGGTGGCACAAGCGGAGGTACAACGTTCAGTACAATGCGTGGTGGACGGAAACAGCAACGTGGCAGCATTCCTTGGCTGCAGCAAACCAGCAGCAATAGCAGTAACAGCAAAAACAGCAAAACGCCCGCACAGCGAGAACGGGATCGCTATTTGCAGTCCTCGAATAAATAGTATACTACTTTCTCTTATCCCCCTCTACCCCTTCCTTTTTTGCAGTAGCAGCAGAGAAGTTGACATAGGACAGCAGCAACAAACAAACAGCCAATCCCTTAATATCTACACATATAATGTTTTCATTTTTTTGGAAGAAATACACGCTAGCCTTTATTTTATATATTTTAATAAGATGAAGAAATAGAATATTCTCATATATCTTCTTGTTGGTGTTACAATTGGCAGAAAATAAGGGTATTATTAATAAGACGAGAAGGAATTAGGATAGCAAGTAGTAAGGAATAAAGGGAGTGTGCACCGACAATTGGGAAGAAAGGTAACCTGCCCTTTTAGTTAGCATCCGTCGTTGCCGTTGTCCATCCCATTTCCAATTCAAATAGTATATTAAGCTTCACCCGCTTGTGCGCGCTCACGTTTTGTCTTCCTCCGTCCAAAATATCGGGATTTTTTTTTACTGGGAAGGAGCAAAAGGACATTTGCCGCCCTCACCGCTAGTAGTAGCGACTTGACCATCACCGCCCTTCTTCTTCTTGGACAACTGGCGCATCAAATCCGAGGGATCGTAGAACGTTTCCAGGTCTTCAATCTCGAACTTCTCATTGACCTTGGCGACAGTGACACCGAACGTCTCAACGACTTCGTTTGTGGCCTCGGCTTCCAGCTTTTGGCCGTTACCCAAGTTGACCTTCAAGTCACCGGTCATGGTACCCCAATGGCGCCACTTGAAGGCAACGGTAGGAGGGCCACTGTAGGCCTCAATAACTTCCCATGAGAACGTGCGAAGACAGCGCTTGAAGAGTTTGTGCGAGTCGCTAAAGTCGCTTTCGCTGGCCTTGTACAATTCGGTATCACCAATCAACGCATTGTACGTACCAATCTAATGGTGTTGTTGGTTGCACCAGCAAAAGTAAATGTTTTTGTGTGTCAACATATGAGTTACCCAAGAAAAGAAAAAATTCTTATTCAAAGCTTAAATCTTTCTTTCTCAATGTGTTCAATTTGTCAGCGTGTCACAACGCACTCTCTTACCTTGAGCATATTTTCAACAGAGTGCCATTCACCACCGTTAACAGAGAAGCGGTATTTCTCGCGGTTAATGGTGCGGATTTGGTCGGGATTGAGCTTATAAGACATTTCCTTTTCCCAGTTCTGTTGTCGTTTGTGCAGCAGAGATGTATTATTAGTTATATGCCCCAATGTTTTGCACATGTGTTTTCATATCTAGTATGTCTTTACCTTGACCAAGTTGGAGACGAGCCAGTTCAGCGAGCCTTCTTCATGATCAACAGACTTTTCTGTAGATGCAATAAAGCATTAGCACTTTTTTGTTGTAAATGATACCCAATGAATAGTAGGAAAAGAAGCCAAATGTTGTTGTTATTAGCACATTCTTACCCTTATCAAAGGCTTCATTGACCTTCTTGTAGTCGGGCAGACGGTTGTATCGCCACTCATGGTCCTTATCATTCAGGACAGCATTGGGGTCGGTCATGAAATCGGGAAGATTTGCCATTGTTAAAGAGTTGAAGAGTGGGGGTAGAAGTGAAGATAGATAGAAAGAAAGAGAGAGAGAAGTTCTGTCGGCTCGCTTTTAGTTTTCCCGGCTTTATATAGCGACAAGTGCCATAATCAGACCATTTTTCGCCCTTGTTACTTTGTAGCTTGCAATGTCTTCCGGGCAACTGTTCCTTTTTTTTTGTGACACCGACAACAGAACGGATCAGCAAGCTTAAAGACTTTATTGGTCGCTGAAAGCGCACATCAATTTAGCATTCAAGCCCCAATAGTCCAATTGAAAGCATGGAGAAGGAAGAGTAACAAATTTTTCAAACCAAGCATCTAACCAATGCTCGGGTCTGTATACTGCATGTGTGACATTGACATCCACTCCAATAGTTGTGTCGTACGAAGAAATGCTTAATATTCTGAACCCGCCAACAACAACAACAGGGCACATGTGCGTGCGCGTGTTGTATGGGGTAAAAAGACTTGCCCAGCGGAGAAGCAAACGGCCACTTTCTCGTGCATATGCCCTAAGCTCTTTATTATCCTTGACTCGGTATAAATAACAACTGCCACCATTCTGCGTGGCGTTTTTATATATTCAATACACTAACAGTTATTAAGTCAATCCTTTAGCCGCCCGTTTCCCCTTTCTCTTGTGTGCTCTGTCGTACATCCAAATCAATTCTAAATGTCAAAGAGCTTGATGAGTTTCGAAAGAAGGGGTTAAGGAGGGGGTGAGGGAGTTGAGGACATAACATAGCAATAATATGCAGGAAGGATCAAAGAATAAAAAAGAAGCTCTAACACCTTTCTTGAATCTTAATGCGCGTGTGGAGCCCAGGTTCCCGGGTTATTTTCTGTTTCACCTGTTTTCTGTTTCTTTAGCTTCAGATGGAGAGTTCCTGTCAATATAAAAAGAAACAATCACAGCCAAGCCTTGGTCCTGGTCTGGCGAGGGAAGTCTAGAGTCTGACATGGGTTGGAGAGGAGCCAAGAGTACTAGTGAAGAGAACTGTACTTTATAAAGGATGTCTTGACAGAGCTCTCCTCCCACTGCTAGAAACAATCACGTGTCAAATTATTTAGGAAGAGAACCCGCTAATACTGATATTCTCGAGCTCTTTTCTTTCTCTTTGGGAGCGGACAAATTATACCAGCACCACTAGCCCTTACTACTACCAACCACAATCACCATCAACACTACAACCGTCATTTATAGCAATACATGGGCAGAGTGGTGTTCAAAACGGTTGAGGCCGACATTGATGCTGGCACTCATGATGAACGTCTTTACGATAAAGCTCTGAATTCATGGCGCTCAAAATTACGTCGTTGGCTAATTCCGCTTGTTCGAGCCGAGACACCTTATATCGCAAAACTACAGGTAACGTTTTAACCGTTTTGCATATACATTAACTTGAGACGGCTGTGCGTGAAAAACTCATCTCGGCTTCTATTTAAATAAACAGAGCAACATTCGAACACCTGTTCTCGATCACTATTTCTTATGGACGGCCAATCTTGGAACTCACACGTTTTTCATGATCTTTTTACCCATTTTGATTTGGTTTGATTCTAGTCAAATGGCCAAAAGGTAAACATACAACACAGTTTCCAAGTAAATATGCTGAGGCCGGATCAAAGAAGAAAAATTGTTTGCTTAACATTCGAAAAAAAAAAAAACTTGTTTTTAATATGATAGCATAGCATGCATGGCAGCGTTTGGTGTTTTTACATCCGGATTTGTAAAGGTAGAAGAGAGACGCATGCTGCTCCCTTTAAAGGAGCGGGATGTGTGGGGCGCGATTGAAGTGGGAAAGAGTGTCCAACAACTGGGATCACTAAATTCTGAATTATCGAACGAAATTCACAACCAGGATCTCGTATGCCTTCCACGACCATTATCTCCGCCTGTGCACCGACTTAGCATGTCCAGCTCAACCTCTTTAGAATATGGCTTCCCATCCACCCACTCGACCAACTCAGTCTCAGCCGCACTGTTTATGATATCACTTGCATGCGAGTCACACAGTTCCGACTCGCCCCTGCGCGTAATTTGCATCATTGGCGCGTTTGTCTATGCAGCGAGCATTGTCTTTGGCAGAATCTATTGCGGAATGCATAGTCTCACAGGTAAATAGCCTGGTTCAGTATTTTTTTGTTCTTTTGGATTCCAAAGGTGGTGTGTGCAATACATAGTTTTCATGGGGTGTTGCTGCTAAAGTGCTATTATACTTACTATTGGATAGATGTGGTCGGTGGTGCCATCTTGGCCTACTTCTTGTATTGGGTCCAGTGGACATTTAGAACCGAATTCAACAGCATTTTTACAGCTGACACGGTTATACCCGGTAAGCTTTTTGGAGTTAAGATCCGAGTTTGTTATCCATTTCACTAGAGAAAACTAATCTGACTGTTTCCAATAACAGTCATTGTGGCCATCGTCATTTGTCTCTCGCTAGTTGGCCTTCAGTAAGTATACATTTCCATGGTGAGCATTTCGTGGTAGCACATTGTGTCAGTGTGTATGTACGCAAAGATAAGTATCGAGATCTAAACTCTATATTATCGTGCCTTTAGTCCTGATCCGATCGAACGATGCCCCTGTTTCGAAGACAGTGTTTGCTTTATGGGCGTATTGATTGGTGTGTTTCCCGGTGGCTGGTTATGCCATCACTCGGATTACTGCACTATGGGCCAGGAAACCCTCGCCTTGACCCAGTCCACCATGCTCGTGGCTGCTTTTGTGGTGCTGAGTAAGCTCGTTTTGGGTGTTGCCACCTTATTTATTTGGCGTATTGTGGTCAAGAAAACGTGCTATTTCATCTTACCACCTATTTACCGGGCATTTAATCTTCCACACCGCAAATTTGAAATTGGCGCTAGGTAAGAAATGATCCAACATGTTCTAGTCGACAACTTTATTCTTTTGGGTTGATATTATTGACCCGTGGCGTGTGTGTGTGATTTACAGAACATACAAAAGCTTGAATCGAGAAAGCATCCATCCTATTCCCTCTGTATTGGATCTGCGTCACCTTGCCGGAACGGTTGCCGAGGCTGAGCATGTGGGAATCCAGTCGTCCATCGATCTGCATGAAAAGGCCGTGTATGAAAAGGAACAGCAGCAATTGCAACATCGTGGTGGGCAAAAGCAGACAACTGCAGAGACGCCCGTATATGATCCGACGACCCTGTTGGTTGCAGAAGATGCACCACTGCGTTATGATGTTGATATTGTCACAAAGCTGATTGTCTATGCAGGTAAAACATACGCAAGCTGTTTGTGTCTGTTTATTCATGATGAGGGGCGGCTAATCTCTTGGTTTCTATTGTGCGTTGTAGGTATCGGCTTTTTGGCACTCTGCCCCATTCCCATGCTATTCCAGTTCTGTGGACTTAGCTCTTAACAAAAGTTTTGTACCCGTTGCTAGCTAACCTTTAATCTCTTTTTGTATATCCCTCAATCTACCATTACTACTACTGCTACTGCTATGCGCTACGCGTACACCACCTCTACCCACATGCCACTTTTGGGCTGTACATTATCTATCTTCTCTCCCCGTTCTCCTTTTCTTATTTAATATATATCTTGTTCGCAAACAAACTAAGCTAACTTGCGCGTTCTGCATATGTGTCATGCTGATGTGTACAAAGCGTTTCTTTAAAAAGTTGCAGAGGGAAGAGTAGGGGAAGAAACAAAATAAAATATTCACAAGGAAAGATGGGCACTGAAAGGAACGATACAAAATAAGCAGCAGTGTTGTGCGTGAGAGCGAGTGTGTGTGGAAAACGAAGAGAGGGTATCAAGAAAAAGGTGCTTTGTGTAATGACAAAGAATGGTAATGTTAGTTGCTGGTTGCGGTCGAGGTCAAAATGGGTGTGCTAGTGCTGGTGTTGATGCTTATGTTATTGCTGTTACTGCAATAAATAGAGCAATAGCGATAAGCGATGGGAATATCCGGGCGGCCGAACACCTGCCGCCATACAACCTGCTCCACAGCGGGTTGACAAAACTTCTTGAGACATGCGTGACACTTGCTCATTGAAGATACACTTGCAAGTCTATCGCGTAGCTCACCCGGTATCAGGCTACTACCATCTTTGTCCTCGGTCATCATGGTAGTAGTAGCAGCGGTACTATCGCAGCCTTTCAGAAACTCCTGACTCATGATTTCCACAAGGCTAGGTACAGATGTAACGGACAGTTGCAGCGGCTGGGATCGTCTTTCCAGATAGGAATTGGGTGTCAGATTGAGGATGGTAAGTAATGGTAGTTCAATCAGCTCGGATGGCAAGTATTTCTGTATTAAATGCCGATATTAGCATATACACATCATCATCATCATCAGATAACAGCATGGGTGCTTCTTCCTTTTACTCTCTTACCAGCAAATTATTGCCCACTGATACTTCTACCAAGTTTTGCAAAAGACCAATTTCGGGTGGAAGGACTTCAAGCCGGTTGCCACCTGTCATCATCAGCAAGAAGCGTTAGCCTCAAACACGTGCAACCGCCCACGCCCCTTGTCATCCAGCTGTTTTCTCCCCTTGCTTTTACTGTTACTACTTACGTAGGCTGAGGACGGACAAATTCTTGAGTGCAAAGATCTGTGAAGGAAACTCGGTCAATTGATTTCCGGAGAGATACAGTTTCAATGCAGTGTTCTTGACTGTATCCTTCTTGATCACTGTTATGTACCGCACATCCAGGAACTCTGGTGGCAACTCGGTGAGACCCAAACAACTAATGATTACATATGTTATGACATTGTTCATCATACATTGCTATCGTAAGCATATCTTGATATATACCTGAGGTCAACAAAATCGACGCCACTATCCACTGCGATATCGATGGCTCGCCGAACTCTTTGACCGGGCGACTCTGCTTCTCGGCTATTAGACCGACTCCGTTTTCTATCTCGGCGCGGTGGTGACGGTACAAGTGTGTGTTGGTTTTGTGGAAGGTAGTCTTCGTCTTCAGAGGCATCGGTGTCGATCCATTCTACACCGTAAAGTGTCTCATTCAAAGAATGAATTGTTGTAGTGTTCATGATTGGCTCGTCGTCATCAGAAGAGTCTCTGGATTCTTGAGAGTTTCCGGGAGTAACTAAGCCCAGAGCGGTTTTACTTTCTGTTATCATGTTCTTTGTAAGGGGTTTGTTGCTAAAGAGTAGGAGGAAGGGATAAGAAAGAGGGAGAAAGAATGAGAAAAGAGAGAGTAAGGGAAGGGTATATACAGGTCTGCTGGGGGAGGGGAGGTGGGTCCCAAAGGAAAAGGAAAAAGAGTACAGCAGCATTGCAGCATATTACCCGTGCAAAAAAAGTCCGATTTTTATGTGTAACCAGCAAAGACTTTCAAAGCGTAGCTGCGGACATTGCGTGATGAATCTTTCGATTATCCATTTTTCCCATTTGGTGCCACAAGAACTAGTTTGCCTATTGCCACTACCAAATTCATGCTGGTTAATCGAGTCTTTTGGAAGTCGTATGTCTCATTATACTACTGTACTTGCAATAGGAAGCCGTCAGCGATAATAAAGGCGCCTCTAAGCTGATCCGTGCAAAAAAGCCCAGAACTAACCATAACTTTGTTCCCAAGAAATTAAAGAATAAGTCCTTATTCTACACTGTGTCATGCATTTGACTCACGCAATACCGTTTTCTTTCAGATTGCAAAAAGCTTGACATGGAAAAGCGACTAGCAATTGCTATTACTCTTTCCAGCTCTAACAGATACGATACCAACCCCATAACAAAGAGGAATAAGCAGCGAGCGTAATGTCATTATCTGACATCGTGTAGCATAGCGATAATCCAAGCGAGTATAGAGCTAAAACAGATATCAATTTATAACAGCTGTTCAAATATTCTACAAAGAAAGTATATCTAAAGATATAGCCACGAATCATTTGTATACATTTTCAGCGATGTCTTGGCAGCAAAGCCTTCAAAAGTGCCACAAGACATGTAATGCTCACAATAATACTAATCGTAAATGACGCAGACTTATAATTGAGCTACTCACGTATATAATATATAATATATAGCAGCAGCTGACAGTGTTAGTAGGCTTGGTAATAAGACGTTATTTGATGAATCTCTTCAATACCGTATAGGACACTGTGGACGATGTCCAAGTAATAGCATATTTACATCAAGCACACATTAAGCCAACACCAGTGGATATTGACTATATATGTATACATACATATACAAGCTGAAAAATGATACAAATTGAATGAACAGAGCATTCACGCCTGCATCCCGCATAACCTTTTGCTCCTTACATATTTTGACTAGATCACTGTAGGCGCCCAGGATCGCCGGGATTTTTACTTGCATTGTGATAGTGCTGCAGCAGTAAAGTCGGACATAGTGGCTCCTCATAAAGTGATTGAAAGTCATTCATTCAAACTCGATTGATTATTTTCTCATAACCCATAACTCATACTCACCGTCATCAATCAACATTTTCTTCTTACTATTTTCTTGTACGCCAGCAGGTCAGAAGGGGAAAAAGTGGAATGTGCATCGGCGACTAATTATTATGCGCATATGTGCCCTCGCCTGGTTTGGTAATTTCTCTTCACACTGTTTTTAGGTGGTGAGGACGTTGTACAGAGATTATGTCAAATCACTCAAATCCTTCTCCAGTTCTGCCTGCTTGTAGCTGTCAGTCAAGTCTTCCAAATGCAAACACTAATCGAGCCAGACTTTTCCTGAAAAAAGATACATCCTGCTGGTACATACAGCTATAATCAATGGTTAGCCATCACTCTACTATCTATGAGTATCAAAGTTATGGATGTTTGTGCGTAGTAGCTTACATGTACTATTGCCGAGCACCGCTGCATAGTTGTGTCCATAAGCCAACGATGCATATATGCTTTGTGGAATTCATTATATACAGCTATTTGTTGCTCTGAGTCAAGGTCACGCACAAAGATTTGATCAACATCTATTGCAGCGAGACCGTTGGGGATTTTGGCGATCCGCTGGAGATTCTTTTACGTAGCAGTGATCGAGACACAAGCCTGTGGGGCTGACAGCAACGACAAAAAAGCAGCACTATCACCGGCAAGAGAGATGATTATAAGTTTCTTACATTACTACTGCTTTATGTGTTCATTTTAACATTCAAAAGTAGATACACAAAGGATTAGTAAGTTGTTTATGTGCTCACATAACTCACATGAAGACATGATGTTTGCAGCTGTGGAGCAGCATCAATTGCTGTATCAAATCGTTAGAATTGTACTATTGGAAACTATCGACGCCATTAACGCTACATAACTATGCAAGTAATCGGCATTTTTTATGTTAGCATACAAGCAAATCGGTTGAACTTTTGTACCCGGTGCGAGCATTGGCAGACGATAATATATGAAACGGATACAGTACCACGCACCTTTCCTTGAATACAACCAGTAGAGGGAGAATACAATGTAACAGATAGATTCTAAGCCAGGCTTTTACGATAGCAGCTCTCCTTGGCAGGCATATACTAAAGGCAAGCGTAATTTGAAAAGAAAAACAAAAAGGGCATAAGAGAAACAGAATGTGTCACAAATATGCCTGTGTGCAGAAAGCACATGCGTTGCTACGGTAAATCTTTCTCAGTTACACACGGACACACACTGTGACGTTGAGCACAGACCGCAGCAGCAGAAAAGTATCAGTTGAAATATGGTTTTTTTTATTATAAATGATTTGTACATTGTCGTGTGGGGATTCGGAGGGTAGAGGGTTAGGGAGACACGGTCAAAGGCCTAATTTGTTCCGTATCACCACGTCATCTAATTGTTCATAAAAAAGAATGAAGAATTCGGGACAAAAAAAAGAGAGGTATAATCTATGATCCCGGATCGAACAACTTTGATCTTGGAAAAGCCCCCTTTACCCACACTGATAGTTTTGTATGTATATCTAGATGTTTATCGTGTTCCCTCTACTTCTTCTTGCCAAAGGTGAGAGGCTCACCAATGTTCTTGCCTCTCAACTTGACACCCAAGGCACGTTCCAACTTGCCCAACACCTGCTGGTTAGGAATGGCCTTGCCAGATTCGTACTCGTTCACCTGCAATAACAATAATATATATTTAAATATGTATGATCGTTTCCTTAATCCTCCCTCCGTAGAGTAGTAAAGGTACATACCACTTGAGGCTTTTCGTTGATCTTTTGAGCCACATCCTTCTGCGTAAAGCCCTTCTCCTGACGTGCCTTTTGAATGGCACGGCCGACGGAAACATCCACCTTGGGTGGTGGAGCGACATCGTTGTCACGATCAAGCTTGGCAATACGTTGATGGTCACGGTTTGCATGGCCAGCGTTGGTCATAGCTAAATTATAGATCAAAATCACATTAGTACGAGATCTCGCAGCAAAAGAAAATTCGCTCTTCAGCCCCACATTTAGTTATGCTTACTCTTCTTTTCCGTCGCAATGGAAGCACCGGCCTGTTGTTGACAAGAAGAAAAACATATATTAGCGTTTCATCTTCTAATATCTTGGAGTTCCCTCTAATTCTTCTCATCCGTCTCCCTTTCATGAGGTTTACTTACTCTTCTGGCAGCATTGACATCGCTTTCGCTGCGAGTAACCTTGGCGCGATCAGCATTACGCTTACGAATAACAGTAACGGAATCCCAGTCTAAATTTAGTGTAAGTTCAGTATCAGACATCAATACAAACTCCAAGAGTCATACATCTACTACTTACCAGACATTTTTTTATTGGATGCTTTTGAAAATGAAACTTTAGAAAATTAGAGAGTGATCAAAAAACAGAACCGAAAGAACGCCATGGAAATCAAATGGAAATAACTCCATCCACCAATTGCAAGTCACGGCTACCTTTCGCAGCAGCAAATGCTGCTGAACCTAAAACTAAATGCTGCGGTGTTGGTGGCGGCTCCTCCGCTTACAAAACTTTTGACAGGCCTTTTTTTTTTGTGGGTTAAAATATGAAAAGAACGATCCGACCCCAATTCAACGCTGAAGACGATGACGAAGATTTGGAACAATTACAACGCGAATTCTTTGAGAAAAAGGTGCAACCATCAGCCTCGGTAGTGCGTGGTGGCCTACCACCATCGACAGCACCAGCACCAACAACAACAATAGGAGGTGGTGCAACCAAGAAGAAACAAAGTATCTTTGCACAACGACGACAAGCTGCCGCAGCAACCGAGAAACCTGCTTCAACAAAGACTGTTCATTTTGCTAACAACGATGAAGACGATGACGGCGAAGCATTGGCGTCCATGCCAACGCTCGAAAACGTCGAAAGTGACATGCCAGCATTAGAAGGCGTCGCCGATCCCAATCCACAGCAGCCTCACGTTCCTGAGGGCAGGAAAATGCTCGATCTGACGTCGTTACTAGGTAATATTCTCAGCGACGTGACAGAAAACAAGGTGGAAAAAGTCGAAGCACCGTCATTGAAATCAGGCACGGAACGATCACAGCAACACGTCCAAGGATTCCCAAAACCAGCGCGACGGAGCGTGTTCAAAATGCGCATGGAGGCCAAAAATAAAAGCGCAACGCCCGAACAACCACAACAGACAACAACAACAACAACATCCGCAACACAAGACTTTGAACGAGACAATGTGGATCGCATTGCCAACATGACTGAGGAAGAAATTGAAGCCGCACGAAAAGAAATCGTGGACAGTTTAAGCGCAGACTCAATAGCCATGTTGATGAATCGAGGAGGAAAGAAGAGCAAAAAGGACTCTGCGACAATGATGGAACAAGGCAATAATGAAGAAGACAAAGACGATGATGACGAAGGAGAAGAGGATCTGATGGTGATGAAGGAACGATACTTTGCGGATGTGCCAACTGAATACGAAAAGCTTGCATGGATGGACAGTCGTTTCGATGTGAACCCCAAAAACCCTCAAGAACAAGAACAGGAAGGACAGGAGACCAGTGAAGAGGATAAAATGTATCGTCGTTTGCGATTCGACTTTCAGGGCAAACCCGTGGATCCCAATGCTGATTTGCCTGTGCATCAGGGTCTCCATCACCATGGGGACGAGCCCGACAAGGCAGGTTACACATTGGCCGAACTCTTTTATCTTGTCCGCAGCCAAGTAGCTCCGCAGCGTACCATGGTGCTGAATACTTTAGCAAGAATACTGCGCAATGCAAAAGCAAATAGAGGAACGGAGCTTTGGGATAAGGTACTGGCCCTGTTTTATCGCCCTGACTTGGCAGCCACCATCTACTTGCGATCTGCCATGGACGATCGGCATCTGGTTGTACTTGTAGCTGCTGTACAGGCTATGGCAGCGCTTGTATTGGAAAAGGGTGATGAATTAGACGAAGAACCAGTACTGGATGTCGAACAATTTAATGAATACCTTGGCTACGTGGCACGACCCCATGTACAAGTACAAGAGGAAAACGGGGGATTGGGTGAAAAGTTTGCAACCACCGTTGACCGTTTACGAGGCAAGGATCAAGAAGATGATGAAGAAGAGGAACCAGAAGACGATGCACAGCTGGCGCAACGCGATTTGACCAAAGGATTGCTGCGTATGAGCATCTTGCCGCGCATCCGATACCTGACGTCGCGCAACAGTGAACTCGATTCCAGATCCATTGATTTGCTTGTTCGGGTTTTGATCCGGCTTGCCAAGTCCGGCGCTGAGGTTTGCGAGTCGATTTTGGAACACGATTTGGTGGACCAAGTGTTAGCATGGGGTGTCCTGGAGCGCGAGTGGCCAATGACAAGTCCAGAAGAAGATGAGAAGGATGTGTACCCGAGCTTAGCGGCTTTACGACTGCTGACGATATTGGCACAAGGCAGCCGTCGAGTCGCTGAAGCAATCAATGCAAAGGCGACTTGCTTACTGCAATACTTGGCAACACCACCCAATGTGGCATGTCCATCCCTGCAAAAGCGCGCGTATGCACTGCAAGTGGAAACGATCAAACTGCTCAGGGTGCTTGTTTGCTACGGCCTCGTGATGCCTGCGCTTCAAGATCTGCATGAGCCCATGATGTCGTGGTTAAGGGCTGGTCTTACCCAGAACATGCTCGACGATGCACGCGCAGCTACTACGATCAGTCTGCTTGAAATATCATTGCATGCTGCAGCAGACCCACACAAGACAACACCTGCACATGCCATTGACTGGCATCAGCCTACAGCGTTCATTCCAGTGATCCTGGCGATCCTGCGGACGCGCGAACCATCGATGATGCTTGATACGGCGGTGGGATACTTTGCGACGTTGGCCAGCTACATTGACCGGTTTCCAACGGTGGATGACACCATCACGACGGCGGACATATGGAAGGTTGCAGTGGAGAAACTTGCATCCACCGCAGCAGTAAGGAGTAGCTTTAGCAACAGCGTTCTACGCTACGTGCAGCTATTGGGTGCATTTGCATCGGCCAAGACGTTTGAGTCGGATGCAGCGGCCATATTAGCATCGCCTTCGGTGACAAGACTCGTCAAGCAAGTACACAACAACGGCTTTCTTGGCAGATTAGCACTGTGGTCGTGGGCGATTCATGTGAAAGACAGGTCTGTCCGGATCAAGTTATGGGGCAAGGCTGATGATGATGATGGTTACGATGCAGCTGAGCTCGAATCGACCGTTGGCAGCGTGCATGTGGGTGCATTGGAGATGCAATTAGCGCGAAACCTGGTGCAGCAATGTGTACTCGACCGGTTTAGCAGCAAATTGGCCTCGACATTGGCTCTGTTTTATTTACGGGAAAGTACATTTACGACGGAATGTCCACTATTATTAGACCACGATGGACCTCGGCTCAAAACGCTGGTGTATCCCGACAGGCAGCAACCGGACACTCCTCCCAGTGCCACTGCATGGGTATTTTCACCAATCGACGAGATGTACCACATGGACAAGTCTTGCCTTGCACAAAAGTGTACGCACAGCTCAGCCGATGTCGTTGGAGCCACATTGGAGGCCGCAGCGGTGCTACTGAACACAAATGTGGATCGTGACATGGCCATTGTGTCTCTGATGAAGGTGTTTATGGTTACAGAGCGAGACGCTTCTGACCGAGAGGTGTTCTGGGACGATCGAGTGACACGCCTGGTGGACGACTGGCTTGACCGACTCTTCCTTGGCCCATCATCATCATCATCATCATCCTTGCCACTGTGTCAGCGCAAGACAGATGCGGGCTCTCTCGAAGCTGCATGGCGGAGATCATCGGCTCTCATCCGACAGCCGTTCTATCAGTTTTATCAGGCATTTGTTGCTCAGTATGCATCCGTGTCATTCGGACATTCAGGATTCGCACGCCTTTTGGCCTATGTGGTCACTCAAGCTGATGCGATCGATTACAAGTATCTCGTGTGGAGCGACTACCGTGACATATTGCCCACGATTAAGGTGAAGCCAGAAGCACTGCCCCGTCCTGATGCCGGCGGACCAGAGGAAAGGGCCAACAACACTGCGCTGTTGAGGGCGTACATGTCTGCAGTGGCGGAAAGCAAGGTGGAAGGAGCGCTGCGGGAGTTTGCAGTAAGCGAGCTCGAGGCAGCAGCAGCAGCAGGATTCACAAATGAGGGTATCAAGGATGCTGATGTACCAAATAACTTGAAGCGGGATATTCGTGATCTATTGAATAAATAAAGAGCTGTAAGGTTTTGGGGGGGAAAAAGGAAAAAAGAGAGAAGGCAGGTTTTAGGTAAGTGCATGAGAATGCATGCATCGAGTGGAGGCACATGACATCAAATTGCGACGACCAGCAGCCAACACAAAATATCACTGTAGAGAATTCCCAATTTATGGCAATGTAAATGTAATCTGCAAATAAGAATCCTATGCACTATCTTCAAATGATGATGATGATGGATGATGGATGATTAATTAGGGAGTTTCGGCGCTTTTGTAGCGCGCAATTCTCTTCTTCGTGGGGGGGGGTATGGGAAATGGCATCATGTCCCCTTTTTTTTTCCTCTCTTCTTTTTTCCTGTTGATCGACCCTTTCTCGCTCTTGTTTTGGACGAGGTGGGAAAGAAAAAGAAAGGGGTTCGCAGTAGTGATAGTAGTAGTAATAGTAGTAGTAGGTTGGTATTACTTATGAAAAAGGGTCTCCACGTGGAATTCTTTTTTCTGTCGCCAACAAGCGGTGTGACATTGACTGCATGGGAGGCATTAGGGTAGCAGCCGGCCGATCCGTTCGCACGCTCCCACATCCACTGTCTCGTTTGCTTGTCTAATCTTGGCCGCTTTGGAAAAACTACCGACGAAGATATTGTCCGTGCAGCATGATGCAAAAAGTTCCATATATAAATACGACCCCATCTTTTTCTTTCGCTTTTTTCTTGCCACGTTCGTCCATTATATCTCTTGCCTGCACTTGCCCTCTCGTCCTCCTTCCCCACGCAGCTAGCCCTCCCCCCTTCTCCAACACATACAAACCACCATGAACTGCTTTCCGTCTCCTCCTTCATCGCCATCACCATTCGAACATCTCGACGATCCAGACTATGTTGCCATGGACAATGAGCCTAGTATCGTATGCGGGTCATGCAATAAGGCATTGAGCGCAGACTGGTTCTGCTCCAACTGTCACAAAAGATGCTCTACTTGCAGTCGGATCTTGGCACTGAACACGGACGACTACTGTACACGTTGCTGGGTCTACGTTCCTTCACAGAATACATACGTTCCACGTCAAAAGTACCTTCCTTCACCGACGTCGAGTACAACAAGCAGCAATCACCATTAGCAACAGCACGTCGCCATGACTATTACTACTACTACAACAACTACAACTACTACTATCACTACTGCCTAACACCGTTATCCCATCCATCACAACCAAAAAACACCATGCATGATTTCATTATATCCCCATCTTCAACCAAAGTATACATACAATATATCAGCTACCACAAGCCATGTATATCCCCCGCCCTCTTCTCCCAGACAAGCATCCGTTGTTATTTGAACCTCCTTGTGCTATAGCCCTTCCTACTGCTACTTCTTCTTCTTCTTCTTCTTCTTTTTCTCCTCGCACACCTCTTTCTTTTCATTGCTCGTCCGTCTGTGTATTTCTTTCTCTTCGTCTCTTTCCTTCATTCTGTAATTATATACGTAGCTACAATATAAATAAATACTACAGTATCCGTTCATTTTCTATTACACAACGAGTCATCCACCATGCATATTCTGTAACAGGAGCCCATTGTCACGAACGCATACCAACAACAAACAACACGCTTCTAGTTTCGGATTGTGCGTATATAGCGCTTTGTTTTTGTGTGTATCATGCCGTGTCACAGTTCTGATTATGTCTTGGGATATGCAATGCAGCTTGACGATGCTTTTGTTTACATAAGGCAATTGGTACCACAACAATCCCGATCACTACTAAAACCTTGTACTTCCATTATTCTCCTAATTATAGTGCTGTGTGTCCGTGGTAAGAAACAAAATTGACGTTTTCCGCCCTACCGTGTTTGTTCGCTCCGTGTACTATTCTGTGTGTTAGCTACTAGATGCTGGCTAGGTACCATAAATCTACTGCCTTACAAATTGATATAATTTCCTATAAACGAATCCTCTACTGAATTTTCATGTATCTAAGCTTATCCCTCCCCCCCCCAATTTGAAAACTATGTATTAGCTGCTGTGTAAGCGTTACATCCAATTTGTCAATCATTGAAAAGATCGACAATTATCGTACGATTATTTCTTCACAATAAAGCAAGGGAGAGCATAAGCTCGTAGCACTCTTACACAGCACAACCACCCTTACTTTAACATGATGCTTTTCTGATCTGTACTTCTTTTCTCCGTTGCTGTCGTTACCGCTCTTTTGGTTGCACAACTGGTGCTTTCATGCAGAAGGTTTTACATATATCGCGGAGATAATTGGCATCCATTCAGTGGTTCGCGATCAAGAAGCTAAGCATGCGTGCCTTGATCGGCCAGGATGAAACATTTACTCCGCCACGCTCTCCTAGGTTCCCGCGTGAGAGAAACGGTCCTTTTCCTTTGTTGCTGCTTGCTGCTGCTTTTAATGCACGGCAATGCACGGTCTCTCGCTCTCTGTTTGATTTTTGGCGCGCGAGCGCAGAGAGCGAACCCGATCGGAGAAAAGCGGGGTAAACAGCATGTGGATGTGCTTATTGGGTAGATGTATACCAAGGAAGAAGCTCTAGAAACTTCCGATGACGCATCCCACTTGACAAACTTGGAATGCCAGATGTAACCATCGGCTCTTTGTTGTTGGGACGGCCCGTTGAAAAAAAAAAAGAAAGTTGGCCTTAATGTGGTAAATAAGTTGTATGGAGAAATAAAATCCCCTCATTGGGTGGAAAGCTGTTTTTTTTATAGCGGAGAAGTGCAGCACACAATGTAAAGGCACGCACACGCTCTCTCCCCTTTGTTATACGGTATGAAATAAGGATGGTGCTGCGTGCAAATATTAAATACATTACTGATGCTATACCAACGAAATGTAATATAACTCTTTTTCAAAGAGAATAACTGATTACGTGGACATACATCATGGCATGTCATGGGATCCAAAGCATGCGCGCACGTATATTTGGGTATATTCTGAGGGTTGTTGTTGTGTCTCAGATTACGTGGAGTGGCGTTGCTTTATCTGCAATAAAGATCGGTGCCCGGTTCTTTCTTACTATGTCTGGTACGTTTTCGCCCCGGATAATTCATCATGGCCGTCGGTACTATCCGCTGTTCCTGCCGTGCATATATACATGTACTATGATCGGGAGATTTTTTTTTAAGAAAAAGACTCATTTTATTTATAGACTTTCATGCTATTATTAAATGCATATTGGCTTCTACCAATAAGTGAAAACTTTATATATTCCTGTAAACATTTGACCACGATTGAAGTTTGAGTTATCCTTTGAGTATTACCATTTACTACAATGGCGATGGTGGTGACCTCTCAGCATTTTGTTTTCCTGTGCTCAACGGATTTGTTGACAGCCGTGAGCATGTCGGTCCGAACAACAAGCATCCGAAATAGAGAAAAGGAGCTGTACCTTGACCTAGCCGTCAAAATGCTGTATCGTGTTACATAGCACTGCACCAAAAGCAACAACATTACACAAAAAGGTCTCCCTCCCCGCCATATTACTGTTTGCTTTCAACTCTCGCATACATGTATGCTCCCTTTTACACCACAACATCTAAGAATGACTAATGCCAAATACAATCAACTCATTTCTATTACCGACCTTCCACGGCCATCGCATGGACTGTAAAACCGGAGATATTGGTGCAGTACATTGCATACAATTGCATGCTCCAAAAAAAAAAAGCTTCTTTCTCTAGTCCTGTTCCATTTGGCCTAATTCAAGTCCGTTTGTGAACGATGTGGTGTAAAGTTGAAGCGGCGGATTTACTACTTACGCGGCTCCTTTTTTTGGTTGATACTTCGCGCGACCTGGGGCATCCGCATTTAAATTCATGATGTCTTATATTTTCCCCTTTGACACAAATGGACGTTCGTCTGGGTTTGGAGGCGATGCTCTTGTCAAGTCTCGCATTACATTGGTGCAGTATCATTCATACCTTTCGGTCTGCTCTTAAGTAGTACCTCCGACGCATCTACTGAATGTTCTAGAAGAGGTACAACGAAAAGTAAGCCGCAATGTTTTGCTCTCTCTCTCTCTCTCTCTACGTGATTTGAAAACTGCTGGTTTTTCCAGGGATACATGACGACGAATCATTAACCGGGAATCTGTTATTACTCGAGTGTCTTGGTAGGAAAAATAGTTACGAACACGCATGTATATAGCAGCGATCTTAATATTGCAGAGAAGAGAAACTAATTGCGGTAGAACGCGCTTGAGCATATTGTAACTAACGGTTTTTACTCATACTAATTATTTCCGTGATCATTGCTTAGCACAAGAAGTATTTTATACGATCACTAGCTCTATGTCTTCTTGCGTACATACTGATCAAAAGCCGCAGTTATTTTTGTTAGCAAAGTGTTATATAAAGGCTGTGGTACTTAATAGAACGCACTGTGATATAGCTCGACCTCACCCTGGCTAGACCTTTTCCTATAGCAGGCTATGATTTATTTGTTATATGTATTAAGATCAATTTTTTCATGGATCTGCGCTTTGCAGAAATATGTGTTTGGCGTGTGTGTGAGGTTGCGTGATAGCGTCATCTTCTACTGTTTCTCTTAGAGATGCTTTCTCCTACTCACATTATGGCAACGATGTTAGCTTTAGAACGATGCTTATATTGTACCCATCGATCATCCTTCTTCTTTTCTTGCATAGATGTCAACGACCATTTGTGATCCTAAAGCATACATGCTATTCAAAGAATCACTACAGTATCTTGTATTTGTTCGTAGAGCTATGGATCAATCAAGTTTTACTAAAAACACGACTGTTTAGTTAACATCATAAGATTGTTGTTGCCTGCACCTTAGTAGCATTGCCAAATCCCTCTTAATGATGCGGAATACGCACTACAAATTACATGCTGCTCTATATTTTATTATCAGCAACAGCATACAGCAACGTAATAATCAAAGTTCGATGGAACGTTCGGTTATTACTAGTGTTGTTATTATTGCTTGCATATCCAATAGTTTAACATTCTGAATTAAGCACAGAATTTTGAGAATATCATTAAGTGGAATTCAGTATCTGATGGGCGACGATCCATCATATATTATCGACCAGCAAGGGGTTTGTTTGTATGATTGGATGATAGAAGGTTATAAGGGGCTCTTTTGTGCATGAAAGAGACGCAGGTTCGTTCTGATCTTCCACAGCTCTTGATCCCCCCCAATTCAAAAAGGATGGTGGTGCTGGTTGGGATGGAGGTCGGCCCGCAATCTTTCATACTTTCTCCTTTTTCATATCTCCTCGCAACGTGGCCGAGCAGCTTGATACTGGTTTTTTTAAGTTTTATGTTTGTGAAAAAAAAAAGCAAAATAAGGGGTAGTTAAGCTGTCTGAGGTCATCGTTTTCTTCAAAGGCGCCCTTATATATAACACACGGCGATGTAATGGTGCTTTATGTACTACCTCATGCTTGACGTTTATCCTGTTTTTTTTGGAACAATACATTGCATGCCTGATGCAAATTTACGCTAAACTTGTTCATGATCCGCTTTCTATCCAGCTTGTTTTCGTTTTTGCTGCTACATATCTAACCTGGCTGCTGCTGATATATGCATGTTATCTCGCAGAGAATACCAAGTTTTATATTACGTGGTTATTTACTACATTGCATTCGCAAAGGGATCTATTAATAGCTAGAGCAAGGACCTCCTTCCGTTATTCTCATCATTTCTTTTGTATCGTTGGTATATGAGCTACGGCAGTACTTCCTTTGAGTCTCAAACTACTGTGCGTGTACATTATGGATCTCCTTTGTGCATAAGCATACAGTATCGCTTTTTGTCTCTAACGGCTGTAGTACAGTACGAAAGTTGTTTCTGCGGATGGGGAGAGGTATTTGCTTACTAGATCAGCAGGCAGCAATAGCCGTAGTAATTGCAGTTTCTTACAATAATGCATTAGCTTGCCACACATCGTTGTAATATCTTTAGTGGCACAATGAAAACCATTTCAATCATGTACTACTGATTGCTAATAGTATTTGCGTTTTATTTGTTCGTTTCATGGAAATGTCGAATAGTTAGGTGTTCACAAGTATCATAGCTTCTCCATTTTTTTATCGCAGCAACATACATGCCTATGTACGGCGACCCACATGCTTGTTGCTGACTGAGTAAGTGGCAGCATTGAAGTGGCGAAATGCGCCAAGAGATAGCAAATTAGCAGAACCGTAATCCACTAGCAGAAAATCAAGGTTACGCCACATCATGCAGGAGTGTTCGCCACAAAAAGGACGCTCCGTTTTTTCTCTTGGTTTGGCACTGGATCTGCTTTCAAATGGTAGGAAGTGTCTGTTACTTGGCGGTCACTTTTTGAATTTGACTTGGCGCCTTTCACGTGTTTTAGTTCTAGTAAAACTTCATCTAAACGTCCAAGTGATCTCTATTTGTTGGTCGATGTTTTCATTGTTAGATTACCAAAACAATGTTAAGCTACAGCTACTGCTGGATTAGATAGCTTCGAGAAACAACGTGTAGGAAGATTGTTCTCAACTCACAAAATATTTGGTAATAACTGATCGTAAAGAATCGTTTTTTCTTAGTAGCTTATGCTTGAACTCGATCTTTTTTGAACAATATGAATATTATGCTTCGATAAAATTAAAACAACATAATGTAATGGGAGGTTTGATATCATATCCATGAGTCCCAGCAATCTCTTTCAGCGCTTGAGTGTGAGATTATATGACTAAACTTCCTCGCCCTTTAATGGCAATATGTCAGCGCTTTGACACTTGATTATTGCAGTTAAACGTACAAACAGAACAGCTTTCTTCATAAGTGGATGCATATAGATCAGCCCATCGATCTACTATGCGCACACACTGGTCGATTTGACGACTTTGCCTATGTCTTTCTTTGACGTCACCATTGCGAGCTTTGGGCTCCTTTCTATATGTTAGCAAGCACATTCACCTTTAGTGGATTGATGGTTAAGGTATCAATGATTGCAATTTAGCTCAAAGGATGTACTAGGGCGCAAAAATGAAAGCAGAGTCAATCCTATCAACAATTACTAAGAAGGCGTAGCTATCTGCTTCTTAATTTATTACGATGCGATACTTGATCCAAGCGCATATATAATTGTCTAAGTGTTCCAGTACTTCCGGATACGAAAGAGAAGAGCCCTTAGCCTAGAAATATGATATGATAACCGGCATTTCCAAAAAGTCTATTTACGCACCATCAGCATTTAAATATAGCCACATTAGCACCATTTTTGGACCCCTCTTTAGAATGCTTCGCTTCTAGTGAAGCTACTGTAGCAGATAAAATTGAGATACTACTATTTTTCAAATATACACATGTAAAGTGTCTGACCTTCTTGTTTACTGCTGGACTATTTTGACAGGTGTAAATTAATGACAATTTTGGAAATTTGCCGACGTCGATCATTGGAAAAGAGAGAATATTTGTAGAACTCAAGGTATCATCAACGACCTGAATTGTCTTTTGTTGTCAAAAACTTGATCATTTACATAGATTTGGTGCTACTTTGCCTTCCCAACTGCAGATCACATTGCACCTCTGATACCCACCCACACTCAACCCGAGCTGAAGACTCGTAAGTTTGATGGTGAGCGAAGCAGAGTGGTTGAATGCTTAAAGTACGAACGCGCCATGTACTCGTTTCTTAGTATCACGTTTTGAAAAGATATGTCATTTTTTAATTGGCTGACTCACTGAAACAAAGACTTCTATTTGAATTTTTATCCCTGTTTTTCGAAAAAATTGTAGATTGGGGGAAAAGGGAAAAAAATACAGTTATCTGCAGTATGCCTTGAAGTGAGGGAGGTGATAAATAATGGCCAAAGTATGTCTTTTGCTCTGTCGGATATTTAGTGTATGAAGGTTGAATTGATGAGGAGGGTAAGCAAATGAATTAAGGTTTTTATAATATACTCATAACTTAGAGTGCGCTGCTAACGATAGAGGCAGCCACAGCGCTAAAGGCAACGAAAAATGCAGCGGGCATCAGGGCTGATGCAGCGCCTTCACCACCATTACCGCTACTCTGGTTACCACTGCCTGCGGTTTCCTTGTAGACATCCTCAGCAGACATGTTGGCACAAGCGGCGACAGTGGACATTTCGTATTTTCCTTTCAAAAGCGGGACGACCGTGTTAATGGCGACATTGACAGTCTCATTAACGCGGTCGTGCTGTAAACTGATGCCACCAGTAGCGGTGTTTAACCTGGGTATATATGAATGCGTCATTTAGTAAGAATACAGCTGATATGCAAGCAAATGAATATTGAGCAGCACTAACCAGCTTGTAACTTCTTGTTCAATGGACTGAGGTGTGACGGTTGGGTTTGTGCCGATTTCTATGAATAGAATCACAGTGTTAGTGGGACCCAAAGTTCACTTGTGTCACCTGCCAACAGTCGGTAGGTGGGCTGATGTATACGAAGGTGCGGACGAATGACTGTGTCTGTTCCTGGACAAAGGCTTCTAGGGATAATAAATTCATCCGTTTTACCATGGTAACCGGAAGCATTGTAGGCTTACAGACACAATCCTTCCTCGCGGTATTTCACACTCGATCTTCCGATCGCAGTTATACTTCGTATACAGCGCTCTAAAAGAAGCAGCCAATTGGGTCAGAACACTTACCCCAGTCGAAGGTATCATGCGACCAAATTGCGATCTTGAATCCGAGCTGCTCAGTGATGTTACGAACACGGTCGTCCATATCACCTTGTGGCTAAAAAAGGAAGGTTGATCGTCAGATCCAATTTCTTGCATATGTGCGTATATGAGTGTTACAAGATACGTTACCGGTCGAACAAGGACAGGAGAGACGCCGATGATTTCCTTAATGGCTTGCTCGGTCCACTTGAGCTCAGCGACAATTTGTTCGTTAGTTTGTGTCGTCAGTTGTGTATGCGACCTGTATATATGTCAAGATATGCATCTATTAGTTACTATTGCACCTCTCTTTTCTTAGCATTTAAGCAAACGAAAGAGAAATGTTGCATACCATGTGTGAATGGCAATTTCGTGTCCGTCCTCGTGCATTTTCTTGACCATGTCGGGATATTGGATAACCTAAAGCCGCATTACATTTTTAGTTAGACATTGTTTGGCTGATGTGCACGAATACAAATAGAATACATACATTGCCACCGATCAAGAAAAATGTAGCCTTCAAGTTCTGCTGCTTCAAAAAATCGTACAAAGGAGGACTGGCGATAGTTGGGCCATCATCGAAACTCTACAGGACGTAAAAATGGTACATATATATTTAGAATCCACTTTGTTTTTTATAGTTCTAAATAGATCTATGTGCTGCTGCTGAGAAAATAGGACGAAGAAACAAAAAAGAAAAATCTAGGAGAGAGATACGTTACCAAGCCCCAGTGGCCTTGTTCGCAAGTGTAAATGTCGGAAGGTCGCTTACATTGAGTCGAAGTCCAGTGGCAGTAAGGATCGTTGCCAGCAACACCTCTGTTACCGACGGGTGCGTTAGCGATCGTCGCATTACTCAGTGCTTGAACCCACTCGGTCTTTGGCGAAGGGGCCAAGAGGGGTGGTGGGTAAGCCTCTTTCCAAGGAAAGTTGCTGGTAGGGGTTTGAAGATTGGATGCAGCACTGCTGGTTGGCGTTTGTGCAAGTGCTTGTTCGAATGCAAGTAGAGCGATCAAAAGGACGGATTTGCGCATGTTGTTATTGTTGCTATAGCGACTAGTAAAGGAAGGATAGAGAAGAAGGGGAAAAGATGGAAACGAAAAGAAGTAAAGAGAAAAGGTGAAAAAAGAACGGAGAACGAGTGAGAAGCGTGCAGCTAGACGCTTGCCCTTTATAAGGCGCTCGGGCAGAATGGCTAATTGCTGCACTATGTACCCTCACTCCCCTTTTCTCCATAGCGCATCAAAAAAAAGTAACGACGCACTAATAGGTGAAACCATGGAAATAAAGGAAGCATAGGAAACGTCTCCTAGCCAACCATAATTTTGGCATTTCCCGATTCAGACCCCCTTTCTAAACCGTGCCCTATACCAAAAATAAACCAAAAATATGTGTGCACTGTACCGGGTAACGGATCATCAGTGGGCGTAGCTGGACCCCATGGATCCAGGTAGCACAAGAGAATTTGGTCCTTGGCCAGCGAGGCGGGTTATTTTTCTATTGCCTATTTAGATGCAGATATGCCCACAAATAGACATCGGCTAAGCTGTATATAAGAAGGTGCCGCATTCTGTCCTTGTGATTGTCGTCGTTGTCTAAACCGCGGAGATCACCCCTCCTTCTGCTTTGTTTATTTACTTTATTTTAGGTTTCTACATGAAGAAGGGCACCTGTCTCGGTCTGCCGCTATCATTCTTACTTCCGCTTCTGCAGTCGAAAATGCTTTAGTGTGGTATGACAAATGTCTCGGCTCTAAACATGTCTCAGCCGTCGATCCGTTCACACACAGGGCACGGCTTGTGTTCTTTTTTTTTTCGACTCTCCCAAGCCAAGCTTCGCCCCAGTTGTAACTCAGATCTCCAAACTAAACTTTTACGTACAAAATTCAAGCATGACGTTTAGAATGTCCTCATTTGAAGAAAACAATAGGCTTAGTGTGTGTGGTATTATTATAGTGAGTATTATTTATTATCTACAGATGTCTTTTTTTATAATTATGATACAAAATGAATGAACAGGGTATGATCACCTGTAAATAAACTTCACAGACCAGTGGTTACGGTTTGAGTGCAATGTCAGCTCGTCATCTTCTAAACGTGACCTTTGCTGTTGAACTGGCAAGGATTGTTGGATGTCAGGGTGATGATGGTGCTCGTCGAGTCGCTTATTGTGTTCGATAGGTTTCAGCATGGCCGGCTCAAAACTACCGCTGGTGGTGCTGGTGGTGGTGGACGACTGTAGTTGCTCATCCAGCTCTTGTGGAGAACACTTGAGTGCAGTACAAATCTCATCGTAATGATGGAGGCCATCCAGATAAGGAATAATGTCCGGGTGTATCGGCGCACCAGTATTAATGTTGAAGATTTTAGAATACTGGCTTTTTGGCGGCAAACCGAAGGAAGCGTCGTTGCTGTCGACATTGGTTAAGATGGGATATTTGTGTACCCGGTAAATCAATCCTTTAATAACTCCAAATGAAATGAAACGCCTAAATATTGAGTTAGTGCTACTATAAATTACAACTTCTTTATGGACTCTTGAAGCTTACCGCACATCGATCGGAAGAGCTGCAACTTGGTGTTCTTCAATCCAGTCCCTCACTGAGGAACCATACTGTAAACCACAGTACAGCGCAAACACACGTGGAAGCGGAGGTTGCGTTGCTCCTAAAATAATTACAATAGTAAAGAATATGAGAACAGAGCTTTATTATAGCCCAATGTATACTTTTAGCATGTTCCTAATGTTCCCATACATACCAGGAAGTGTTATGTACTCTAGGCATTCTTGTGCTAAACTAGCCTTTCCTGACTCCAACATACGTGTTATTTCAGGCCGAACAGCATAGACGTTTGAAAACTGGAAAATCTCGGCCATGATAACACAGCCATAGTAGCTGGATGAACGTGGTGGTTAATAAATTATCTAATTTGTCATATTTACTAGATCGCATATGGTAATAGCAAGGAAAGTTAGCTTACAGCAAATGCTGCATAGTCTGCCGAGCCCAATCTGGTTTCACGTTGGCCAACTCGGCGATCGCTTTAACATGATTAATGCCATCAATGTGTGGCACCATCTATTTTGGAAATATCTATACGTTACATAAAAGGAATATTACGAGTAGCTCTCTTCCTTCCACCTTGTCTTTATTATCTTTCGATAATATACGTTACCTTTTGCACTGTCAAATCCCAGTTCACTGTCATCATATGATTCAAGTCCACCGTGCATACCGGCACCTGATAATCATGCACCGTCGGCGGATTTTTGTATGTAGGGAAAAGCTTCAAGTTGATGGTATTGGAAGCATCTAGTGAATAATAAACACTGCACGATATAAATATACCTTCCCAGCATTTCTCTCTTCCCCAGTTGATACTCACTGATTGGAATTTGACACTCGCAGTAGCTGTTGAGATCCTCATACAATTGTTCAATAACGTTTTGGACAGTCCGGCTTTCCGAGCTCGCATCTTGTGATAAGAAATCGCACTCCACCTTTATGTACCATTGGAGATAAAAGTCAGAACTATATATAACGGACGATATCCTATATGTGCAGATCATACCTCTAGCACCTCCAAAACACGAGCCAGTTTGCGTACTACAGCTTCATAACTACTCGTTTCAGCGTCGCGTTCAAACACAAAGCACAAGTTGAAACGAAATTCGTTTCGAATAAGGTGATACTTTTCATGGTTGTTAATCGCGACAGGACAGCCCATAATCTTGTATTTGTCGGTACTAATAGTGACAAGCCGCTTGTACAGCTGTGGTTTGGGGATAATGTACTCGCGAATAGTCTCAAAGTCGATCAGCGGCTTAATCGGGACATTCATGCCCAACTTTTGCGACACTACGCTTCCTTCGGGAACTTGATGCTTTACAATGCTGCCTTTAATAACGTCAAATACGGCATAGAAAATGCCATGAATGCGTGGAAACCCGGGGAAGTCCATTACGGGTATAATAGAGAAAAGAAACGGTTGTTGGACCAAAGCAAAAGAATCATTTGAATCCCAGTTGTGATATACGCTTTGGCACCCTACTTGACCATGCTAGCAACAGCCAAGACAGCGCCGAGCAGCTGTTGCTGCCAGCAACAACTGACAAGGTAGTACAGTCTAGCCAAACATCAGTTACAGATAATAAGAGCTGTATAGCATCTGCATACTATAAACTTATAAACACGCAGGTGTGCCCGTCCATAAAAGAAAGGATGTGGTGGCTAACTTGCTAGCTGCAATGTCACAAGTCTACAACGGATATGGAGTATGGCTCTTCATTGAGAGTCTTCAAAAAAGGAACGAGTGTGCAGTTATAATTTATGAGGCGGATTTCGTAAGCAGTTATACCGTTCTCCGAGATGCAGCAGTGTTCGATATCAGCTTGTGTCGCTCAATTACATGCGCTGTAAACAAGGCTTATGCCTGCTTCCTTCACAATAGCTCTGTGCTGACTGTTATCTCATTGCATACTGTGGGATACGACTCTTCAAAAAATTGAGTTTAGAAGGGGACTGCTTGCAATAATACCAACGAAAAATGTGGCGATAGCGGGGAAAAGAAAACCGTGCATTGTCCATCATGCTGGCTGCCGCACGCTCTGGTGTTGCTTGATTTGAGACTAGCATCAGCTCTCGATAAGAAGTGTGGTATTATGTCTCTAACAGAACGATTGCGTCCATCAGCTAGCGTATATGTCGACCTCCCGGACCAATGACTCTTCCTGAGAGAATCCCTCTGTATATCAGTCGCATCGTGGGATGGTCACAAAAACAGTTAAATTCCATATCATGAAGAAAAATACCCTGTCGATTTTCTTTCGCAATTTTGCATTGATAAGGGACATCTTTGGATCAGCCGACCTCTCTCATCGTATTTAGCGTCGGTCCCATGCGCACTTGCTCATAGGGTGCCTGAAAAAATATAATAGATACACGGGTGCTATGCTATGCGCAGTTCTCTCTTTCTCGCTCTCTCTTCCTTTTCTTTCTCTCTTTTTTTTTATCTTATTGCGTACCTCAAAATCCCGCTTAATCACACTTCTCTTTGTTATTTACGTCACATATATAAATATACTACTTTATTCTCATTTCTCGTTAAACCCCATTCGACATTTGCACTTGATCTGCCAAACTAGATCCTACCTTTTTTTTCAAACGCTCTCCACTGACATTGCCACACTTCAAAATGATGCACTCTCATTCTCCTTCGCCTTCGCGATTTCCTTTTACGTCCAGCTCCAACAACTCCAAGGCAGAGAGTATAGTCAAGGTATAAAAGCAGCAGATTCTTGTAACACGAGCATACCCAAATAAAGGAGCGCCAACAAACAATGCGTGTTTGAACATAGAATTTCTATATCAAAGCCGCACAGATCATTATTCAATCACGTCAGCAACCCCAACAAGTCAGTGAAGATGCTGACGGAAAGAAGCGTACTAATCGATGGGTAAATCCAACAACCTTGCCATGCTTAATCGTCTCTTTAAATTACTCGTTCAGCATTGCATAAACTCACTCGCTATTTTAATATTTCACATTTTGACGGCGGTAGTTTAACATGGATACTCGAGAATACCCAGACTCCCTGCGGTCAGAGCTAAAATTCTGGATAACCAAGGCATTTCTGTCTCCCATTACTCAGCCGCCGCCACTTGTCATTGAGGTTTACCTGGACGTCTCGAACGTTCCTCCAGGAAGGGAGGTTGCGTTACAGAGCGGGTGGCGGCTGGTGGATTTAAATGCCCCTGTTAAAAAAGATCGCATTGTACTCGAGCACTGGACATTGGCTTTAAAGTAAGAACCAAACAGACCGATGATAGCATTACCGTTCGATGTTTTCCGTTATTGTTCTTTCTCTTATCGTTTTGTTGGGGTAAAAAACCTCTTGATCTAGTCACCCACTTCCCACGGAGGCTATAGACCTTGGCAGCGTGTACAAAAGATCCATTCTCTTTTTTAGGACTTTGTACGCCTTCGTTCGGCTGCTACCTGCATATGCAGCATACCAGCGCATCATGGCAGACACGGATGATCGCCATTCTCTCGACATTGGATACAGGCTCACAAACATTGCTAACTCAAAAGGCGACGAGATTGGACTAGGTATACTTATGCAGAAACCGCCACATTGCTCACAGCAATCAATTATGGGATAATGCATCATCATGCTAAGTGACCACGCGTACGCGAATTTTAGATGAAGGACCAGATGCGAGCACCGCTACAAAAAGTTTGGACAGCATAGTGACACCGTTAGGGTAAGTTGTTTAAGCTATTCGACGCCTACGACCCTTTCCCTACCCCTTTTTTTCGTCTGAAGAAGATATTGGTTTACATGGTATACATACAAACACACACACATACATACACACATACAGCACATTGGGACTCCAAGTACGATACCGCACAAACTGTAATTTTGTTATCCACGACCCTCTTGCTATTGACGCAGAAGCCACATATGACTCGACTTCACAGCTGATAAATCTGGATCATCATTATTTCAAACCAACAATTGCAAACTACACCTTCAATTTAAGCGACGACGATCCTGTCAATGGAATCACCAAAACTGCATTGAAACCAACAAAGAAAAATTTAACAGACTGGCCGCCCGTACCTCATAGATCTGAATCAGCCCGTGTTACCACAGCAGCAAGAGCAGAGACGGAACGGCGGCATAGCATCCAACATCCTTCCCTATCGCCAACAAGACGAAGCACACGACCTCCGTCCTTATCCCGTCAACGACCCTTATCCATGTATGATGGCAATGCCTTGTTTACAAAATCTGCCGAACCAGCACCATCAACATCAACACGGTTACATATCTCGCCGTTCAAATCAGCCACACTCTCTTCTTCCTCGCAACATTCTTCTACAATGTGTATCGTATCACTATGTTCTCTGCTTATAGTTATGACTGAAAACAATATAGCAAATAATAACATCGGTTGTTATATTTTCTTTCATTAGCATTACGTTCAGCAAAAGGCGAAAGCGAGAAGAGCACAAAATCTAACATTACACGTCGTTTCTCCTCCAGCTTCGATTACAGACATACTGATCGCTATTATCACAGTGCACCTTCCGCAAATTGTGAGATGCAATCGCCCTTATCAACCAAGACACGTAGCCGAAGGTCATATTCTCTTGCAAAAAGACCATCAAACACTACTTCATCAGATCAGGTGAATATAGTACAGCATACACAATATGACTGGTGTGTGATTATTTATAGCTTAAACTGCGATGTAGGACGAAGAGCTCGAAGACTTTGTACGCTCTTTCAATCTTCGGCAAACACCTGGATTTCAAAGCAAAATGATAAACGAAGAAGAAAGCAGTGATGTCATATATGGACCATCGTTAGATATCTCTGCTTCTTCATTTTACCGATCCAAGGTAGTGATAGAGTTGAAATTCCTAAGAGAGAGTGAAACATATTCCTGTTTGAATCCTAAACACAGCTTTCATCTTACTTCTTCGTACGAGAAGAAAGCTTTAGTTCATTTTCAGAACTTGCGAGGCGTACACGACTCCTTATCGCAATCTATAATATCAAGTACTATCTTACCCCCTCTTTCCTCCTCTCTTGAACAGCAACAGCAACAGCAGCAATCAATTACCACGGCTAGTCAAGCTACTGGTGTACTGTCGGCTAGCAAAGATCAATTACCACGGGCATCCAATAGTGACATTAGCGCTAGCAGTAATAGCAGCTTATTATCAACATCTCAATCCCGAGGATCTCCTTTGGGCCGACTGTACCAGCCTCGAGCTCCATCACCGCTGCATACCGAGCAATCGCCGTTACCAACAACAGGATCTATACCAGTACGGATACCAGAAAGAAAGCACCAACATACCGATAACAACATGGCTGATACCACCAGCTCAAACGAGCATCATCACGATCTATATCCACCTTTTATGCAGCGTAACAAAGGATTTAGTGACGACGATAACAATTTATCAACTCCAATCAAAGATACCTCCCAATCGTCGCATGAGCCGCATCAACAGCAGAAACAGCTACCAAAAGACATGCCCAAATACCGCCAATTTCGTCGCAGCACCCAGTTGTCGATAAATACAGAATCAACAAGCAGTAGTAGCGGTGGATTCGAAAGGGAAGAGGACGAACAGCCAAATTCTGCTGCTGCACAGGATGAAGATGATGACTCTCTTGTATTTAAGATGAGTGAACTCGGAATACACGAGCACCATAGCAAATAGATAGAGAGGAAAAAGAAGATCCAAAAGCCAAAGTTTTTCTCGTTTTCCTTATCGACTACTACTGTATAAGTTTTGAAAATATATGTCCTTTTTTCTTTACTCTTTTACTGAATTTTTCTTCGTGCTAGCGCTCGTTGTCTGATCTCTTCTATCTCTGCTGCACGTCGTTTCCGCTTATCTTGTTCAATTTCCTCCATGATCTTTTCGTCTTCAAGTTTGGCTTTTTCTGCTTCTGCATCGTGGTCCATTTCCAACACGTTAGGAGCATCTTCGCCGTTCAAACGCGTTTTTGCCAACTTTCGTATCCGCTCGCGGCCTTCACCCGCCTTGATCCACTCCCACAAAATTTTGCTGACACCTTTCATCACGGCCTTGTTTGTATAGGTGACGTGCATGTACATGACCCAGTCCAGCTCGGAATAGCGAATTCGGTTTCGGTCCAACATATCCGAGAAGGCACACAACGGATGGAGATGCAATGCGACAAGCGACGTGGGTGAGCCTGTAAAGTCGTTCACTTCTGCCGTCATACCTTCTGTCAAGTGTTGATCGGGCGAGTAATGTGAAAAGACCGCTCGATGGGCGCCTTTGTTGGCAATATTTGTAAAGTATCCGGATAAAAAGGACTTGAGGACAGGCACAGGGTCAACCTGACGACCATTCTCGTCATCACCCATGGCTCTGCGTTTGCTACTTTTTGTCTCCTGTTTCCATCGTGGTGCGCGCTTTATTGGAAGACGTGCCTTGTCCATGACATCCACTAGCTGTCGTCGAACGTTTGCCGCAGTCTCCAACACCTTGCTGTTGATCCAATTGTCTTTGCACCAGGACCGGCTTTTGCTGTGCCGTTTCCATTCGTGCCATACATTAAGATAAGTCATATGATCGCCTGCATGGTGTGCGAACCGTAATTTACATTCTTCTGCTTCGATCACGGCTTGTTGTCCACCACGACTACGTGCTGATGGCGCACGGAACAAGTCATTCTCGCCAGCAAGAATGCTTGCAATTGTGAGCACCTCATTGCTACACTCGTACTCTTCAGCAGAACTGACCAAGACGCGAGCAAGAGATGGAGATAACGGAAAATAACTCATTTTGTCGCCTAGTGGGGTTAGCTTGCCTACTTCGTCTATTGCTCCCAGTAGATACAGCTGTTTCAGTGCGTTTCGAACAAGCTTCTCGTCTGGTGGATCGATGAACTCAAAGTTGACAACGTCGACAATGCCCATTTTCTTCAATGATAGAACTGTGCCGAGTAAACTGCTTCGTTGGATCTCAGGGATGGTGTCGACTAACATATGATTGAAACTATCCGGGGTATACAATCTGTATGCTTTACCAGGTGCAGTTCTATGAGCGAATTTACCAGATATTAGAATCGATGGCTGCCTATTGCATTATGCATATTTTCAGGGAAAAAAACAATGCTTTACCTGCCAGCACGTCCAGCACGTTGTGTTGCAGCAGCCTGGCTGATTTCTGTTACAAGAAGTGCGTCCATACCGGTAGTGGCATCATACGTCTTTTCTTTAACAAAACCGGAATCAATCACGTATCGGATTCCTGGGATCGTAACCGACGTCTATGAATCCATAGCTTAATGGAGAATGAAATAAGGAATATTTTGAAGATACCTCCTCCCCTTCTCTCTGCCTTCCAAGACTTAATTAGAATCAGAAACTTACCTGTGCTACGTTGGTTGCAAAGACTACTTTCCGGACACCATCCCTGGGAGCTTCAAATACAGCTTTTTGATCATATGTCTCCAAACTCGCATACAATGGGTAGATGGCAATATCTCTTACCCCTTCATCATAGAACCGCACCGTCTTTTTGTAATCGCTCGTTCCGGCCCGTTCCTGGAAAGCACGACATGCGCGTTCGATATCATTTTGTCCCGTCAAAAACACCAGCAAATCTCCAGCTGGTTCTTGCGTATGGATATGCCACGCAGCTTCAACAGCATGATCGACAAGATTGGATTTGAGTGATGCGAGCCGCTGAGCGTCCTTGTAATAAATCACGTCGACAGGGAATGTTCGTCCAGGAATTTCAAAGATAGGACACTCTTCAAAAAAATCAGAAAACTTTTCCACGTCAAGCGTGGCGGACATGATCAGTATTTTGAGGTCGGGTCGTAGTCGTCGTGTCTTTTTCAACAAGCCGAAAAGAACATCCGTCTCGAGCGTCCGTTCGTGTGCTTCGTCAATAACAACGACCGAATATTGGCTGAGGCGTGGATCTTCTGTTGCTTCACGTAACAAGACGCCGTCCGTCATGTACTTTAGTTTTGTTTCTGGGCTTGTCGTATCGTCAAATCGGATCGTGTAGCCTACAGTTGCACCGAGTCGGACGCCTTGTTCTTCGCTCACGCGTTTTGCCACTAACGTATTTCAATAAAAAGAAGTTAGCTGCTGCTTTTCTTTTCTGACAGCATCCACTCCTAATGGGGTAAGAACATGCCTGTAATGGCAGCAATGCGTCTACACGTAACATAATCGTTGACGGTTAGCAAAAAAAAAAATCGTTGGAATCAGCCAGCTGAATAGATCGCTACTGAGATAATTTACCTAGGTTGAGTAACACCAATCTTTTTCATCTCTGGCATCCCTTCTAAAATGTACTGAGGGATCTGTGTCGTTTTGCCAGAACCTTCATAGTTCAGATACAAAGATATAAAAAGTGTTAAGTTGTTGCCCGCAAATTTCTAGCACATGATAATGATGGTTTACCAGTTTCACCAATCACGACGAGCACACTATACTCTCGAATGGCTTCAACGAGTTCATTTTTAAATTCGAACGTTGGTAAATTCTCTCTTTGTTCAATTATCTTTTGGCTAACCATTTTTATATTATGAGAACAACATATAAAAAGATTGTGTGTGCTAACTTGGATTTTTGCTTCTCAGCACCATACTTTCTTTATTTTATTGACCTAGCGACAAAACGCAATGGTGTCCGTGGAGGAGCCGCAATGGCTCCAACGCTTCCAGAAAAGTATGCATCAAGATCTATCTTTTCACCTGACGCTGGTGGCATAATTGTACATTGACTAAAAACGCGAGTGAATACATTAAATAGCTGTATCTCGGCCTATAACAAGTCATTTATGAGTCAATATGTGACGCAAGAATAGTAAATGCGATATCAAAATAGCAACAGCACGTACCAGAGCTATACCAGGGCAGACACGTCTATCCGCAAAGAATGTCTTTATGAGTACCACACTTTCAAACTAATCATTGACTGTATAAATGCCTGTTTATGTTATACCTTCCCCATCCAAAGTTAAAATGATCCCGTTCCCCTATTTTCTTGGTTGCAAGTATCGACATCGGTTCCAAATGATCCAAGAACCGCTCTGGCCGAAAAATCTTTGGTTCTGGAAACGAGTCAGGATTTGAATGGATGGCAATCATGTTTGCCACCACGGTTGTGCCCTTGGGGATAATGTTGCCGCGCCATTCCACTACAAATATCACATTATAATCAGTACTGTCGCAGCTGGTAATCTGCCAGTGCTGTTCTTACTGTCTTGATCCACCAGATGCGGTGCACCACATGGGGTTGTAGGACGGAATCGCAGGCATTCCTTTTGTACTGCTATAAGATACGGTACTTGATTTCTCTCGCAAAATGTAGGTAATCTCTTGTGTTTGCTTGTAAATGCGTCAATTTCCTGCTGAATCTTTTCCTGAACGTCTGGCATCGTGCAAAGTATAGAAAATGCCCAACCCAATGTTACAGTTGTCGTATCGGACCCTGCGATTACCATATCATCTAATCGAATTACGTTAGAGGAACTGCGTGTTGAACCGATGCAAAGTGAGTATGGGTTGAGAATGATAGGAGAAGATATTTACTGAGGGTGGCAATCACGTATTCCACGTCTAGTTTTTCGCGGATCATGAGCACTTTAGCCAAACAATCCGTGTCGCTTTCCAGTGCCTCCTGAATCAGCTGCATGTAAAATGGATTTCGCTTGTTCTTCAAGAGGTCAGCAAAAGCTTGCTCTGTTCCCGTCCACCGATTCAACATGGATAGGACAGGGAGAAACGCTCCGATGTGGTATTTGACAATATCCGAATGGGCAATGCAACTTTGCAATAGGTCAATCAGCGTAGTAAACAACGGATCGTCGATGGAGGATGTCCGTTTGTTTAAGCATGTAATCAAGATAAAGTTGAGCGAAGCTCGTAAGAGATGGTTGGTTGGATCAATGTCTTCTTGCCCTGCCATCAAGATATCGATAAGCTCGTCAGCTTCGCGTTCTAATACATCGCCCAGTTCATTCTCCAGTTTCTTAGGGCTCAGAACGGATAGCACTATAGTATTACGCAGTATGATGAGCTCATGCATTTATCTGCCCAAAGATTCTGTAGATAGAGGTTACTTCCTCTTGCTTTTCCCTAATACCTGCAGCGCGTGCCTGTCTCCAGCTTGGCGTAGGTTGTGAGAATACAATGCCCCTATAGTTATTACTTTAGTTATAAGAAAATCTGATGTTGTTTCCAGCTGTGTATAACTAAAGTGAGTTATTACTTCTCCTCACAGCTATAGAATTCGGAAAGCAAGCGATAAAAAGGTTTGCCAGATGTGTTATTGCGTTCTTTATGCAAGATCTCATATGCAATATCAGCTCTTCCTATCATGATCCATGGCTTGACCCCTAATTTGAGACCGAAAATAGGACCTTGTTTTTCCACAAAAATACGATATTAGCAAGACGTTCCTGCTCAACGTTACAGATTCTTTGTTCCTTCAGATGGCTGTCATATTATTTACCCAACTCATGATGCCACTGCAAAAAAGTCTTCCGTGGATTTTTACCAATCGCAAAAAGATGGCCTATTTGAATCATGAGTTTGCTAAAAACAGATTGTTAACCAGATTAAAAAGCTCCAAACTAACCGATATAAGGTATGGAGCCTTTGGGCTGAGGGATTGTATATGCAGTAGGATTATCATCATCAGCGTGACGATAACTTTGAGAAGCGTGTTGTTTTTGGACAGCACAGAATCGGTAAGTAATGGTGATAAGAACCACAAGACCAAGTGCTGCCGAAATCTCCTTCCCATGACCATGTATTCGTAAACATTTGTCCATTAGATGCCAAAGCTGAAAGAAAAGAAAAGAAAAGGAGGATAAGAGTATACAAAAAAGGAGCGACACAGGCGATCGTAATAAACGCTTTCTCTTCCTTTTATGAGACGGCACAACAAACATGCAGTATACTAATGCACATGTTAGTTATGAGTGTCTAATAGATTAGAAGCTTATAGTATGGCGGCTATTGTCCACAAGTGAAAGGTTGTGTTTAGCCACCTGACATTAGATTTAGGTACACCGAAAGCATGATCACGTTGTTGCCTCAACTGACATCATTATTGCACACATTTGCTAGTATTAAATTTAGAGTCGCGTATTTCTACTATTGTTAAGCTACGTCCCCAGAGATGGGGATCTGTTTGGTTACAAAAACACAAACAAGGACATGCATACTGAATACGCTGGTTCCATTACGTACCCACATGACCATCATTTCTTGCCCCTTTTGCTGATCTCATGTAAGACACTCGTGAGCAACTACGACTACGCTATTACTGTCATAGCGCCTCATCCTACATATCACAATCTGATAAATTCAGAAACTGTTTCATAATCAATAGCCTGCGCTGGACAGGTCAAGTACATGACTATGAGCTTTATACATTACTTGAAATAAGGCACATCTATAAGCCGGAGTACAATAGGTTTGATCATGAAGATGTATACAACATATAAGTCTTGTATTAAGTAGCTGAATAATTTATAGAAAGTGGGAAAAAAAGTATTAGGATTTCAAAGAGAGGAAGAATTAAATAAAGGCACAAAAACGGATCCACAGCGACGGTGGAGGAGAGGCAAACAAAAATTGTAAAAAGGAACATGGGGAAAGCGATTATAGTAGAGAAGTAAAGTTTTTGGAGAGATAGTAGAGAGGGACAACGGGCGGAGGTGGGGTGACAGTAGTATAGCATAGGAATTATCTATTAAGCAGAAACAGCTTCTCGCTTTTTGAAGCTCATGATGCACCCATCCTGGGGATAAATGGTTGCGAAAATACTAAAGTAGGGAGGAAGCATATGAGAAAAACACACACTTGCAAAGAGACCTTTCTGTTGAACATTCGTTAAAGACACTTACGAGATTTCGTCACTCTTGTCGGTGCGGTAGTGAGTCCACTCAAGCTGGAGTGAGGCCTGAGCAATGATAGCCATCAAGTGCATCATGGCGTATTCCTTGCCCAAGCAGTGATGAGGGCCGTTACCAAAGACCATGAAGTTCTTGGGGTGCTTCTCGGCCTGGCCTTGTGGGCCCCAGCGGTCGGGATTGAAGCTGTCTGGGTTCGGGTATGCAACGGGATCGTGCAACGCAGGATAAGTGGTTGGGATCAACATGGCTACAAAACATTTTGGTGTACAGTGAGTCGCACAGTACTACTACGACTACTGCTGCTGATGCTACTTGAGCTACCAAGTCTCAAAGAGCACACACTTACCGTTCTTGGGCACAGTGTACTGATCGGTAATGGGCCATTCGCGTGTAGTCTTGTATGGGACTTTTTAAACAGAAATCAAAGAAATGAAACGTGAGTCGATGGGTTAAATAAGGCTTTAAAGGGGGGAAGCGAGAGGGAGAGGTCAAAGTTGAGGAGCCATTAAGGTTTCATTAACTTACCCATGAGCACTGGTGGACGGAGACGCAAGATCTCCTTGACAACTTGACGCAAGTAGGTGGAGGATTCCATCAACTCGAGGGTCAAAGGCTGATCCAACTTGCCCTCGCGCACGCGGATTTGTTCTTCACGCACACGGTCGAGAACATCGGAATGATCAGCAAGTAACTGGAACGCCCAGGTCAAGGCTGACGACGTGGCATCCTGACTGGCAAACAAAAAGGTCAAGATCGTCAAAGCAATTTCACGATCGTCGAACTTGCGTGGCGCGGGTTTGCCAGCCTTTTCGCTTTCAACCTCCTCCTCCTTCATTGCCTGGAGCCAGGCATCCATCAACGACTTGGGCTCCTCGCCGGTTTCCATGCGTTTTCTGCCGTCCTTGATAGCTTCAATAAAGTGCTTGACAATGTACTTGCGGGATTGAATGGCCTTGTAGACCTTGGTGCCGGGAAGTGGAATGGGAAAGTTGACAAGTTCGAGGGCGGCGGTGATGTTGAAGTATTCGAGAGAGATGCGCTTGGCAACCTCGTCCGACATGTGGTCGCCCAAAAACACACGGAGCGACGACTCCATGTTGATTTCACGGAAACGCATCCAGTACTCTTCGACTTTACCGTCGAGCGAGAGCCATTCGTTAAAGTGGCGCTCGTAGACCTTCTCCTGGATGGGAATGTAGATGCTAGCAACACAGAAAGCGTTTTTTCCTTTGGTCAGAGCCAATCCTCGAATGCCCACAATTTCTCTTTCATTCTTCTCTCTCCCCAATGGTAGTTTACCCGAGAGCTCGTCGAGTGAAAAGGACGTTCAACCCGCGACGATAATCGACGTGAGCCTTGCCGTTCAAAAACACCCAGTTGTCAGGGCAAAGGATATAGGTCATCGAATCAACGACGGTAGGCTCGGCAAAGGCGGGCGAATTGAGGATTTTTCTGCTGATATCGCAAGTCGACGCAATGACGACGAATCTGTTTGCGTTTGCAACCCGGGAAGGAGGGGAGAAAGGCAGGGTCAACAACACATTGTTGTGGATGGGAACCTGAGTTTCATACATGACCTCTTCTTACCTGTCGAACACACTCACGCACGAGAGTTCACCGCTCTTCCACTTGCTCATGTAGCCCTCGAAGGTGGGGTAAAGAGAGTCCAGGAATGCACCGATGATAGGGATCTTGAACTTGGGACCGGGCAAGGACTTCTTCTTGCTCAGATACCAGTACTGTTCGTAAGCGAACAGGCCAACGACAGCCGAGCAAACGATGGCGGTGGTCGAGATGTTGGGCTGTGAGAAGGCGGTCTTCATAAAGGATGTCAAGGTGGTTTTGGCCGACTCCAAGGTACGTGGGTCGAAGATGCTACCGAGGACCAGAACAACAACAACAAAATTAAAGGAGTCAGCTGCACAAGCAACAACAAAAAAATTTGACGGATCGACCCGATCGGCTATGTTTATATTTACCTGCTGCTGGCCATACTGAGAGAGCAAAAAGAAAGAAATGATATAGTATGCGTAACTTAGCAACTCGCAATTCTGCCAATAATTCTCCATCGCGCCATGAGCACCGACTAACGATTGGGGCGGCACTTACTTGTTAAAAGAGGCAGATGACACGCGTTAACGAGATGAACAAAATAAGAGAGAGAGAAAGGTGTGTACAGAGGAGGGAATGAGGGTCAAATGCGGAAGAAGGTCTGCTCGAGAAACAATAAGGCAAATAGGCCGGGCCGATAAGAAGCGCAGAGGAAGAAGTAGAGAGAGTGGAGTAGTAAAAGAAAGAAGGGAAAAAATATAAAAAAAAAAATCCTCGAGGCACAACCAACTGTTTTCGGTTCGAGAGAGCAAATTCAGCAAGCGCTTCTGTGCGGGTGTCACCCCCGACTAGCCCGTTTCCCACCCAGAGGATAAGCGTTGCTGCTGCTGGTGGTACTACTGCTACAACTCCTCCCCTCGTTGCTATGATACTAGGTAGCAGAGCAGTATAGCTACTAATTAGCTAGCCCCCTCCCCGCTCCTTGTACAATCACTATGATGATAACATTCGGGGCTGGACCTGCTGACACATTAGCTTTTGGACTGGCCGACACTGACAGCCCAAGCTTTGTTGCTTTCTTCATGGCTCAATCAACCAAATCTTTCGATATTATCCCGGTTTGCGATAAAACATTTCGGAAATAAAATATTAGCTTTGCTGCGAGATGGTCCGAAAGGGGGCCAATCGAAAGGGGGGGGGGGTTTTGTGTATAGGATGGGACGCATGTTACACAGACTACTAGAAGAAATGGCGCCATGAGTTGTTTCTCACACCAGAAACGTCGTTTGGGAAAACAAGTCATATGATATTAAGCGCACAGAAGCGATCTTCTGCCATGTTGCCCTTGACGTTACTTTGGTTAATAACCTACAGCGCTACTGTGCACCAGTTACCATAGCTACCGTAGTATAGCGCTGTTTCCATTGCTTTGGTTGACGAAGAGGAGGAGGAAGGGTGATCAATTGACTCCCCCCTTAAATGATATCTACACACAGTTAGTGAGATGTTTCGCAGGTGGTCGGTGCTGCTGCTGTGGTGCAGCTTTGGCCAGGTCTCGGATGAACTTGGTCCAGCCGTTTAGAAGGGGGGGATGGAACAACTTATGTAAATGACTTGGTCTCTTGTTCCTTGATCATTCAAGCGAGAAAACATCAAATTTGTGCACCAGGATCGCCTCCCCCTGAGTGTTTACTTTTTGCCCCACATGTTGTGTGCAAGCACATGGAGAGCTGCAGCCTTAGCGTTGCAGCAGTAGCATCTATAAACAATGAAGACTTTATTTCGCTGATCTCGAGTAACACAAAGACCGACAAGCAATTGTATAAAAAGCCACTGAAACATTTGTCTCTTTTTCTATATAGACTGCTTTGCAGAAAGGAAATAGATCGGGTCATGATCCGAATACTTGAAAGCTAAATGCAGTAGAGTTGCTAATTATAATGCGCCTAAAACAACGTCATCGACAGATGCACGCACAAGCAGTGCAAGTGTCCTGAGCCTATGCTATCATCGTAATAAGGTTTCCATGGCAGTAGTAGTAGTAGCAGTAACCATGACATCAACAACGCCGTGGAGGGATTGCCAGAACCATTCATGGCATGAACCGCCACAGCAGAAAGTATACCCTTGCTAGGTATATATAGCGATAGCTACTTGTGTGTGTGCCTAACCACAAGGATCTACCGATAAACAAACAGTTGCAAACCTTCCTATATGAAAAATTGCGCACACGGCATAATAATTTTCAGCTGTCAAGAGGCTCCGCTCGCTCGCTCGCTCGCAGGTGCTGCTCCTGCTGCTGCTGGTTGAACTTATAAAGTTTTGATAGTGTAAGCATAAATATGAGTTCAAGGTTGCTGGGAGCTGCTGCTGCAAAACCGTTTTTGGCTGGTCCTTTTGTGCGCGCCCCTTCCTCTTCTTTCACAAGAATGTCAACTTCCTCTGCTTACAAGGTTGCCACTTCGGGCAAGCCATTTACGCCTGCCTACCGCGTTCAGATTCGTACGATGTGTTTCCTTTTTTAATTCAAAATGAACTTGCATCCCCACGTTTTTCTCACACTGACACACACATACACGTTTACTTTTCCGCAATTCCGTTTTTCTTTATTGCAAACTATAGAAAAGGACGGTCAAAAGATCTCGCCTTTTCACGACATTCCTCTCTATGCCAACAAGGAAAAGACATTGCTTAACATGGTTGTTGAAATTCCTCGGTGGACGAATGCCAAAATTGAGGCAAGTCAGCAACAACAACAATGATCACCCAAACAGTTTCCCAGCTTCCTTTTCTATACCCATCTACATAAATCGCTATTCTCGTTATCTTTTTAGCGATATGACTTTAATATCTAATATGTGTTAAATCAATAGATCGCTACATGTGAAGCCTTCAATCCTTTAAAACAGGATGTCAAGAAAGGCAAAGTACGCTTTGTTCGCAACTGCTTCCCTTACAAAGGTTACATCTGGAACTATGGTGCTTTACCACAGGTAAGATCATCCTTGGAAATATCTGTAAATACCTAGTTTTTTTTTTCTCGTGGGTAGTAAGAGACTAATGCAGGGAGAGTAGACGTGGGAAGATCCAACCAGTGTGCATGCCGATACCAAGGCGCGTGGTGATAACGATCCAGTTGACGTGTGTGAAATCGGTGAAGGCATTGGTTACTGTGGCCAAGTCAAGCAGGTCAAAGTACTTGGTGTGATGGCTTTGCTTGATGAAGGCGAGACCGACTGGAAGTTGATTGCTATTGATAACAGAGACCCGATGGCAGAAAAGTTGAATGGTAAACAAATGTGCTTTTGTGTTGAAGATTGCCCCCCCGCGTCGCCCAATACTTTGCATTAACACTTTTTTTTCCGCTACTTTAGATATTGCTGATGTAGAAAAGCATCTTCCCGGTCTAATTGACGCGACCCGTCATTGGTTCAAGGTCTACAAAATGCCCGATGGAAAGCCAGCCAACAAGTTTGCATTTGATGGTCAATGCAAAGACAAGGTAAGGGCATTCCTTCAGCAAATCTACAGAAGTAGCATCATCTGAGTTTTAAAAACAACGGATGGATAGGCATATGCAACACATGTGATTGAGGAAACCCATGACGCTTGGAAGCGATTGATTCAGGGCAAGATTCCTGCCAAGGCAGATACCCATGATATTAGCGTGTATGTATTTTTTTTTGAAAGGCAAAGGTAGCAGAAAAAGAAGAGATGCTAATTTGCAAAAAAAAATATGTTTATCAGTGCCAACACGACAGTCGATGATTCTCCTTACAGAATCAACGACGGATCAAACGTTAAATCCGTGGAATCGGTAAGAAATATAAAAGAACCTATCGGAATAACTTACTTATATCTTTGATATAGGATACTACATACACGAAGCAAGAACCCAAGATCGACGGAAAGGACGACAAGTGGTATTACATTAGAGCAAGTCTTTAAAGGGGAATATAATGCATACATTTATATATACACATGATTTTAAAATTAGAAGCTCTTTCGAGATATTAATAATAGTATTAAAATGGGTTTAGTAAAGCTGACCAAGACAACCAAATGCTGTGTGACGAATTCCCCCGGTTGTTTGGATTTGTTTGTTCAGGGCGTTCAATGACGAAGTCCACGGCACATCCATTGATACTAACATGATATGCGGTTTTTCTTTCGAAAGCGATTAATTCATACATGGATCAACCGACTTTACGAAAGGACACAGTCAAAGAGATTTCTTATTTTGAAGAAAGGAGTACAAACCAGGGCCTCCATGTTTGGCGCTAACCGTTGGTATAGGCAGAAGATACCGATAAAAGAATTTGACGACGCTGGTGTAATGCTGCCTGATGTGTTCCCATATTCATGCCATAAAGATACTGACTGTTGGGTTTTATATTCCAAGTTATGTTTGGCGATCATCACAAAAAACACGTTGAGTCAAAGTCCTTACGAAGAAAAAGTTTTAGGTTTATTAGCAAACATTTTTCTTTTAAGCGCAATCCAAGATATACGCCCTTGCTCCGTTGCTACTGTCATACATAAATATCGTTTCATGTAAGCTTGCTTATAAAATCAATGATTTGGACGCCGTTGCCATGGAGATACGTCAAGTGAAATCCAGCTGCTGTTGCGATGGTGAAGAACATTGTGTTTGCTATAAAAACATCAAAATAGACGCCGTTTGCCGGTAATACGCAAAGTAAGGATACACGTATACGGCTGAGTTCTTAGAGTATTAATCCACGGTTGCTGTGGGGAATTTTGACATGCCTAGCAACTGTATCTGAATGACGTTGGTGTAACATGCCTCGTGCATAACAACCGTACCTGAAGAAACCATATGTGGTTGAAGACTTGGCAACCATACAGAAATTCAAACCTTGCACATAATTTTTAAGCCTTCAAATATCATTTTTCTTTTCAAGATTAATGATTGTAAGTGCATTAATTCATCTTATTTTCGTGAGGAAGTCTTAATCCTATAATATATAAGGTTCTACCTTTTTTGTACGCTTTTTAGCTGATATTAGTGGCAACAAAGTAAAAGAAACATGGCCCTGAGTATATGCTCACCGACTACAATAGGAACAGCCTATAATTCTTCTTGAAGATCTTCAATTACTCAATGTAGTAGTAATGCTTGAGGAAGTATATATACATGAGCAGTAACGGTGAAGAAGAGAACCTCTAAATCAGCTTCCAGTACAATGGCTTGTTTTTAGCTATACTTTTTTCGTTGCTTAAAAGTATTGCATGGCATGACCGTTTAATCAGGGCAAAGCCAAAAATATATGGTAAATTGTTATCGATAATACATCGGTACATTACTTTCCAACAATTACGCTGTGTTTGCTTTTCGGTTAAAAAGAGGCTAACTAGAAGCTACGATACAAAGCCTTCACCTCGGAAAATAATAAAACTTACGCATTTCGTTTTTTGGATATAAAGAAGAAGGCTGCTAATTAGTATATGAACACAAAAACAGCGGATGATCCAATATATACATATGGATTCATCATCATGCACTTGCTCACTTAACAACCATATGATACAGTTCCAACAATTGTGAAGCCTTTGTTTAATCGTGCACCACGATCACCCTCCTGACACGAAAGCTTACATCCAAAGCATAGTAATACTACTTGTTTTATTATCTAAATAATAATACTTTCTACATGCTTTAATCAAGCCTGACCGCGACTCAAATGACCAAAAGAGTTGCTGAAGAAATAAAAAGAAAAACCGCGCGATCATGCGAAAGATGGTGCCTTGACTGTAACCTGTGCTCTTTGACGAGTGCTCGTCTTATGCTAATAAAGTAACAAAGCCGTAAAAGTTATAAAAGATGGAAATGAAATATGTTGATATAAGGTCACGTTTGCAAACATCATCATATAGCATAAAGGACTCAAAACAGCGTTTGAGGTCTTATTCATGTAAAATTTTGAATGTGAAAAGCTTTCAAAGGGTTAGTACGCATAAAAAATCTAACATACTCGTGTTTTAAGAAATAAGGATGCTAAAAAATGTTTATAGCATAGTAACAATTAACATATGGACACCTCTCGCTTGACTGTATATATCTGTGGCAAAAAAAAACATTAGTAAGATAAGTTCCTTTCACACAAAGATGGGACATGATATAATAACTATGATGCCATAGTGCACTTGATACCAAGAAGCGCACGCTGTTGTACACATGATTTGTACAGTACATATACAAAGCGGGCAGATACGTTACTGATAGTTCGGCAGGAAAGAAACGCACACAAATAATTCGTTTGAGTAACTTTTTCTTCAAGCACACGTTTTGATGAACTATACTGAAATCCTGCAACACAAGGAAAAAGAAACTTTGTTGTTTCCAACAAAACCAATTTCATGTACCTTCTGTGCTGAGTTAAAAAAAGTAGTAATACGACAGTACAACACATCTTGCACCATTTAGAGTATAGTATATGTGTAATAGACAGGGCTCTAGTGTACAGGTTTTTTTCTCATGATGGCGGGGTTCTTTTCTTACTATGGCGTTCGGGGGTGCGGCGTGTTTTTTGTGATTGGCAGAAGCTGAAAACTACAATGGCGGCCTGCTTTTTGTGATTGGCATAAGGTGAAAATTACAATGGCGGTGTGAGATGGCGCCTCAAAATCGCCTGTTAATATAACATAGGTGCACCATTACCAAACTTCGACTTTAATATACGATAGATGTACCACACCAGACTTCAACTTCAAAATTACACGGACGCCGAACAACAATAATCCATTCCAAATTTAAAATGTTTGAATGTTTATACGGTTATTTATTATTACGGCGGCGTCGTTCCAATGCAATATGTTTTCCTGCAGTGGAACGACGCATTCCTGCTTTTTCTGCTGCAGCAGCTATCGTCATCTTCTCCTCAAAATATAGCCGGAAAAGGTTCGTGTTCGTTGCTTGGGTGACGATATCCCTTGTTCTTGGTTGCTCTAGGCCTTCCAAAACTTGGAATTGGACCAGATGGCTATATAGAAATATTTCATGAATAATTCCGTGTATAGTTGAGACAACAAGCATTTCGGGAATAAATTATACTTGGAACTTACCAAGATCCATCTGGTCATCCATGATAGGATCCACTGGAAATGCCATCTGGGAATTGGGATCCAAATCTAGGATCGTTCGATGAAGGGGATCGTATAGTATGTCAGTGTCAAAATCAGGGAAATAAAAGATGGTTCAATATTGGATGTTAAAGGCGCCAAATAAATGCAAGATGACGACTTAAAAGATGGTCACAACAAATCTCTTTTTTTTTTTATCAGCCGCCAATTGTCGGAAAAGCGCGGGGCGGACTCGATCTGAATTAATGATATGTTAAAGTAAACCATTTCCCAACGGGATGTAATCTTTCCTTTTATTGCACTTGACTCATGTGGGAAGAAGTGGGGGCACAAGGAGGGTGTCACCAGCATCATCGTTTTCTCCGGTGTTGAGGACCGAAGAAACGGGGACGAGTACACGTTCTGTACAAAATCCGTCCGAGGGTTACGACACCGGAACCTGAGTAATGCCGCTAACCGTGATTGGACGGTTTTTGTCAGCTTTACCTAACAGGATTTAGAAGCTTATCAACAAAATGTTCGATTTAGGAGAGAGTGGGGGTGGGCGAATTCACTTCTTGGGGCCTGGCAATGAAAATTTCTTCCCATTATTTTGGAAGAGTCCCATGGTTTCATTTGGATCACTTAGATTTCTATATCATACACACCTTCCCAATGTCTTCATATTGAAGAACATCTGAAAGAAAAGAGAGTGCAACCTGTATTGAATTCAAATACAACTTTTCTGTATACAGTGAGATTCCTTGATGGTTGATAATTACCTTTTTTTAGGTGATATATTCATTCGAGTGTTGATGCAAATTTGAAAGTTCACACGTTGACAGACAACTGTTGAGTACTTCTTCGATGGAAAAAAAAGCTCTTGAATGGTTATCAAACACCTCCAAAATTCAGTTGTCTTCCACAACTGACAAACAAATTTACAACAAAAGTTTCCACTTTTATGAATAACAATAATGTACACAGTCAAATGTGTAATATTAAGATTGAAGAGAATATCATTGTGCTAAATATTCTTGCACCTCACTCTTTGACTAATCATTATCAATCAATAGCACTCTTTAGTAAACCGCAACGAACAGTAGTTTAGAACTTTTACATTTAAGCATTCTTTAAATAGTTTGATTGAAGCGTTTATCTAGACTTCTTTTTATATGGCTAGACAAATATGTCCATGGACGGACAGTGAACAATATACAACGAGTATATAAGCCATATTATGTGATTTACGCTAATGGATTAAGCAAGAAAATTATTATCCTCGTTGCCGAATTTAAGCCGCCAAAAGCACATCAACGTCTCGGATCTGAATACGTAGAGCTAGGAAAAGAAATGCGTATATTGACAAAACGACTCGACGAACTCGGTATTGGGAAGCCTGTCGCGAGTGGTATCTTGGCATTAAAAGACACCATCCATACCTTTGTACTGGTGCTGAGATATGCTAAAGTATACGCGACTATTCTATTATCCAAGACACTATTTGATGTCAAGAAAACGATTTGATTTAAACAAGATATCCACATTAGCTTTTGCTCAAGGTTAATCCATTGAATTGAATACGTAATATAATATTTTTTGATTAATCTTTTTCTGTTAGATCCCACAACGTTGCTTACCATTCTTTCATATCCCTTCATCGTCCTCCCACTTGGTATGATATACACTTTATCAAATTCCTTAGTCACAACATCAATTCACATTGTCAATAAAAAAACAGTTATTATAGGTATAATCATACAACACTTTTCTCCTCTGAAAAAAAAATTAGGTAAATATCATTCTGAGGGATCGTGTTCACCTGTTAAAGCTTTTTTAGTACATTCGTTCTGGAGTTGCTTGGTCACTATTCAAACAGAAAAAACCAGAATCGACTCTCTGTATAAAAATAATGACAATCTGATCAATCGGAAAGCACTTGATTAATAGAAAAGCCTACCTTGCCTTCTTCACATTCTTGATTTCCCTGATCTTCTTTTTTATTAGCAAACGGGACTCAATTTGTCGTTATAAGCTGCGCGTTGTTGTCTCCATAATTAATCAGCGGTTTTGGTTTTTTTTTGCCAGCTGTAAAAAAAGATGATCGAGGGATTGGATCATATAAGCATCGTGTGACGACACATTGGAAGCTTTTTTGTCAGTTGTGGGAGACGATTGAGAGGTAGAGATAAGTAGTGTTATGTTATCTTCAACGACGCCAATAATTCTTGTGCTATACTGAACTATGAAGAATTGGAGTGCTCGACAACATTCAAGAGTTTTTTTTCTGGCAAAAGTTTGCAACAATTGCCTGTCAACGTGTCAACTTTAGATTTTTTGCATCAAAAATCGAGCCACTATATACAAGCTCACTTAGAAACAGGCACATTAAGAAAGTATGGGGAACTAATAAATCTACCATCAAGGAATCTAATGCATCTAGAGAAGTTGCATCTGAATCCAATACCTACATGCTGCGATTTCTATATCTCTCGGGTGTATCCAGTATGAAGACACTGAGAAAAGTATATATTTTTCTCTGTTTTTGATATGGAAAAGGTATCTAGAGCGATTGAAGGAGGAAGGTTGTCCTTGAAACGTAGCGTAATGCAAATCACGGTTAATGGAAAACTACAAGAAACTACTTTCTTCGGCAGATCCAGAAAGTGAACCCCACTCCCCACCACTCAAAATATCGTATTTGGAAAGGACGTAATGACAAAAAAAGAGAACCCCACATTAGCCATCAAGTTGTGTGATAGGTGACACCAAAAATATCTTGTGTGTGCGATTTTGTAAGTGGATGTATGGTGATCAATGCTGCGGGTTCTCAAGATTTAGGTTTCTTCCCTCACATCACCAAACCATATAGAAAGAAGGTGTTACAGATAGAACAATGGCGAAAATACTTTAGCTTCTTAGGCTGGACTACACAATAGTCGACCTCTTGCGGTCAAAGGACGCAGAAGCATATTTCTTCAAATGCATCAAAGCAGGTCGTATTTCAGGAGGATATCACCTTTGAAAGAGACAATAATCAATTCAATATATTAAAGCGCAGTACTACCAAAGATTAAGTCCATGTTCGGTTCTTATTTGAAGATAGCGGTATCACATGATGGTCGTAGTATGTTTATTGCGTTAATATCCAATGGATTCCATGTGGACTTTAGCAGTCCATAGGTAGCTGGCCCATCAAGGAAACGAGAGTATAGTCTGACTTGATAAACAAAAACATATGCTGTGAAAGATAACTCGTTGTGTGGCGTCACAGCTACTAGAATATATACAGCTTGCTGATACAACAAAACAGCAACTTTCAAAGTCTGACCATCCGTCTCTAACGTTTACTTGATTCAATTAGCATGCTATATCCCTACAGCCGCTATATAGCAAATGGTTCAACCTGCTTCTCTATAGAGAAAAAAACCAGTCGGTGTTGACTTTTTAACACATGACAGTTGTCTGACAGCACCATCTGATGCTTATTGTTTGGCAGGTCGGCATATAAAGAGAGCCCGCAATTTAATTGAGTGCCCTTTTTTTCTCGCGCTAATAGTTTTTCACACTATGAGGATTAATCAGCATGAATTAGGATGTTTCTCGTAATGAAGCGCCGGTTTCGTACAGAAACTCTGTTATTTGTTATGCGCCGACAACCGCGGAAAAATGTTTCATTCAAGCCGGACCCGATGAGAGATTGCCCGGACAAAGATACAGAATTCAAGGAATCCCAATGTGCAGATAGGACCATCAGCAGAGAATTCCGTCTATTTCCATTAAGCTCAAGAAATCTTATCTTTCCTATTTATGAAAGGAAGAAGAAGCTAATGCAGATATGACGTTTCATTTAAAAAAAACTACGAAAGTAGAGTGTGAGTTTTGCTTTTTCTCAAAAATATGATTAGATGGGTAAGTACACTGCATTAAATGGGTTAGCGGAAAGGTATTAGCCCTTAATCCTAAAACGAAGTAGTTGTCATCCATTTCTGGTCTGAGAATCATTAAACAAGTGACAATGCTAAACGATTATCTAAACACCTACTATATTAGTATTACGTCGAGAGTGTGTGTTTGGTTTTGTTTCAATCTTTTCCTGGGATCAGGTTACACCGGGCCAAGGGAAATAGGAAAGGGACAATGTGTTGGTATGGAACGGGTAAACTATCAACATCTGGCAAAAATTTCTTCTAAATACCAAAGTAGTTCCATCTTCGTACGGATCCAACGGACCGATGTTTAAACTCCGAAGGGGGGTGGTGGTGGTGAAAAAATAGAAAAAAATCACATAAGCGATGATGAGAAACAAAGGGCCCTGAGACAAATCAATAATCGGGGGGAGGGGGCGTTTGTTCTTGTTTACGTACGCCCTGCTAAATTAGAGTGCGGTGGGTTTTTTGAAGCAGCACACAAACAAGGATATACCCAAGAAAGGACAAGGGGCCGGAAGAACAGGTTCAAAAAGTTTCTCCAAGCAAAGCAAGCAACAACAAACAACAAACAACTTGATTGTGAGCGTGTGTGTGTGTGTGTGTGTCATAATATCTATCATTGCCATAATCATTTTGTCACCTGTTGCCATGTGCATGAGGTGTGAAAAGAGGAGATAGAAAGTGGTATGGAAGGAGTAGGAGGGGGAGGGGCAAGTAGAAGGGGAAAGATGGTAATTCTTTGTTCCTCTTCTCCGCTTGCTGCTGCTGCTGCTGATGATGATGATGATGATGATGCTTCTTGTCGTTTGTCTCTATTCAGTAAAGAGGTAATAATAATAGCTAGGGTCAATAGACATGTAAGGTAAGTAATAGTAATAGAAGAACGGTGGTCGATCAAATAGAGTATACGACTTGCCTAAACAAGTAACCCTGCCATGGCTCATTTGACATTTGGGCGTCCTTGCGTCCTATCCAGCCAGATGAGCATCCCTGCTCTGCATGGCTTTTGGGGGGGGGGCAAGCGTATTGTGCTTTTCTTCTCTTTCTTCGGTGCAGTGCTAATTAACATGCGTTTCATGTTTACAGTGAAGCTAGGACGCTCTTTAGAAAAACAAACATAACCTGCTAAGAAGAGAATGGCTGATGGATACAACATGATGAGCTCAGGAGCTGTTACAGATCACACTCTATTAGTTTCCTTGATAGCGACTCTTGATGAATTGGATATACATCCATATATGAAAGATCACTATTATATTGAGCACCCATTCACACATATGAAAACGTAAAGAAATACATTGACTATCGAGGATAAAACTGTGTCTGCTCTGTCTCCTGAGCTTAGCCCAACAACAGTTAGAACAACTCCAAGGCAATAGCAGGATGACATTTGGCCTGCGAAAGTGTGGAGAAAAGTCACTTTGAAGGTTTCTTACAAGTGCTGGGATAATAAATGTCGAAACAAAGAGCCCATGTAAAGGACACAAACAGCTTAATACTTGATAAGAGATATCAGATCATATATAATCAACGATGATGATGACAAGGCAACACAGTGTGAAGTGAAACTACATGGACAGTTTGTTAAGAAGATAATGATCGAATTGGGGATATTTTTCGTCTATATATCACATTTGTGTCCATGATCAAGCCAAAGAATGATGGGATACAAGCGATAAAGACTATAAGTGTAAAGAGCACTTTTTCATATCATACCCCATCTATGACTGATAAGAAAACGGCGAGTAGTTTATATACTTGACAAGACGAAAGAAGGTCATTTCTTCCCACTCCCAGCTGGGGACAGCAATTGCTAGACTTGCCATTATGCTTTTCATGCCAGATTTTAAAAATTGTACTTGGTGGGGGGTGGGGGGGCAAAGATGAATTCTGAATTTCTAGAATATAGTTTTCAGCTTCACTAACTTACTGTAAATGCTGACACTCACCGCTCAAAAAGGATCTTGGCGATCATTTCTTCTTTCCCACAACAGGGGGTGGGATTCACCCGCGACAAAGAAAAGAGAAGAGCACATCATCATACATGCATAACATATAATACTTTCCTATCTCTTTTCATCCTGCCGACACATGAATAAAATAGAATGCTATTATGCATGCTCTCTAATTTCTCCTGCACTGCTCTTGGAAGCATCTTATCCTCCACCACCCTTTTTTGTTCTCAGGCCAGGGCAAAGGGAACTTGGACGGAAAAAAGAAACGCCCTTGATTTTGACAGTTTTGCGGCTGTACTACGTTTCTCGCATGATGTTTTTTTTATCTAGGGAGAAAAAACCCTCCTCTTTTACAGCAGAAAGAAAGTTAGAGGCAGATGACACATATCAATACACAGAAGCCTGGTTTTGATATTTGTTTGTCGCTGTGTGTCGTGATGAAGGAGAAGCAGTTGTGAGTGACATAATGGAAAAAGCTGATCCGCGGTCATCACCGAAATAGCAAATACGTCTCGTTTCCATCCATGTGTGGGCATGGAGCATTCAAATATTCGATCCGACGGCACCTGTGGGGGAGGTGCTTACTACTATAATGCCTGCGCACACTAATTTGTTGTTGTTGTTGTTGTTGTGCGTTGTGTTACATGTCTGTATATATGCGGGTCCTGCATGCAACACACACACACACACAGCAAATACTAATATGGTGGGAGTCAGCTTGAAGGGAGTTTTTTTGCAAAAATTATTTCAAATACAAATACCGCTAGGGTAGTACAAAAAATTTATTCAGGAAAATCAGAGAAGTCAAGGGTTGGAGGTAAGGTGCGATGGCTTTTGTATTTTTTGGCAGCCCACTCAGCATGCTTAAAATCGAGATCCCTGCTGTAAATTTCAATGAATCTCCAGGCACGCTTTTCATAATGAATTATGTGTTGTATAGGGATTCGTTGAGGAAGCTGGTGGACGCGTTCTTGAAGGGATTTGAAGGAATAATCACATTCTTGTCTAGTAATTCTCTTCATCTCTGCCCACACTCTTTCGATCCAGTTACACTCACAATGAAACTTTGGATATTTCTCAAAGATCATGTGGTGTTTGAAGCAGATCTCCTCCAAAAGGGACTTTTGTGCTTGGAAGTCTGGTTGACTTGACATAAGGTGCACTGCACAGCAATTACCAGAGTTTTCGCGTTGACAATAGCGAATCAAACCTTCAGCTGGCCAAAACCCTCTCTCCTTGATAACAGCGCTTAGCCCACGGGGAACACCAGCATCATCAACCATACGCTGAACGACCCATTGACCATCAGGTCCGATATAGCCACCGTTACGGGAAACGATTTGCTTTCCTGCTGGACCCATATTCATTCTATAGGCTTTGAGAGCATCATCCGGCATCGCAGAGTGATTAGAGCTTTGGTCAAAGCAGAAGACGCCAATGCAGTCACCGTGAAGCACTTTGAATTTCTCGATGGCTGATTCAAGCTGCTTCGCCATATGCTCTTTTTTCCAGTACCCGTCTTTTTGGGCACCAGGAATAATTGTTTCGCAACAAAATAAGCCGTGGCACGAGCATCCAAACGCGCTGAGCATTATTGCTCGACCTTGACCTTTCTTACGAATGATGCTTTCGTCTGTTGCAAGATACAAATTGCGTTTGCTGTCGTTCGAGTAGAAGTACGTCTCGTCGTGAGTAACAAGGACTTTTCTGCGGTCCTATATAATTCATAACAAAGCATTCGTTGTAAGAGCATTTATAGATTGTTTCCCTATCAAATGTACCCAAATTTGCATCGCCAGTGCCTCTGGCTCGTCGTCATTATCGTAGGAAAGCATGAGCTTACGATGCTCAAGCATTCTTTTCGACCACTCCTTCCGATATTCAACAACGTCTTGACGTTCGTGACCGTCAATGTAAACGCCTTGTGCTTGACTATCACGCAGCATAAATCCCCATTTCTTCAGGTACCGTCTGACAGTGGATTCTGAAATCATGGTTTCAAGGCGGTGCTCAGGGTTGCATTCGTCAACAACAAGCTTTTCTTGAATGAACTCCTGGAGTCCGCGGACCGTTCTCTCCTCAGGCTTGAGAGAGCGAATGAACTCTAAGCACCTCGATTTAAGGTGCTCATCAGTAAGCATACATGCTGTCTTAATGTATGCACCTCGTTTCGACGGAACAAGCGACTTATTGACGAGGTACTCGTTGGCCCATTCGCGAATTCGTTGAGCAAAGCGTTTACCGCGTTTCCAAGTTCCTTCACTCAGTTGCAAAGACGCATCAACCTTGCCAGTGCCATTTAACACCTTCGTGAAGAAGTCGTACAGAGTGCCAAGACGGGCTCTTTGCAGCTGGTCGACGTCAGGCGTTTTCTTGTATGGATCGGCGTACTTTTGTAAGGCTAAAGCAGCCTCCTCCATGGTAAAGCGCTCTTGCTGCTTTTTCGCTTCCTTAGCTCTTTTCAATTCGATTTTCTGAAATCCAAAAGCTTCTTCGATGCGCTGAGAGCCTGCTGCCTTTTCTCGCTCCTTTCGTTCTTTACTCGCAATAGTACGTGGATCATTCTTATGATAGAGGGTGCCACGCCCTTTTTTATCAGCACCTTCGCTCCAGACAAGGAAACCACTGGATACCTGATTGGTGACTCTGACGAGTTCTTCTTCGGTGAAGTCAGAATAGTCTTCACCAATGATTTCTTCGTCGCTGATATCTTCATCGCTGACGTGGGCTACTTCGTCAGAGGCAGGCGCAGGCTGCTCCTCACGCGTTTCAACGCGTTCTTCTGTTTCGCGCTGTAACTTCGCTTTTTTGCCGTTGTAGTAGTTGGCTTTTCCCTTGAGGGATCTTTTGCTTGGTTTAGGCATGTTGAATTGCAATGGAGTTGTGATGGGAAGTAATGGTTCGATAGTAAATGGAAGAAGTGCTAATTGCGTTAGTTCAAAGCGAAATGGTGTAGACTTTGAACGCAAAAAACGATTGTATCCCAGCCAAATAGGGCCAAATACGGAAACTTTGAGGTGTTATTGCGCAGCGACAAATGGCTCAATCAAAATAAAATTTAGCACACCGTGTTCCTCTCATTGAAAGCTGTCGATTGCGCTATATTTCGTGGCATTTGCAGGTGATGGGAAATTTCTATAAAGGTTGAAAATTGGGTCTCAGAAACTCCCTTCAAGCTGACTCCCACCATATACACGCGCTGCGGGCTGGCAATCACGCTTGTTCTTTTCTTTTTGTTGTCGTTGCCGACAGTACAGATACACAAAAGAAAACAAATAAAGTCAGTAAGCAGCTGACACCCTTCTCCCCCTAAAAAATGAGGTCACACGATTTGACACAGCCGCGAAGGTTGTGATACCCTTGTGTCTTGTGTGTGTGTGTGTGCGTGTGCCCGCGTATGTGGCTATTGTGGACTGTCTCTTTCTCTCTTTGTTTATTATAGCTTGTAGTACAGAAATATAGCGCGTTGCTCGTCTATCCTACGTACTCACGTAGTGCGTGGATGTGTCACCGTCATCAATCATCCGCATATCTTTCAGGATTTTCCACTAATGGTTGGCACATCTTATATTTCTCAACTTGGCGTCGCACCAATTTCGATTTGGCGATGGGAGGCATATGGCATTTTCTTTTGGCATGACATGAATACCCGATTTGGCACTACATGAGTTTTCCTTGGCATGACTCGAGTTTCGATTTGGCATTCTCGATGGATTTTAATATTTAACATCATGTATTTGTTTAATCCAACAGTTCTTGACTAAAGATATTATTAGAAAATATAGCTACAACATTGGTTCCTCCATGATTTACATTGTGGAAAAAAAGTTTTTCGAGTGTTGAATACACCCTCAACAATCGCTTGGAGTAGAGTAATTACACGGGCTGAATTGATGATGTGTAAAAGCCCCCGATTCATTTATAACAAATCAATCAAACTGACTTATTTCTTTTTCTTTTTCTAAAAGATATAATGAGGCAAAGTGATTGATTTACAGTAAGTGGTTACTTGTCAATAATGACGTGCTAAAATGATTAACTGCTTTTACTGTGAAGTATCATAGAAGAAATAGTAAAAAAAAGCAGTAATATGCATAAAAAAATAAGGATGTGCGTGCTGCACTGTATTGTTGTGAGGTGAAGATGGACAAGAAGGATGATAAAAAGCAATTTTTTTTGTGTATGTTAAAAATATAAGAAGTAATTACAAGAGGTTGATATTGATAAGGATAAAATATACATGGTTGGGTAAAATTATTGATCACTGGGCGTATTTGTGGATTGGCTTTTTTCTGGACGACAAGATTCGATTACATATTGGTGGCGAATAATCTGGTCTACTTCCATTGTGAACTTTATAGGGCGGCTTGATTTCTACCAATAAAAGCCCTTCTGTTGGCATTGCACCATATTCAAAGTTCATAGACAAGTCAGTGAAAAAATAGCCTTTCTTGTCAGCGTTTTCTGATTTGCGAGGTGCTTTTTCATCAGTTCTAAATACGAGTAGAAAAGTAATTAGCACGCTGAAAAAATTTATTCATATTGATATTGTACCCTTTTCTTGTCAACAAATGTGTTTCATCCAAAATGAAAGCATTAATGGGTGAACAGCGGACATCGAGAAAGCTTGTTATTGTTAACATACTCGTGAAAGGCTTGCCACCTCCCGCAACCGGCTTTCTTTGATGATTTTGGAGAATAGAACTTGATTCTAAAATTAATGTTTACAGAAATAAGTATGTACACACACACATTTTGAATATAGAATTGCATATCCAGGTTACGTGCATGGTAATAACTGGTTCTCGAATTTGGCTGTTATTCTCGTCTTCATCATCGCTCAGTTCCTTTGCAATACCGCTGCATTCATTGTATTTCTTTTTACCAGCCTATCATCATTGATAAGTTAATAAATCTATTTTTTTTTCAAAACGAGAATTTACTACCTTTGCAAATTTGTTAACAATAGCTTCTCTTTTTTCTGATAATACGACAAGAGGATATTGTGTTCTGCACTCGTCAGTGATTGCTTCCCATGTGTCATTGTCAAACCGAGATAGGGAAGTTCCGTTTTATCAAAGGTCCAATTTTTTGGACCGCCTATCGAAAGGGTAACCGGTTAAAATTCCGGTACTAAGATGCAGACCGTACTCCAACGATGAATCCGGATAAACACTGCTCAAGTCGTCAAACAATAAAATACCATTGACAGATCTAAAGATACAGGTAATCCAACAAGTTAGTACATAATGTATCATGTAGCCACTGGAGCGGTTACTAATTACTTACAGCTCTTCCTGGTAAGTATCAAGCATATTTCTTTCACCTTTTTCGATCGACAACTTTCTGTATTCGAGTAAAGCTTCTGACACTTCTACTCCATTCACTTTCCACTATGAAAATAAATATCAGCGTCAACATTATGTTAGAACATAAATAGAACCTCTCACCTTCTCTATTCCGTCCTCTAATTTGACAACTGGCGCAGTATTATGAGACAGGTATGTCGTCATTCTTTTTCTCTGGGATGAACCGAACGTAGAGTTAAGGCGCCGGAATTCACGCTCATCAGTCACCACAAAAGGTGTTAGTTCATCTAGACAGCAGGACGGTGGCCATGGAAGTCGGAATCCGCTGAGGAGTGTGTAACAACTCACCTGCCAAATGAACTAGCCCTGAAAAAGGATGGCGCTCAAGCGTGATGCCCATACTCTACCGTCAAAGTAAAAGCGATGCTTTGACGAGTAGGCAGGCGTGGAGGTTGTTGAGAAGTCTTGGATGTGAATCTTCTGTCGTAGACGGGACGGGTGTGGGTGATGAGTCGGGTGTGGATGGTGAGGCTGCTGCTTCTTCTCGTCCCCTTTAACTAGAGGTTGCCTGAACAATAGAAAATAAAATTTAGTATATGATTGATGCATGCAACACAACCGATGCCTAGTTTATGAGTCTCTTTACTTTTGATTCTAAGGAGTTGCTCTCTGTACTCGTCGAACGTATTACAGTTCCTTTGGACAGGCAGGAGTGATGCACGACCTATTTCTTGCAACTCTTCAAGATTTTCGCTTCTTTCATCTTCGACAATCATGTTGTGCAAAATGATGCACGCCCGTATGACCATCGTCAGGTTGGCATGCTTCCACAGTCTTCATGGTTGGCGAATGATGGCGAAGCGTTTCTACAGCACACCGAACGCCTTTCGACGTCCTTCTGTACAGCTTCTTGCTTTCCCGCAAAGTACTGTAGAATGTTGTCAAAATAGTGTACCTTGAAACCTATAATTCACGCTTACTTCTCTTTGTTGCCAATTGGCATCCGAACACTCTTCACCAAAGTTGCCCCCTCAGGGTAGATGCCATCTGCCAAATAGTAGCCCATGGTATATTCGTGGCCGTTGATGGTGAAGTTTGCGGGTGGTGCGACACCTGAGGCAAGGTTGGCGAAGAGGGTGGATCTTTGCAGAACGTTAATGTCGTTGAGCGACCCAGGGAAGCCAATTCCTGCATGCCAGATCCACAGGTCGTGGGAAGCAACAGCTTCTAAAATTACTGTTGCTTTTTTTTCCTTTCCTTGGTAAGCCCCATGCCAGGCAGTGGGACACAAGTCCCAGCTCCAATGCATGCAGTCTAGTGATCCAAGCATGCCCGGAAACCCGCGCTCGCTGTTCTCTGCTAGGAGTTTCTCGACATCTTCGTTCGTAGGGCTTCGAAGGTACTCCTTGCCAAAGCACTGGTCGATAGTCTTGCAGAATATCTTGAGACACTCGACGGCAGTGCTCTCTCCCATCTGCAGATACTCGCCGATTGCATCACCGGAAATTCCGTAAGCAATCATCCGCATCGCAGCTTGTTGCTTTGAGTTTGGGAGACAGGCCTTGTTTACCAGCAGCATTCGTTCTCTGAGTGAAGTACTGGTTTTCCTGCCCCAAGCTTTGAACGATTCTCAAGAACAGAGTTCTGCGCATTCGGAATCGACGTCGAAAAAGATGTTCCGGATACACTGGATCTTCTGCAAAGTAGTGCATGTAAAGTTTCGCGTCAGCGGAAACATGGTCTCGTCTGATGACGGCGCGTCCATGTACAGATCCTCCTCGACGTTGATGCTCTTCACTGTCGTCAGAATCTTCAAACATTTCTCTGATACGCGAGATGCGTCGTCTACGAGCGCGGTCTTCGTCGTCATCAAAAAGAAGTACGTGTATTTAGCGAATGGTGGACATTGGAAAAAGGAAGTCGAAACTGTGAATGAAGAGAGAGTAACTAATAGTACTGAGAGCATCTCCAACGATCGTTCTAAATTCTATTTTAGGATTCCGAAATAGAAAATTTTGAGTTCCAACAGTCGTCCTATTTCTATTCTATTTTAGAAAAGGGTCAAATTTTTTAGAATAGGCGTCCCAAAATTAGGGCAAGTTTTCTAAAGTAAAATCGCGTTGTTGTACGCAGTAAAATAAAGCTCTCTCTTCTTTATAAATCACTTCCCTTTTCCAACAACAATGTCTTCTAGTTCTTCTGCCCCGATCCCCATCACTAATGTCGAATCTCGTGTCGAATCGACCACCGATCCCGAAGTTGTCGCAGAATCGTCGACAGCAGCAGCAGCAAAAGCTGGCAATCGCGGTCCGAGCTGGAGCAATGAAGAGGATGTGTGGTTGTGTCAATCCTGGCTTGCCACCTCCACTCGTTCGTCAAAGGGCACCCATGTTCCCCTCTAAATATTGTGGGAGACTCTATAAAGATTTTCTTCAAAGAGGGGGAGATAAGGATGTACGAACTGGCCAGGGAGCCCTCTCGGGCCGCTGGGGTACCATCCAAAGAGAGGTGTCTAGATACTGCGGTTGTCTTGCAAAAGCTCTTGCGCGAAATAAAAGCGGAAACAACGAAGAAAATGAGGTTAAGGGATGCTAGTTTTCATAAACGATACGATACCAGTACTGATGAATATATGGGAGTGAAGAAAGACTACGCAGTAACGCTGCATAAGAAAGCTGCGAAATCTGCTTGGAAGTTTCAACACTGTTACAATGAGCTTCATGAGCAACCAAAGTTCAGTAACAAGTATGTCAATGTGACAAATCAAAGCGCACCTGAGTATGTGAAGCGCCCAATCGGTCGCAAGAAAGCCAAGGAGCAAGAGAAGGAGGATGGAACGCGCAAGCGTAAATTGGACGATGATCGCGCTCGATTGGCGAAGGCTTAAGAGGAGCATGTCCAGAACAGCCGCAGGCGCATCGAGCTCCAGGAGAAAATGAACGACGATGAAGTGATGCGAGAACAGCTCGACAGATACTCAGGAGCTGAACTCGAGTATTGGACGCTGAGAAAAGGCGAGGCTTTGGCCAATGCAAAGGCCAGAATCGCAAAAGCCATTGTCCAGGACGTAGAAGTTCAACAGACTACCGACGACGAAGTTGACGAGTAATAAAAAACAATAAATAAAAATATCTTTTGTGTTTTACTAGATCATATTGCCTTGGTGCTGCCACAAATGCTCAACGAGGTCGTTCTTCAGTTGATCGTGGACCGCAACATCCTTGATCTCATCATAGCGATTCAAGTATTCGCTCATGGTGTTTGGATCCCTGCGAACTGTCAAAATGGGCGCCGATCCAACACTTCGCAATACTTCGGCTTCGTTGTCATCAGCAACATCCTCTCCTGGATTGCAGCGCTGATCTTCAACAATCATGTTATGCAAGATTATGCATGCGCGCATAACCATTGACAGATCGTCGGGTTGCCATAGTCTTGCTGGGTGTCGAATCACAGCAAATCTACTTTGCAAGATCCCAAAGGCACGCTCGACATCCTTACGGTACGCTTCTTGCATACAGGCAAACAACTATATAAGTAGTTAGAGTTGCTGCTCTCCATATGCATTGTTAAAATTTACCTTTTTTTTCTTCTCAATCGGATGCGTGATTGAATCCATAAACGTAGCCCACGGCGGGTAAATACCATCAACTAAATAATAGCCTTTGGTGTAGTTGTGGCCATTGACAGAAAAGTTGACGGGCGACGTAACATCAGACGCCAGATCATCGAAGATGGGGGAACGCTGCAAGACATTGATGTCATTCAGCGTACCCGGGAGACCGAAGAACGCGTGCCAGATCCATGTTTCGAAGTCTGCTACAGCCTCAAGGATTACTGTAGCTTTCTTCTCTTTGCCTTGATATTGGCCTTTCCATCCGGCAGGACAGTTTTTCCATTCCCAATGCATGCAGTCCAAGGAACCGAGCATGCCAGGGAATCCGCGTTTTTCCGCCATATCAAGAAGCCGCTTGATATCATCCTCGTTTGGTGAGCGCAGGTATTCGTCACCAAAGATGCGGCTGATTGCCAAGCAGAAGCGCTTTAGGCACTCAAGAGCAGTGCTTGCACCTAGGCGAACATATTCGTCGGTCGCATCGGCAGATACGCCATATGCCAGTTGGCGAATTGCTGCCGTCGCTTTCTGCAGCGGTGTCAATCCAGGCGTATGAGCCGCGTCGTACTTCTGTGGAAAGAAGGCATCTTTCTGCTCCAATTCGCTTACGATCCGTTCGAAAAGCCGACGACTCATGCGAAAACGAGTACGGAACTTGTATTCTGGGTAAACAGGATTGTCGCCAAAATAGTCATTGTATAAACGCCAATGACCTGTAACGCGATCGCGGTTAATGACGAGATGACCAGGAACAGAGCCTTTTCTGGGTTTTCTCACTTGATCGTCGTCTTGGTCATCAGCTGCAAAGATTCTCTGAAGATGCTCAACTCTGCACTGACGTTGGCGTTCTTCCTCGATGTCTTCATCGAACATTTGTTTTAGGTTGCGAATATTTTGGCTTGACATTGTGAAATGAGTGGTTGAAGTAGAAAGAGCAGATCAGTAAATTCAATAGCCAGTTTTAGAATAGCGCGACCGTTGGAAAAACCATGCCAATTCTATGGTCCTGCTAGGATAGCGGCGTTCCATTTTAGAACGACCGTTGGAGATGCTCTGAGTCTGCTGGGATTTCATGTCGTTTCTATGGTCTTGCTAGCGGCTTTGAAAATAGCGAGAAATTTCGCGAGTCTGCTGGGGATGCTCTTATCTCGAAAACTTCTTTAATATGGAAAAAATGTCATCAAACCTATCAAATAATAATAATAATATGAGCCTTTGTATTATCATTCATATATTAAAATATGTGAGCAAAAAACAGATGAGTGCTGAGGGACTAGCAGGGCGTAGGTACTAGTTTTCCACACTCAACCAGTATAAAAAGGGGCGCAAAGAATGCTGAGGGACTAGCAGGGCGTAGGTACTAGTTGTCCACATTCATCACTCGGGAGTATTCTGCAATAAGCAATCTAATCCCTTGAGCAAAAAAACAGATGAGTGCTGAGGGACTAGCAGGGCGTAGGTACTAGTTGTCCACATTCATCACTCGGGAGTATTCTGCAATAAGCAATCTAATCCCTTGAGAAAAAAAAACAGATGAGTGCTGAGGGACTAGCAGGGCGTAGGTACTAGTTGTCCACATTCATCATTCGGGAGTAATCTGCAATAAGCAATCTAATCCCTTGAGAAAAAAAAAACAGATGAGTGCTGAGGGACTAGCAGGGCGTAGGTACTAGTTTTCCACACTCAACCACTATAAAAAAAACCTCGTATATGTACTTAGCTTTGTAATAAATTGTGGTAACCATGTGAAAAGAACTACAATATACCGAATTTCTAAAAAGCTGTCACAGCAAATTTTTTTTGAGCTTTAAACACAGCCACGGCCATTGCATTAAAACAAGTTTCGACGATACACGGTTGCTTACCGTCTAAATCTTCCACAAGAATTGTTAGGTTGCGATGACTACCGTAGGCCAGATCTTTAAAGAGAGTAAGTTGTAATGCATATAAATAATTTGAGTGTAGTACTAATTTGATACTTTAGGTTTTATAAAATATGTTTCTGGGGAGAAAGGTGCTGTCTCGTTAAAGAGATTCCATGACACTGTCCCGGACGTGATCTTGAAGAACAGCAAGAAAGGGGAAGATAACAAGCGTATTTGGGGAAGATGCTTTAAAGCTGCTGTTGCTGAGTTGAACATAAAGGTATGAAACATAAATTCCAGCATATTCAATTTGCTAACATATCGATATACACAGAACTATACCAAGGAGCAACCAGACTGGGAGGAAATCGAGAAAAAGGTAAAATAAAAGTTTATTGTCCTTGTAAAAGTGAAACTCATATTTATAAGGAACTAGATCTCTGCAAAAATCTATAAGGTATTACTAGGCATCGGTTGTGTTACATGCATCAATCATATACTAAATTTATTTTCTGTTGTTCAGGCAACCTCCAGTAAAAGGGGACGAGAAGAAGCAGCAGCCTCATCACCCACACCCGACTCATCACCCACACCCGACTCATCACCCACACCCGTCCCATCATCCACACCCATCCCGTCTACGACAGAAAGTACAAACAAACGAGTAAGTAAACCGTAATAAGTAACGTAGTATTGATATATTGCTTAAACGTCATCAAATGTATACCGAATGTGTATTTAAACATTCTTTAACTAGAGAAAAAGAATGACGACATACCTGTCTCATAACACTGCGCCAGTTGTCAAATTAGAGGACGGAATAGAGAAGGTGAGAAGTTCTATTTATGTTCTAACATAATGTTGACGCTGATATTTGTTTTCATAGTGGAAAGTGAATGGAGTAGAAGTGTCAGAAGCCTTACTCGAATACAGAAAGTTGTCGATCGAAAAAGGTGAAAGAAAGATGCTTGGTACTTACCAGGAAGAGCTGTAAGTAATAAGTAACCGCTTCAGTGGCTACATGATACATTATATACTAACTTGTTGGAACACCTGTATCTTTAGATCTGTCAATGGTATTTTCTTGTTTGACGACTTGAGCAGTGTTCATCCAGATTCATCGTTGGAGTACGGGTTTGACAATGACACATGGGAAGCAATCACTGACGAGTGCAAAACACAATATCCTCTTGTCGCATTATCAGAAAAAACAGAAGCTATTGTTAACAAATTTGCAAAGGTAGTAAATTCTCGTTTTGAAAAAAAAAATAGATTTACTAACTTATCAATGATGATAGGCTGGTAAAAAGAATTACAAGGAATGCAGCGGTATTGCAAAAGAACTGAGCGATGATGAAGACGAGATTAACAGCCAAATTCGAGAATCACTTATTAGCATGCACGTAACCTGGATATGCAATTCAATTTTCAAAATGTGTGTGTGTGTACTTACTTATTTCTGTACATTAATTTTAGAATCAAGTTCTATTCTTCAAAATCATCAAAGAAAGCCGATCAATTAGAGAGCACTTTCTCGATGTCCGCTGTTTGCCCATTAATGCTTTCATTTTTGGATGAAACACATTTGTTGACAAGAAAAGGGTACAACATCAATATGAATAATGCCGTAGTGAATAATGTTTTCAGCGTGCTAATTACTTTTCTACTCGTATTTAGAACTGGCTTTTTTTTCACTGACTTGTCTATGAACTTTGAATATGGTGCAATGCCAACAGAAGGGCTCTTATTGGTAGAAATCAAGCCGCCCTACAAAGTTCACAATGGAAGTAGACCAGATTTAGTCAAATTGGCTAATGTAATGAAGGATTCTATGGACAAAATGGTTGAGGACCGTATTGACGATCCAGAAATCACTGTGTTAGGATTGCTGGTTGAAGGTGAGCTACATCAAATATAGCAATATAATACGGTAAATATTTTATAGATCGAAATCGTAATCTGGGGTATTATCATAGGTTTCCGATGCACTCTATTTGTAATGGATTTGCATTATCAAGGCATCTACCGGTTAGTGCCCTTGTCTGTTTTTTTTATTCCGCGAGATCGCAACGATTTCAGTGTTCTCCCAAGCTGCTATGAGGCACTCGGAACTTTGCAGGTAAATAAGTTTCTAGATTCTACAAAAAATTTTGTTCTATACAGTAGCATGATAATACATTTAAAAGACGCAAGTACATATCCACTAGTTTGGATGGATGGCCCTGTACATATGCATTATCATGCTACTGCTACAAGAATAGACCTTCTTTTGTTTTGCAATGAATATGAATTTCCTGTATTAAAACACACCACTAATATAACAATACAGCATATGCTATCAAAAAACGCCGAATTATGTTTCAATTTCCACCGAAAAAAGAAACGAGAGTCTATTCGCCACCGATATGTAATCGAATCTTGTCATCCAGAAAAAAGCCAATCCACAAATACCCCCAGTGATCAATAATTTTACCCCAACCATGTATATTTTATCCTTATCAATATCAACCTCTTGTAATTACTTCTTATATTTTTAACATACACAAAAAAAAATTGCTTTTCATCATCCTTTTTGTCCATCTTCACTCACAACAATACAGTGCAGCACGCACATCCTTATTTTTTTATGCATATTACTGCTTTTTTTTACTTTTTCTTCTATGATACTTCACAGTAAAAGCAGTTAATCATTTTAGCATGTCATTATTGACAAGTAACCACTTACTGTAAATCAATCACTTTGCCTCATTATATCTTTTAGAAAAAGAAAAAGAAATAAGTCAGTTTGATTGATTTGTTATAAATGAATCGGGGGCTTTTATACATCATCAATTCAGCCCGTGTAATTACTCTACTCCAAGCGATTGTTGAGGGTGTATTCAACACTCGAAAAACTTTTTTTCCACAATGTAAATCATGGAGGAACCAATGTTGTAGCTATATTTTTTAATAATATCTTTAGTCAAGAACTACTGTAGGATTAAACAAATACATGATGTTAAATATTAAAATCCATCGAGAATGTCAAATCGAAACTCGAGTCATGCCAAGGAAAACTCATGTAGTGCCAAATCGGAATACATGACAGGCCAAAAGAAAAATGCCATATGCCTCCCATCGCCAAATCGAAATTGGTGCGACGCCAAGTTGGAAAATATAAGATGTGCCAACCAATAGTGAAAAAATCCTGTATTAACACGGGCGTCACTTGCTTTCTTTGTGGTACCCTATTTTCATAATTCTGTCATTCTGTAATACTCTGGAAATCCTGTTTGGATCGATCCGGGACCTACCGCCCATCATCCTCATCATTGTTATAGCGTCGTCGTCAATGTTCCTCTCCAATGCCCTCATGTTCAAAAGAGGCATCTATGAACATTTGAGATCAGCCCTGTAATTCAGGTGCAGCTAACAAATGACCATCTGTTTGATAGGATTTTCCAAAAAGGCCATCGTCCGACTTTGGCTGGTCCGTTTGAGAGAGAGAGAGAGAGAGTAATATGCCGGCGTGCCCTGCGTATGCGTATGTGTATGTGTGTGATATGTACATATACATGATGCATGGTAGGCGCGGACGGTGTTGAATGTAAAAAAATGATGAATGACTTTTTGACTAATAGCTGCTGATCAGACAAAGTTTCCAATGGCACTAAACAAAAGCATATTAACGTGCGAGACGCATTCCACTGCGTCGCCAATTTACAGTACCCCACTTGACAAGAGTGTGCTACTCAACTGGCAGATGCTTAAATGGTGGCTAATACCGCCCATACAGTGTATCATGCATTGCACCAAAAATAACTCAAAAAGAGATTTTCCAAAGGCCACAGCAGAAATCTTTTTAATTATCATGTGGATCGAGAGTGTACTACTAAGATTGTATGTCTACATCTACAATCATGACGCCACTGTCTCGCGAACCCATGTGGTTCAACAAGCGCGGGGTATTATAGCCGACCTGTAAAATGCTGCTGCCGCCTGCAAATGTAGATCCTTGAATAAAAAAAGCAAAAATGAGTCTCTGTGGAAGGGGATGAGAGGATCAAGGGAGAAGGAAGGAAGGGGGGAGGGGATGACAGGCGTTTACAGATCTTGGATGTATGTATGTATGTATGTCGATGTAGAATAAACCAAGTAGGCAGACATAGCATGATGATGCGTACCTTTTTCTGATCCTGTGCGATTGCATGCAACGACACAAACACGACGGCGGTTCTGCACAATCAAAGGTGCAAGGCGTTGGGCCCAATAAGAAATGGTGTCGGTGACACTACTTGTGCTGCTGTTGTTGTTGTTGTTGCCTTGCAACCAAGCCATGCAACAGACAATGATCTGGGTATCTTGGTCGTCATGGAAGCGCGCGAATTCATAGGCGTCAAAGGGAGCCTTGAACTGATACGGATTGATATCCATGCAAATGCCAAATCCGACCCTGCCTAGACCTTCTATGGTCATTGACACAAAGCCAGGGCCCTCCGCAGCCCAGCGTTCATCTGTCTCGAAGAGAAAGGCCTTTTGATATGTCTTGACCAGATGACCTTGCGGGTTGACGCAGCACAAGCTGTTGTAGCCGGGGCTTTGCGGATAGCCAACAACCACAAAACTACAGAGGCGTTGCGCTTGTCGCTTGGCCCATTGCACGGTGGTGCCCCATTCGGCGTCCTCCAGGAACGGCTGAATCTCGTCATGGCTCTTGAACACATAGCCAGTCAATGCCATTTCTGGCAACACGAGCAGATCAATGGCGTCAGGTCCATACCTTTTAGTGTTATTTTGCGGGTTTTAGCTGCAGGTACAAAAAGGAAGAGAAAGAGGTCATTCTCCTTGGGCTTGGGGAAGAACCAGAAAGAGGGGGGGCTTACTGTGAAAGTAGATTGTCTACAATGGCAATGGTCGCTAGAGGATCTGCCCACACAGGGGTGAACTGACAGCATGCTTGAAACAGAACATTTTCATTATGCAAACGGTTCGGTCGGGGAGTTTTTTGGCAGTAAGCATTGCATTAGTTTGGGATGGGAGAAAGGGCCTTTTTTCTTTCTGGGGGGGGGTGGGAAAGGAGCTGTGTGAAAGAGGGAAAAATAAAAAAAAGGGGGGGAGGTTGTTTAGGGTGACGGAATTGCAAATTACCTATTTTCATCGGCTGGGTGGGGAGAGAAAAGATGAGAGAGAGAAGAGAGAAAAAGAGAGAGAGGGGATCGCTTTCATTCAACCCGCAAAGGGGGATGCTCCCCGGGGGTGGGGGGGGGGTGGAAGAGAGGGCGCATGCTGGGGGTTGTTTGTTTTTGCTTCCAAAGCTGCTGCAGCTGGGTGCTGCTGCTGTTTTAATCAGGTTTTTTTTTTCTTTCTTTGTTGTTTGTGAAACAAGCGCTAAATAGTAGCCAGGCAGACGATCGTCGGGCTGAGCTTTCTTTCTTTCTTCTGCTTCTGTGTTGCTTTGGGGATCAGAAAAAATTCTTTTTGGAGAGGGTGACCCGTGTGTTTCACACGGGAATTCACTTCACCGAGGAAAGAAAAACAATGCTGGCTGCATGTGATTGGTACAGCCATCGAAAACAGCTCTCGGCCAGTTTAGAGCGCCGATCGGGGCTCCCGAGCGGCCCGCAGGTGGCCGTCCAATATATAAACTGGGACTCTTTTTTTTCTTTACGTCGTCTTTTTTATTTTTTTCTTGTCGCATGGTATCACACACACACACACACCTCCCCTTTTAAAATAAACCTTCTTCTCTCTCGCTTTCAAGTGAACAACAGCAACAGCAACAACTTTTGAAACTCAGCAAACATGACCACCACAGACACCGTCCCATCCTCTTCAACCTCCGCCTCGCCCTCCTCCAATCAAGGCATGCTTCTGCTCGAGCCCTACCAGCCAATGGTTTTTATGGAAGACGACTGGGACAACTCGCCCTCGCCACCCCCACTGACAACCGATGCACAGGACGACCCGTTCGCGGACATGGACTTTGTTGACGTCTCCTTCTCCTTGCCGCCAACGCCGTCCAACTCGGCCCCGCAGAGTCCGGCCATGCCTGCGGACAAGTCCATGCAAGACAGCGCCGAGGAGCTGCTGTCCATGCTCATGCAGACCTACTGCCCCAACGTCCAAGCAGCTTCTTCTTGAGAGGCACAGTAAATCCATATACCCCCTTTACATCCTATCATTGTATACAGACTTCCATGAACTTTTTTTTTCCTTTTACATATAAAATTGTATATTACTTTCTTTTCCCCAAACGTGTCTCTCTTTGTAGTTAAAAAAAAAGTTTCCCTCTCTCTCTTTCTCTCTTCTTCCCCACCGCCGCCGTCATGACAAAATGCATATACACAGTGACGCAAACACACAACCCCATTGTTAAATATATACTTTTTTTTTTTTCATACATACAATAAGAAAGTGTGTGTAATCCAAAAAGAAGTCTGGCGGACATTTAAAATTTGCATAGTGCGTGGCTAATTGACAAGTCCCCAAAAAGTCAGATCTTTCGATTATGCTAAACATATTTACTGCTGCATACGAAGGCAAGCTCTTTGTTGTCCAACAGCTTGTCGATAGGGTCTCTGCTGCTGTCAAAGAAAAAGACGAGGTGCATACTTTGATACACGCAAACTCATGGCCCTGCTTGCTGATGGACCCTTTTCTTTTAGGACGATCGCACTCCATTGCACTGGGCTGCATCCGGAGGCCAAGGTGACATTGTCGACTACTTGATCTCTAAAGACGCCTCAATAAACGTCGTAGACGATGTAAAAAATTAGCAATGTTGCTCGATCCATGGACTAACAGAGTCGAAGTCTAACTCTTTTTTTTTTTCTTTTGTGGCAACATTAGTCTGGCTGGTCACCACTTATGATTGCAGGTATATCCACAAAAAAATAAAGATGACGCGTACTTACCCTTTAATTGATTAGTCTCTTTTTTTTTTGGGCTATACCAGCATCTGCCGGACATATTGCTTCAGCAGAAAGTCTCGTAAAGCATGGTGCTGACGTGTTTCTCCAAAACGAGACAGGTCAAACTGCTTTGTAAGCTGCCCTTTTTTTTTTACCCTTGACACGCAGCGAACAACTTTTTAACCACGTGGAAAAACAATAGACATTATGCAGCTTCAAAAAACCGAATTGAAATCGTCAAGCTATTATTAGCAAACAAGGCCCAGCCCAATCAAATCAATAACATCAAACAAACCCCATTGTAAAGTTATCTTCGCAACCTTGAGGAACAATGTATAAAGACAGTAGAGTTGACATGATTGTAAATATATAGACATCGAGCCGCCGCTCAAGGCTTTACGGCGGTCGTCAAACTCCTGCTCGCGGCAAAATGTCGAGTCAATCCCAAGGACGCTGAAGCAAACACGCCATTGCATTTGGCATGCGAAGAAGGTCACGGAGACACGGCAGCGGTGCTTTTGCAGCATGGGGGTAACGCGGATCAATTGAATGCCGAAGGAAAGTCGCCTGTGGATGTATGCAGAACCAAAGAAGTACGACTCTTTATTGAGAAGCATATCGAAGAAGATGTATAATAAATAAAAAAAACGAGCACCTTTCCATCACAAACGACTCATATGTGTCTTTAATGTCGTCGTAGAGAGACTGATTGCTATCAGACTGTAAGAATCAACTCCTTTATTACTCTTGCTTCTTTTGATGATAGACGTCTCTTTGTGAATAGTATACCATGTTGTTGCTAGCGGAGCTTCTTTGGATAACCAAAATAGGGATCGCCCCGCTAAACAGCGTCCAAGTTGTAAAAGATCGCAATGGCCAAAGGCAAAAAGCATGCAAAAAAAGATCATGGTAAAGACCGATCGCTTACAAGATTTAGCTTATATGTCGCTTTTACACTATTCACCCGAACGGACACTCAAACATAGGCAAAGGGAGACGGCGTGGCGGACACAAGGTAACTTTGTTATACGTGTTAGCCCTTTTCTTCTTTTTGCCTTTTGCAACCGTGCGCCGATCACACAACTTTAACATGGGATCATAGTCCTTGAAAATGCCAGACACAGGCGATTTGGAATCACAGCTGCGCGATCTAGGTTTATGCACCAAAGACATGACAGGCGATGGCAACTGTCTCTTCCGGTTCGTTTTTTTCTCTCTCCTTTTTACTTTTGCAGTCATTGACAAAGGAGGGTGTTTTAACACCCTATTCCAGTGCCTTATCCGACCAATACCATGGTTACGATACAGAATACCCTACGTTCCGACGCGATGTATGCGGGTTTTTGCGAGAACATGAAGACGAATACAAGTTCTTCGTAGAGAATGACCAATCGTTTGATCATCATCTCGAGTGTATGGAAGAGGATGGCACGTATGGCGGCAATATGGAATTGGCTGCATTTGCACGAATGCGTCAAGTCGATATTAAAGTCTATCAGCCTGGATTGATGTGAGTTTTTTTTGTGTCTTGGCTATATGGATGGCTGTTTATTAGGGTGATGTTTCTGGAGAAAGGGCTGATTTTCAATTGAAAGAAGTTTTGCCATCTTGTTTTTTTTTTAACCTTGGGTATATATAGCTATGTGATTCGTGGAGTAGACGAAAATGAAGAAGCAGAAACCATATTGCATATTGCATATCATAGCTGGGAACACTATTCTTCGGTGCGCAATTTAGATGGGCCGTTCACTGGGCCGCCAGATGTCAGGGTATATCTCGTTAAAACCAAAGAGTGGACAGCAACGTTTAAAAACACGAAATGACGAAATGACCGGATTCCAATTATTAGGTTGCCCAGCAAGAATGCCAAGCAGACAAGCAACAAGATGAGGCAGTTGAAACTGATCCATTAGACTCAAAAGAAAAGGTGGTGCTAGCCGCATGTCCTGACACTGACCTACGGAAAATTCGTCGGTTATTACGGAAACACAAAGGGGATCCAGACAAAGTGATTGAAGTGCTTTATGATGTATCCGTCGAAGAACCAGAAGAAAAAGAAGAATCTAAACAAGAGCACGTAGGACAACCATCTACCAAAAAAGACGACTTTTGCATAGAACGACTACAACAAGAGGCGTTAGAGGAGCAAAACAAAGAAGAGGAAGAAGAAGCAGAAAGAAAAGACAACGGATCAGCATTGGTCGACAACCCATCGTCTAGTGATGAAGCCAAACCTAACAACAGCGTCATAAACGACATGGAAGCAGCAACAGCAGTAGTAGCAACAGAAGTAGAAGAGGAGGAAGGGGGAAATGACGAAAAGAAAAAAGAACGAGAGCAACAAGAAAAGCCAAAGGGGCCAGCATCCAAGAAAAAAGCAAAAAAGTTGACAGAACGTCAAAAGAAACAGATGCAAAAGGAAAAACGGAGGGCCAAATGGCTCGAGGACAACAAGAAGCAAGGTGCTAGAAAGGATGGCGAGTCATCTACACTCACAAATGCCATGAAAGAAATGTACATATAGTATTCTTATACACAACACATCCACCCCCCCCACCCCGCAAATGCATGAATATATCACCTATTTAGACGCTCTATAATCCAAAGTCCGTTATTTCAAATTCTTTTTTCGTCCTCAAACCGAGCCCTTTTTTTTATTTCTTGATCGATCTCGCACAAAAAAAAAGAATGGGCAAAGCAAACAAGGGCAAAGGCAGCGCTAGCACTAAATGTAACTCTCAACCCCCACCCAAACTATTCCTCAAAGTATTAATTCCATAATGTTGCCATACAGTTCAATCGGCAAAAAGTAATGTTTCTAAGCATGTCACATCCCAGCAACCAGACGTTGAACCTAGCAATGGTAACGAAACCCAATTGAGACACAGTAATAATTAGGAGAATCAAAAGATCTAATCATTGTTACAGCCAAGGAACGTATTGAACAAGAACTCGGGTTATTACATGTTCGAAAACAAGCAATATCCGTGGACCACAACAACAACGCAAGCACACACAAAGTGAAAAAGAACACGACCATGAAACGAAGCGCCAATGCGCGTCAACAGAAAAAAGTTGCTCGAGCATTACTCGTTGCAGAGAAAGGAGAAGCCAAAGTTGAACGAGCTGCCACAAAAGCAGAAAAGAAAAAACTACGCAAGAACATTTGGTCATAATTTTTTTATTAATTTATGACCCAAGACCTTGTCTCTTTCGCCGTATAACAGCTTCTATTGGGGCCGTGATACCTTCGTTATTGGCACCCAAAGCATCGCCTTGTTTCCATCTAATTATTACAACACACAAAATAGCAATGTACATTTCTTTTAGCATTATTTCTTTTTCCCTTTTAAAATCATTGGATTGGCACACTCTTACCCCATTGCTGCAAGCATACGATGACCCACATTGGTTTCTCCAATAGGTCCAACATCTGCGCCAACCACGGTATTGACTGAAGGGCCAGCATTGGCTGCCATTGGCTTGCTCTTTTTATCCTTTTTGCCGCCATGATGCTTGCCCTTTTTGTTGGGCTTATTGTATGTGGGTCCATTATCGATGCGATGTTTCCGCAGGATACTGGATTGTGCATCGATCGTTGATTGTGCTTCGTCCAGAAATCGTTCAATGTATCTACGATCCGCTGGCAAAAAGGTATCTCGCGTCTTTTGCAGAACTGGCGTTCTATTATATATATGATATATATACAAGGATGATGAGTATTTTCTCCCAACTCCACCCAGATGCATCCTGACCTTTGCCACACCCTCTGTCCCAAACAATAATACCTTTGAGCGCCTGTTCCAAAACTATGGGATTTAAGCTTGTAGGCTGTAGCAAGCAGGTGGAGTTGTCGACGACAGAATTTGCTCATTGGCGCCACTTGATAACTAGACAATTGATCGTCCATAATGAACATCCTTATACGCCTATAATGCATAGCCCCCATATAAGTAATCTCTTCCAACCAAGAACTCGCCCCCATATCATCCCCCACTCTACATACTTGTCAAGTTTGCGTAATTGTACATTGTTGCCTTCATATTCCCGTTTGGCATTCTTTGTTGCACGCTTGTCCAATTGCTTTTGCTTTTTCTCCAGCTTTTTGTCTCGTTTACTTTGACGTTCTAACCGGTTTCGAATACCTAATCATGATCTTTTTAACATCTCGAACCGTACCATAACCCCCAGATCATACAAATATAAGCTTACCCGTCTGCAAGCTAGGTGGAACTTGATCCAATGATTGTTCCAGGGCGTATCGAAAGTCCTTTTCCGAAATCTCTTGCACTGATTCATCGTCACTCTGATGATCAAAAGCCCCGTTTCCAACAGTGTCAAAGTCGTCCTCCTCGTCCGAATCAGGGGGTACTTCAATGACGTTTTCGTCAGAGTCGCTCAGCTCGTATATCTCTGGATAATTTTGTGCTGCGGGGTCTGTACCATTGGCAAACGCCCGTAATGCTTCCAAACCTTCTTCCTCGTCATCGTCGTCATTCAAACCGACGTTTTCCATATAATCTCGCATAATGGCAATATCATCTTCGTCGTCCATGTCTTTTCGACGGTTGTTTGTGCGACGACCTTTACTTTTGTCAAGGTGAATGATGTTATCCGCCTTGTGGCCGTGCTCTTCTTCGTCGTCGTCGACGTCGTCGGATGATGATGATGTTCCCAAATAAATATCGTCGCCTGGGATAATTTTGCGTTGCTGTCGCTTTTTGCCTTTGCCGTTATTGTTGGTTTTACCAGCAGCTTGGTTGTTGTTATAACGATGATGATGATCATCATCATTGGAGACAGCTGCAACTGGGCCAGGATTTGAATCAAAGTAAAATCCAAGAACAGGAACGCCGTCGTCTTGTTGAGAGTGCGCCTCGCTGTCCACAATTTCGTCAATGACAATATCGCTTGGATTCGAGTCAAGGTACAAGCTCGAAGACTCGTCCGTTTTTTCTATAATCATTTTCTCTTGTGTTTCTGCTGTGGTTGCCGTTGTTTCTGGGGCCATGGCTGGTGACACTTCTTTTTCTAATAGCATAGTTACAGACGCTAGTCAATATCCATGCCATTGCATCGCTTCTGTGGCGTCAAGTGTGTTTGTCTGTTTTTCTTCCCACACATAAGTTGATATATACCGTTGTTGCTGTCGTCATTCAGAACGCTGGAGGATCGTGTAAAAGTGACAGCCTTTGTATATGTTATTTTGCTATTGCTGCGGCTTGAGCTACTGCGGATCACTTCCTCTTCGGAATCGCTGCCTTGTGCATTCAATAATGCTCGATGATCAAGCACTTTACGTTGTTTTGTCGTCTTTGCTTCTGTTTAAATTCCAAATCACAACCACACACAGCAAAAAAGAAGAAAGAAAAAAAGTAAGGGTCATAGGTTAGCCTTTTCTATAGTTTAAAAGATAGAAGACCCATCTCTATGGTAAAAACATAACGGCTAAACTTGCCTTTGGCAGTAAGCAGCTCAATATCAGGATCGTATTTGGGATCGTCCACAGCACCAAACTGGCCAAAAACTGGAAAATCGTCTTCCAGATCGCCTTCACTGCTTTCTGGATCGTAATCGTTTTCTACCTTGTAAACATAACCTAGTGACGTCGGATAAAGCTTACGACCACGACCACGACCGCCACCGCCACGTCCACGTCCACGATTGTTGTTGCGGCTGCTACCGCCACCTCCCCGGCTACCGCCGCGTCCTCTTCCTCGAAATGAACCACCTCGACTTCCCCTATTTTTCGGCATTTTGATATATGAAAGAGGCAAAAGAAGAAAAAGAAAAGAAAACTTGGATATGCCGCCCTCGAATACGGACTTTATAAAAACTCCATATTGGCACCTTTTGCTGCTGCGGTTGAAGGACCTATTCTTGTTGGACCAATGGCCTGAGAGAATCGTTGGTAGCTGCTTTGATGCATTGGATGGGTTCTTTTGTGTGGCGAAGCATGCGCAGTACAGTTGTGTGCTGTTACCGATGATGTGTATGTCTGTGCCATCGCATAATTTTGACAGCACAAGTACCCAACGGGTCTCTCGGAGAGACAACAATAGACGTCATGAGACTAAACTACTTTGCAGTTTTGCGAATTTTACATCAGTATGGGCAGTATTAATTGATTACATAATTGATACAAATCAACTCGAGCACTGGTCATTACAAGTATCATAGTCATTAGCTACGAAGAAAGGACAAAAGAAGAAGGAAATACAAGTATCGGGGGGCTGTCGGTGCGATCTGTGTGAGATCGTCAGCAACAACAATATAGACAGGATTACAGTATCGTGAGTGACCGTGTATCATTAGCAAACCACCTCGTTATAGGAATTGTTGATTTACGATGATACGATCACAAATCATTACCGGTAACGAGAACAAATTCATCAACATCAGACAGTAAATATGTATACTTCTTTTCTCCCCCTTTGTTAAACCCGGTCAGTCGCCCAAATCCCTACCTACTTTAGGTGAAGAAGACCAGGTTAGCAAATCAGATCCTACTACTTGATATCCATTATTATTTCGTTTATATTAATCAAGCTTTAATGATTGCTTGTGTCTAGAAAAAAGGCACAATAAGCACTCTTCTCCTAGCACAAGAGAGCTAGCCAAAACCCTCTTTTTTGAATGAGTGTTTGAATAATAAAGGAATGAGATTGAGGACTGATCGAGTGGGGGCCAGGAAAGGATACATAGTGCTTCGATCCCATCTTACTTGATCTTGTTCCTACCACTGGTACTGAGAGGAAAAAAAAAGATTTTTCCCGATCAAGCCAGAGCCTAGTAGAACATGGTGGTGTTGAAAAGCATTATTTACCTTGTATTATCTGAAATCACGTTTTTGTCGTGAGTGATGCGAGTGTCTGTAATGAGAGAGCTCACATAGGATATAATCACTAATAAGTCGATGGATGATAGGTATCATACACAATAGAAAGAGACCTGTGTTTTAAAAGCTGTACATGATAGTTAAGCGCTAACGTTTCTATTCAACACCATATATATGACGAGAGAATAAGCAATTCTCATTACGTAGTTTGCAATGTGTTCTTCATATACGGCAGTCAACAACAACAACAGCTGCATTATAAAGAGGTATATGTGACGTATAAACAGTCTGATGATTTCATGATGATTTCTCCTTAATCTAACCCGGTAATGGTACTCTAAGCTCTCTCTCTCTCTCTGTAGTATTATGTGTGAGTGCAAAAGGCCTGATTAGGCTAAAGCGAGATTGTGAGATATCAACATGGCAATAAAATACAAATTCAAGCCATCCTTATTTCGTCGTCGCATCCACATGTCTTTTTCTTAACTGTCTGACAATAAAAGGGAAATGAGTTGGCCAATTTGTCACATACTCCTACTTACTACACCCAGACACAAAAACAAAAATTAACCCGACAGATCTCTTTTTTTCGCCTAATTCGTATCAATGATGATGTGTGCTAAAAAAAAAAAGAAGACCAAGAAGTATACAATTGCGCTTGTTTTGGTACATTTATTGGAGGTCGACTGTTTTCCAAGGATTCTTTTGGGATTATGCGAGCCCGCAATGATACACGAAAAGTTATCATATTGCGGCATATTCAATAAGCGATGGTGTCACAATGCAATATCCAGTCTTTTTATGGGAAAAAAGAGGGGGGGGGGTGTGTGTGTCGGGGAGAGAGAGATGATGCGTTTTCTCTGTGCGAGGGTGGGGACGATCTGTGATGCCAAAATTTTCTGTACGGCACGCACATGGAAAAAATGCATATAAAAGGGATCAGGTATGCTTCCTGGATCTGACCTTTTTCTTTACCCTCTTCCAGCCTTTCATTACAACCTTCCTTACTGCAACCTTCCTTGTCATCTCAGTACTATTACTAATACTACTACCATGAAGTCCATTGTTGCCGCCATTGCCGCTCTTGCTGTCGCCTCCGTCTCTGCCCAACAGGCCAACATTGTCAGCATCACCTCCCCTCTCGAGGGAACCACCTACACTGCTGGTCAAGAGGCCACCATCTCCTGGTAAAGAAAGGAGGATTGATTGATACCCGAGAAACTCGGGGAATCGGTATATACGATCGCTAACTTTGTCTTTCTTTCTAAAACAGGATCAATCCAACCGTTGACACCATCTCCAAGATTGTCCTTGCCAAGGGTTCTGCCACTGCCCTGCAGCCCGTTGCTGATGTTGCTTCCAACGTGGATGCCAAGGCCGGCAGCTACAAGTGGACTGTTCCCGCTGACATTGCCCCTGGCAACGACTGTAAGTTTTGCCAACGCTACTCGTTTTAAGATGAACTGTGTGAACTGACAACAACTTTTGGATGGCGATCTCATTAGATGCCTTTGAATTGGGCCAGTCTCCCAATCTGGCCTTTACCGGCCACTTTACCATCAAGGCTGGTGATGGCTCTTGTAAGTGTGCTCTATATCGATAATGTGGAGATGGAGGAGCCAGCTGGTAGAAAAAGAAGGCGGGGGGGAGGTCATGGGATTTCGCAAAATGTTTGTTGTTTCTAACTTTTTTTTGATGAATTAGCCTCCAACTCTACCTCCTCCAGTGCCGCTTCTTCTGGTAGCTCCCCTAGCGCTTCCGCTTCCTCTGACTCCAAGCCTTCTTCGGGTTCGTCGGCCTCGGCCTCTGGCTCCAATGAGGAGTCCTCCGAGCCCTCTTCTTCTGACTCTGCTGGCTCGGCTGAGGAATCCGCCGACAGCGCCGCTGGCAAGGTTGTCGCCGCTCCCATTGCTTTGGCTCTTGCTGGTGCCGTCGCTGCTGGTCTCCTTTAAATGATGGTTATGACCATCATTCTTTTAAAACAGATCTCTTTTTGTTTGAGAAACCATTAGGAAACAAACATCTTGACACGTCCACACCCACACACTCTCTCTCATTTTCTCTTTTTCTTTGTACTTGTTGTCCGCTCTATCTACTCTATTCTAATACACTCCCTCTTTTCTACAATATACGCCTTTTTTTTCCCTTCCTAGGAAAAAATAAACTTTCTCTCTTTTATTTTCCTCATTATAGCAATTTATTTTAGTCTGATTTTTGCGGCTGCTGATTTCAAAAAAGTCGGTTTCCGGAAAGTTAAAGTGACGCAAGGATAGAAATATGGGGGGTAGGGAAGAGAGCGAGGAGTAAAAGGGGACATCACCTTCTTATACATCTTTTACCTAATGGTCAAATAAGAGAGTAGCAGAGAAAAGATGCTGATGTTACATCTACACGTCTTTTGTGATGAACAAGTGCTTCCGTGAACCTAGAATGCTATTTTTATAACCACAAAAGCTCATCTTGCACCGGGATCGCTTGGTGGTGATGATAGAAAGAACGTACCTGACGTATTTCCATCACAAACAGTGCGATTTTTTTGGTGATTGCGTTGGTGCAAGAGAAAAAGGTAAGCGTTGAGGAGGTGGGAATGGACTAGAGTCGATGCATGAATTTCGAGTGACAATAGCAAAACATTATGCAAGCTGGATGCGCTTAGCCGTTTGATAGAAAATAAAGCAAGTGGTTTTCATCACAGAACTGCAACACAGTAATCGAAAAAAGACAGGAATGTTTTGATAGATGATAAGTCAATTCCTTGCTCCTTAGGATTGGTTCTCGAGAACGCATGGTAGACGATAAATAGTGACTGTGCCGACGATGATAAACCAGCTCTTAAACTTACGTGTGTCCAAAAGTGCGTGTGCAATAGTAGTATGTGATTACCCAAGCTATCGTACCGCAACAATGGCCTTTGCTATATCCAACGGGTGCTATCTGCTGACGGCAATAGCTGTACATGTATTGAGAAAGTTTCGCTTTTTATCAGTTGCTGCCAGAAAACGCGGGTATCCTCTCAATAGTATGTATTCTGAATAATCCATGCGACAGTTGCGAGATCATATGACCATGATGGTGTACATATCAGGTGCTTGTCCTCCAGTTTTTTTAAAGACGAAGAACTGATTGGAAAGGACCAACTATTTCATTCCTGAGAGCAATGAATAATGTCACGAGTCTGCTTCTAAGGAAAAAAAAGCGCGTTGAGAAAATTCAAGCATATTCTACCAGTTTCCAGGTTGCCATCGTCTTTAGAAAAACAGATATGCTTTGATAGTGCTAGCTGTTTGTCATACAGTAACAATACAACAGAATGTCAACAACTATTTACGATGTAAAGATGTTTTTTACGTGTCAAAGCCTGAGTAGATCTATTCTCACTCTGTCTCTCTCCCTCCCCCCCGAGAAAATGATAAATATGAGGCGCATTACTGCCTAATTTTGGTAAGGTCGCGTTGTGGGGATCGACCGTTCCACAAAACGGATAACCGATTGATTATGTGAAACATATAATTTGGTAAAAAAAAAAATCGACGCTAAAATATGCGGAAAATAATCCATGCTTTTTAGTCTAAGACCGTACGAGTCCAGAAATCTGAGAAAACAATATAAAGATCCCCTTTCTAACGATAGTCTTTTTTCTCGCATGGTACAAACGTGTGGTTTGGGGGTTGAATGTGGGTGCGGATTGAAGAAAGAACAACGTGAAAAGTGTACGAGTTTTCTCGCTTAATGATACCCCTATATAGCAGAGGAATGGCTAGTACGCGCATATGTATCTTGGGTTATTAAAGGGCAAATACTGTACAGTAGTATACACATATACAGTTGTTTTGTAGTAGGGTCGCCATCGCGATTAGTGGAGGGAAAACATAAACGCTGGCGCAGAAGGTCACATTGTATGTATGAAGTACGGTCTCATACGTGACACTACATCAACAAGGTCATCTAAAAAGGTATACTGCTTTCCTACAAGATTGACAGACGTTTTATTTCTCTCGTTTTAGTGCAAAAATACATACATACGTACAGTGAAAGGTTATTGTGATGTCTTACTCATGCTATTCTTGCAAAAGTTGCCTATGTAAAAAAGATGGTGGTTTCCATCCAGTTTTCCAGGTCTCATTTTTCAAAACTTATCACCGCTCAGCAAACTGGTAAAAGGCTCATACAGGCGACAAAAAGCTAATTTCAGGGGAAAAAAGACATTTTGAATCCAGGGTGCGTCAAGCTAAATAAAATTAGTGATGTATTCATAATGCACAGACATTATCCTCTAGTGGTCGTCCTTTTGCCATCAAGACCCTCTTTTTTTTATGAAAACAAGTCTTGAACTAAAGATGTCTTTTTAGCATGGTACTAAGCTACAGTGGTAGTGCCGTTGTGATGGCGTGTGCTGCAGCAACAGTATTTCCGGACTGCTGTACACAAGCCCATGCAGCGAACCACGATCAACGAATTCAAAGGACAATAATAACCAAGATCATATTTTTAGCAGCATTGGCGATTATTTTTATTAGATTGGTACGGCTAGAACGACCTGAAGCAACCAAAATCTCTCCGCACAACATGTATATATTGAAAGATTTTTGTTGTACAGCACTGATACAGTAACTCTTGTAGGGTTTTGCATCAAGTAATATATGATACTGGTATATTCACATTTCTATCCTTGAAAACAGCATAACGCAAACAGTTTCGCTAGAGAACCCTACTAATCATCTTGAATCTTTTGCTGCTTGACGAGATGGTCGTTGTTACTACATATGGCTCTTTCAAACAAGATTGCCTACCTTTACTCTTGCTTCTATAGCGACAGTTTGCAATTAAAATACCTGAAAGATTTCTGAAAGTCTTCTGTTTTCCATGAATTTCTGGAACGTTTTAAGGCACTTGGTTGAACTACAAAGAGTATCCTTTGAACGATGCGTACCTTGTTCAAGTTGAATTGCCATCTTTATACATATGCACGTAGCCATCGGCTGTTGAGCCACGGTTACGCGACAGAGCAATGACTATATCATTCTTTGTCAATGCAGCAGTCTTTAGTAGCAGCCAAGTAACTGATGTGTAATAAAGAAGTCAAGGATGAGCCTGATACCCGTTTTCAAACTAACACTCGAGTATGGTCTCCCATCTACAAAACCACTTTTGCGTAAAGCCTTTTTACTGTTCTTACAAAGCTACCGACCAACGAAAAGAGGACGGAGAACCGTCTTTGACTTACGCGGATGATGTGTTCGTATTCCTAGCTTCTCCCCAAGAATTGGAGCGCCTACGCCTAAATCTACACCGCTATCAGGCCCCATCGAATGCACGGATGATTGCTCACAAAATTCAACTCATATCGCTCTGTGGAAGGCCGCTTCCAGATCGGGCACCTATCTTCGATAGGTCGGGCTATCCTCCATGCCGACGACAACCCGGTAATCTACCTCGGGTACCCACTAGCATCATCTCGACATCAACTACGCGCGTTTTTGGAACAGCTACTAGTCAAGATCCGGTCGCCCTGCCAGCTTCACTCCTCGCAATGTCAACTATCAATTCGCGGCCGCGCTACGGTACTCAACTCGCCAATTTTGTCCAAACTATGGCATGTACTACGACTCGTTGGCGCTGAGCCTTCATCTTTCTTCAGCAAGTTACGCTCACTATGTGGCCAATTCTTCATGACTCGCATGTTTCCTCGCATCGGCTTCGAACACCTTTGCCAGCCGCGCAGCCACGGCGGGGTTGTCATTTTGAATCCGCTACTACCACAGTCAGCGTTACAACCGCGATGGTTGGAACCGCTTTTTGACCAAGTTTCAACTCCAAAACATATCTCACCACCTGTTCATGGCATCACCTGCTGTATCATGCTATCGATCACCTCCCAATTGACTGGTTATCATCCAACCTCTCTGCCGCATCAGTTCTCCAGCTACCGCTCAACGCCATTTGGGCACCAACATTGGCTAACACGAGCCTACATCGTCCCGGCTTCAAAACAATGAAAGTATCTGATCTCTCTGTTTTCGATGCCTCACTTGGCTATCTCCGCCGTCGATCAGCTGCGGATGGTATTATACGAAGGATCCTGACTAATGGATTTTTCAATGATATGTCAAGAACGACTCTTCATGATCAATAGCTTTGCACGTCTCTGTCTGCCCCCAGTATATTCAGGCAACAGCCACTGCGGACGTCTTGGTGCAATTGATGCGACACCGCTCTCTCACCGCTTGCATACCACATTGCCGAAATGGCAGGCAAAATGATATCGCCGCACATGCTCACCACCAATACACAGTGTCACTGGCATTACTGCTCGACAATGGTCATAATCTTGGTCATGACCAATGGAACACACTGCCCGCAACGTCTGGTTATGCGCTATCCATGGGACATTACCGACTTTATTACGCCTTCAACCGTTTCAATATCTCTCATGCTCCATCATCTGACTGTCGTCTTGTCGCTCTAACATCGATTCTACAAACGACCCTCTTCCTATTCGAGTGCCCCCCACAAATATCAAGTGTGGCGGTCGCCTTCGGTACTCGAATCCTAGCCCAAACTCGATCAATCCGCTTCTTTGTCAAGTCACTTTACCTGACGAGCCACGTACACACCCCATTACCATAATACCAACTATCATTGCCTGCATCCTGCAAGCAATCTGGGCGGCCTATTATTGGCGATTTCTCTTCCACGATGAGCCATTCGTACCATGCATGGTCGCCACCCAGGTCTCTTCTCTGTTAGCCCGCTTTAGGCCCCCACCCCTTTAATCACTCTTCACTGTAACAACCCACCCACCCCCCCCCAAAAAAAAGCAAAAAGCAAAATATAGATACAACCTACCGCTCTTTTTTTTTCTTTCCATCTCCTCCTTCACATTTTATTGTTCTTAGCTAAAGTCATACTCATGTATCATATTGTCAAACTGTTCTATCTGTTCTATCTGTTTCGCACACAGACCGCCACTGTCATAGACACACGAGACTGCTTCTCTCTTTTGTTTTGTTTGGTTCACACATGCTTTTTGCATTATGGTGACTAAGTATCTCATCAGCAGGATGACTGGGCGTGTATTAGATTGGATAGCGCAAAGGTCAAGCCAATGATCAAAGGGTTTCTGACAGGGTTCGGGTCAATGTTGTTTATATTGAGCAATAAATTGTTTGTTTGGGTTTTATTTGGAGTAAACATGTGCTGAACGCCGCAGCCAGCGTCTTCATGGGATCAGTGAGACATTGTAGAAAGTCTCGGCCGTTGTTATATCAACTGTCGTGGCGTGTGTAACGAAAATAAAGAACGCTCTCTTGTACGAGTATATGCCCAAGACAATCAGCGATTGCCGATCCTCCAAGCCCGCAATGATGGATGTGGGCTGCTTAAAATAAGTGGTCAAGAGCAAATTATCGAGCAGCATGGCTGTTTTCAGCATAGTATGCGCGTCATCCTAGAGCTACTATTATCCATACAGGCTGCTTCTTCAGGTTGATACTGTCGTTTGGTTTGCTCGTTTTATCAACCACCTCCCTCTGCAATAGCGGTACAAAGTCAATCAGACGTGGTGTGACTTCATCGGCGTATGTGTGGGTGATGTATGATGTATGTGGGAAAAAAACAAAATGAGGATGGTCGGCTCGTACGAGAGTCAAGCATGCATAATCTTAGCCTTGCTTCTGAGCACATGAAAGTTGTGCCAACGATGTTTTCGGTTAGTCAAGGGGTTGAAACGGGCGTAGCAAGCGAAACATACCATTAAACTGGTTCTCTCAGCTTAGAACAGCTTGCCTTAGCGCCGTTGTTGCTGGTGTGCATACCCTCCCAACAAATTTCTTTCCTTTCCATTATTTTCGCGAACAGAACTACGCGAACACAGAAGGTAAAATAAAAAGAAAAAAGATGGAAAAGGCGTACCAAAGTGTGATAAAGCGCGTTGTGATCGTGTTACTGTCGTTTGTCATTGTTCTGCGCTTTGTTGAGCACGGAGCTTATCTTTGCCAGTTTTGGTTTTTTGTACGCGGACCCTGGAACCCGTAGGGGTCCAGGCCAGCGTTCTTTTTGGAAATGAACTTTTGCCCATAAAAAGACACCCATTTTCCGCAGCGTGTTGCTTCCTCGCTTTTTCTTTCTCTTTTCACTTATGGTAAGTCCCTTTCTTTTTTTTGTGGATGTCTGGGGAGGGAGTGGGGGCTAACGCGGGTTTTGTAGGTCGTGGGTGGGTGGGTGTGTGTGTGGGTGGTGGTGCTTGTTTTGTAGGCACGGGCGACGAAGGCGTAAGGTAAGTGGTTGAAGGTAAGTGGGTGTGTGGGTGGGTGGTGGTGCTTGTTTTGTAGGCACGGGCGACGAAGGCGTAAGGTAAGTGGGTGAAGGTAAGTGGGTGTGTGGGTGGGTGGTGGTGCTTGTTTTGTAGGCACGGGCGACGAAGGCGCAAGGTAAGTGGTTGAAGGTAAGTGGGAGCAGATGTCGATGCACCTTCTCGTTGGTTGCTCCTGTCAATACCTGCCTAAGTGCAGGGAAGCTAAGACATCGACACCCTATTATTGCTTAGTAGTATCATGTTTCAAATAAAGAATGTTTTTTCTCTCTTCCCGTTCGTTGAACTTGCTTGTGCGTGTTTTATATTGTTGTAATACTTCTTCTTCATATGCGAGCGAGACTCGTCGTTCTCGCTCCTGATTGTACAGTGGAGACTTTTGCATTGAGCAATATAGTTGCCATGAGATCGTCGGCGAAGTAATATTGATTTTGTTTTGAGCATGAATGCGGTATATAATCTTCAAGTATACACACACATTGACATGAAGTGATAAAGAGAAATAGTAGTAGTACTTACCTGATCGTATTATAAAAGATTTATTCATCCTCAGTCTCACAACGGGTATGGTTTTCAAAATAGATGTTCTCGGTGCCAAACAAAAGCATAAGACATCCTTTACGTTGTTTTTTTTTGTAGTTATTCTGGTTGCAACACCATTGCCGTTAAGTCGCACATGCATCATAGTACACAGGATTCTATTCCCCACATGCCTTTATTGAAACAGCAGCCATCATTGTTGGAGAAAGAATATGGTTTGGCTTGAGAATGATACAGCATTCAACATCATGCCATGAGGAAGAATATGTGACCAAATGGTACTGCAAATATAAAGATTATATTACAGCAAGAGAGTATTTATCTATGTATACAAGACCCAAATTTATTAGATCATTGGAGACAGCATGTTACTATCTGGACTAGTTATCGTCCTTGTCAACGGTACGGGAACAATAGGTCAGTAATAACATTATTAACATTGGCCCGCTGATCACTGGCGAAACGACCATTTGAAGTGGAACTCAGCAGTAATCAAATGATCACATAAACTCCTGCTGCTTACTGCCAGAAATTCACGCAATTATCTTCCTTTCTCATGTACCCGGACTCATGGTCGACATACCTCATAAGCCATAATGTCATCGAGAACGAGGATCAGCTGGGTAGACGGTAATGCCATTTGGCTATTTTTTGTTTTTTGTTTTTTTTGGGGGGGTGGGGTGTATACGTTACAGATAATCGCTGATTTCCCAAAGGCACTTTTTTTATTTAACATGCACTCACAAATTCAAACAAACTAAAACGGACACGGAATATTCATGTAGTCGGCTTCTAATGGATATGGTACGACTCCTCGTACCTGGGCTAGTCAACCAAATCAAGAAAGAGTACAATTTGCAAAAGAGCACGATTCAATGTCAGTTTATTCCTTTTGGTTCGTACGGTTTGGGCGCGCATCTCGCTTCTGGTGACATTGATGTTGCATTCTTGGGTCCGTCAACAGTTCGAAGACGCGACTTTTTTCGAATCTTTGAGGAGCTTTTAAAGAAGCAGGCGACTGTACGAGATGTTCTTGTAAGTAGGTGGATATTGCGGTTAAGGGAGCGAGAACGGGAAAGGGCAAAGCGTGTTAGTGCGTTAGTTCATCCAAGTACTGTCTGCTTATTTTCATTACCTTGGTAGATAATTGATCAAGCGCGTGTACCTATTATCAAATGTACAATTGACCGAATACCGGTAGGCATCAGTTTTATTTTTGTTAATGCAGCACGGGACAAAAAAAGAAAGAAAGAAACTATATGGACTGACTTATTACGTCCTTGTTATGTATGACTTTTGTGTGCAGGTGGACATTTGCTTTGTCCGCTTGAAGATGGAAACGGTTCCGGCAGATATCGATATTTTGGACAATAAAATTCTCACTGGTCTAGATGAACCGTGCATGGGATCTTTGGCAGGTAGGACAAAGAAAGGAAATTTCGGGATTGTCAAGTTAGGCTGACACTTTGCATGCACACGCACAGGCCCTCGTACATTGAAATTTATACTCAAACGAATCGACAAGGCACATTTACAATCATTTCGAACGGCAGCACAAAGTATTAAATGGTGGTCTGTTCAGCGTCATTTGTACGATAAACAGCTCGGATATCTCAACAGCGGTGCATTGGTACTACTCTTACTCAAGACATACATTATCGAGCGAACGTCTGGGCGCTCCATCAATGTTTATAGCCTTGTTTCAGCATTCTTCGCACAATGGTCCACGTGGCCCTGGCCTGCTCCTGTCATGTTGACAGATTATATTCCCAACCATGATGGCAGCCCAATCGATTATCAATCACTGGTATACATGTTATCATTTATTGCACTTTATCAAGCAGAGGAAGGAGAAGAGGATTATTTTGTTGTAAACATATAACTGAAGAATTTTGTACCGTTGAACCGTTCCAGGTAGAGTTTGAGAATGCATACATGCCCATCGTTACACCATGCTACAGGGTCACCAATGCTGCCCCTGACGTTACCAAGTCCACCTTACGCGTTTTGCGCCGAGAGTTTACGAGAGGTATACGAGAATAAACCATCAGACATCCTTGCATAGAGGTAGAGTGATGCCTTCAGCTACCACACTTACTAAACTCCAACAATTGTCGTGCCGCTAGGATACAACATCACCAGGGCAACCTTTGCTAGTGAAGAAGCAATGATTAGAAAGCTTCTCAAACCATTTGACTTGGTCAAAAACTACACTCATTTTCTGAAGGTCATGTTTTCAGCCGATACGGTCGCTACGCATGAAGCATGGTAATTTTGTGTTGAAGTTGGAACAAAGAGGAAAAACAAGCATATATACCGTGATATTTAACAAAAAGAAACAAACAAAAAGGTTGCGCAAAATTCCGGATATCTTCCCAAGACTAGTGGAGTTTCTTGAAGAAGTACCACAATTTCGAGAGCTACAACCATACACCAAATCGTATGTGAAAACGATTGGCTATCGGAATCGGTTGCAAAAGACTGCAGTGCAACTCGGCGAGTTTGTCGAGAAGACAGAGAAAGATCGAAAAAAGACCTCGCCCCTGGATCCAGGATCTTTACATCGGATATCTTATATCATCGGTGTGGATGTTACTCCTGGTGACCCAGATGGTAAGAAAAAAGCATGAATGGATTACGAATCTGTGGATATGTCTCTCTGACCTGTGGCTCTATGTTAGATATAGTAAATAATACTATTGATATATCCCGGCAAATCGCACTGTTTCGAAATGTAGTTGACTCAAAACGCAACTCCAAGGAACGTGATCTTGTCGTTAATGTTGTTGCTACGAAAAGGTAGATAATGGAAAGGCAGTTACTTTGGATCGTACTTTTTGTTTTGCTTACCACATGTTATTTTGTGTTTACTATTATCATAGGAAGGAAATTGCTCGATTCATCAAAGAGCATTCCATGTAATATTCTCCATCAAATTCGATACCTGTATCATAAAACTTTTCCATTATTTTAGCAAACAATTATTGGGCTCACACAAGTGAAATCAACAATGTAAAAAACACACACAAAAAAGGAATAAAAGAGATGTTGTTATTTCTGTACAGACGGAAAATAGAAAAGATATATAGACAAGCATAGTAATCATCGCAAAAGAAGGCTGTTCCTGTACAGAGAAGGGGCAAGGAAGGGTAAACAGAGAGACGGAGAGAAAGAAGCAAGCTATACATGAATCTTATCTTGACCATTCTGTGCTTCATTCGGTAAACCCCAGCTAAACATAGTGATTGAATTAGTAACCTTCTTTACATATTGAAGATCGTTAGTAAATACACAAAAACTTACATTCGAATGGTTTGATCGTCACTGGCCGATGCAAACTTGGGTAATCCAACAGGACACCAACTTACACAGTTTACCGTTCCTGTATGCCCTTCCAGTACTTCCAGGAGCGTCTGATGTTCCCGACTCCACACGTACACGCAATTATCTAACATAGGTAGAGATATATCTGTAAGGATTTTCCAGTACGGCCCATGACAAAAATCTAAAGGTGTATCAGTTTTTTACCTTCACTACCGCTCAAGACAAATGATTCATCATCGCCGCCCAACGTTGAACGAATAACAAAAGACTTTTGCTTCTGTCCAGAGTACTTCCGTACGAGCTGTTGTTCATCCAAGTCCCATAAGTGCAATTCTTGCGAATCCTGGACATTTGTGAGTGCATATCGACCGTCTTTAGTGATTGTCAGTGAAGTGATCATTTCATTCTCGGAAATTTTGCTATACACGGCAAAGATAGAACATGAAAGCCGTGAGTTCTTTTTATCATTAGGCAATTATCCGTTTACAACAAATCACGATGACATACCCAACATCCATTAATTTAAGATCGTCGAGGTCGTAGATTCCGATATACTTGTCGAAGCTGATAGTGACCAATCGTCGTCCGTCTGGTGTGATTTTCATGTCGACAGTTCGATGTGCTGGCCACGTATTTTGGATTCGACCATCTATATGCTGTTTATTTATATATACACACGCTAAAAGTTAGCAGAAGGTATGATGGCGTTTCGTGTATATATATAACTTACCCATAGACATAAGGTAGTATCGCATGCTCCAGAGATGAAATGTTCTCCATCAGGTAGCCACACACAGCTGGTTACTTGATCTTTGTGTTCGGTATATGTATGCAACAGGTTTCCGTTCTATATCATATTATCATCGTGAGCTCATAAGTAATGTTGCACAGTTTCGATAAAAAATGTAGTCGTAGCTTTTGTATATCACTGCCTCTTTACCAATGGATCCCATAGTACTAATGACGTGTCTATACCACAAACCAGTAACTTGGAATCATCCGGCGACCATGCACAATAAGATGCACACTCGTCCTGACCCGCAAGAATCTGTACTTTCTCAAATGTCTAAAAGAAGTTATATGTAGCAGCTTAGCATATGAATGACTTAAAGGCAGATTCACCCACCGAATTGTTAATGATTATCTACACTTACAGTCATATCCCAGACAATGCATGTTTTATCTTTTGATACCGACGTCAGATATCGACCACTGTTTGAGAAAGATAGATGCCATACTTCGTCCGTGTGACCTTCCAAGATTCGAATAGTCGAGGATGGGAATAAGCTCCTACGAAAAAAGCATGTTGATAATCACGGTATCAGTCAGTTTCAACTGGCTTGTTCTTTCCCTTCCCATCCATCCAAGCACGGCCCATTGACTGTCTCAACACTGGTTTTGAATAGGATGATTTACTTGTCGCAAACATGATCCGCAAATAGAGAGAAGTCAGCTGTGCTGTCACTATGGTAAAGACATCCTCGTCGCTGCCATTCATATGCTTGGTTAATTAATGTCAGCAGCCGTTCGTTCGGGATCATAATCGATGGCGGGATATAATCTAAATTTTAAAAAATGCAGAAACGCAAATGCGTGTGAGCCCTTTGTCTGATAAGGCATGGTGAAGAGGAGGATGCTTTGCCTCGTGAGATAAAGTTCAGTATTACTTTGTAAATCAACAAGCAACTGTTGCCGTGATGTTCCGCCTGCACCGTCCCATTGTGCTTGTGATTTGATATCTTCCACTGACGAGCAGAATATTAAACTAAAGGAGTGGTAGAAGAGCATCAGTTCAATTCACAATGTCATATCATGCTCTGGTGTTTCTATGCTATTATGTATGCGCGAAATGTACCTTGATAATTGATGCAGCCGTTCGATACTTTGACCAAGCGGTGTCAACTCATTTCTTAATACATGTAAAGCCTTCATTGTCTTTTGTGCCTCGAGCAGCTCCAAGAACTTTTGCTGTCTAATCAGGAACTGTGCTTGCAGTAAGTCGTTGGTTTGTATTCCCGGCAAGGTAGCCAGCAATGATTCGGCCAGCCGCCAATCGCCCGATAGAATCCCTCCACGGAAACGAGTAATTGTGTCTGTTTCAAGTGCGATCCCAGAATCTTTTTGAAGTGCTCCCGCAGCATCGCTATTAAGAACCCAACCCCCAAAGCCAGAGATAATTTTTAGTCATTAAATGACGTTGCATAAGCACGGTATTACAAGCCAAAAGTACGTCAAAGGAAAGGAAAAAGAATGAAAGAGAGTAAACTAGTGGCGCCCACATGCAAACAAGAGTATAGTGGAAAGGAAAAACTGCAATTACCGATAACCAAGGTCATTCAAAGACTGCAATATCAGTCGCACCAGCTCTTCTTTCTTGACACGACCGAGCATGTCAGGTGAAGCGTCCACTGACGATTTGCCATTACTTTGTTGGGAGTCCGTGGTGATAGTAGCAGCAGCAGCGTCAGCAGCTGTGTGGTTGTTGGTGTGGTTGCTGTCTTTGATTTGCATGTCGTCGTCGTTGGTTGTACTATCGCTTAGGGTATAATTTAGACGTTGGCGTTTTCGTTTCGGCAAACCGGTTGAAGAAGATGGGTCAATGGATTGTAAAGGGCGAGATGATTGTTGCTGGCCAGCAGAGGAGGCTGCTGATGGTGGTGATAACGAATTCCTATCCGTGTTGGGCGTTTTGGGAAGCTGGTTTTGCTTTTACAAACTTGGGTTGCTTTGGATAAAAGAAGACGTAAGAAAGCTGTAGCACTACTTTTGTTTCGCCAAAAGTGCCAAAGATTTGTTGTTTGAGAGCGGAAAGAAAAAGAAAGAGGTTGCGGTTTTGAAGTATGTTTGGAGTTTAAGTTTGGTAGTAAAGGTAGGTAGTTGGTTGGGGGGAGAAAGAGTATATGGAGAACGACGTGTTGTTGCTTGAATTAAAAAGAGCCGCAAGCATGGCCACGAATCACATACGACAGCTGAGATCCAAAGGATACTTGTACAATATCGCGATCATCATGATCTCTATTTGCCACCTCCTTGTTGCCGTTGTTGCTGTTGCATTCTTTCACGCGGAAACGATTCGACAGCTTACTATGACACTTTGCTTGAGCAAATAGAATGCTCACCTGTGTCAAACAGCGGTCTTTTTCCAACAAGCAGGAAGTGTCGTTGGTGAGAACAGCAGAAATTCCGGTGATAAGGATTTTTTCCAAAAGGTGCATGAAAGTTGTCATACGACTGCTCGCTGACTTTATAGTTGACTAACTGATACGTACCGAACAAGAGTGTACAATTGCTACGACGGATGCAGTACAGTGAGCATAGACAGTATTCTTGGAAATACATTCGACAAAGCCGTGTCAATGGAGTGCTGTTCGTGGTAAGTGGAGATTGTAGATACATGTTACATGATACTCTTGTCCTGTACTATACTATTACGAGGGTATATATTTTATGCATAAAGAGTACGTGAGAGCTATAAGGAATTAATATGTCCCGTCGCGTGAGTAGTACTCACAACGAATAATAAACAGCAGCTACGCCATGATTCGATATATGCGTGTTTATAACCATCGATGCCTACATGCTAACTTATTAATGTTGCTTTATTAGTTTTATGATAGCCGCTGTTATGATTTTGAGGAAAAGCTACGTAGAGAGCTTTTGCCAGCTGTGATGCGGCTGTGCAACTATAACTGCTAGTATTATTCTTGGTCACACACAATTCTTCTTAGTAGCTGATGACACCTCAGTGCATCAAAACCGATATTGCTTCCTGTGTGCGACGACTACGGCAGTAATGCTAGACAGAAAAAGCACTGAAGATAAGTCTAATTTTAGGAACCTTTTCAAGCAGTAACCTCTCACCGCCTTCAATCGATCGCAACATAAAATTACGAGAAACTTCTGGTTACAACAGGACCTGTATTTCAAACATCAAGAATGTTTACAGCATAGATATCAACACATTGGTTCCAGTAAAGATGTAAAGAGTAGCGCTAAAAGCCTCTTCTTAAAACCTGCTTTAAAATGTTATAACGATAATAATTATAGGCACATGACCATTGATCGAAAGCTCATTTTCTTGCGTAAACTAGATAAGGCAGTGACATAGAACGTGGTGACGTAGATAGCAGAAATGGTTCAGATTTCCTCTGTCTACATTCATCATGCTGCAAGGAGAAATGTCTGCTGGCTGTACAGTGCGTACATAGAATTTTTAAAAGGAGTCCAGGCAAGTAAAGCTCGCGTGACTTAATTGAAGGCTGTTCCAAAAAGAAGCGTGAGCGTATGCAATTCTATGCATGTACATACATAAACGAAGCTTACGATGTTAGGTGAACGGAACATCAGTGCTCCGTTTCTTCTGCATAATAGACTATCGGCTAATACTTCATACTTCAAAGTCACGGCATGCATTACATAAACAGTTGCAACAAACCGCATCTCGCGTCAGCCCCTTTTCTCACAATATGCTCCAAAAATGATATCTAAGGAAACAGACAATCTTAAAAATAAGAAGGACGCTAGTATTGCTACTACAACAACATTGCCATTACCTGTCGTTCATTTTCTTTCGAGATGCTTCTACTAGAGTTTTCACTGCACTCGTCCTTGTAGCACTATTTGTTGCACAGCGATATTTTAATGTAGAGCCATTCACTTCGTGGACGTGCTCCGTTTTCAGATACAAATGTGATCGAAGATACAATGTCTAGTTCCGTGGTTACGTTACGCGACGACTATGTTTCAATGGGACACGCATTCAATAACAATTTTTGCGCAGGCGAAAAATTGGCGCTGCAGCTGCACTTTACGTGGATGGCGAACTCGTTATGGATATTCAAGGCGAATGGCAAACCGTTGAAATACGACCCCCGTATACACACGGTACCTTATACAACGGGTGTTTTCTAGTATAAAACTTTTGGTAGCTACTACAATTATGTGGTCTAGTAGGAGATTATCGATCAACTAGCATTTACTCATAAATGGACTTGATGGTTTATAATACAACAAAAGCAGACTGCAATTTTTGTAGCTCAGTTTGCTGACAAAGGCGTATTGTCATATGAAGAAAGGTTTGCGACGTACTGGCCTGAATCCGGTAAAGGAAACAAGGATTATGTGACGCTGGGAGACTTGATAAATCACATTTGCAGGGATATTACACGTGTACATGCTCAGTGGACAATGTCCTATATATGTGTATCAGATTATTAAATGATCACAACATTGAATAGGTGCAACATGCTGGCGGTGTCGCCTCTATTGATCAGCAAATTAACTCAGCACAAGCCGAAGATTCTGATCGTCTCGCCAGTATTTTGACTGCACAACCACATAATTTTGCTGGAGTACGGAAGAGGAGCTACTATACCATGCAACTACCCGGGGTAGGTATATCAATGATATATCAATGAAATCCTGAGGTGCGTGGCCAACTGCGCCGTGAACGACGTAGCACCCGAGCTCAATAAGAAAAACGATATTGAATGGAATTTAAAGCCGTTTCATTCAAATATACAACGATCACATTGCCTTGCTGTACTGAGGACCTATACTGCACAGCGTATAACATACTACGCTCACGAGCAATATGACTGATATAGTAACAACGTTCTTACCTTCAGACAATCCGATTGATCTTCGACTACGTCGTATTGAAGCAACATTTTATTTTGGTTTATTACAAAAGCTCGATCTGTAAGTATTGGCACCACAATATTTATCTATTAGAAGAATAATGACAGTAGCATGGTATATTCGTACCGCATTCTATATACTACTTCCATTTATCTTATGGCTTTGTATGTTTCAAATATCACGTTTCTACACGTGGCAAAGCTGGCTGCATTGAAGGCAAATGGAGGCAAGGCGATTGTGAAAGGTAAACCAGATTTGCTGACCCCTGAAGGATACGCAATGGCTACTGAATTGACTCGCCAGAATACGACTTGTTATTCCGGTTAGAAATGTCAGCACTTGAATATGGATAAAATACTTTTTTAGACATTGGTATAAACGGTATTGGATATGTCAGTTGGAGCGGTATAGGCGGATCTGTATATTTTTGAAGTCATGAATACAAGATTGAATTCGCCTAATGTTTGTATACAGTACCAGATTTGCTGTCCCCTGATGACCGAAGTATTTCCATAATTACTACAGCTGCTGTCAAACAAGTTTTGCAAAAGAATTCCTTTTCTTTTCCAACGTAGATTCTCCTCCTTGTAATGCTGTTTCGTATCCTAATTGTTAAAAGAAACGAACATTATATGAGCACATGGTCTCTGGAACTACTTTAAAATGTTTTTCAATAATAGAAGTGATAATAGCAGGAGGGAATGATTAATATTTGAGCCTCAGCCAATGCGCAGAAGAGTTGCCGCGTTTTTATCCGGTATAAGCTTTCCGCTAACAACACATTGACGATGAGCATCCTGTTACATTCATTCGGGTAGGTCACTATGTTAGGGGAATTCCGCTCAATTGCTTCTCCAAAAACCAGCATAAATACACTTTACCTTCATTACATCAAACCATATTGATACCCCTGTCATTGTTCAAACAATAGAAATGTGAAAAGGTGATGTGGTTGCTTATCAATTCATTGTCGATTCTACTTTGATGCTGTATATATAATATAAGAGCTCGAAAATCACTTGTGCTACACATTCGCGCTAGACCGTGTCTGGATTATTTGGCTGTCAGGCGATTAATTTTGTTCCGCAGCAACGGCTTTATTACTAACAGATTAGGAATGCGCCACATTTTGAACTCTCATATAATCTGCAACAAGCACAAACAGACAAGTTCCCGCCAAAGTATATATGATAACTGTCGCTTTTATCATGCGGGTTAGCAAAGAATACATCACCGAACTATCAAGAAGGCCTCAAATATGTATATGGTTCAAGCATCAGCTTGATAATAGCACTCAAGAGCGGTGGGATTGTGTAACTTAGGAAGCTGTTGCAAATATTAACGCACAACCCAAATATTAGAGTATGCTGCGTGACAATTTCCAAGAAATCCAGAACAAAGCATGCATTTTGCTATATAAAGGGATCGCGAAAAACAAGGGAGGAAATCGACTCTTGTAAAACCTTTCTTTCCCTAGAAGAATGACCGCTGGTGAGGCCAACAGCAACAGTGCAAAAACCAATCGAGACACAATGGTGAAGAGCGCAAAAGTGTCTACTACCAATACTAGTGTATCCACATCTGCTACCGGTATTCCACCATTAACCACTGACATATCCAGCAAACGGACAGTGCTTGGGTCTTTGGTTAAAGTTGTAGCTGTAATCTCGTTGCTCGGGGCTGTCGCCGCACAACGATATCTCAGCCAGGGTCCATACACGCCATGGACCTGTTCTGTATTTGGGTACAAATGTGAGCGACGGTACGATGTACCTTTTCACGGTTATGTGCATGATGATTACAGCTCGGCAGAGCAGGCGTTCAAGGACAATTTCTTTGCAGGCGAAGACGTCGGTGCTGCTGTAGCTGCTTATGTCAAAGGCGAGCTGGTCATGGATATGCAAGGGGGCTGGCAGAATGTTAAAGAGAGGACACCCTACTCGAACGAATCTTTACAGTTGGTGTTTTCCAGCACTAAAGTTTTTGTAAGTAACACCTCTTTTGTAAAAGAATTTGAGCCTTGACTACTGACCAGCAAAAAAAACTCTTTCACGATATCAGACTTCCATTGTTGTGGCTCAATTCGTTGGAAAAGGTGTAATATCATATGACGAAAAGATTGCAACATACTGGCCTGAGTTCGCTCAAGGCAACAAGGAAAACGTAACACTGGGTGATTTGGTAATGGGTAGACACATATAGCTTTTCGTATCCTCTCTCGCCATTTTTACTGACTATATATAAAATCATGTCACAATTATATAAAACAGATGGTCCATGCTGGTGGCGTGGGATTCATCGATGTTCCAATAACCTCTGCTGAAGCTGAAGATCCCGAGCGTTTCTCACGCATTTTGGCCGCGCAGCCACATAATTTTGGTGGTGTTCGAACACGCAGCTATCATGCGTCTACGTATGGTTGGTATGTCAACGAGATCTTAAAGCGTACCGCGAATTGCACAGTGGATGATGTAGCTGCTGAATTCAACAAAGATTATGATATTGAGTGGTACCTCAAGGTAGGACAAACAAACACGCCGTTTTGCATCATTCTAAGCACTCTTAAAAAATCCTGGTATTCACCAAATTTATTTTGCAGCCATACCAGCTTAAATTTGACAATCGTATCTCCCCTTTTTATACGTCTACACCGCTTTACCGATTCTCACGCTTAATCAAGTTTGTGGGTGGCCCTGTCAAATTTTTACGATTACTTTTCGAAAAGAACGACGCCAAAGCCAAGACATTCAAGCTTCCACTCGAGGGTACCCCAGCATTGCTTGAATACAATCTACAACTGCGCCGTATTGAAGCGCCGGCATATTCTGGATTTACAAATGCTCGCTCAGTAAGTCTCGTGTGTTCTCTTGATAAAAGAGCTATAGATAATTTTATACTAATGCTTCCTGGCTAAAAAGATTGCCAAACTCGCGGCAATGATGGCTAACGATGGTAAAGCGATTATGGATGGCGAACCAGACTTGTTAACTCGCGAGGGCTATGCTGTAGCTACTAAACCCGCTCCGGTGGCGTTCGATATGATTATCCAGCGCTCTATGCCACAAGAGCGAGGCGGCTGGGGCAAATTCGATGATTTTGTTATTGGTGGTGTGGAGTTTACTGGTTGGGCAGGCATGGGAGGCTCTGTGTTTATGTGGAACAGTGAGCATAAAATTGGATTTGGCTATTGTATGAACGGTATTCCAGATCCCAGCTCCCCAGATGACCGCAGCATTTCTATATTACGTGCCCTCGTAAAACAGGTCTTGAAAAAGAAATAAGCTGTGAGATTGCGTGAATCAATGTGATGCTTGGTATTGTGCTCTAATAAAAAAAACTGTTTTGTTTAGCTCCCGCTGCATATTCAATTAATCATTGAATAATTTAACATGCACATGCAATTGTTCAACACTTGAGCAGCTTGAAACCCTATAGATACATCATACTGACTATTGAAAAATGCAATATGATATGAAACAAGTTTTACTAATGATTATATATAACAGTAAAGCAAATAATGTCAGATTATAAAGAACATGACAACTTCCATGCAATGATGAAGTGTTACTAGCGGGATTCTTCATCTTTAGTATTGACAGTGAAATGTGGAGATCGGCTCGACCAGTTCATTTTCTTTTGTAAATGTAAAGCGACATAGGTCAGCGCCAGTAATACTACATGAGGTCAATATCAGAGTGAGTGATCATTAATCTTTAAACTAACAGGTATGTACATGTATGAACAGAGGCAATTCCAAACAAGCTTACCAGGCACTTCGATCAGTGGCCCTATTGTTGCGGCCAGTGCTTGTTGTGAGTTGATACCGTATGTGCCTACGGCCACAGCTATAGCCAATTCAAAGTTGTTGCTGCCAGCTGTGAATGACTGTGTGACGACCAATTCATACGGCATACCAATGGCCTTCAATCCAAAGAAGGGGATAAAGAACATGAGAACGAAGTAGACAAACAAGGGGACGGCGACGCGGAAGACAGATCCGATATGTTCGATGATCTGGTGACCTTGATTCGCAAACATGACGACGATCGTATACAGCAAGCCAATCAGTGCCCAGGGGCCGACATAGGGCAAAAAGTTCTTTTCATACCACGAACGACCCATTGTGCACATGAAACCAAAGCGCGTGACTATACCAGCTGCAAGTGGGATACCAAGGTAGATCAAGACGGATTGGGCGACAGGCCAGATATCCACATTGATGGCATCATCTGTGGGGGCTCCAAACCAGGATGGAACGATGTTGATGAAAAGAACAGAGTAGGGCGAGAAAAGAGCAATTTGGAATATAGAGTTGACGCACACCAACATTGCGCAGTAGTCGGCATCTCCTCCAGCAAGATGGTTCCAAATAAACACCATAGCAATGCATCTAACATTGATCGACCGAAAGGTTGGTAACGAAACTTCAAGTTTGATACAGCCACACACAGAGAGAACCCCCTCCCTCATTTTACCTTGCTAATCCGACCATCACCACACCCGTACGAAACTCTGGAAGGTCAGGCAGAGTCGCCCATGCTAAGGCTGTCATGATGATAGGTCCAACCACCCAGTTCAGAAAGATAGAGATCGCCATCTGTATCCACACCTGCTTCGTCATTAATATGGATGGCATCCGCTCATATTGAACTTTACATAGTCTTAAAGAAATATATATATATAAGTTAGCACGCTTTTTTAGAATAGAAAAAAAGATAGGAAATATAATGTACATACACTGGATACATCATGATCAATAGTCCAATAGCAATAGGAACCGATACCGACGCAAATTGTACAGTTTCAAACGATTCTTGAACGCCGGGAACATAATATCCAATCAAAACGCCGACAATCATAGCCAACAAGATCCATATAACCAAGAATCGATCAAGAAAACTTAATTGTCGTAGCAAAGCTAATGATTTGCAAAAGGAAAGATTTTAGATTCCACAGACGTTCAAAAAGGTATGACTAAAGCACTGATGACTGTACCTGTTCCTTTGACTGGTTTAGCGTGCTCTTGTTCTGCAGCCATTGCTTGGTACTCGGATGGCTTGATGCAGTAATCATAGTTGCAATCGGGTGACCAGTAACACTGTTCCTGTCTTTTTTCAACACAGTAGTTGTAGTTGCAATCGTCTGATTTATAGCAAACAGAGGCGTTTCCACCTTCTTCTTGTTGACGACACGACATTAATTTTTTGGTATGTTTTCAAAGGCAAGAGTATAGCAGTTGGGATCAATTCCCTATTTAAAACGTTTCGGGCACGCTTCCGGAATTTCTATGGTTTCAAATCATCTGTAAAGTCTAAAGTGACATGTTCTACTACTACTACTACTACTACTACTATGCACAGCATGACAGCTGCTTCCCATATAAATTGTTATCTCACATTTATCTCTTTCTTACAGCCATCTTTGTAATATCACTATGTGTGATCTTGTTAATGTAAATAAGATTAAAATTCAATATTACTGATCGGTATAAACTAATAAGGAAATCGTGCGTTAACCTTCCGCATGAGGAAAAGCTATTCCGACTCACCAATAGCAATGACGACAATGTACGCAAGCAGGTGACTGTTGGTTGAAACTTGCTTAAATCGAACTCAGCAACTTCAAAGACATTGTAGAGTAATGCCATAAAGCATCCTGAGTTTGTTTCCATCCATGCGTTAATAACCCACTCATAAGTGTATGTTGGAGGCACCATTCATTACTGTTTTCGTGGCCGCAGCAAAGATTAGATATTAATAATTTAGCCAAAGCAAAACATTGATGAGGTGCAATATGGTCATACATGTTGCTTCATGATAGTTATCTGCCCCAAATGCTTTAAATGAACGAAAAAGGCGGTCTACAGAGCGGATAGGAAGAGCTCCAACTCGTTTATTACACTAGATTTATTATGGATGATTTTTGAGAGCATTGCTATGTTGGACCAGAACTGTTATATTGAGGACTGAAAGAGTTCCCTATATCCATTTTTTTTGGAAACCTTCCAGCAATTAGTTCTACTACTGCTACCATTTCTGTGGAGCACTCGCAAGATATGTCTTTTTTCTTCGTCACAGAAGTCACTGATGAAAACAGTTTTTAGATCGGGTGCATCTTGTGATATATTGGCTTATTCACAAGCTCTGGTGAGCTTATCAAAGTTATTAGTTTTAACTATTTATTCACTGATTAATTGAAAAGACCCAACAACTTGAAAAGTTACTGTCTAATTACGATAGATAGGCGTTTAGAAACTGTACAAATAAGAACCTCAGCCTAAGCCATCCTTACTAAATAAAACTTACTAGATAATAGTCGCTTCTCACTCATTACGACGTAAACCAGTACTCATCTTTTTTTTGCCAGCTAGTCGCTCTCTAATGACCATGAGAACGACTTAAAACCATAAATATCATCTGCTATGCAGATAATATCGTCAACGGCATCTATTTAACAGGACAAAATGAACATCTTGATTTCGTAACAAGAGCTAAGAGTTAATTTTGTAACCATACAACGAAAGAATAAGGACGTTTTCTCTGGTGGTCTGTAATGATTTTGGTTAGCGCTTTTTGGTTAGCGTGTACGCACTAACCAATATAACAAGGGGCCAACCTGGGCTCCGATTAAACAGATCCAATGAAATTGTTTACCAGGGTAGTGAATATCCAAAGCCTCTTATTTTGGGAAGGTGGTGTGTAGCAACGTGCCCCGCGTGTCTTGGATTTTCAACTACAGCGAAGCACGATGGTGGGGCACTCTATGCTTGAACAATATCATTTTGAAGAAGTTATTTATTGTTTATAATTGTGCTGTAGCTTTTAAGATATTACTCTTCAATGTGCTACTTGATGAAGAGAGAAGGACGAGTGGTCGTTTTATAGCGATGTCCTCGTGCCAAGAATTTATTAGTAACTTTAAAAAATAAGAAGAGGCCGTTTTTTTGATATACATCGGAGATGCCGAGTCCATAGCACCGCACGGTCAAAATTAGCCAGCAAATCATTTATCGGGATTTCCCATCGTGATTGGGTTTCTGTCCCAAAGTTAAAGGCCCACTAGGTTTTTTTAATGCAACGATGGTAGAAGGGGGGTTGTTTTAAGTTTCACACTTGACTATCTAGTTTGCAAAAACCCGTAATTAGTGTAGGATCTTCCTTTAGCTAAGAAAAAATCGGGAAATGCTTGGTTAGAATGTTTGTCTGGGTATTTATTATACGATGCTACTGCGTGTTAATTTGATCTGCGCTAAGTCTAGGTTATACTGCATGGTTGTCCCCTTGAATCTTATTGTTGTTGTTGATGGACCATTATCCATGTCTGATTAATTTAGGCTATTACAGAAAGTAATTTACAACCTTACTGTTGTCACCGCGTATAGATTGTGCGGTGTAAAATAAAAGTAGGGCGCTATCAACGGGCTCCAAACAAGTAAAAGACCGCGCACATTCAACTTGAACATAATCTTTTTGCAGCTAAGCCGGAAAAAGCTCGAAAATGACTTTATACAGTATTTATCATCTCCGGACACACGATGGATGGTGGTTTTTACTGTTTTTGTGCATTTAATGAGAACGGTTTTCCTAGAGGAACATCTTCTTTCTTGTGATTATCATTTGGACAGGGACGAACGTAGTGAAAGGAAATTAGCAAGTGGATAAATATGGGGACGTGGTTGGATGGCGGGTTTTAAACGTGCGTAGTATAGATTTTATTCTTTAAAGAAAAAAAGACCCAAAGGGCGTATAAATGGTTTCAGCTTTTTTATATTCCCGTGTGATCATCACCTCGTTTATGGCTAGTAATGGGAAGAGATTGGGAGCAGCTTACAAATGTGTATGGCTTGCAAGACGGCATGTGCAAACACCTTCGGTTGACGATTGGCTCTAACGGAACAATCACACCGCAGGCGTGACACCACGGCCACATCCCATCAGTCGTACGGATTGATGTGGTACAAAGATACATACAACCACGGTTGTTCGAAAAAGAGCGCATATCCGTTAGTATCAGCGACATCGTTTGTTGAGTCTATCACAGGTTAAAGACGCCAAACGAGCCGTGAGGGGAAAAATAACCAAACATGACAGCTCTAGCTATCGAACCCCCATTCGTTTCGATCGATGCTAGACTTCGGAGCAGTCGCCAAAAAACTTTTTTTTTTGATCGAGCGTACAGAAACTTTGGTTTTCCAAAAGGCTGCCCGAAAAGGTCCGCTCCACCAGTCTTTAGCTTGCTCAGAAGGTAGCGTGCGCTGCAGATGGAAAACGATTGGACCGTTCTACTTTTAGTGTACCGAAAAATGAGAAACCATCCCAATGTCAAACTGATTACTGAGTCGTTTACGACGTATAAATACTTGGCTTGGAAAAATCCTTATTTGTAGATTTTTTTCTTTCCTTCTTCACCTTCGCTTCCCTCCAAAACGACAATACTCTCTCCTTCTTCTTCTTGAGCTTTCTTTTCGCACAACACATCGCTAGTCAGCCAAGATGATGAACCCTTATGATTTCACGTGGATCTTTGGCGTTGGTATGGTCGTCGCCTTCACTGACGCTTACGGTATCGGTGCTAACGACGTCGCAAACTCGTTCGCCAGTTCCATCTCGTCCGGTTCCTTGTCGCTCGTGCAGGCTGTTATCATTGCCTGTTTCACTGAGTTCTTGGGTGCTTTGTTGCTTGGTTCCGGTGTCACCTCCACTATCAAGGACGGTATCATTGATATTACATTGTTCGATGGCACTCCCGAGATGCTTATGATGGGCATGATGTGTGCCTTGATTGGTTCTTCTACTTGGGTGTTGAGTAAGTCTTTGATGGTAGATGCCGCATTGTCTGTCTGCCTGATTAGCTCACTAACCCATTTTTTCTCTTCACTGTAGCTGCTACGCGATTCGGCTGGCCCGTTAGTACTACTCACTCGATCATTGGCGCTGTCTGCGGTTTCGGTATTGCTGGTTATGGTGGCGGTGCTGTCGACTGGACCTGGAACGGTATCATCCAGATTGTTGTTTCATGGTTCTTGTCGCCCTGCCTTGCTGGCGTCGTTGCTGCCATCATCTATCTTATCACCAAGTACGCCGTGCTCCGCCAGGTTGACAGTGTCAAGTGGGGCCTTCGCCTTGTACCTGTTTATTTCTTTGTCACCGTCACCATTGCTGTCTTTTACATTTGCTTCAAGGCTCCCGGTGCCAAGGAAGCTGGTCTTGAAATTAGCCACATTGTTGGCATTGCTTTCGGTTGCGGTGGTGCCATTGGTATCTACATGGCTGTCTTCCTCTGCCCATGGCTCAAGCGCGTTGTTATCGACCGTGAAGACGTCAAGTGGTACCACATCCCTGTCATCTGGTGGGTCCCCAAGCAACGCTCCATTGAAGAAGGTCTCGAAGCTGCTCGCAAGGAGCTCGAAGAAGCTGAAGCCAACGCTCAGCTGCCCAAGGCTGACGACGAAGAGAAGGTCGCTGGAGACCATGTCTCTGACAAGCTCGCTACCACCGAAGATGTGCACGTCGAATCTTCCTCTGCCGCCGAACAAGCACCACCAAAAACACTCCGTGAGCGTTTCCATGAAATCAAAGAACGTGTCTTGGCTGTCGTGCTGCACGGTCTTCGCCAGGATGTTCGCAACTTGAACAACGATAAGCTCAAGAAGATGCACGAAGCCGCTGAAATTTACGACGACGACGTCGAGTTTATGTTCTCGTACTTGCAGATTCTTACCGCCATTGTTGCCTCGTTCGCTCACGGTTCCAACGATGTCTCGAACGCTATTGGCCCATTGGCCACCATCTTTGAAATTTGGCAAACCGGCGCGGTTGCTGAAGAAGCCAGCGTTCCTGTTTGGATTCTCGTCTATGGTGGTGCTGCTATCGACATTGGTCTTGCCACCATGGGTTACCGTTTGATGCGTGCCATGGGTAACAACATTACTCGCTTGACACCAAGCCGTGGTTTCGCTGCTGAACTGGGTGCTGCTTTGACTGTCCTTACCGCTTCTCAGCTGGAATTGCCGGTCTCGACCACCCACTGCATCGTTGGCGCTACTGTCGGTGTCGGTCTCTGCAATGGTAACCTTCGTGCTGTCAACTGGAAGATGCTTGCCCTTACCATGCTTGGCTGGGTTTGCACCTTGCCAGCCGCTGGTCTCGTGTCCGGTCTTATCTACGCATTCTGCGCTTATGGTCCTTCCTTTGTTTACCTTCGATAAAAGTCATCCATTACAACCTTCTTTCCGACTTCTTGCAATCTTTTTTTCTGTAATTTATAATAATTATTCATCTTTATATTTCTCATATGTACATACTTGGCCGCTGTTGTAGTAAGACAAAGCAGGCATCCAAAAATATATCATTCATTTTTGCATTTTTACTGACAAATCATAAAATCCATTTTACTATCAGTCCTCGAATCTTGCATGTTGCTATACAAGGCAAATTTTGGCTAATTAGCTTCCTGAATTTCCTACTTATTACTTTGCCACAAGCCATGAGATAGCTGTTGTATATTGATGTTCATATATTGCCAAGGGTGATGTAATATATTGATTCAAGCACTTTGACATCATTAAGCTTTTGTCAAGCACGGATAGGCCAATGCAAATAATGTGTGCTTATCTTATCAATAGGAGAAGCATTCACGTACATTTCTATGTAGAGCTACGAGCAGAAAGAAACATTCCATCATCAGTGCTTACATTAGTTGTTTGAGCATGATCAGCAGGAAGATGTTCCTTTCCAATATGTAGACGAAAAGAGCATGGGTGCTGAGATAACGCTATTTGGGAACCGTTTCAGTCAATCATAAGAGGAATATTCCTTTTGAGTTATTCTAGAGCACCGTCAATGACGTGTGGTGAACTGGCTACTAATGTGCTCATATTATCATTACCGGTTGGAGTAAGGTCATGGCGCTCTATTGAATTCTCTCATGTATGCGAGGATGGGCAGCATCTAAAGAATGGGATTTTGCTTTGTAGAGAAAAAGATACGTTCTACAACCCAATGATTATCGTGGACGTTGTACGATTTACTGTTAAATGCTGATGCTTTTGGATGAAATCATCAATCCTCACTGGCCAGAGAGATCTCATAGAGGGAGCATCACTGTTATGCATTTATCCAAAACCTCACCTGCCCTTATGCTGTGTAAGCACTTTCTTCTTTTCTTTTTCGAACGACCTATGATGGGATGATGCATCGACTGAAATTGAAGAATGACAGACCTTGTGAAGTATTTTTATACGTCTGCGCTACGGTGCCGAATTACAAACTTGTAGATAATGCTTTGCCAGATGGCATAATGTCATGGTATAAAGGGCGATACAATCGGCTGGTATCCGTACTCCCAAAGGTTGATCAACTCAGATCGAAGCTGCCGATGCACTTGTGCACAACCCGGAACGGTGGATATCGATAAGAAAAATTCAGACGAGGGAGTCACGGTCGCTGGCCCGTGTTTAGTGCGGTTTCGCAAGTTTTGGTAAGGAACGACCGTCATTGTCCGTACAACTGTTGTGGAGACACTGTGAGAGTCATTGGATTCGTAGCCTAAAGCAACGCTTGGTTTTGCTCTAGTAGAAGCCATCACGGCGCTGATAACGTTGCTCTTTTTGAAAAAAGTACGGTGTATGAACAGGATGTAGTTTACCTTGTATCAGTGACATTTCCTACAAGGAATTAGACGTACATATCATCCAGCGTAACCCTAACGCTTTTAGTGGCTTTTGATTCTCTCGTTCCTTTGCATCAGTCTTGTTAAAGAAACACTTTCATCTCTAAGTGCAACGCCCCAACTGAAAAAATGCAAATGTTTTGTTTGTACTACACATAATATGCATGCAGATGATAATGATCACCGTCTCCTTTTAATTAACGTGTATACAGGTTGAGCGTATGGGCTATCTTGCACGAAGGCAAGCCGTCGACGGGGTTGCACAAGTAGCTTCGTATGATGGTTGGTGGCTCAAGAGGTCCAAGTAGCGCAAAGAGGTGAACGCTTCTTGAATATTTGAGGAGCAGCAACTTAAAATGGCAAGGTAGGCTAGACAGTTGCTCCAACTTTCATGCAGCTGTCCGCATTTCAGATCCAGAGCAGTCGATATGACTTAAAGTGTGGCCATAGCTCCTTACTTTCCTAGCCGCTGGTTTTGTTCTTTGGTGTGCAAGGCCCCCACCCCGCCCCCTTTCTTTGCTTAGCAGGACAACATACCCAACATCAAACACAAAAACAAAACAATTCGTGAAAGGCAACTGCCCAAAACAGGACGCAAGAGCGTTTAGATCGCTTTTTTTTGCACTCAGAAGCACTACTACATGCTTACATGTGCACTGTTGTGTGTGTGAGAGTGTGTGCGCAGATAGTGAACGAAAGAGAGCGAATGGATGAAAATGCAACAATGTCATCTGACCCCCCTTTGAAAAATTTTCAAAAAAAGAATAGAAAGGCACAGGAGCATCAGTCCTTTTTTTTCTTCTTCTTCTTTCACCTTTTCTGCATCTCTCACTCTTACATACCACCTCATTTCGCCCCTTCACTTTTTTGAGGACTCCCTCGTCTCATCGCTCATCCTTTCTCTTTCATTTCTTGTAATTCAGCATCTTCATTTAGACATAAAAAAAAATGCCAGCTGCCGCTGCCCAACAAAAAAACACCAAGAGCGACGTTGAGACCCTGAAACTGACTGCCAAGGCAGTTGGTGGCTCTCCAAGCGAGGTTGAGACCAAGAAAGCAAAGGATCTTTTCTCCAAGCTGACAGCAGCCTCCGATGCTGATCGCGAGTCTGTCGCCGAAGAACTCGCTGATTTTGTCAACTCTCATGGCGTCCAATCTCTTAAACAATTCAATGTTCTTGAGGCCATTTCAAAGGATATTAGCAACAAGAAGAACGCGGGTGCTCGCCACTCTGCCGTCGCCGCCATCAAGGCTCTCACGAACAAGAGTATTGACGGCCAAGTGGAGCCCTACATTTTGCCCTACCTAAAGAACCTGCTGGAGCTTCAGGCAGAAAAGCAGGCAGTCATCAAGACCGCCGCTGCCGATGCTGCCAAGAACCTGGCCCACAAGGTCAATGCCAACGCCACTGCCGTGCTCATTCCTTTCATTTTGGAAGGCTTGGGCAACTCGTGCAAGTGGCAAACCAAGATGCTCTCCCTGGCGCTTTTGGATGAGCTCGTCAAGACCAACCCTGAGCAGTTTGTGTGGGTCATTCCCGATGTGATCCCCACCGTTTCAGACTGCATGTGGGACACCAAGGCTGACGTCAAGAAGGCCGCCACAGCCACCATGGGTAACATTTGCGGCTTGGTGAACAACAAGGATATTGAGCGCTTTATCCCTGCCGTCATTGCATGCATCAACAAGCCTGAGAATGTGCCCGAGACCATTCACTTGCTCGGTGCTACTACCTTTGTGCAGGAAGTCGATTCCGCCACCCTGTCCATCATGGTGCCTCTTCTCAGCCGTGGTTTGAACGAACGTGCCACGCCCATCAAGCGCAAGTCTGCTCTCATCATTGATAACATGTGCAAGCTCGTCGATGATCCCGAAGTCGCCGCTCCATTCTTGCCACTTTTGCTGCCCGCTTTGCAGAAGATCCAGGATGTTGTTGCCGACCCCGAGTGCCGTGGTGTCGTCGAAAAGGCCCAAGCCACGTTGGCCCGTGTGGGTACCTCGTCGCACGAAATCTACACCAAGGCTGACAAGGCCGACAAGGTCAACAAGTCATTCAATGAACTGTTGCCGGCCAAGATGGACCGTTTCTTTGAACCCACTACCAAGTTCGTCTGCGACGTGGCCTTGTCGCTCTGTGTTGCCAAGAACTTCTTCAAGGATGTCTGGATCCAGTCACTCACGCCCTACATCAAAGCCTTCCTCTCTGGTGCTGACGCCGAGTTGCTCGTCTCCAAGGCTCTCGACAAGTGCGAGGAGGCTGTCACACCCAAGGACCCTGAGGAAGATGACGAAGAGGGTGAGGATCTCTGCAACTGTGAGTTCTCGCTCGCCTATGGTGCCAAGATCTTGCTGAACCGGACCGCGCTGCGTCTCAAGCGTGGTCGTCGCTATGGTTTGTGCGGCCACAATGGCTGTGGCAAGTCGACTCTCATGCGTGCCATTGCCAACGAGCAAGTAGACGGTTTCCCACCAAAGTCTGAGCTCAAGACGGTCTATGTCGAGCATGACATTGATGGGTCTGAGGCTGATACTCCTTTGGTCGACTTCATCATTCAGTCCGATGGTGTCGAGACCAAGGACCGCGACCAGGTTGCCAAGATTTTGCGCGACTACGGTTTCTCTGAGGAGATGGTCACCTCCATGGCCATTGGTTCGCTCTCTGGTGGTTGGAAGATGAAGCTCGCTCTTGCCCGTGCCATGTTGATGAACGCCGATATCCTGCTCTTGGACGAACCTACCAACCATTTGGACGTTGTCAACGTCGCTTGGTTGGAGAACTACCTGCTTGGCTTGAAGACAGTCACCTCCATCATTGTGTCCCACGACTCTGGTTTCTTGGACCATGTCTGCTCCGACATCATTCACTATGAAAAGAACTACAAGCTCAAGCGTTACAAAGGTAACCTGTCCGAATTCGTCAAGAAGGTTCCCAGTGCTGCCGCCTACTACTCGTTGGACGCTTCCGAGCTCGCCTTCCGTTTCCCCGAGCCTGGCTACCTCGAAGGTATCAAGACCAAGGAACGTGCCATCTTGAAGATGAAGAACGTCGATTTCCAATACCCGGGTACCCAGAAGAAGCAGCTCAAAAACATCACCATGCAATGCTCATTGGCTTCGCGTGTCGCCGTCATTGGCCCCAACGGTGCCGGCAAGTCTACCTTGATCAGGCTGCTGACCGGTGAAATGGAGGCCGAAATCGGTACTGTCTGGAAGCATCCCAACTTGCGCATTGCATACGTCGCCCAGCATGCTTTCCATCACATTGAGAAGCACTTGGACAGCACTCCCAACGAGTATATCCAATGGCGTTACGCTACCGGTGAAGATCGTGAAGAGTTGGACAAGGTCGACCGTGTCATCACTGCCGACGAGGAAAAGCAAATGAACCAAGTTTTCGTGATCGAAGGCGAGAAGCGCATTGTTGAAGATATCGTCAGCCGTCGCAAGCTCAAGCAGTCCTACGAATACGAAGTCTCATGGAAGGGCAAGTCTTCGGTCGAAAACACCTGGATCTCCCGTCAGCGCCTCGAACAAATGGGCTTTGGCAAAAAGATTGCCGAAGTCGACGCTCTAGAAGCCGCCAAGCTGGGTCTTAACCGTCCGTTGACGTCCAAGGAAATCGAAAAGCACTTGACTGAAGTTGGTTTAGAGCCCGAGTTTGCTACTCACTCGCGCATCCGTGGTTTGTCCGGTGGTCAAAAGGTCAAGCTCGTCATTGGTGCTGCCATGTGGAACCGCCCTCACATGCTTGTTCTGGACGAACCTACCAACTACTTGGATCGTGACTCGCTCGGTGCTTTGGCTGGTGCCATCAAGGAATATGGTGGTGGTGTCGTTATTGTTACCCACAACCGACAGTTTTCTGAAGCACTCTGCTCTGAAGTCTGGAAGGTCGACGATGGTAATCTGGTTGCTTCAGGTCACAACTGGGTGTCTGGCAATGGTGCAACTGCCATCAAGGAACAAGAAGCCGAAGACATGGTCGACGCTCAGGGTAATACTGTCAAGGCCGTCAAGAAGAAAGAAAAGCTTAGCTCCAAGGAACTCCGAAAGAAGAAGAAGGAGCGCATGGAGCGACGCAAGCGTGGCGAAGAAGTATTCTCTGACGAAGACGATTGGTAAAGCAAAATGTAGTATTCCCCCAACCCCCCTGTCCATCATTATCCGCATATCCCTCGTGTTTCTATCTCTTCATATGTTGTCTATATCCGTATTTGTATCCTCAAGATCATTTTTAAACCTAAAAAGAAGCATCTGCTTGTTTCAACGATAATTTTTTGTTTGTTGTTATCGTTCTACTAATCTTCTTTTGCTAAAGGGATAAAGTACAGTCATTGCTTGCTATTTAATTCGATACGATAAACAAAATTGAAGGCTAGGGTCTCATTACTCTAATTAAGAGCATAGGCTTGTTGTTATTGCCAAGAGGTTGAGGCAAGGCATGATGGCAATCGCTCTTATTCGTAGTAGCTCTGGCTAAATGTGGCACTGCAGATATCAGAATCTTTGGAGTATTGCTAAAAAAGAAGTTATACTTATTAACGCTGTGAAACACAAACAGATATGCTTGTTTACTGTCATCTAATATTGCGGCTTTACCTTTGCGAATGGTTTATCCCAGCCACCGAACGAAGTAAAATCGTTAAAATTCGGCTGATCGTCGTGGTTCTTTGACATATAATGTAGCAAGAGTGAGTGGTAACTTGGACCTGTTTCTGTTCTGCGAATAGAAAAATGAAAATGTAAACTTACAGCGTACCAAAGTGGAACGGATGGATCTAGCTCGAAACTAGACGATCCGGTTATCTCTTCCCACTCCTTAGCGCTCGTAAAAACACCCCAATCCCAAAGCGTGTTCTCAGATGCAGTATCTAATGCCTTTTTAAAATCACTCAAGGCTGATTTTATACATAATCGTGGTTGTTGAGAAAAAGGGAAAAAAGTGGTAGCTTATATGATTAGCTCCCTCTATCGATTATAAGACATATGTGTTTTGTTACTACGTACGTCGTTGAAAAAAAAATACTTACTAGCTTGGGGTGAAATCCAATTTCCAGACGTGACATGTAACCACAAGTATCGGTAGCCCATTTTGTTTGTGTTGGCAAACCTAGTAAATTCTTGCACTTGTTCTTCGGCGGACTTGCAGCCTCTATGAGTGCAAGGACGCAGAGACAAATCCACATCTTTAAATCCGGCACTTCGCGCACGAAAATAATTGGTAGGGCAGTCGGATAAAGACTCATTTTCCTGAGTAGCAAAACCAAAAGAGTTTGATGCAACAGGAATAGTGAGCATGACAATAGTAGCAATAGATTACTCTGCTAATTGCTGCTACTAGGTCATCAAACATTGAGGATGATAGCACGAACAGTGCAATAAAATAGTCTTTCCAACTTTAGTGCTTGTCTATACCTCGTAACAGCCTATGGCAGCACCTTCATAGCCTTCTTCATGTGCACACTGGTAGGATTCATAGGGCATCAATGCAACGGTATCGATTGCAGTCCTTGCTTGAGCAAATTGGATACTGACACTGGCTGCGAACAAACCAAGGGCAGTAGTAGTGAGAGTGATGAATGATTTCATGATAAACACGGTAAAATATTGAAACACATCGCTATCATGCTGGCATCTATTATTTATATACTTTCTTCGAAATATAATAAGGGGTTACCCCAGAACTGTTTGTATGTCTGAATATTATGATTTGTGGCTGTGCTGTATGGTCGCTTAACTGTGCCTTTCTCGGGAGTCTGCATAATAATTTCACTGTTTCTCTGCATTTATGTATGGTTGATTAGCCCTCATCCTTCCTTTCCTCGATTTCTATCGCATGTTTTGCTCTTTTCCAAACCATCTTGCTAATAAAAGCAACATCGCTTGTTTTTGGTAATGACTATGAATACACAGCAAAGCGCGATCGCACGCATATGGAATTCATGTGATGATGTGCATGGTATATTGTATTGTTGTATCTCTAATCAAAGCGCACGTAACATATGTACCTTCTTATACGCCATCGATGCTGTTGATTTTAACTACTACTTCGTAAAACATTCGCAAGTATAATGGTTCTCGTATCGCTTCTATCAAACATGTACAAGAAGTTCATACTTGCAGTGATACACGCGGAGGAGAAGGCGTGGGCAAGTCTGTTATCGCATTTGCATTCACTACAATGTGTACAGTACCTATTTATAAATTATTCTTTTTGCTCGCCAACAGAATGGTACTTTGGTCTACATCTCACTGCCTAAAAGCAACGGATTTTTTATGGATGAAAAGCTACTATTTTTATCTATTTACAAGATGCTACTCAACGAGCAAAAACAGAGCTCTTTAATAAGTAGACGTTGTTTTGTGTAGTAAACTATTATGACAATATACTAGCTGACAGAAAACAAGTCTGTGCAAGAGTAAAACTTTTTGTGGTGGTGGTGGTGATGATAAATGGGTAAATTTTAAGTATCGTATTCAATGCTACGCGCGTATCTAGCTCTTTATTCCCATCGCACACAACACCTTATGTTGTTTATATGGCTTTTAGATGCATTTTGCTACCTACGAGCTGTGATAAACAACAAAAGCATTTTGGATAGTATCGAATATTGATGCGTATCTACTGTATTTGTACCAATTCGTTTTCGACAATACCTTCGCTTCGTTCCAAAAGAAAAATGTCATGTAGTAGGAAGAAGTTATCATTCACACTGTGCTAATGTCAGCAACTATTGAGTCATGATTAACAATAGAAATAGACAAAGATCCGAGGCAGAGTCTGTTGTATGCAAGGACGATTGTGTTTTGCTCAAGACCATCCTTCTAACGGAAACCCACAAAAGTATAAGTGGATATTATATTACGTACGCACGTCGACAGACGAATCGATGGTGTCATTTTAGCTGGAGATGTAAGTTCTTGTTTGAGGCAGAAAGTCGTACAAGAGACGATCGATAAGATCCGAAAACGAAGTCATCCTACCTTGGGCATTCTGCAGCGGGAGCCTACCGTTACCAGAGTTTATAGCAACGAAGTTTTGAAACCTATAGCGCCACACAGTAGCATGTAAATCATAAAAGCTGAATTTAGCATGTAGGCGGTGATATGATAGCACCAATGTGTAGTGCTATTAAGCTTTTTCCACCGGCATGACTTGTGCAACAACACAATGTTAAATCTATATATACACCTTCACCGTTCATAAAGGACTTTCTGAAAAATGATATTGCTGGAATACTCTCCAAGAATGATCCTTTACTTCGTCCACTTAAAGAATCATCATTATTGACATTATGTATTCGGCAAATTTGTCGTCGCTAAATACAAAACACTTGATCAAAAAGCACATATTTTAAGTCAGGGATGAATTTTTCAAATTGATATATAGTGAGGGCTGTCATACGGATCTCACAGAGTCTTCTTCCTCGCCGCGGACAGCAAAAGGTTGTTAACACGGGAAAAGCTGCTATATATAGCATTGTCTACGTGTTCGAGAAAATCAAACTTGCATTGTAGGTTATGTAACGATGTTTATAAATCTTCTAGATCTAAAATTTTCCTGTTGGTAATTGCATAGTCACCGAGAGAGGAGAAACGAAAAGATGTTCTCTCTGATAAAAGCAATCATGAGAGAAAAAACAGCAATTTTTATTTGACATGCCATCATCTATTCCATCTCTTGGAACAAGGTACCATCGTCCAGCGATGATATGTATTTACAGTTTAATATTGATGTTTCGATCTCCATCAGTCGATTCGTGACATGATGATAGGTGATTACTGCTTGAGCAGTATAAGCATCGTTCAACAGGGTGAATTCTGTCTCAGCTTTCATTGAGTACTTTCTATACCTTGTACAGTTCACGACGGATCATTCGAATTACATAGTGGCAAATCCTGCCTTCTAATGGTCTGAGCAATTTTGTTCTAGTTTCATCCGCAAAGGTTCTTGTTATATCCTTGTATCACTCATTCATAATGCGTTTTTCATCCAACTTTGAATTGATTTCATTGTTATATAAGTCATTTCTTCGAATAAGAGAATCGTTGTATTAACGCCATGGCAATTCTTAAGCCACGCAATTCTTCTCATTCCGACCTTGAGGGGTTTGACAAGACGTTTCTTAACATCAGCCCAAAGATGCCACAAATTAAGCGAATGGTATTCACCGCGACACCGGTGCAGTATATTTTTGCAAGCATGTAGGACGAGTAACGATCTCTCAGATCTCCGCAACAACTTCACGGGTATTAACGGGTTGCAGATTCAAAGTCACTTATTCCCCCGATCCAGCCCATCTGGCAAAGACTCCATCTTACATGACTTGAATCTTCTTTTTTTGTTTGTTTCTTCTTCCTCTATTGTTTACTTTTTAACTTTTACCTCCTAGACCTTAAATTATAACAAACACAGAACTTGCGTCTGTGCGTCTCTTTATATTACCTTTTAATTATTGTTTAATATGTCCAACAAAACACAATTCACAGATCTAGCAGATCCAGAAGCGCTGAGCGTAAAATCGGTCGACACTGTGAAGCCTGGTGTTCGCAAAGGTGTCTACCTCTCCTCTATTGTGGCTGCCATTGGCGGCTTCCTCTGTGGTTTCGATACCGGTGCAACAAGTGGTGTTCTTACCATGGTGCCATTTCAGGAGCGCTTCTTCACAGAAGAAAATTTAGGATATCTACAGGGGCTCCTGTTAGCCCTTTTCTTAATGACGGCTGCGCTGGGCGCGTTTTTCTCTGGCTTTTTCTGCGGTATGTGTTTTTTATCTTTTTCCTTTTCTCTTTTTCCGTAACTTGTTGTTCACTAAATTATTACCCGGAATTGTTTTAGATCGATTCAGCCGAAAGTATTCCATCGTGGGTGCATCTATTTTATTCTGTATCGGCAACATCTTTCTCGTTATCGGTCACAACTTTGGTCTTTTGTTGGCTGGACGCCTCGTTGGTGGTCTGGGTGCTGGTCTGATGACAAAGTAAGTGGGACGGGGTGCAGATTTCGTGATCTAATCATTGCCTAATAAGGGGTTAAGGGATGAGAATAATTTTTTTTTAATCCAATTTACAATAATTTTTTTTTGAAAAACAGTGGCATTCCTTTATACCATTCCGAAATTGCCCCACCCGATATCCGTGGCAGACTCATCAGTTTCTTCACGTTGATGAGTACGTTTGGGCAAGTCGCTGGCTATTTCGTTACTTTTGGTACGAGTTACCTTACTACCAACTGGTCGTGGCGAGCTCCCTATTTGCTACAATCCTTGGTATGTCTGATTTTTGGCATTTCAATGCTCTTTATGCCGTTCTCGCCCCGTTGGTTAGTCGACAAAGGACGCACTGAAGAAGCTTGGACCGCATTGACCTCACTTCGCGGTGTCGGTTATGTGCAAGAAGAGTTTGACGAGATTAAGTCCGAAATCGAATTCGAGCGTTCCCTGGGCAAGCGCACGTATGCCGAATTATTCGCCCCTACCAACCGAAACCGTTTCTTCTCTGCTGCATTTGTTGCCATTGCAACGTCATTCACCGGCATCGTTGCTATCTGGTACTATGCTCCTCAGATCTTCCTCACAGCCGGTCTGTCGGATGTCTCGTCGTCAATTGCTGCCACTGGTGGTACTGGTCTCCTGTCGCTGGTGTGCGCCGCAATCTCTCTCCAGTGGGTCATTGATACGTGGGGACGCAAGAAGCTGTTTTTGAGCGGATCGTTGATCATGGCCATCAGTATGTTCATCGTCGGCGCCATGTTCCAGGTTTACACTTTTGTGGATGTCGAGACGGGCGAGGTTGTTCTTACCAATACCAACGCCCGAAACACGATCATAGCGTTCCTGTATATTTTTGGTGGCACTTATGCTTTCACGTGGGGCATCGCGACGTATGTGTATCCGGCCGAGGTTTTCAACATGCGCACTCGCGCCAAGGGCATGGGTCTGGTGTACGGTTTGAACTGGGCTTTCTCCATCATGATCACCTATTGCGTTCCTCTGTTCATGGCGTCCTCGGTTTCTGGTGTCTACTTTTTCTTTGGTGCGTGTCAAGTTGTAACGATCGCTGGTATCTGGTGGCTGCCCGAGACGAAAGGGAGGACCTTGGAGGAAATGGAGTATGTATTTGGCGCAAAGTGATATCAACAACACAATAAACCTTGTCTCTTGCAGACATCGTGGCTTTGAAGGGGTGTTGCTCTTTCTGTGTGGCCTTGCACAAGGCTAGAAAGAGTGGCTGAGATTATTACCCTCAACAGCAGATCAGGATAATGCCTGCGATGCGATCAAAACCATGATGTTTACTTGGGGTAAGGGCTGGTAAGGTTGTGGAGGGGGAGGGTACTGTCGGTGATTGGTTTAGGACGGTATTTTCTCTTTTGTGTGGCTGTGTGTTCCTTTGGGCTCGTGGAACACCTCCCCCCCCTCCCACCATGTCCCTCCCACCTTCACATGTTTGTTTTTGTAGGTGCAAAATGTGTGGCTTTGGCTATAAGTACCACTGTGATGTTTTTACAAAGCCGCACATTTGTTGAGTATCTTTGGAGAAAGTGATGTGGAACTAGATAGCTTGCAGGTCTCTAAACAACTAACGTTTGATATTTTTTGCCATGTGCGTCTATCCCAACAAACAAATAAAAGCACAGACTGCTATGTCTCACCGAATGGGCAAGCTTCCGAAAGAAATTACTCTTTGCACCAATGTGATTGGTATAACTCACTCTGAACGGGCAACTGGATGTTGTTCATCCTCCTTCCCTGGCATTCTTCTTGTATATAGTATCAATGACAAACCAACATAGGACACTTCCAACTTTTTTTGGCTTGTATAATATTTAGCTGGGGGGTGGCTTAAGGTAATTGTGGGGAACCCAATCCTTGGCGGCGTGAAAGATTTGCCAGCGGGTTTTTTGAGCCCTAATGTCCCCCGATTCATGCAGCGCGTGCACAACTTTAAAGTAAGCGTGTTTGGCGATGATCTTTATACTGCTGTATTGGAACATCTATAGACGATAGTTTTGCTACAGGGAGCGTAAACACTTCAGTTTAAGGCATCTGTATTACTGCTGCAGGACGGTGGTTCTTCTTTCAATGGCTTTACCTACCGTGAACGCTCTGTATTCAGGTCCTCATATCGATTGATTATTGCATAGGCAAGTCGGACACAGCGTAATTGTTTACATCAAAGTATGATAATATCAGCTACGTGGCTGGTAATTAAAAATCAACTGGTCAAGTTGGTTTGCTCGACAGTTTTTCTTTTAAAACAGACACACTACGTCGAAAAGGGGTGCATAGTCTGCAGATGCGCCGGAACTTCTGAAGATGAAAGACCAGATAAAAGGCATAGCTTGAACTATTGAGCTCGTTGAAACACAGACTCCAACGCTCACTAGACGAAAATAACTGTGCACTAAGCTCAAACAGAACGCCCAGATCTACGAAATAGTACAATTGTTACTTTTTCCAATTAATCGGTTCATTGTTATGAAAACCATCAACTAGCAATACCCCATTTATTTTAGCCTTCGTTTTCGGACAGTTGGGAGTTGATCTCACTGTCCAAACTTTTACAATATGGAAAATAGTCATGAAGAGTAAGAGCATCAAACAGCACATACAATACTATTTTACGATTTCTGCAGAAGGTACTGTCTAACTCATTAGACTGTCACGTATTAGAACTAAATGTTTTGCCCGGTGTTACAAAATTCTACGCACAATCGTCATCAAAGGATCCACAAGCCACGTATACAACAGGGGCAAATGGTGGTAGCAATGATTACAGTCCTTCGGTAAAGGCCATAAAATCCATGTGATACGGGCTTCTCGTCTATGATACCTATTTTTGGCACTGAGCAAACTATTCTTGACTTTTGAAGGTTTGTATACTGTGCGTGCTTGAAGAAGGTTACGATATATGCTCTTTCTTGGATAAATCAGTTGGTATACGTTATACCCGTCTAATACTTAATCATCGCTCCTATCTTACTGAGGAATAGCAGTGATAAGATACACTATGTGTCTGCTGCACTTGATCCAGCCTCGAGCAAAATCGCTAACAGGGGGCTTGGGGGCCTTGCTCCCCATTGAAGGGAGGTCAGCGAAAAATCTTACAACGAGTCGTTCAAGCCAAAGTCCTGCAGATATTGACACAAAACGAAGCGGAGAGCGCAGGATCAAAGGGTTCGTAGGTGCAGAAGACCTGATAGTATCATTTTGATACTCCGAATAAAATGCGTCTGATAAAAGCTGTGCTATCTCAAAGCCAAACAGCAGGTAAGAGAGTTTGGACGAGCTTCTCGAAATTATCCGTGACAGTAACGATTGGCGTTTTCGATTTTTTAAAGTTCGCTCGCCCCAACTCTTCAGAGAAAGGCCCCGTACATGTAATAGGCAATACACATCATATGGTCTGCTAAAGAGAATGCTACTCCAGGTTTGTGCCCATCGGGTTATTTTCGCTCGCATGACAGATTGTCGTTTGCCACGTGCGTATTGATGCCATGGATCAGGACAACGGTGCCTAAAACATCATCCCCACATGGGGAGCCAGCATGAAGTGCTCCGGTGCTCCTGTGTGTGTATTGATTTTCTTAATTTTATAACCAGTCAGTACGCCACTTACATCCCGACCACTGCACCTCCTAAACTCCCTATTGGCTGATTTGTGTAAAAAAAAAAAAAGGCGCTCAATTCTTTTTTGACTCACCTACGACCCGACAAATACCGATTGCACATCGCCCCCCCCCCATTTCACTTTCGTACGCCCTCGTAAACAAAGCGCCTGCCTGTTTGCCACTCAATACCATGCGTATCCCGATTCACCGATCCACACAAACAGCGTATCCTTCTCAGTACTCAACAGTAGTATGGGTAGTTAACTTTTTTGTTTCTTCAATGAGATACAAAGTCTACTCTATATAAGTAGCCCTCTTTTTATTTATAAACAAGAGATGCAGTCTATGCTAATGATGTGGTGTGTATTATTTTGGGGAGGAGGTGCTTAGGCAGTAGCGTCCTATATAAAAAGAGAAATAAATCAGTTATTCAGGTCCCATATGTGTGCACACACAAACACAAACAAACGAACAGCAATCTTCCACAGTAGTTCCTACATACCTTCAAGTAAGCGACGACATCAGCACGGTCCTTGGGCTTCTTGAAACCAGCGAAGGCCATCTTGGTACCGGGAATGTACTTCTTGGGGTTCTCAAGGTAATCAAACATGGTTTGGTCGTTCCACTCGACACCCTTGTTCTTGTTGGCCTCGGTGTAAGAGTAACCAGCAGCCTGACCAGACTTGCGACCAAAGACACCGTGCAAGTTAGGTCCAACCTTGTTAGCGCCACCCTGTTGTTTATCCGTTAGTATATCGTTTTGTTTTTTATAAAGAGCTTCAGGTAGGTAGCAGAGCGCTCTAGGCAATGCTATGTCACATAAGATTGACCCAGTATAATACATACAGCTTCGACGGTGTGGCATTGAGCGCAACGAGTCTTGAAGAGCTTGGCACCAGCAGTAGCGTTACCTTCGGGGACGGCCATTGTAGATATGTTTTTACGAGTGGGGGGTTTTGTTAAAGAGAGAAGAAAGAGAAAGAGTTCTGTCGAAACAACAATCGGCTGACTGTTTATTTTAACAGCCGTTACTTTCTTTTTTTTTTCCAGGGGCCGATTTTCGAAAAAACAGATACAAACTCCGCTTGTTCCACTCGCGCAGCGCCATATTATCACAGGCGATATGTGGAGCGAGGCCCTATAAAAGTTGTCTTTTGAAAGGAGGAAAATGTTGTAACAGACATATGTTATGTTTCTTTCAAAGTCTGCTTTTGATCCGATAACTTATAGATGGAAGCTTGTACTCCTAACATTGAGGGATTAAAGAGGATACTGCATGTGCAACACTTTCTCACCGGTGTTTGTACGTGATTCGACACATAAGCTTACTGGCAAAAACCGAGCGTGCGACAACAAAGATGATTGTCACTTATAATTATAGCTACTGATGACAAATTATCAATAATAGGGAGTATCACTACCGCTGTATCCAGGGCTCGCGTATTCGGCGTATGTTTGTCATGGTTACAGCATTATAGAAGCTCGTTATTAGCATTTCGCTATCGCGCATCTAATGACAGCTGTCATCGATAGTAGAGCAGCGGAAGCGTCTTTATTGTTTATGCTGTGTATACGTTGTCGCACGTTTAATGTTTGTCAACGGCCAACTCCAGGCTCTTAATGCGACTACAGTACTCTCTCGTTACTTGCAACTGTTGATTGATTAAGAAACTGAGTTATATGTAAGAAGTTTAATTTGTTGATCATAAAAGAGCTATATATGTTTTTCTCTGGTTTTATGATGTTCAATTATGAACTTTTAAAATTTTGCAACTATTTGGACAACACAGTGAATCCTCGTTAATTTCATCACGTATATTTCTAAGTTGTGTGTTGAATATCTAGTTCGTTCTTTCAAACGTTTTGCAATGTAATACTTTCCGTTGAAGGAAATCAAATAGTATTTATATATATGACACCCAAAGGAAGCTTTAGTAACATCACGGAAGATGTCATAGATAATCAGCTGGAAATTACAAAAGCATTTATAAGTTGTTATGCCACAGCAGTAACTTGGATCAAGAACCTGCATGTGACGGTGCAGCATGTGCTGCAATTTTACTGCGGGATAGCAGTATCAGCAAGCGTGGGTACTTTGAAAAAGTAGCAAAATGTTGCGCAGCAAGCTGTACATATATAATACTGCACTCTTAAAAAGTATATCATGTCTGTGTGATTAACTTCTGCTCCGTGCCAAGTTTCTACAGCATATACTTCGGTACATATCTGCTCTGGGAAATCTGTGATAATGGTGGTTTGTAACATACAGTCAAGCATATTTTACTGATTTAAACACTTCTTGTGTACGTGTAGACGGGAAGAACGACATCATGATACGCCCTTCAAGAAGAAAAGCAACCAGCCGGAAAGAACAATGGAGATGAAAGACAGCGTAAAAAGCCGTTTCTCTTGAAATACCGGTCACATAACATCTACATTTCAATTACTGCAAACCTTTTCGATCCTCACAGGAGTGAGTGGGACTTTCCAGTTGACGCAACAGAAAGCAAATGCCAGTATCTGCTTTTTTTTTGGTGTTCTTATATCTTTAAATATCTAGGGACTTGTGTACACCGTCATCATCCCTATAAGTAATACCAAGTCTTTGCTATTTTTCGCTAATGTCCCAAAGAATGAAAGATGAAGCATATTGATGATCTCTATATTAGTTCCATTTATAATTGACGCGCTGCACAGAGGCGTATCGCCGAAAGAAATGGATGCAGCATCTACATACCATGGTGGGAACTTGGCTCAAGGCGCGTCCCAAGATTTAGGAAATCCTTTTGGCTTTATTCTCAGCAGCTGCCGTGGTCGCGTCTCCGATTTTCGGCTACTTTGGTACGATTTCACATAGCGTAACCTATTTCCATAATTCGGTAGCCAAAAAAAGTACCCACATCCACTAAAACCACGGTGATGATTCGTTATTGTTTGTTGATGATATATATTATCACATTAGGAGATGTGTCGAAGCATAGAAGAACACCCATGCTATTGGGCATTCAAACCCTACTCGGGTCCCATTGTTTAGAACCCAGTATTGGGTGCTGTCTATTGCACGTTTCTTATTGGGGTTGTCAGATGCTTGTGTCTGGACGCTTGCTTTTGTCTTGAAATTTCTGATAGCTTTCCTCAAGATCAGCTTGGGACACAGATGAGTTGAATAGTGTTCTTACAACTGCTGTACTCTGTTATTTTTCTTTTATCACATATATATATACTTTTCAGTTTAACACTTTATAAATTCAGGTTGGCAGAGTGATGATAGCCCAACTTATTGGCATGAGTATCGGTGCACCCAATGGAGGTTGGTAACCTTATAAATGATTTCACTAATCACTATACTGAAAAAAGATGCCTACTAAAAAAGCTCTAACAAAAGTCTTGTTTGATCATACATGAAAGGCGGTAAGTTACATGAGCAATCAAACTACTTTGTACAACACACACACACACACACACACACACACACACACACACACATCCAGCAAATTTATGACTTTTTTTTCTGTAAGCTAATCTATCAAATATACAAAACAGCACTTTATGATAGTCTTGGATACAAGGCTTCGTTCATCTTTCGCGTCATCCTCGCGAGAATCGACTTTTTTCTTGCGTCTGCTTTTAGTAGAACGTCGGAATAGCCCAGAACAGTGGTTCAAGTCAACTTCAGCTACTGCTGTCGATCCAAGCGAACCTAGGAGTGGGAGCAACAAAACCAGTGCAGAAGCGGGTGTTGATACCAAACAATTATCCTCGGGGGCAACCGCAAAAAAGAAATAAAGTCTTTCACAACAGGTGGCAAGTCCCATCGATTGCGAAAAAAACAAGTTGTCGAAAGTGAAGAACAAGTAGAGCCACAGGAGTATGTTACGAATGGCTCAGACAACCGCGCACTGCCATCGCCCGATCAGCAGCAAGAGAAGCCGAGAAAAAGTGTTAGTATTCTACGGATTTTAAGGAGCACACGCGTGTTGGCTGCACTCGTAGTTGTTGTCTCCCAAGGTCTCGTCATTGGCGCACTACAGGTTATATTATAAAACATGGCACATAATGGAGAACCCTTTTTACTCGTACTAGCTAGTGGAAAGTAAGTAACATTGCTACTTTATAGCCTTTCTTTACCAGTTCGCTTAGCACTGGGGCTACGACTCAACCAAAATTGGAGTCTCGTTCTCTCGTTCCCCTCGTTCGTCGCCATGCCGCTCTCGGGATACCTCCATGATCGCTTCGATGGTCCCAAATGTCTTTGTACGACAACAACGTTGACGGGCTGCTTTGGCAGTTACCGTGTTAGGCCTACCAAAACTACAGGAGGCCCAGCCCCATTTATCGTGTTGACTCCAACAATCACCCTGTGCGTTAAATTGCTTTCTCCCCCCTGTCTATCCAAAAGTATCAAAGCTCTAGCCCAAGGTACCGATGATGATGGGGGTGGACGTGGTTTTGGTCTTATCAATGCATCGTTTTATATAGGTGAGATTTTTTTAAGACCCTCTTATTCAATAACTCTCATACTGTTTGCAAGGCGGACTTGTTGGTCCTTTATTAGGCGGCTATTCATGGTTTCTTTTGGGTTTGCATTGTCGTAGCTTGTATCTCGCTTGCAGTTTTCACCCATTCCGCTATTACTTTTACGAGGGAGACTGTCAACGCCGAGCAAAAATCCTTGATACTATTTTGAAAAGTATACGTTAAAGAAAGATCGGTTTAAACATTGTGCCTGTAAGGGGGAAACGTTCATTTTGATAGATATGTTGTAATGCGTCTTGTGAAGTTGTTACATAAGTAGTAGATAGGTGTGTACTAGGAGCAGGACGGGCGACAAGGTTACACTACTGATAGGGCCACAGCAGGAATCCTTTTTTTTTTCCATCCCAGCCCTACGTTCCACTTACAGACAATCAATTTAACTTCTAGTCGAACGAATTGCCTACTATTTAATACACATACAAAGGAGCATAATCTCTTCCTCGCCCCTCATCAGACGGTTCCATTGCCACCCCCCTCTTTTGTGCTCACACTCTTCCTCAACCCAAGAAGTTGACTGTGTACTAGTTCATATACAAAAAATCTTGACATTTATGACCTTTTTGTTGTTGGAATAAAAAGTATAGATACAAAATAAAGTTGATCCGGGTATTCACGGTTGCATCACTGGGTTTCCTAGACAATACCGCCTTTTCGAGTCATCAGTGACTCCGCTATGCTGCATGTGTGTTCATGTTTATGGACATGGGCGAGCTTACCTCGAAGGCTTTGTCGTTCAGGTCGAGCAGGCGACTTGAGACCAAATCCGCCATAGCTGGCTCTCTTGACGTCAATGGACGTAGGGCGGCGTGGCGATTGAGTGACGGTGGGGGCTGCATGTATGTATGAAAAATATGTGTGGCGAATCGTTATTAACACACGTCAATAAAGCATTAGACATAGCAGGGGGGTTGATGGAACGAGGAGGGGGGGAGAGAATAAGGGCGTGTGTTTAAGAATGTGAGAGCCACACAAAAAATAAAGGAGAGGGAGTGTTATTAATCATGGTCGAAGCACTTACATTTCAAAAAGTCAGTCGGCCCATTGTAAGGGCGAATCTTTGCCAGCGGATTCGAGACGTTGTCGATGTAGGCCTTCTTGGCAGTTGTGTGGTGCTCAAAGATAATCAAAGCACGGGTATCATCCATCCACTTGATCCTATAACCGCCACGCATGTTTTCGTACTCGCGGAAAATGTCGTGCAAGTGATGGGTCTTGAATGCCGACGGAAAGTCATGGCAGTCCAGGATAACTGTTGGCTCTTCCGCCAGAGGTACCTCCGCTGTTGTTTTGTTTGGAAATATATGTGTGTGAATATGCATACACAAAACAAGACGTATGGAAGACTCCTCCTACTCTTACACACACACACACAACACATCTAATGCACACATCCTCTCTCTCTCTCTTGACGCTGTGTTTGTAGCTAAATATATACGCATATATAACCTCCAGAAAAAATGCGCCCTCATTATCCATTCTGCCCCCTCCCCCCTTAAAATGACTTCTTACCAGGAGGCTCGCTGAAAGGATCCATGATACGACTCGCTCGCTTGCTTCGTCGGTTGGCCGCCTTGATGTCCTCGACATCCTCGTAGCGATCGTACTGACGCAGCAGTTCCTCCCAGTCCTGCTGCTGCTCCTCATGTATTAAGAGATTCTCAAGTGCATAATGTAGCTTGTCAGCGCTTCGTCTATCAATGTCGTTGCCGCCACCACCGATACCGCGTGAGAAGCGGTTGGCGGGTGTAGAGGCGATGCTGACATCATCTGAATCGTCTCCATCGTCGAAATATCGCTGGTTATTGCGCTGTTGTTGTTGCTGCTGCTGTTGCTGTTGACGGCTCCATGCGAACTGGCGGGACGACCTTCGGGAGTCATAGGTGTCTTCAGATTTTCGGGAAAGACGCTTCAGTTGTTCATCATCCTGGGGACGGTCAGAAATGCTGCTCGTACGACGGTGGACAGGAACATAGGCACTGTTGCGCCTGTTGCTCTTGGGTTCATCCAGACCAGAATTCGAGTTCATTGAGTTCATTAGAGTAATATTAAGGACAGTGGTTTTATGCGCTTTGTGGGTGGGGTGGGTTTTTTCTTTTTTCTCTCTTCTTCAACCCAGACTTGCTTGTTTCCCGTGTCTTTGGGTTCCTCCTTTTGTAAAAAACGAGAGAACTTGGATTTCAATGAAAAAAAAAAAGGAAAGTTGCGGTCTTTTTGACTGCGCTTTTTTAAATCTTGTGTGTGTGTGTACATGTCATGAGGTCCCTAAATAATCTCTCCATGTATTACCAAGGATAAACTTTGTATACATGCACACTGCGTTTAAGATGATCCATGACAATGTGTTCCTCGGATATGTCACCATGGCAACACTTTGCCTAGTTACATACATAACACATCCAAAGAGGTTGTTCTAAAGAGAGTATAAACAGAAGATCTTTTTATAGTTCGTTTCGATAAAACGCAAGATACTGAACAGACTACCCATCCTCGGAAAAAAAGCAACAAGTTTTGTCTACACACTAATAAGGAGCATAGTAACCACCACGGCCACGGCCTCTGTACAAAGCAATAACAGAATGTGTGTTTGAAAGATCAGTATAACTTGTCGTACACCACAACGGCAACCCAATTTCCGTAGACCACATTACCTGCCACGACCACGATGGCCATATGCTGGTGAATGGCCATAGTACGGCATCATTCCGCCACGGAAACCACCACGGAAACCACCACGGCCGCGGCCACGCTGGGCAAATCCAGGAACGTTTGTCCGCTTTGGCGAAACCTATACATCGGATGTAATACAAGGTAGAAGAATTCAGCATTTCAACCATGCACGCCTGTATGCTTCTTCCTCACCTTTAACAAACGACCACGGAACAAGCTCTCATTCAATGCGACGGCGGCATTGATGAATGCTGGTTCAGCAAATTCGATATATGCGAAGCTATTATATAAAAAATAGATTAGTCACAGCACATTCAAATTCTTCAGTAGACATAGCATAGCAGACTTACCCTTTGGGCTGACCGCTGAACTTGTCACAGAGAATTGTCACTCGGTTAATGGTGCCACAAGACTGGAAGTGAGCTTGCAGTTCTTCAGGTGATGATCCATAGTCCACCTAAAGAGCAAAAAGAGTAACGCATAGCATAATCCAATGTAACATACGCGTGTCAGTCATTAACCATGATCGTATCAAGCGATTTCTCCCTAAAACTATCCTCATCCTCCTTTATGTCCTCTTTTCTCTTCAATGTTTGTTCATATGATTTTTACATTGCCAACATATACAGAGCGCGAATCAACCGCCTCTTTGTCTGTTTAGGGGAGAAAAAACGCGTACGTTTTTTTTTCATACATATTTTTTTTTTTACGTTGGTCAGTTTCTCTTTTTTTTTCTTTCTTTTTTTCCCCCTCTTTTTGACTATTTTTATGATTGGAAAAGGTGGAAAGGATCAAAACCAGGGGAGAAAATAAAAACTAACCTTCTTCTGGATTCATTGATTTCTCTACTTCAGCCTGCATCTCGCGTAATTTAGCAGCCTCATCTTCCATTTCTTTAACTCGTTCCTTCATGGCTTCCAATTCCTGTAGAGAGAAAGAGAAAAAAGATACCAAAAATTCAACTTTTTACTCTTCCTCAGAGGTTTGACACATTGCGCACAAAAACGTATACACCTTTCTTGCAAGCATTGTGTCAAAATCAAAAAAGGTAGAATCCATTTTTTGTGTTTACCTTGTCAACATCACCGCCCGATTCACCTTCTTCAACGGTAGGGTTCTCTTCTTCTTGATTGATCGTAGGCTCGTCAGTGGGAGTCGCGGTTTTGGGCTCTGGTTGACTCATTTTTTTAATTAATGTGTGTGTTGGTGGGTGGGGTTTGCAAAAAGCGTCTTTTTTTTTTCGTCTCACTGGGCGCTGGCGCTAGAAATAACAAGAAAATCGTAGCTGACTTTTAAAAGGCACATACATAAACCTTTTACCTCGAGCAATTAGTACAACTGCTGTCGATCCATGTTTTGATAGACCCTATCCAATTGATGGTCATTGTCTTGCAACAAACAAACTAAACAGTGGCGTTATGTATAAGGTGGTAGTAATTGCTGTGACCAGATCATTACAATTGTTTTCATCGTTGTTACTGGACAGTACCGAAATGAATATGATGTAGCCTTTTGTCTTTGCATCGCCCCTGTGAGCACCGAGATAGAACATTTACATTTTCAGATTTGTGGTCGCTTAGACATAACATACTCAATTGGCTATGGCTAGCGTCACCGCTACTAAGATAAATGGTTGGGAGCAATTTCTTAGTTACACATGGATCAATGCATTGGTGACACCTATTTCCACCGACAACTGCTTTGCCATTGTGTACGCTAGTTTGCGTCAAAACGGCGCTGGTTCTATTTCAGTATGCCGCTCGATTATAATAGCGTTGGGGACTGAAATTATGAGGCGACTTGATTCTTTTGCACTATAAAGCCAGATGTTCCGTGATGTCTGCAACGTTCCCTTGGTATGCCATATCACTATTGTTACTGGTTACCAGAGAAACGCACATATAGCATGATAATTCAAGCTTTCTTCCTTGGCAACGTATAACCTTAGCTGATGAAGAGAACTTTTGCATTGAAAGAGCTTCATGTTGCTGCTTGCAAAAGAGTCGTAATATAATTCTTCCACCAAGCAGGAGCACGGCAAATGGCCTTTGATTATGCAGAAATAGCTGATGATGGCTTTCTATATTGTACACAGTTTATCAGCTACTATAAGCGAATCATGTAATTCTCGCAAAATCATCATGTAAGCTTGTTGTATGTAATGAAAATAAGGTTGATCTATCATACAACATATTTTATAGCGGTGTTAACTATGCCTTGCAGTCTTCACGTTCGAGAATACATCAAGAAGAACATTAATTTCGCTTTTGAGGTGATACACAGTGCATGGATCAAATGACATACATACACACCGACGACGGCGCACCCTAGTCATGGGATTTCCCAACAGATTCTAGCATAAGTAGAGTTTTACACAAATCGTTTGACACCCAATCACTTATTTTTCTTTCCTTTCTACCTCCTCCATGTATAATAGGGTCAACACAAAGATATTCACTAAACCTTTTCGTCGCCGGCGACACCGCCAAGATGATACGATCATAGAAACCGTAACCACCACCACCACAGCCTCGCCAACACAACCTTTTCTTCGATGGGCTCAAGAAGCGGTTGTGACAGCTTCTGATGCGCTTATTCCAGACATACTACTGCTCCAGCTCAGCCAAGCTGCCAAACAAAAGATAGAGCAACGGGTGGCTCAACGCCTCATTGTCAAGGACCCGACATCAGTCAAGGGCTATCTTGCATCTGCAAAAGTCCACAGAGCGCAAGGCAATATCCGAGCCGCGTTAAAAGTGTATGAAGAAGGATTACAGCACGTATCACCCAACAACCCTCAGCACACAGACTTGGAAAATAAGAGACGAGAGACACGATCCGCCCTGGTATACTATAATCACCGTTTCCAGCAGTTGCTGCCCTACGAGCTTCTTGTGCTGATATTCCAGGATTTGGAATTCATGGACATGTTACGGTGTGCACAGGCATGTCAAGCGTGGGCCGAGTTTGTGGTCGCGTGGCTCCCATTTTGGGAAAAAGTGCCGACCTATATACCTTCCTGTCCAGAAGTCATACACGCGTCTCCACTGATTCCCTTAATGTGCCGTCACCAAATACGCGTTCTTCACTTGGAGGGGCCAATGCATATTGACGTACTTTGTGAACTGTTGACATTTTTGACGGACTCGGACAGTTGTCCTTCAATACAAGAGCTATGTAAGTGTGTTTAGAAGACGATGTTGTTGCTATAATAGAGAAAAGGCACTCTTATGATTCTTATTTTAAAAAAACAACTTTTTTCTTGTTTTTTTTTTTTTTTGGCGTGGTCTCTGCTTTTTGCAAGGTCTTTCAAAACTGGATCTAAGAAACACTCCTCGCAACAAACCCGTTAACCTGTTGGCACAAGACTTACGAACGATCGGATCAAGAATAAAAGCTGTAGAGTTTCGGGATTGCCTGATTCCAGCCTGTAAAACACTCGTCCCCTTGTTAACTTGCTGTTCAGACCTAATGCGGGTTTCGTTTTCGAGGATCACAGAATATCGATGCGACATTGAAGACGACACGCTTAAATTTTACAGACTCGTTACTTTTCCACAAATTTCCGTTCATTTGAAAGAATACGCGTTTCCCCGGCTTACGTACCTGAAGCTATCTAAGCAAGGATTCCATGGTTCCACTACATTTTGGCTAGCTGCTATTCTCGGTCGGTGTCCCAGCCTGAAGCATTTGTTTCTGGACCCTGAAGACAGTGTCCGTCACGGCATTTGCTTTCAGCATGCGCTCGATCATTGTCCTCTTCTCGAAACATTGGTAGTAGCACCCTATGCAGAAATGCCACCGACTATCTTGGATCATCAGCGCCAAATTGATAAGGATGTGGAAGAAACGTTTGCGGAAAGCTACGCTAACAACGACTTTAAAAGCAGTAGCAGTAGCAACAACGAGAGAAACGGTAACATGATTAAACCTAGTGACCACATATGACGCAGAATCAACCTACTGCTTTCACTCTCAAAAACACTACTAACAAATGATGCTTTCCAATTTGTTAACTACATCAGATGCAGAAAGGATAGAAGCAGAAGCAGCAACCAAGAAGCAGATATCTTGGGACACTAAAAGATTGCGTCGATACGTGGTTTCAGGTCACTGGATCAGCTATAGCGAGGGGAACGAGAACGATTTCCACGACGCCGGTTACGGCATAATGTCAATCTTTAGTATGAATCGTGCAACATTAGAGCTCTTGTACCTTTATTTTGATGGATACTTTGTCAACACGCAAGCATTAAGATGCCTCGGATACGCACCCTCCCTACGAGAACTACGTATCTCCACTGAAAACAGCAAGCCCACCTACGAAGGATTCAGAGGAGCAACCTCTTGCGCGCAAGAAAATCTGGACACGCTCTTTGGCTACTGCCCTGCTTTGGAAGTGATTGTGATCGATATCAATAGTTGCATCAAGTATTTCGACGATGAACACATTTGCCGTTACTACAACTACGTTACCGCAACAGACACCATGTTGAAAACGATCGCCACTCGGTGTCCCCATATCCAACACATCAAGATTGCTTGTCCTGTCCAATACACGAGTTTGGGAATCCTCAATCATTTTACGGGACACGATGGAAAGGACCAGTTAGCCAAGCTAACGTTTTTGGAAATGTATGTCCCCGCTGATGTCGTGGTTCGATTGGTGGAAAAGACCCCATCACTCAAAGTTCTACGTGCCCGCAAGAAGTGGTCAATGCCTTATTACTATCGTAGCAGGAAGCAGAAGCAAGAGTCTGTCCTTTACGATAAAGTCTTTTGGGAAAATGTGCGCACCATACTTGGAAATCGCGGTGGTTTCCTGGAAGTCTAATCCTGAGGCGTTGCTTCCACATGACTTTAGAAAATTGCCACAATAAAACTCTGTAACTCCGCAAACTTGGAAAAATAAAATTAAAGCAAAAAACTTTTTTTTTTTGCTCTGTTGCATATAACAAAAGTTATCATTAACAATGGGAGCCATAGGTACGCATGAATTGATCTTGCTCTTTGTTTTGGACATTATATTAAGACATGGATCCCAATTTTTAATGTTTTAGGAAAGAAAAATGCTCGTGATGTTAAACGCCAGACTGGCCGTAAGTCGACTCTCTTTGCCTGTCTGTCATTAATCGATCTTATACTGTTTTTCCAAACTGACTGATCTCGTTTTCTATTGCTCTTGATTCGATAGGAATAAAGAAAGATCCCGGTATCCCAAATCTGGATCATTTCAAAAAGAAACAGGCCAACAAAGAAGAAGAACGCCGGAAAAAGGTACCCGGATAGACCCGTGTGTGATATGTTAGTAGGGAGAAAGAGGCTAATGTACATGATATAATGTGGATGTATTCTATATAGGCTGCCGCAGCGAAAGAACGACAATCACAAGCACGTCAACAACTACAGAACAAAAACAGAAAGTTCGGACAAAGCGCGTCATTATTAGATATGGTTCAGAACGCTCAGCAACGAGGACAAGCATTTGACGATCAACATGAAAGTCAGTTGGCTGATGAGGGCAAAATGCTAAAGGATGCCGCATTGACGGGTGAAAAGGATAACTCGAAAAAGGCCTATTTCCGTGAATTTAAAAAGGTGCTCGAGCATGCGGATGTGGTATTGGAAATTCTGGATGCACGCGATCCTCTTGGTACTCGAACACGCCATGTGGAGCGCATGATTATGGAAAGTGGTACAAATAAGAAGATTATCCTGGTGCTGAACAAGATTGGTAAGTTTACTCTCTCTCTCCGTATCGGTGGTTGGGAATGGTCAAGAGCAGTATGTTATTACGGTTAAGGCGCTGTTGTTGACTTGATATATTTACAATGTAGATTTGGTGCCCAAGGAAAACGTTGAACAGTGGTTAAAGTATCTACGCAACGAATACCCGGCCATCGCTTTTAAATCATCGACCCAAAGCCAACGACGGAACTTGGGGCGCGTAAATGTCTCAGCTGACGAGGCAGCCGAGCATTTGTTGAGCGGCTCCGAGTGTTTGGGTGCGGATGCGTTGATGGCTCTGTTGAAGAACTATTGTCGAAGTGCACAGATCAAGACGTCAATCAATGTCGGTATCATTGGCTATCCAAACGTGGGCAAATCGTCTGTGATCAACTCGTTAGCACGGGCCAAGGTGTGCGGCGTGGGGTCGACGCCTGGTTTTACAAAGGTTGCACAACAGATTACGCTCGATAAGAACATTAAACTTCTCGATTGCCCTGGTATCGTATTTGCAACCCAAGGACAAGATGGCAAGAGCGATGCCGAGATTGTTTTGCGGAACTGTATCAAGGTTGAGTTATTAGAGGATCCAGTAACACCAGGTAAGAAATTGAGGGTGGGGGGGGGAGAGAGAGAAAAGGAAAGGCAGAGATATCTCACGCCACGCATCTTCTAGTGGAAGTAATTGTATCAAAGATCCCTACCGAGCAGCTGATGATGATGTATGACGTTGGATACTTTAACAACGCACATGAATTTCTGGTATTACTCGCACAGCAGCGTGGAAAGCTGAAAAAGGTGAGAGAGCATACACTTGGAAGCGTGTGGGGTGATTTCTCTATTGCCAATCAACCTACCTACTATTCATTGTAATGCTAACGTGACATGTTTGTTTGATTTTAGGGTGGTGTATCCGATATCCATCTAGTGGCGCGAGCGGTTCTGCAAGACTGGAATGGCGGCAAGATCCCCTTTTATACCCTTCCGCCAGCAAACAAGCCATCGCACGATCTGGGCAGTGCCATTGTCTCTTCGTGGGGACAAGAAATTAACATTGACCAGCTGCAAGCCGCTGACCAGTCAGTGTTGAGCGGATTGCGAGGCTCTGCCGATTTTGGTGGTAATGCGGTAGTAATGGTGAGCTGATTTTTTGACTTTAAGAGTTTAGCCGGATTTGGGTGGAAAGAGAAATGGCACGGAAACTAAATTTAATATCTTGTATCAGCAAACGACCGATTTGGACATGATGGATGCCCATGACGACACTGCTGCTACTACTACTACCCCGTCAGAGTAAGTCTCTCTACCTCTCCCCCCTCCTCACACACACAAGAACGCGAGAGCAAAAGGAGAAACATGTCTTTTTTTTTTTGTTGGACCCCATTTGCTCATCTATTTACTTGTTGTGTTGATGATGTAGGACTGGCAGCATGATGATGGATGACTCTGGCGAAGCAGTGAATTCATCCGGATTGACAGTGCAGCTCGAGCGCATGCGCATGAAAAAGAAAGGCGCGGGATCTGGCCAGCCGCAGCGGGTGTTTACGGCCATGGAAGAAGAGCTGATGAACAGTCTTCAGCGCAACCAGATGCTTGCCAAGGAACGTAAGCAGATGCAAAAGAAGCTGCGCAAGCAGACGCAGGGTGGTGATGGTGAGAGCAACGAAGGCGACTACGGGTTTGCCATGGCCAAGGAAGAAGACGAGCCAATGGCAATGATGACAAACGACGTGCAACTACTCCCTGACGATGAAGATGAAGATTTGTAATTCATTGGTGCGCGGGTTTTTGCGTGTCGCACCGATTTCCTTAAAGTTATCCGACCCTCTCTAATATCAACTATCACCTCCCCCCCTCCCCCCTCCTCCTCCTCTCCCCGTATAAATAATCAGCATCTCCAGAGTTTTTTATTCTTTTTTCTGTACTCTTTTTTTTGTTTTACATATCAATCAAACAACAAGCATAACAGCATCAATTACTACTACTACTATCACTACTACTATTTCTACTACTGCATAAAATCCGAAATATCTTGTCCACCATGCTTTCAGCCTTCTTCAACCAACTGCGTGTGCATGTCAAGCACTCGGGCCAACGCCAATCATCAACCATGAGCGAGCCTCGGGAAGAACTTGGCTCGGCCATCATGACCACCTGCTCCACAAGAACCGCTTTCCCCACAGACATCCCTGCGAAGCGGCCACGGTCCACGTTTGGCATGTCCACGCAACCCACAGACGACTTTGTTCAGAAAGACCTTGTTGCCAGTTCATGGAACTAAAGACCCTATTTCTCTCAATACTGACTCACACAGCAACACCAACTAAAAGCCCCTTTCTTTCACCTTTTGATATGACCCATTCTGCATGTAAAAAAATATAACCACCGGTTTGATTCTTTCTGTACATATGATTATTACGTAAACTACAATTATTAAAGTGTTTATACATTCTCTACTTTGCTTTCTACTAATACATTTGAGTTTTGGTGATCGTTGGTCATTCTTCTTTAATGTACGACCCAGCTGTTCTTTCTCTCGCTAGTGATCGGGTCTTGCGGCCATGCTTTCATCTGTCCTCCACGGTCCGTGCCATAGACATTCGTACCAAGCGCATAGCCACAGTTATATCCACAGCATTTCTCCATATCACAAATCTGGCGGTAGGACATGTCCCGGAAATCATCGAATTCTCGCATGACATTGGTGATAAATGGCACCAGACGACTCATATCTGCGCGTCGTGGTGCGTCTTTGAGATAGTGGAGCGACGCTTTTGAAGCCTTTTCCGAATCCACAGTGTCGCCAAGATACTCCTTGATGCATGCATCCGGGGATCGATTGTTTGACCAAGAAGCGCACTCCTGCACTGCATCCAGCGACGGAAGATATACGCCCACCTCTTCGAATTTGCGCTTGGCCAATGCAACATCTGTATCCACGCAATTCATGGCTTGGCACTAATAAAGGGGGAAACGCGAAGGGAGAGGAGAGAGGTGGAAATAAGGGGGGGGTTGTAAAAAGGTTATTGTTCTTAGATGAACGTATGAATGTTTCAAGTTTGATCTAGGCTATACAGGGATAGAGAGACCCTTACCTCGAAATTATAGAACCGTCGGCCCATGGCAGTGAATGGATAGGCAAACCAATCCTCCGAGTATCCGCGCGAATCGACGCTCAGCACGACCGAATTATCCTTCATGAAGATAGCTGCACCTTCCTGTGACCCGTGCGGTGAAATCAGGACATCCACATCATGCAGCAAGTACGCTGAAGATGCCAACGAGCAGCCTTTATCGAAACTGAGCAATTTGATAATGTATTTAGATTTCAGGGCATCCACAATCTCTTGCTCATTGGTGATCCTGCGGTTTTTGCTGCGGTTGAGAATGGCAATCACTCTGGTGTTGTTCATGGTATTGGGTGGTGCGTGGACCTGCATCGATTCCACACATGCTTGGTCGTCTCGGTTAGCGTCGTGCAATAAGCTGTGTTCATTGTGCTGCTGCCATCGTCCTTGCGTGACATAGTAATCAACGGCTTCGTCTCGGAACGACGCATAAATGTCAGAGTCGATTGGCTGTTCGCAATAATAGGAAAGCGAGCATGCTACGCCTGCGCCGATCACGGCTTTTGAAAAGCATACAGTTTCGCCACGTTTCAATACAAGTTGTTGATCGCTCGTCAAGCTGTGGGTATCAGTGACAATGTCTCTGCCGTCGCTGAAGAAATCGGCTGTGAATAATGGCTGTCCCATAAATGGGTAGGAGGCCGAAGTCATTGCACGATACATCCAGCTGTCTCTTGACGCACCATGTTTCTTCATTGTGCTATACGTTTTAAGATTTTTTTTAATATTAGCTTTCCCATTTTTTTTCTTTTGCAGCAAAATAGTTACTTGTAAAGAGGCATTAAGCCATTGAAGAGCATATGGGCAAAATGTTCGGGCGAATACAAGCCATAGACAAATAATGTATCGTTTCGAACAGGCACACCTGCGTTGGCGTGTCGCCACTTGACTTGTGGTCGATAGTAGGCATCACCTTCTTGATCTGCACTGATCACGTTGATGTTGAGATCATTGAGGAACTGTTTCTTTTGTTCATATGTATCCGCAACGACAAACCCGCCTATTTATTGTATTTTATTTCTCGTTATATATAAAAGGAGTCAACAAGTCTCACTGAGAAAAAAAAAATACACTTTTTTGACCGAGATTTGATTCGAGAAAAAGAAAAAAAGAAAGCAGTTAATCCAAATTACCTTTATGGTCTATACAAAAGTTTTCGACGACACATTGCCGTGTCCGGGCAGATGTGCCAGTACATGTATAAGAAGAGATAGGGCCAATATCAAGGTACCGAATGTGGTAAGTGTAATAGAATGTAGACACCAGAGTTAGCGTGAGCCATGTCGCAATGATTGCCTGGCACGTTCTCCGGCGAACCATTTAAAGAGAAGCGGGAAGTTGCAACACCGGGGAAATTGCTGTGGGTTCTAGCTTAATAAAGAGCCGGGAGCCATATTGGGCAAGTTGTCAAGGTCACACAAAGCAAAATGAGATTTATTTTGTGTGTGTGTGTGTGTGTGTGCTAGGTGAAGAAGATGAGAATAGAGAGAGGACCTGTCTGGGTGTGGGGCTCCCTTTCTTTTTGTTCCCTTTCCTCTCTTTTTTTCTTCTCTTTTTTAACTTTGCTTTTCCCTTTAGCTCGCTACAACTTGCTCTCCAACAATCTTTTAATCGACTCCGTCATCCATGGCTCCAGTTACCGTTTCTTCCTCTGGTATCGGCGTCGCGCATTTGCCGAACCAGAGGCATAAAATTGTCACGAACCGCGGTTGCAACTTTACAGTGATGGTGTGTGGTAAGTGTTTTTTTTACTATTATTCATTCTTGGTGGTTCATCTCGGGAAAGAAAAGGGAAAGGAGAGGTAGTTTGACCGGGCGGGTGAGGGGAGGGGAGGAAGCAATGACTATAGAAGAAACACAGAGAGAGAGAGAGAGAGACACTCCTTGGAGAGGAGCGCGCGAGCAAGAGAGAAAAATAAAAATGAGAGAGAGAGAGAGAGAGATTAAAAGAGATGGCTTTTTAGAAATGCTTGACAACAATGTGTAGTTGATTGATCCCCTCCTCCTTTCCTCGAAACTTGCTCCCACATACCCACTAGGTGAATCTGGTGTTGGTAAAACCACCTTTGTCAACACACTTTTCACCACGTCCATCAAGGAGTACAAGAATCCCGCCAAACGTCATGAGAAGCAACTCGACAGAACTGTCGAGATTGAAATCACCAAAGCTGGTAAAGTCCCAGAATTATGACAGATATAAGCTTTATTCACTACTACACTTTTTCGACAAAGGAAAAGGGAAAGATGCGTTTTTCGTGTAGAATAAGGAAATACTGACAAATATATCATTGATTACCCCCCCTCCCCTTTTACCGATGATGATGATGATGATATTAGAGCTCGAGGAACAAATGTTCAATGTGAAGCTGAGCGTCATTGACACACCTGGCTTTGGTGACTATGTCAACAATTACGACAGCTGGTTGCCGGTGATTGAGTTTATCGACGATCAACACGAGAATTACATGCGCCAGGAACAACAGCCTAGTCGTCGAGGCATGACTGATATGCGTGTTCATGTATGTCTGTACTTTATCCGACCCAATGGCCATGGGTAAGTCAATCTCTTCAAGAGCAAAAATGATAAAAAGGGGAGGGCATACAAGCAATGGAGATGGAAAAAAAGTTCTGATCATTGCGTGTGCTGCTGCTAGTTTGAAGCCTTTGGATATTGAAATCATGAAACGCCTCGGCTCACGTGTCAATTTGATTCCTGTCATTGCCAAGGCAGATACGCTGACACCCAAGGATCTGGCTCAATTCAAGCAACGAGTAAGTCTACGATCTCCTCCTTTGTCCGGAGAGAGAGAGAGAGGAAGCAGGGAAACACCGGATAGCTTCGGAAGGAGGCAAAGGGTGGAGAGGAGGAGGAAGATTAAAAAAGGGAAACCGGTTTCTTTCCGTAGATTCTCGAAGTGATTGAAGCCCAAAACATCCGCGTCTACTCGTGCCCCATTGAGAGCGACGACGAGGATGTGACGAAGCGCAACATGGACATCATGTCAGCCATGCCGTTCTCCATCATTGGCTCGACCCAGACCGTCCGCACGCCCGATAACCGCCAAGTACTCGGTCGCCAATACTCTTGGGGATGTGCCCAAGTCGAAAATGAGCAGCACTGTGATTTCAAAAAGCTGCGCAACCTGCTTGTTCGTTCCCACATGCTGGATCTGATTTCGTCCACGGAAGAGATCCACTATGAGAACTATCGTCAACAGCAGATGGCCACACGCAAGTTTGGCGAGCCAAAGTAAAGTTTCTCCCTCCCTCCATTCTGATTACAAAGTGGGAAAAAGAAGTGGGCTGATGGGGGTTGTTGGTTTTTGGGGATAGGATCAAAAAGTATGAGAACCCCAAGCATCGAGAAAAGGAAGATTCGTTGCGCAAGGTGTTTACCGAGCAAGTCAAGTCAGAGGAGAATCGCTTCCGCCAGTGGGAACAGCAGGTAAGATGCGCTCTGTGTATGTGTGTCAGCAAAGAGAGGGAGAGAGAGAAACTAAAACAGCACTGTTAATGTCAAATAGCTTATCCAAGAGCGTGATCGTCTGAATAAGGATTTGGAATCCCAGCACGCACAGATCAAGGCACTTGAAAGTGATCTTGAGCAATTGTACCATCAGCAAGGCCGTGGTACGCTGAGAAGGTAGGACGACGGACGAACGAACGAACGAACGAAGAACAAACAAAAGCAGCAAACTGTCTACCCCTCTCACTTAATATCACCCCCACCATGCCATGCCTCACATTATCCATAACGACCTCTTTATCTCTCTTTTGTTCTAATCATGCATGTCGTTGCGTGCAGGAATCATCATAGTAGCTGGTGTACATACCTCATCAAGAGAAACACACTTCTTCACAACGCCTCCAATGTCTCCAGTAAAGTTATTTTCTTATTCCACTCTAAATTTTTTCCTCTTTGTCACTCTACACTTTCCAGATCACATAAAGGGAATCTTACAACAATAACCCCCGGGGCCGCCAACTAACGATTAATCTATAACTACTATAATTACATTACTATTATTATTACTATTTATAATTTGAAAACTATGATTTATTGAGTTGATTGGGTGGATGGGACGATAACAGGTATAATTACCAAGTGGCGGGTTCTCTAAGTGGTGTATGTGGAGTTATGAAGTGAAGGAGAATGACAAGTGGACGTGTGGGCAAATGGTTGGAAAAAAAAAAAGTATATACAAAATTTACAAACGTTAAGGAAAAAAACACAAAGCTGGGACTTTTCACGGCTGCACGCCATCTGCCGCCGGCTTCTTCTCTTGGGTATTGTTGTTGTAAATGAGGTATTGGATATAAATAGTCAAATCAAAGCACAGGGTTCCTGCACTGCCGAGGATGTACGGCACAGCCTCCAACAGTGTCTGCCGGGTCTGATGGGGATTGGAAAAGATGCCCAAGGTATACGTCAGATTACCGGCTGCTGCACACAGGAAAAGGGCCATCGACAGTCCTTG